TTTCACAGTTTGACTAATTTCACATACTTATCTTAATCTGCTAAATAACTGGACTTTTTTCCACTTAATGTTTTTAAGTCATCTTAATCTACCATCCCTCACCAATTTTACTCCTTGTTGGTTTATTCTAATGGCTTTTTTTTTTCTGTCCTAATTTTTGATGAAAGCCCAGAATGTTGGTGAGATAGCTTTAACAGTTTCTGTTTTACTATTGCAGGACCCAGACCCACCCCCTCAAGAAACCAATTCCGTTCCTCCACCTATGTTCTTTGATCCAATAGTCTTCAGTCAGCCTCAGGCTCAGGCCTCACCAAGAAAATCTCGCTATCCGGGTATCCGGAAAAACTAATTGTCGAAAAAAAAACATTTAATTTAAAAATTGGAGATTTTGAAATATTTGTCTGGTGTATTTAATTTTATGATATTTTTGAGAAGTTTTTGCATATGATTCACGTTTCCGCTTCCTTCCTTTCCTTCCTTTCTCTTTCTCCCTTTCTCTTGATTTTCATATTTTGAATTTAAGCTGTACTTCTTCCATTCTTCCTCTCAAAAATTAATTCTGCTCTGGGTCTGACCCATTTTGATCGGGATTTTTTCATCAAGTTTTCAGTGGTTATCAAATGAAAAAATCCACATTGATTTTTTTTTTTTTTTTTTCAAACCAGACAAATATTTCAAAATCTCCAATTCCTCTAACTTTAATAAATAAAAATTAATGGGTGGAAAAAAAAAAAAAAAGGGGGGGTGTTAATACTATTTATAAGAATTATGGCACTTTTGGACAATTTTAATCCTATTTCTCAAAGAAAAATGTATTGATTCCAACAGCACTTTATTTCACAACTGTAATAATGTAACATTATTTTATTTTGAATTCAGCTACAGATTTGCACTTTATTATTTTGATCTGAATCCTTTGCTGTCTTTGAATGTTTTTTAATGAGAGCCAGGCTTCCTTTTTTTTCACCAAAATTGTTATGTTTTATTAGCTTAATCCACCTTTATTAGTTTAACTTCCAAGTTACCTAATCTACTCAGTCTACCTTAAATTTGTTATCAATTCTTCTGCTCTTTGGTTAAGACACATCTATATAGTTATCTCCTTTAGTAAAAAAAAAAAAAATTGGACTATCTGCTCTTTAAGTTAACTTAAAAAAAAAAAAAAAAAAAAAAATCTTTATCATGTACCTTATAGGTACCATTAGTTAAGCAAACTTGCACTCTATAATCTGTAGTAATATTTTAGCAAAAGAAAAATGCCGCACTCTCCGGCTTTGACATCATTATTTTATTAGTCCAAAAAAAAAAAGTAGAAAATTCTGTACTATCTTAATTTTATTATTTCTGGTATCAATCTCTTTCAAATGTCAGTCTTATTTTTAGCCTTTGCTCGGAAGAAGTCAGCAAGTGATACCATCTCAGATAATTCAACAGTGTCACCTCTGTCATTATGGCTCAGGCTTTTGTTTTGTTTGTTCTGCACTTTTTTTTTTTTTTTTGTTTTTTTTTTTTGTTCAGTAGGCAGGTTTGTTATGCGTGGTCTCTCAGTGGCTATACTGGATGATTATTCTCTGTTTAGCTCTCCCAGTATAGTTTGCTGAGCTTATCGCATTTCAAACCCACCTCTGAATAATACTAGCTAGTCTCTGAGGTTAAGGATTTTTTTCTCTCTTCCTCTTTAATTCCAGTCAGAAGTCAGTTTGTTCAGCGTTCTGGTTTGTTATGTGTGGTCTCTCAGTGACTGTACTGGATGATTATTCTGTTTGATTGTTCTCCCAGTATGGTTTGCTGAGCTTATCACATTTCAAACCCATTTCTGAATAAATCTGACTTCTTTCTTGGTTTGAGGGCTGATTTCTATCTTTTCATTTATTATTGTTTGTTTTGGGATAAAGTTTTGTTGTTCAAAAGTCTCCCATAATGGCTCTGAAGTAGACATTTGTTTAGTCTCAATCTGCTGACTTCATTCTGAGGGGTAGAGATATTTTATTCACTATTTTTCAAATATATATGTAGCATGATCACATTTACTGAAACTTGTTTTAATCCATTTCATACAATCAGTTTAAGTGTCATAACCAGCTGTCATTATTTTTCAATCATCTTTTCGAAGCCTGGCTCTTTTTGAGAACTTTTTTTTAACATCTCGATTTTCATAGTTTATACTTATTGAATTTCACAGCAAAGGAAATTTAACTGCTTTTACTTTATTTCTTTTCTTGGAATCCTAAAATTTCTCTAATTTATCATAGCTGTATTTACAAAAGGTAAATATTGATACGGGGGTGGGTCTCTTTTGTCCATAAATAAAGTAAATATGAGTTCTGACTTGGCCCTGATTGGTTTCATTGACTTTAGATATGTTGGGGTGACTTGACGTGACCAGCAATTCATGGGCGGTGGTCTTGCTGATACTAAAACATTCTGTCTGAAAAGGCTAAACGTGGTTGTATGAGGGTGATATACCACAGTTATGAATGGGGAAAGAAATGAGAAGATTTTGTGTCGTGTTCAGCAGTGCATTCCCATCCATAAAACATGTTTGAAGAAAAACACCTCCTTCCCCTCCCCGCCTCGCCCATGGGCTTTTCCACTTCTGATCATATGACCCTTTTCATACACATTGGCGGGAAAGAACGGTGCGAGTTACGAGATTCTGTTAAAAATAAAACATCTTTTAATCTTTTAAATCTGCCCTCAAAACATTCTTGTTTCGGAAATTTTATTTTTGATTTAATTTACGAGGAACTGTACCTAGCTTTCTCGAAGGGCAGTTTTGATCACAGGCAGCTCAAGCTCCAGCTGTGAGATGATCATCTTGCTCATGGTGGAATTATAAGAGTTTGTATGGGAATATTCACGACCGCTCTAAGGAATAAAAACTACGTCAAATTCTCAGTAAAAATACCTCACCTTACTTCCACAGCGTATCTCTTGTTATCTGACCGCTTACTTTGAAGAATAGAACGTATATAAGAAAAGGGCTTTTCTTATGTACGTTGAAGAGTCTTGAAGACCTCGAAATGGGCAACTCGCTAAAATGGGTTCTTTTCATCAAAGTAAGCGGCCAGATAATAAGCGATAGGCTGTGGAAGTAAGGTGAGGTATTTTTATTGAGAATTTGACATATTTTTTTATTCCTTAGAGCGGTCGTAAATATTCTCATACAAGCTCTTATAATTCCGCTATGACTGTTATTGTGCAAGATGATCCTCTCACAGCTGGAGATTGGGCTGCCTGTGGTTCCGGTAATAAGACGTGCTGCAGTGTTTGAATTCTTTGAAGTTTATCCAGTTCCTGTTTTAGGAGATCATAAAGGATACTATTACAGTAGTCTAGACGTGATATTACTAGTGCATTAACTAACAGTTTGAGATTTTCCTTGGTGATGTATTTGCGAATGCGACCCATGGACGTGATGGCGTTAGTTGCTTTCTTACACGTCTCGTTTATATAGTATGTCAGCGATAGGCCTTTATCTAAATTAACACCAAGATCACAAACTCTCTCTCAGTTAGTTCAATGATGGTATTGGCAAAAGAGAACTTCTTAATATTAGATATCTTGGTGAACCAGGATGTAAATATTATTACCTCCGTCTTTTTGTGAACTGAGGAAACGGCTACACCACTAAAACTCAAGATCCATGACTGCAAGGTGGCAAGGACATTGGACGGGATGCTGTTTGGAGTGAAACTGGTAAGGCCCCTTCCTGCTGACAGAAACAGACCTGATGTGCTGATCAAGCAAGTAGATTACGCAACCTGGTTTATGAACCATGCCGTAGTGCGCCACTTTGTGTTTGTTAACGAATGCGGCTACAACGTTTGGACGGCCAGAAGTCACGGTAGAGCGCGGTAGGGAGAGAGGGCTTGACTGTGACCATGGCAATATCGCTTATCAGTGGACTTGTGTTTTCCTCAGCAGCTGTCGGCGGAATGAATGCTGCGCGTTTCGATACCTTCCTGGCGCAGGTGAGAAGAAATCTGGATCTGGAGGAGGGAGTGATCTTCGTGTTTGACAGAGCGCCGGCCCGCCGAAACCCGGTCATTGCCGCCCCAAACACAGAGCTTAAAATGCCTCCCTCTAAAGTCCTTTCCTCAACATCGTGGAGCAGGCCATAAGCTTACCATCTTCCTAGACCTAATAAACATTATTATCACGAAATCCCGACATTGTGTAAGTTATCACTAAAAGAAATGAAGGAATAAGAAAAAAATAAACTATTTTAAAGGAAGGAAGGTTAGATATCATCTAAACAAAATCAAAATGTCAAAGGCGTCATGTTATGCCCTTTTGCCTGCGCCAAGTTTGACGAAGCTTGACTTGATGGTCAGTCCATATCAATTACGGATAAGTGAATCTAAACTATCTGTAATGGAAAACGTGTGAATAAGTGATGCCTGCGAGTCAAAGTTTTGAGTTGTTTGGGTTAGAATTTATCTTAATCGTCATGAGCTTTTTTGGAGTTTTTGTACAACTGAATAAGACTTCCACGTTTTTTTCCCCCAGCACATCTCATTGGAAATTGACTCACTTTCCATATTCCCTCTGTTGGAGTTAACCATGAAATTTTTGAGGATAGAAAAATTGTGTAGGAAACCTGTTTAAGTTTTTACCCCCGGAAAAATGCTAAAATTACTTTGGCCTCGAGGTCTCTCATTTCGTGACGAGTATGTGAATTTAGCCGGAGGCAGTTGTGCCTAATTTTTTTCCTTGAAAAGGTTTAAAAAGCTCTCGAAGCGGAATTCATTTGAACAATCAAGCAAGCCCTATAGTAAGATCTCCAAGTACAGATCCATCATGTTGCTTGGATCTTTTTCCAACAGCAAACGTTTAAGTTCGTTCGTCATTCCGCTATGTTGCTACTAGCGACGATGTATGTTAGGGATAAACAACAGACATCAAACACCTCCTCACAAAGGACTTCTGCATTAGCACGTGATATGTGTCATCCAATGACGTGAGCGGACTAATTTTACATGAGAGCTTATCTACTTTCCGCTATAGCAGAGTATCACGACGTCATATCTTTTCGTGGTTTATAACGTTGAACTCTCATTTAACACAGTTTTTGAGCAGCAGTGTCTTTGACGAAGATGGGTTGTTGTGGAAAAAATAGCGACGATGAAAGGACTGATAATGTGGAGATGAAAGGAGGGGATAAGAGAGGCGGAAAAGCTGGCAAGTGGGGTACGTGTGTACAAAGTTTAGCTCTGTAAACAAACGCGATATTAGCTTAACTTTGTAGTTTCATCCGAGGATGTTACTTCTTATTTCCAGGCTAGCAATATTCGATTTTAAGGGTTACAGTTGCAGTTGCGATGTGTACTGGAAATTATACTGTAGTAAAGAGCGGGCAAACTAAGATGAATACCTAAAAATACCTAAAAAAAAGTGCATCGCGCCTTGCAATTGAATGAGTTAATCGCGGTGGCTCGCAATTAAATTTTAGTCCGTTTTATTGAGATGTCCTAAGGCTAAATTTTACTTAACTACCATTTACAACTATTTTTACAAATCCTTTTAGATGTAATTGACTGGGTAGATGTGTAATATGCCCTTCTTACGTACGCGCGTGATCTTCATGTATCACAACGGTGAAATTTGATTGCCCCCTAACAACAACTTCCTTGTTCGGACAGGATCCTCGTATATGCATCTTTGAAAAATCAATGCAGCTCGAGAGTTAGTCGCAGTTAATGTTAGATCGATTTTCTCATTGAATAGAGATCTGCTTCAGGAACATGTTGATGTTATATGCATGCAAAACTTTGTTATGTGAAATGTATAAGTGAGGTGTGTTGACCGACACGATGCAATAATCCTGTTCACACAACATTTCGTGTGCAAAGACAGCAAATAACATGTTTTGGCCGGTAGGATTATGACGAAGCTATACAAGGCAGTCACAGGCTTGAAGTGTAAGGCGAAATTTGCCACCTGATAGTTTGATGTTCCAATTTTTTGCCAAATTAGGTTTATACTTTACATTTAGTAAACACTGCTCAGCAGTAACAAATGTCTCAGACTTTGAGCTTTAGGGAATGTTGCACATATAAATTGCCAAGGGAAAAGGAAATGGTGATGATGAAACTGCACAGGCCCAATGGTAAAGTCTGATAGTAAATTGCTAAATAGCTTGAGCTGGGTCCACATTATTTTACAAGTAAACAATTCAGCCAAAAAATTGATCTATCAGACCCATCAGAATTGTTCACTAAGGTGGGGGTGAGTAGTGGTTGTTTACTTCCATTTCAGTAAATAATTTTTAATTATTTACACAAGCTATTTCTTACTTGCCTATGTTCATATCATCAACAAGTTCTTGATAATTTTTTCTCTAACTATAGGAAATCCTAAACCATTTGATCCAACATTTAATGGGCCAATAAAAAACAGGTAAATGTGTACTGGTTCCTAACAGTCTTGCATAATGCTAAGAAAATATCTTGATTACTTCCCTTTGAATAGCTATATAAGTAAATGATACCTTAGCAGATGTATACAGAATTTCAGAACAGCAGTTGTCAGTATCAAATGGGAAACAGCTGTTTGTTTGGAGTCTCAGTATGTATAAAGCATAAACAGCATCAATTAATGCAACCTCTTTGAAAATGAGACACAATAAATATAGGTAGTTCTTGCAATATCCGAGGTTTCTATACCAAACTAAGCTACACATATTTCTCATTTAACAAGTGTAAACCATAGGGTAAGTGTTGTACATCTGTGATTTAAATACCACCATAAATGTATTCTGTATTTGACTTTTATAAATGTCATTCAAAACAAGTGTTCAGTGTTTTTTAAGAATGCAGGGTGATGATTATTGCTGGGAATTACTTCTAAACATGTGGACACAAGAAAGTAGAATTTATCAGTATATGGAATGTGGCTGTTCTCTGCAGAAAAAGCCAATCAGGGGAATTAGAAAACTAATCCGCAGACAATATTAATTAGTTTGTGGTTTGGAGGTGTATTTGTGGGTCCTGAACTTTATTGTGATTGGTCACTGCCCAATTGACCTGTCTGGAGAGAATTATAATGTTCATGGTTCTCTGAGAGTTTTAGTTACTGTAGCTATAAAGAAAGAAATGATGTTATCTTGCTCAGGCTGATATAGAAATGCATGCTCTTTTATTGATTTACGTGAGGGGAAAATTTAAGAAAAGAAAGAAATAAAGTGAATCAAAGGGATTCATTTAGTTGTTCTCTCTGAGAAACATAAATTTAAGTGAAACTTAGGCTATGGTTCAATGGGTTATGTCTGATTTGATATCAAATGGCCCACAATTTTAATGATTATATTTTGGCTTTTTTAGGAGCTGCACTGACTGTATATGTTGCATTCTCTTTGTTCTTTACATTGTTGGCATGATAGCCCTGGGAATTGTAGGTTAGTATATCATATTATATTTTCTTAATATATATGTAACTCTAATGATGACTACTGCTCACAGTATGGAAACTTCAGTCACTGGTACCAACAACAATCCCTCTCAAGACTATACTCATACATACAATCAGACTACAATGTTGCATGAGAGACATGTAGTTTTTGACTGTGTGCTTTTACTGTATACTGAAGAGAATGTTTAGTATAAGGTTTATCATACCCTTGAGCAGGCTCTTCCTTTGTTCCAAAAACCCTTTCTTTCAAAATGAGGCTAGGTGCAGAATGCTTTCTTTGGAAAATTAGTGTTATTTGCATGAAAACACAAAAATAAACTTTACATCAAAGGCTTCACACTTTATTACCCCAAACTTGAAAGCCAAGGCTTTAAGCATCTTGGAAATGACCTCTTGTTAAAATGTACACAAAAGATGTTTGATATAACTTAACAAGGCTACAATGCAAATTAAATATGCTAGTTACTGTGTGAATTGTTCTTAGCTATTGTTGACTTGTTGAGATCTGAAGTCAGATTAAAAGGAGAATATGTACACATATATATATATATACATATGTATTGATATATAAATTTCTGGGTGTTAACAATATTTGCTGAACATTTTTATTGCAGCATATATAAAAGGTAATCCATACAAGCTGCTGAATTCTGTTGATTCTGATGGTAAGTGGCTACACATGAAATTGATTTTACACTCAGGGGAAATGTTTTGGTATTTGTTTTCTTGGAGATTATATGAACAATTCCTCCTTTAATGGTTTTTTATAGTATTGTATTTGGATATAACCATTGGTTGATGTTAAATTTGTGAGATTACTTAACAGGAAAGTATGTTGTGGTATGGAATGAATTTCAGGTCAAAACAGTTTTTTTTCCAGTACATTATGACAAACAAAGTCATTAAAAAAAAAATGTGAAATAAAACAGGATTAGACTTATTTTAATTAACCTGAAATAATTTTCAACTACAATCATGGTCAAATTTAATTGATTGTAAGCTTCCTAACAATTTTCTTTGCACTGCCCCTTTTTTCATTTTGGAGCAGCATTGATTATTATTGAATAAAATTGTTTGGAACAAAATAAATTTTTTTCATGGACAGATCAATGCATCATCACTTTTACTTAAGACAAAGCATTAAATTTCAATCTGTAATCATTAAGACATGTCTTCTTTTAGGAAATATCTGTGGTTACGATGAGAATGTCAAGTAAGTTCATTATCTTGATATGTATTTTGTACAGGACAACAGGATAATGATTGTTTTACTTAAGACTGGTGGATGTCACTGGCAACTTTTTCTGATACTAGAGCTGAATATTTTGTCCTCTTTTTAGCTTGAATTTAGATGTTCCTGGAACCTTAATTGCACATTTTCCTGCAAATTTACATCTATCACAGTATTGCTCAAAATTTTATATTTTCACATTTACAACTTTATTGATCAGAATGTAGCTTATTGGAAAAAACAATTAAATTAAAAAAATATTCCAAGGAAATTGTGAAATTTGACATCGCGGTAGGTGTGGTCAAAATCCACTGTTTTCACTTATTCTAAAAGAGACTATCTTGCATTTGAGCAGTACTGCTTGCTTAAGTAATCACAAATGAGATATGTATGATGCTATCAGGATGTTTCTTTTAATATTAACGTTTTTTCTGAAAGGGATCGGCCTAAATTGGTTTTCTTTGACTTGACGGAATGTCTTCCTGCAGTCACTCAAGTTGCAACAAATCTCTTTGGGGCATCTTGTCCAACAAAACAGGTGATTATAATGAATAACTTAAAATCCAACTTATAGGAGCCCTCCACTCCCTGCTTGGAACTCTTCCCATTTTTTAATCCATCTAAATGGTACCTTTGAGACTAGGTTAAAGGGTATACTATCTTCTTTTTAATAAGTACCTCCCACAGCACTTCTCTGACTTGTTGTATTAATATAGTGGTCTAAACACTTAGGGTACACGGAGAAAAGGACACTTGGGTCATTTAATTTGGAATTGTTATTTAAAATTTATAATTCATCAGTTGTTGATGCAATCAAATTTAATTAACAATCCTGTGTGCAAATCAATTTCTGGCCATTATAGCCTGATAACCAATCTGCCAAATGTCATGAGCATCTCATTTCTCTATTCAATTTCACCCCTGAATCAAATCAAAGAACACAAGAATAAAGGAAATGATCACCAACGGAGAAGCTCTTGATTGTTAAGCAAATTCTCATGGTCAACACTTTAAAAAATATATGAAGAACATGATAGGGAATATGCATACTAATGTTGGATTATAAAGGGTTAAATTTTCTATGAAATTTTTTCAGACTAGAGAACCTTAGATGAAGAATGGTGAATGACATTTACAAACAGTACTTTTGAGCACATTGCACTGATGATAATCCTAAGGCTAAAAAATTCATTAGTCATTGCACATATATTTGTGATTTTTGAATTTCTTATGTATAACAGGAAATTGTATGAAGTCAAGTGTACTTTGGTGTTTTGAAAATATTTCAAAATATCTCAAGCTTAAGGCATGATATATGATTTTTTGTCGTGTTCTCAATAAAATCACAAACTTAGGTTACTTTGAACTTTCCATTTTTTTTTTTCAAATTTTATCATGTTTTAGAAACTTATCAAATTTTAGGCAAAGGTGATGTCAAAATCCTTTATTGCTTTCTGTTACCTACTTCTGCACTCATCATTAATCAATCAGGAACATGATAATTCATTATAACAATATGATACAAATAAATGAAACAAGTTATGAAACAAGTTATGAAACAAGTTTTGGGGATGGTGTTACCTGGTTTTCAATAATCAAATCAACTAAGTTGTAATAAGTGATAAATTTAAGAAAATTGCTCATGACCATGTTGCTTTATGTTATTAATTAAAATGTATTTTTTTGCAATTCACCCTGTTCTAGCGCTGTGTGAAGAGTTGCCCTGACAAAAATGCTTTTGCACTCACTGGGAATGTATCAGACCTTGTTTGTGACTATGACATTGATGTCAACAGTTTAAATCCATCTTATCAGGTAATTTCTGTTAGCTTTCAACCCATAAAAATGTAAGTAAATTTATCGCTGGATCTAAAACTATAATAAATGTGGCATGAGCATTTTAGCTCAGAAAGTACTTTTCATCTGATATTGTCTTATTGTTTGCACCTTTTGGATTGTTCATGAAGTTTAATATTTATTGTATCTTTCACACTGAACTATCTCTAATGACTTTTTTAGCAGTGTATTTTGCATTTCTTAGTTTAAATTCTCTACTGGTTTTTTGGCCAACCCCTTGGGGCATCTCAACACAACTTATCTTGGTGTTGTTCATAACTTAACAGGAACGCTTAGACTTAATCAGGAACAAGAGGTGTGCTCCATATATCCTCAAAAGTTCTGATGGTGAGTATATGAAATATAGTGTTTGTTAATATTATGATATAAAGATGACCTTTACATTGAGACAGAAAATAATAGTGTTTGCTTTTAATAATTATGATATAAAAGATGACCACTTTTTTTCATTTATTTGCTTAATTATGGAAGGAGGAAATGCAATAAACAATTGTTACATCAATAATACAAAGAAAGGCAGGAAGTGGGTAGAGCCAATGGAAGATTAAGGCAGTTCTTACAACAATTTTTTTTATATTTTATGTCTTAAGTACCTGACCAATAAAATTTTATAATTTTGGTTTTATTAACTCAATCAGTTTATCAAAACCAAATTATCTTGTATATCAACCTCTCCCCCCCCCCCTTTTGCAATGCAGCACCATTTTTTCTTCAAAAACTTATTATTTATTCCATAAAATGTTACTCTTGGAGGACACAAACACCTTCTGTTTTAACTTAATTGAAAATAGCTTTAAAATATCTATGCATTTGCTTTGTTTAACAGTCCTGAACCGTTGCATACCAATACTAGTTGGAGATGCATTAAAAACCAGTTTAGGAGATCAGCTGCAATCAGCAGATGGATCAAATGTCACTGCTGAAGAAGTAAAAGAAGGATCTCTGTAAGTAAACACTGAAGCATCCAGTTTGCAACAGACTTAAGAATAAGCTACGAACCTCAAAGGGGATTTATTTTCCACAAATATTTGCTAATTCCATCTAGTATCAGAATTTTTGTATTTAACTTGTGCCTCATCCTGTAAATAATACAAGTGGCCAGCATTTAATTTCTCCTTACAGTAATATTACTGAATCATTCACTAAGATTATGAGAACAAAGGAAGTGATTGCTAACCAATCAAGTTTTGATTGTTAAAGAAATTCTCCTTGTCTGTACCAAAGGAAATATTATAGAGAACAGTATGGAGAATACGGATACTGATGTAAGGGTGTAAAGGGTTAATACAAGTGTTTCATTGGCTCACCATCACAAAACAATATTAATTAGGAAATAATCATGCAACTGCAGATTTGAAACTTACTAATCTTTGGTTTACCTTCTATAGAGCTGTTCAGGCATTGCTGAACCTGCAGAACCTTGGTCAGAAGGTAGGAATAATTAAAACTTAAGATAATACTTCCCAGCCTTCTGTTATCCACACCTGTGCTTAGATACATTAACATCAAAGTAACAATTTTTGCTTTTTAATGTTTGCGGTAGATCATACAAGATGTGCAGGAATCCTGGTACTGGATTCTGGCGTAAGTACAGTGACAAAACATCACAGCTAGATATTTTTTTGGTTTCTTAGTTGGCTAGTTATAAATTTTGGATGAACACTTTGCAAGGTTGTTGAATGATATATCTAGTTGTATACTTGATATTCCTTTTTACAAACCTCATTCTTCAAAGGCACTACAACTGCTTTTTTATTGTGGCCACCTGAACTCTGTTCTTTTTGTATAAATTAGTAGCTATCTATTAGTTGAAGAGTAATGCCTGAAATGAAAGATACATTTCCTTTGTGAATTTTGATTGGCTGTGAAAAACTCATGTTGAGTATGTAAACCCACCAGTTGTTCCTTGTTTTGTGTGTATGATGTACAGGTAGCATTGCATTAAGGTAGTAGAGCAAGTTTGGGCTTACAATCTTGGTGAGATTGAATGCATAACTGACTGAGTGTCTTGTTTAAACAGTGCCATGGGAATTGCGATGGTGGCTTCTTTCTTGTATATTATTGTCATGAGGTGAGACTGCAGATATTTGATTTGTTTTTTGGGGAATCATAATGTGATAATTATGGCTCTTTTTTAAAGTGCAACAGAGTAAAACAAAAACACACCTATTAAACTTCATATCGGTGGAATTTCATTTTTAGGTGGATTGCTGGACTTGTGGTGTGGGTGACCATCTATGCTGTTTTGACTGCACTTGGCTTCTGTAAGTGTGAAATTTAATGTTTAACTTAATACAGTCCAAAGCTGATAATGTGCTAGTAGAGTGGACTTCAGAAAAAAGTCACCCCAGCCACCACTTGCTTGAAGCCTATTTTTCACTTCTGTTATTGAATTCTTCTGGGAAATTGTTTGATAAGTAAATGAAAACTTCCATAGGAGAACATATGGGAACTAGTTCCTGTTTTTGAGAGAATTCTGTTCACCTGTCATTTTTCAGCCAGTCTGTTGAGTTGGGCAGCTGTTTGAGCTGTTTTGGAAGCTGTTCCTCATCCATCAAATAGGTTCTGACATCCGTTGGGGAAATATTGCATCATTTGAACAAGTTTAGGAGCCTCTTAAACAATTTTGGCTTCCTCCAACCAGTAAAATTTGTGAAGATCTTTTTTCCACAGCTGAGGGCTGGGATTACTTTGGTAGAGACAAGGCTATAGTCTTTTGTTGTTAGTATTTTATTGATGACAAGTCAGGGACAATTTTAGAGGATGTTCAAGAAATACAATATAGTGAAATCCCATCATCTTTTTAAAGGAGGGTTTTAAAATAGTCACGGTCTTGAGTGACAAACTCTTCAATCTTGCAGAAAATAAATTACAATTTTCTATACAGGCTTAGGAAATTGCAATAAAATTAATTTTAATTTGGCTGCAGCCCAAAAATTAAGTGCCTTGTTACTGGAAAATGTTTGATACAATAATTAATGATGTGAATTATTTTTATTCATGATGATATGGGTGGAGTACGTGTAAATTCACTTTTTGATATTTAGCAGCACCTTTATGACTGAGAAGAGCTCTTTATGGATAGTCATGACAGGTGGTAATGAACACACTGAAATTCATGCAATATATATATATTTTTTTAACATTTAGCTGTTTATTATTCATGGACAAAGTACAAAGAACTGTCATCCAACTCTGGTAACACCACAATCACTGTTCTGAGCGTGTCCACTGGTCTTGATTCATATGCTAACAGTGAAAAAACTTGGTACTGGCTGAGTAAGTAAAAAAAAAATATTTTATGCATACAATGCTGTAGATCTTCCCTCCTACCAATGTCCAAGATGCAAAATTAAATTTTTAATGCATTTAATCGCACTTATGGCAAAATTCTAGTCTCAAATATTCAATTTTGGATTGTATTGTTAGCCGACTTGTCATATAGACTAATAGTCATAGACTCTGCTGTCTTTCTCTTGGGCACTGATGGCCTAGGGGAGGCACTAGTACTAATGGTGGGTAGGAGTGTGTGGCAAACCTCTCAAAATAGTTACCTTATTTTAGACTATAACACAGTGTACCAGTTTGCAATTTTTCCATCCTATTCAAGGTCTGACAGAAATCCAACAATCTATTTGAGGCAATCCTTAAATTAATACATGTAACTACTTATGTTTCACTCATGATGAGTGACAATGCCTTTGATGTTGAATATATTTTGGTTGTGGCATTGCTTGAAATCAGTTTGTGCACACTTTTGACATTTTTAATTTGTTACTAGACTCTGAAACAGGGGAACTTTAAAATTAAAATTTGGCAAAAAATTTAAACCAAGGCAGAAAAAAGAGAAGGTTTAGTAAAAGCTTAGGAAGTTATCTGTGGCACTCCTTGTGTAAAATCATCATAATGAAAACGTCTGTCTATAATATGCAGATGAAGTGACAGTCATTTCCTTGTGTTGCAGCTATTATTCTTGGGGTTATCCTTGGAATTCTGGTGTTGATTCTGCTGGCTTTATACAAGAGGATTTCTATTGCAATTCAGATCATCAAAGAGGGAAGCAGGTATGATGACTGCACCCACATTCTTCCTTGAATGTCACAACATTGCGTTGTTGTTAATGCAATCTATGTTTTCATGCATTTAATGTGAATTGTATGTATGTTTTCATTTTCATTTCAAAATGTAATTTCCTTTGCTCTTGTAGGGCTGTATCTGCCATGCCATTTAGTCTGTTTTTCCCTGTTGTTCCTTGGCTGCTCCAGATCATACTGTTTGGATGGTTTGTTGGTGTCTTAGCGTATCCTTTGACTTTTGAAATGTTGTTTAACTTTAACATAGGCGGTTACTAGTTAACAACTGCAAGGCTGGATGTGTTGTGGGTTTTGGGGGGTGTGATTGGATGTTTGGGTGGGGTTCATTTGGGTGATAAAATTATACACCCTTTTTAGACTCCAGACTCCTAAAACCACGCCCTCAGTGGTGAGCTGGGGGCTGGTTATCCCAGGGGCTGTCATGTGCATAGTGACCAACCCCTGCCCCCAAATTTTTAAGTTGATGCACCATCCCTCTTTTTCTCCACATTTCTACCCATGCTGTGATTTTCACCATCATCACAGACACAAACACGGTCCCAGTTATAGCAGACCATTTGGTTTCACTTTTCACTTGATTTCCTCACAATACAGTCCTCTGTTCTCATAACATCAAGTGTTGCCGAGCTTGCATTATCTCTCATTGTAACAGAAGATCGAATTTTTGTTCATACCAACTGTCTTAATTGACCTCCTTAACACTTAAAGCTTCCTTGTCACAGCTGGTGATCCACAGTACCAAGTTGTGTCCAATGACACTCAAAATGGACAAGTGTGTACTCAGGTGGAGATATTTGAATGCTTTTGGGTTTCCTTCGCTTGAATTCCCCAAAACTCCTTTGATTTCTCCAAAACTTCTTTTTTGATGAGTTGGGATCATGCCTTTCTTGTCTAATTATCTGTCGATCATTTCTAGGAAATAAAAGATGCAATAGGATCTGCCAGCAACTATACATGCAATTTTGTGGACTTTGCAAACGATGAGTGAGTAACAAAGTCTTGACTTCCTCGAAACGAAGTGCCATGATTATTTAACAATGAACATTTCCATAGCTGGTGAACACATCTTTCTACTTCTCTGTAGCCCTGACATACATACTTGAACTAGTTTCACTCTGGCGAAGGGTTAACGCTCGAAACTTCAGCTATAGAAACTCTTTACGGTGACCGATTTACATTGGATAAAGTGAATAAAACCAAACTTATTAGACTTGGCCAACGACACACGGGAATATATGTAAAGGTGCTAGTCACTTGTAAAAGCAACTTGTTATTTTACCGGTCAAATCGAACAGGTTGGTCCTCCGCCGGCCAGATCATTCACTTAGATACTAGAGCTGTTAAGAATCTTTCTTTTTCATCTATCTGTTCCAGCCATTTGTTCCGCATGCAAATCTACCATCTGTTTGGCTGGTTCTGGCTCATGAATTTCATCATTGCCCTAGGCCAGTGTGCACTGGCAGGTGCATTTGCCTCCTATTACTGGGCTTGGGACAAGAAGACGGTGAGTGTTCACAAAAAGTTGTTTTTGTTTTTTCTCAGTAAAATTACGTGAATCTGCAGTTGATTCTTTGTGTTGGTTCACAGTTTTTTGTAATTTATTTTTTGGCTTTTTTCACTACTTGAACGCTTTACTTCATGACTGGGAAATGTACTGCCAAACTAATTTTGTTGTTCAATCTGTATCGCAGGACATACCAAAATTTGCAGTGACAGCATCATTCTTCCGAACTCTAAGGTAGGATATTTTACATGAAATTGTTGTAGAACTTTATCTCTTAGTCATGTTTTGTGTAAACTCCCCAGGTAACTTCGTAACGCTGATATTTCGTTTTTTTCTGATATTTTTTTCCTCTCTTATGGACTCTCCTGGACTGTATTTGAAGCTTTGACTGCAATTTGTTATTGTAAATGCAACCTTTTATTGCTTTACTTTCGTCGCACTGTGATCGGTTATTGTGAACTCTACCAATCTACTCCTTTTGTGTTCTTCAACGGCTCTATGTCTTATTCCGCTCAACGTCTCTGCTGGCCTCTTCGTAAGATATTCAGTGTAATCATAACAGTTAAGAGTTTATCAGAGCGCCATGCGATTGGGTTTGGTTTTTAATCTGAAAGTGGTGCGAGTTTTCTGGAACAATTTCTCATCGAAGTAAAGCAAAGCCAAATTAACTCCGGGTTACTTTCGACCCTGAATTGAAAATTGTCCAAATACTAGACGCTGATAATTCCCTCTGTCAGCTGCACCTCCACGTAATGGCCCTTTGTCCACCGCTATTTCCATGTCTAATTGGATATGGAAGGGAAAAAACCCTGGGATCTAAGACGAGAACAAATAACAAACTAAACCCACATGTGACGCCAGGTTCAGGGCTCGAACCCAGGTCATAGCGAGTTGGTGAAGTGATAGAGCAATCAAATTTACCACTACTCTCTCTCTCTCCGAAGGTACCATACTGGTTCACTGGCCTTCGGGTCTCTTATCATTGCCATCGTTCAGTTGATCCGAGCAGCACTGGAGTACATCGATCACAAGCTCAGAGGTAACGTCTGTATGTTGTCTATCCCCGGGTTTTACGGTCATTTCGCCCCTAATCACTTCGCTTCAACCAAAAGTCAGTTCGCTCCATAATCGAAGTTAGTTCGCTCCATGTTACAAGTCAAGTGTATATGTGCTTACAAGATTGTACTTGCCTAACTGATGTTATACGATCTTGACGACATGTTTGTAATTGTTCGTTTCACTGGCTCTAATCTCTCTCTGTCCCCCATGCCATGCCTATGTTGTTGGTACGCTCAAAATGCGCTCGAATTTCAAGAGGTGTATATATGCTTACAAGATTGTATGTTATAGTCGTCCGATTTATTAATACGATCTTGATGCACTCAAAATGCGCTCGTATTTCAAGTGTATATATGCTTACAAGATTGTGCGTTATAGTCGTCCGATTTATAAATACGATCTTGACGCCATGCCGATGTTGTTGATGCGCTCGTTGATCGATTGTCGATTGAATTTCAAAAACTTTAACAAACGGTCCGCTAAGCGGTTGCTGAAAGCCTACTCTTACCTGAATGCACCCAGGGACTAGGCTGATAAACCATCACAAACAAAAAACGAACGGCTCCTTTAGGAGCCACCAAATGATCAACAATGCAATACATGCCAATACATAGAATGCATGCAGCAAAAACTGAAAACATGACAATTCTTTCCATAAAAATATAAATTCCTTGAAAAAGCCGAAGAATTTATGCAAACTTAAGTTTATCTTTATTCAAACTCGTAACCTTTTCTAAAAGGGGGTTTCGAGGGATTACAACTCGTAAGAATTCGTGTTGAGGAAATTAATCGAACGAAATGATATTTCGTGTTACCAAGTGTAAGCGAACGCGATTGGAAGCTGCATTAGTTAATAAATCTGAACTGACATAAGTTCAAAATCAGTCCAACCCCAACATCAAACAAAAAGTTCATGACAATATTTCACCAATTTCTTACATGAAGCGAAGTAACTGTTGTATGGAGCGAAGTGACTTCGATTATGCAGCGAACTGCCTTTTTGGGGCGAAATGACCATGGGGCGGGTACCGGATACCATCCCTGGGTAAGAACCACCGTGTTTTTATTTGTGAGTGTTCGGTGACTGATTGCTTCTTTTGTCTTTCTTAGGGCCAGGAGAGCAAAGTGAAATTACTAAGTACATCATAAAGTAAGTTGCTAACTGTTTTCTCTGCTAAATTCTCTCTGAATTCTTTCCTGTTTTTCAAGGCTTCGCGAACTATTCAACCTTAGTTAATTCCATCCCGTTGCGTCGTTGTAACAACTAGATGAATTTCAGCTATTTGAAAAGATTGTTAGAGGTTGCCTTTTTATAAATATTTTGAGGAAATCTTGAGTAACTTGAATTTTTTCTTTAACTTCGAGGTGCCTTAAATGCTGCTTTTGGTGTTTGGAGAAGTTCCTGAAATTTCTCAACAAGAATGCCTACATTATGGTTTGTAAACGATTTTATAGAGTCATTTAGTTACTTAACGTTTTCCCCTCCTATTTTCATATTTTCCCCTCTTTGTTATGGTTGATCCTGTCTCCTCTTAATTTTGTAATCAAATGTACTTGGCAGAGATGTTATTCGCAAATCTTGCGAAGAAAAGTGAACGACTTAAACCTTTTTACCTCCCAAGGTCGAATTAGTTATTCTCCGTACTGTCTGTTATACAGTTTTTATGAAGTTAGTTCAGAGAATTCGGTATTAGATCAACTAATGATTCCCTGATTGATTGATTGTCTGCTTGATATTGTATCGATATTGTAAGGAGAAATTCTGTCTTGGTCACTCAGGGGGGTGGAGATTTATTCTCGAATGTGTTCCTCTGCTTGTGTACCCATAAACAACAGAAAGATTAAAGCTTGGACTAATTTGCCAACTCGTTTGATTCAGATTGCAGTACACGGCAAGAATTTTTGCGTCTCAGCAAAAGATGCTTTTTTCCTCCTGATGAGGAATATTTTGAGGTGAGTGCACCTTGGTGAAAAGCTAAATTATGTTGGGAAAGAGTTCTCATGGTCAAATGAACCGAGTTGTGTAGGAGATCTTCAGAATAACAGGTTGTTATTTGCATAAGTTTCCGCTATCGACAATTTCACGGGGGTATCTTAGTCACAGTTGATTTGAGGATGCAACTGTTTAATAACAATTTTTATTTTCTCTGGTAAAGAGACACGAGGGCGTAACTTTGTACATATTTGCAACAACGAGGCGGTATACTCCAAACCAAGTATCGATAATAATGTGGGGAGAATTACAGAGATTTTGTGCCGGGAAGGAACTGATATCTGCTTTGGGTGTTAATCATTTCTGTTCATTTGCAGAGTCGCCGTATTGGACAAAGTAACGGACTTTGTTCTGTTTCTTGGTCAGTTGACTATTGCTGCAGGCCTAGGTGAGTCTGTCTCCTTTCTGTTACAGCCTTAACTCCCACGAATGACCAAGAGAGAATTTCTCCTAACCAAATCAATGCAATATCAAACAGAAAAGTTATGACAGTAAAGAAAAATATCCATTGGGGGATTAGTAGTTGATTGAATACCAAATTCTCAGAACTAACATCATAAGAATTGCATGACAGACAGTAAGGAGAATTACTAATGAGATCTTGGGAATGAAAGGGTTAAAATAACTTGGAGGTTGATGTGTTGTTTGTAGTTCTCTACCTATGGTTTAGCCTAACACTTAATGAAAATGTACAAACCGTTTAGCCCTAATTTACAATTTTTGAATAACTTAGATCAAAATCAAGTTGACCCCCATCCTGGTTTAGTTGCACTAGTTTTTCCACTGAACCGGCCCTTAATTTCAATCGTAAAAAATGTAGCTGAATGTACCTTATTAAAATTTAAGTTGTATGTGGGAACAGCAATTCGTTACTTTCCATCCTTTCCGCGAGAACCACGCCTGGTTAAACTCGTTTCAAAATGGAGTATGTTCATAGGCTGTTAAGGAGAGTTTATAACAGGAAATCGTTCACTTAACTACTTGTCATGTATAGAAACGAAGGAGTCAATTTATTTTCTATCGTTTTCAAGTAGTTTTAATCATTAGCCATTCCGTCGTTGTATTCTTATTTATTATAGTTATCTGTTTATCCTTACACAGGTATTGGGAGCTTCTATTGGTTCGAACGACAAGAAAACCTCAACTATTACTTGGCCCCTGTCATTGTAAGTATTCTGTCTTATTTTTTATAGAGAAGTACAACTGTTTATGTCTCCAAGATGACATAAATTATATGCCAACTTTCTAAGTTTCTTGACAACGATATAAGCAAACCGCTAACAAGTTTTTCGTATCGGGGTTATGCAAATGAAGTGACCATGGGAGAGCTTTCCTTTCATTGATTACTGGAACTGATGGACAGGTTGACGGACACACGGGCAGACAGGTAGAAAAACAAACACAGACAGGTTGACGGGCAGAAAGGTAGAAAGACAGACAAACAGACAGTTAGACAGTTAGACAGTTAGAGGGGCAGACAGGTAGAAACTGGCTAGAAAGACAGACAAGCAGACAGTTAGAGGGGCAGACAGGTAGAAAGACAGACAGACGGACGGACGGACAGACAGGTAGAAAGACAGACAAGCAGACAGTTAGAGGGGCAGACAGGTAGAAAGGTAGGAAGATAGACGGACGGACGGACAGACAGACAGACAGACAGACAGACAGACAGACAGACGGATAGACGGGCAGATAGACAGATCGGTAGGAAGACAGACATGATACATGTTTGATTATTGATTCACCAAGGAATGAATGGGCTCACCTCAAGGTTTGCATGTGTCCTCTTATTCTCCTGTATTGTGTTTTTCAAGATCATCGTTGTTGGTGCCTACATGATAGCATCAGCTTTCTTCAGTGTCTACAACATGGCTATTGATACGGTCTTCCTTTCATTCTGTAAGTTTTTTTTTTTTTCGTAGTCGCGTTTGTAATGGGTTATTAGGTATGACAAGTCTTGTTAGAAAAAGCGGCACAGATTATAACAACGTTGCCGAAAATACCCCATGACTGTTTACCGAAATTGGGTATAAAGCGAGACGAGTTTCGTTTAACTTGTGTTTGTGCCCATTTTTTTAATTCCGTGTTTTGAGCGCTACATATCATACCTGGAAGATTTTGCCCTTTTTTCTCAACCAAAACTCATTGGTGGTGCAAAACATGTTCCCTTATTGGCAGGTAATGTTGTTCGAAGTAAATTAATATTTTTCCAGTCTTAGCTTTAACCGTTATTGACACTGTTCACAAAAATCAACATTTTTGTTAATCGGAATTGCTTAGACATGAATAGAATATTAGTAATGAATATTAGATCACTTTTTTCCGAAAGAAGCCACTAGTAAACTTTCAGCCGCAAGAGTGTGATGTATACCTTATGCGTGAGATCATTCGCTCATTCGCTCCTTTGCTCGCTCGCTTGCTCGCTCTTATATTTATTAAGTTTGTCGTTTTATTCTTGTTATATACAGTGGAGGATTCTGAGCGAAATGACGGCTCCCCGGAAAAGCCATACTACATGAGCAAGTCCCTGAGGAAGATAATTGGAAAGAAAAACAAGAAAAATTCAGACAGCGAATGAAATGGCTGCGGCCGGATCATCAGCGGTTAAACTTCAGATATGCCGCTGCTAAATTGACTATTACCATTTGCAATCGGTTCACTTGATTGGATGAGCAGTATTTATAGCCGAAATTTTATAGACCGATTGAAGGGAAAGACAGAGGTGACTACACTAACGAGATTCGACATTCGTTTTTAGTTATTTCTCTAAACTATTTTTCATAGCTAGTTTAATACTGAAAACCCTCTCTGTGGTGCGAGATGTTTCAAATAGAAGAGCCCGCGAGAATACTTCTACTTTTATTTAATGGGAAGTGAGGCTGTTTTTCGCCTTAGTGATTGGGAAGAGTAAAGCAGTTTTGTACAAGGATAAACAGACAATTTTGACACAAACATTTTACTTAATATAATTTAATATTTTCACTTCTAAGTGCGGTAGAATCCATTTGGACATAAATGTATTATTGCTTCTCTCTTCCAAGTATTTTGGTCAAGTAGGGTTACAGATTATCGCTGGACGAAATCTTTGTACATACAAGGCTCTCGTCGCTGTAATTGAATTTGTGTAAAGCGTGTTTCAACGTATTTTGTAGCATAGCTAGTAAATTTATCTAATCAAATTCAATTGCGCGAGCTTACTTCATATTCGTATATTCATATGCACGCTCATGACGTCAGCAAACAAATCCCTCGGGGAAAAAATTTTTCTTCGGGTTGAAAATGTTATAAAACAATTGGTTCATACGTCAGCTGTACGTTCATCGAGATATGAAGCACTTGGGAAGTTTGGAGAGCACTCAAGAAGCTAGAGTTCACTCAAGAAGCTAGAACTCTTACGCATCTTTCGTGCTCTCCAAACTTCCCGCGTGCTTCGTATCTCGATGAACGCACGCTGACATATGAACCAATTGTTAAGTATCATTGTTAAACATAGATCAGGCCTGAATACAGACAGTGTGTAAATGGAGAACTTTATAAACTATGTTTTAGGTTGCAAATCGAGGTTTTTTCCACTTGCATTAGAGATGGAAAATTTCGGTCATCAAACGTGCTGGGAAAACGTCGCAGAAAAGCAACAAGGCTTCAAGGTCGTTTTCTTACACGTTTTGCTTTCCGTGTGTGTTGCGCGTGATTTTCGTTTCGCTATTCGTTGACCAAAGCCTCAGGACCCTAACGACCGTTAAAGCTGACTAAGAGTCCCAAAAGGTTGGATGTTGAAGTAGTAAGCTTTGCACCAAATGTTTGATTTAATTTTCATGTGTTAGAGTATTGTGCAGTAGAAGGAAGTTTGCTTGCACATAGAAGGTTTAATATTTATTTAACGTATTAGATCGATTGTTGTGTAATTTGTGGGTGAAGCCTCCCCCAGAACAGGGTTGTTTTGTACATATAAATTATTTACTAGCAACCTGTACAAGCATTTGTTACTCTTTCCTTTTTGAGAGTCATTTATGCTGTACAGACAAGACAGTATAAGACTGGCTATTTTCTGCTGGGTATAGGCGCCATATGTGGTCATTAAATCCTTGCGCAAATGCTTGCAGAGTATTCGCAATTCCAGTCAACAAACGCTTCATATGATATATAACTTGACAAGCACTTTCGCAGAGCGTATGTTCAATGTTTTTTTTGTTTTTTCTTTTTTTTTTCCGACTAAATAAGACGCTGCTTTCCCGTATTTTCCATGACTTTACAGGTCAATGGAGTGTTAATAAAGAGCTTGCGTGGTGTTATTATCTATAGATTATCGTTTCAGAGCACGATAACGTAGAATTTTGTGTTGTTGTTGACTCTTTAGACTGTCCACAAGTAATTTTTTACTGTAGACGCGTGTTCCGTGGAACTTTCTTTTCCTAGTCACGAATTCAGTTTTTCCAGTTGTTAAGTAAGATTTCCCCAAACGGTAATCTTTTACAACGACCCTGTGAGCTGAAATTGTTATTTCCTTCAAACAATGTAATCGCACTACAAGGAAAAGAAGAATGGAATGCATTGAGAGAGGATTGAGTCACTCATTATGGAGTCTTGTGGGGTGTGTTTTCTTCGTTTTGTTATCATTTTTTCATAAGGTAGCAATCTGTTCCCTTCGGATCGTATTCTTGTTTACCTCTCTTCGAAGGAAGTAATAGCAACTCAAGTTAGAACGGGTTAATTTAGTATTATAAACTGGGTTGATAACGTAAATTGGCCACCGTTTAGAGTTTAAAAGCTAATGTCTCGAGTGTTAGTCCTTCGTCAGGGCGCTTTAAAGTTAGAACGGTTGAGACCTTCCCAAGCCCCAAGCCCCAAGCCCCAACCATCACAGTTACTGAATTTATAGCCAGTAAAAGGAAAAAGAAAAATTAAAAAAAAAAGGAAAATTTCTTCATCGAAATTTGTGACAGATTACTGAAAATGACGTCATAAATAAGGACACATTATGCAAACCTCAGACGAACACGTTTGATCAGCATGTTTTCTTTCGAAGCTATATTCCAGAGTGTTATATTTGGCGTTATTAGCGGAATAACTACTGTACTTCTATTAAAAATCTTTGAGAACAAACTTACTGGCAGAAGAGAGGCCGAAATATTCCAGGAAGAAATCAGAGTTGAAGGAAGACCGAAAACACCTCGGGAACATGACGAAACGTTTTGATGAAAAGGTGAGTCTAAAAACCTACTTGTCGTTTTCGTTCTGCGCTACTATTGCACTCCGTTTGCTAACAGATCTCCTGATACAGACTAGCATAAAACGTAAAGAAAACAGTTGTAATTAATACATAAGCAAGAATGTAAGTAAACATGCATCGCAGTCGTTCGAGAAACTTGAAAGGAAAGGTGAAACCATGACGCGATGACCGACCGCGCCCTGAAAGATGAGGGAAACTGAGAACTACTACAGGTTCACAAGTCAAAATGGCGGAAAAGTTGGATCCAGAGAACATACTGTTAATCACAGACTCGTACAAAGTAAGACAAGTCTTTCAAGAGGCTGTATTTCACGGTGAATCACTTAAAGCCTACTTGTGCTCTTTACCTGCCTTGCAGTGCAGAAACTGTTATTAGTGCTTTAGTTTGTAAAATTTCACGCTTCCGGTTTGATTCCAGAAGTAGTGAACGATCTGTTTTCGAACGTTTTGTCTTCATCTGAAACAGGTCTCTCATCATAAGCAGTATCCATCAGGTACGACCATAGTATTCTCATATTTTGAAAGCAGAGGAGGAAAGTTTCCAGAAGTGTGTTTCTTCGGCTTGCAATACTTGATAAAGGTGTGTTGTTTGAAAAACGCTTTCACTTTTGAGTTCGCGGTTTGTCGATTTGTTTACAAGGCTTTGACGGCGCAAACTCCGTGAGTTTTAGCTCTTAGTATTTTAAGTGGACTTCATGAGCAGAAATAATTTATTTTAGTACAATTCATTGTATATCTTCTATTTTTTGCGTCATCAACGGAGCAATCGTCAAAAAATTAAACGTTTAACCTATAATAAATAATGTGCTTGAAATGTCAAACTGTTGTTGGTAATGGCCCCAAATGCACATCGGAAGTCTTTAAGTTCTACAGCTGTATTTGTACAAATTTTAGATTATTTATAATGATCAATTCTGATTAATTCTGTCTGTGTCATAGAGATGGCTAGAGGGTCAAGTGGTAACAGCAGAAAAAATTCAGCAGGCAACAGAATTCTACAAGTTACATTTTGGTTACGATCTATTCAATGAAGAAGGTGAGCACATGTTAATCTATAGAGGGCATTTTTCCACCTTAAATTGTGGTATATAAACATTTGCTAATAATCAATATTATTAATTGTCAGGAATGCATGAAAAGTCATTAATTACTCAAGGTTCTGTCTTTAGAGGCACTTGTAATAAGGACTTGTAAAATAAATGAGGTCATTGGTTTTGAAAATGTGGCAGATTGCAGATTAATGGCTGCAAATTTTGTGGGACTTTGGACTCCACCTGTCTAGAGGCTTAGACATTGGACTGCAAGTGAATTTTGATTTTTGGATGATGAATTTCCTTCCAGGCCTTGTTGGCAGTTTGAACAATCTTTTCCTGATGGACATTTCTCACTAGGAAAGTCTAAGCTTTCAAGGTTGCCCAAAATATAACTAATACTTACTTGATTTTACCTTCTACAAACATTTCTGTACATTTTTCTGTCTCTAAGAAAATCCAGTTATAAAACAGATGTCTAAACTTAATCACAGTAAACCCCTACCACATCAAGTTTTCATCTTGTATGGATCCATATTAGCCCTAAACAAGCATCACATTAATAGGTTAAACACTGTCCTCCTTCTCAGTTGGTAAACAGTAAAAATTTACTGTATGTTGTGCCACTTATTTCCTCCTAAAATTGCTGAAATTCTTGAAAATCCAAAAGGTAGAAGAGTCCCTCTACCAGTTGCCTATCCAGCCTAAAGGGAGAAAATTGTTTATTGGCCATTTAAAGATTTGCTAGCTATAATCTAAATTCACCTTCATTAGTAAAATAAGGACATGTAGCCTGCACCTGCTAAAGATAATCAGTTTTTAATTGAAAGTATTATTTTTATTTTTCAAAGGTTGGAAGTACATCTTGGAAAAGCATGGAGGAAAGCTACCTCTCAGAATAAGAGCTGTACCTGAAGGTTCAGTGGTTCCTGTTAAAAATGGTAAGCACTGACCCCTCTTTTATTTATTTATTTATTTATTTTTTTGTTTTCAGATCTTTGACTTCGTTCAGTCAGTGGAAATATGTTGACATAGTGGGAAAAGCTTAGTAGAATTAGCAAGATTTCCAAGTAATTTGAGTGATTTGTTTGATAGTGATAAAGTTGTAACCCATTAAAGTCATGTTCTTTCATAGATAATTTGGTTTTATATACTGAGTTGATAACATAAACTGGGCTACCATTTAGGATCTCTACAGCTGTATTAGGGTAAATGTTTACTACCAAATTAACCTTTGTGTGTTTTCCAGTTTTGTTTACAGTTCAAAACACAGATCCCAATTGTCCCTGGCTCACAAACTGGGTTGAGGTAAGAAGAATGAATTATTTTACAACTTTATTTATAGAGGTTGTGTGGGACCAGTAGATTTCCAACACAGGCAGTCAACTTTCTCTGCCTACCTACCTGTGGGCAAGAAATTTGATTGAATAACAAAGAGAGAGCCAAAATTTCAAATCAATTTTAACCCTCTAATTCCCATCAGTGACCAAGACAGAATATCTCCCTACATTATTAATACTAAGTGAAGCAGACAAGTGATGAGAATAAAGAAAAACATCCATTAGGGGATTATTACATGTAGTTGATCTAATACCAAATTCTCTAAACTAACATCATAAGAATTGTATGGCAGATCATAAAGAGAATTACTAATGAGATCCTGGGAGTGAAAGGGTGAAGGGATCTTAAAAGTTTTCACTGAATAGTTCCTGGAAAATAATACTTGGCATGTCTATTTCAATCAATCAATAGCATTAATCAGCAGTGTGTGAAATTTTGTTCAACACTGGTGATCACTTTCAAAACATGTTGCGTTTTTTTCCCCCTTTAATCCCTCAGTTCTACTGTAATTATTTTTTTAATTCAGAGTGATGTTGCCTGTTTTCAAATGAGTAGTTCAAACCATTCACCCTATGGTGGCTATACTTTGACATGGGCTCTTTTTTTTTTTTCTCTGTAGACACTTCTTGTTCAGTGCTGGTATCCCATGACAGTTGCCACAAACTCAAGAGCCCAGAAACAGATCATAGCTGAAGTACAGTACCTAATATAAATAAATTATATTATTTATTGACTGACAAATACTACTGTGCCCCATAAAGGATATCAACAATCTTTTTGAAGTTGAAATCTTGATCTTCTTGACAACTCAAATTTTTACTCCAAAACTTGAAGTTTTCTTATCCCTAAATACACAATTCAGATTTCTTTTGTGAAAATCTAACCTGTTAATTTTCTCAAAATCAACTTAGATTTTAACTGCAAGTACTCTAATACAAGTTCTCTAATTTCGAAGTACACATCTTAGGTTTTTACTGCAAAAAAAATGATGAGTTGTTAATTTTTCAGAGAAGTAACGCTTATTTTTTCTGTGAAAATCCATGTTGTTAATTTTTCTTATAAGGAACTCTCATTCTCACCAAAAGAATGAGAATTTAAATTTTTCAAAATGCAACTCTGATTTTTATTGCAAATATCAAATTCTTTTTAGAAACAATTTGCATTTTTAATGCAAAAATCTGAGTTGTGTATCAATAAGGAAATAATATACAACTCAGATTTTTGCATTCAATCAAAACTGAAAACAGCCTTGCTCTTAATTAGTATTTCTGATCAATTATTGTTTCAATTTCTAGTACCTTCTTGAAACAGCAGACAATTTGGATGGACTCCCATTTAAACTGCATGATTTTGGTTTCCGTGGCAGCACATCAGTTGAGGTAACTTTAAGGTCCTGTAATTGTAAGTTAATATAATTACCTTTCAACAGTCTATCAACTGAGTTCAGTAACGACCTAAGCAATCCATCAATCAATTTTTCAGTTTAATTTGATTTGAATGCTGTTAAATGTTAATCACCCCTTGAGTTGTAGCAGCCTGTCCATGACAATTTTTTATAACATTCTTGCCATTTCTTTTATCTGTTGTAAACCATGACCATTTTTAATTGGAAAGGTCAGGTGACCAGTACAGGAAACTGTTATGCAAAGAACCTGTTCATGTGATTTTTTAAATGACATGTCTACATGAAAGGAAAAATTGGAATAATCTTTTCTTTCAATATGGAGAAAACCTCAGTCAATAATAACTCCTGTGAATTTTATATCGATGCTAAATATTTATTGAGAATTGTTTTCTTGCAGTCAGCATCCCTTGGTGGTGCAGCTCATCTTGTAAACTTCTGTGGAACTGATACAGTGGCTGGCATGGTACTAGCCAGGTAGGTGTATCTGCCTTTTTCAGCACCTTACCTGTTAGTCCTGGTTTTTTGCTAGCACAGCACTGCAAGTTCAAGCATAAGCCTCTTTTTCTTGTGCACTCATCACAAACACAGGAATCATTGTAATGAACATTGCAGCTGTAAAACTGAGGGACAGTGCTGCAACTATGCACACATGTGTTCAGGTTGTATACCACACACTGTTTAATACTGAAAAAAATGTTTGACATGCACATGATCTTCATGAGGTCTGCCATACTCTGTAGACTGGCTTGTTCTAATGCATCTCCTTAAAGCAACGATCTTAATGAAATAAACAGCACTGAAACTTCCAGTTGATACTAGTTTGTAATTACAGTGTTTTTATAGTGTGAACTGTCATGCACAGTCTGTCTAGTCTCATGTTTACCAATTTGTTTTATCAGTGAGGGTTTCACTGTTACTTTTGCAAAATATAGAATGCTCTAATCTGGCGGCTAGTTACACAATTCTCATTTGTCTTGCATTTAGAATTACATGCAACCCCACTGCATTCTTTTTAAATTTCTGTGATGTAAGCTCACACTTCAGTGATACATTCAGGTGCATGACTCTCTCTTTGAGGGTTTGAGTGGCAGCAAATATTTTTTCTGCATTCATCATTATTAAGTTGCTGTTGTATTTTGAAGTATCACTTTTACATGTAGCCTCAATCTCAATGCAGTTTTTTTTCCATAGGAATTATTATGGCTGTGAAATTGCTGGTTTTTCGATCCCAGCAGCTGAACACAGGTATATTGAAGGTCATGATTAAACTGAGTGTTTTATTTGTTTGTGTTAATCATTCAGTAATTTGTGTTTTATTGGCTCTTTTTTGCCATGAACAGTACAATTACAACTTGGGGGAAAGAAGGAGAGAAAGAGGCTTTTAGGAACATGTTGGAACAGGTGATATTTTTTTCTGTAGCACTATTTTAAGTTAATGGGAATACACTTGTCACAGACATCACTAAACATTGCAAATTCACTGAGTCAAACTTGAGTCTAGCTATGGCTGACCATAAGTAGAACTGACAGGTGTCAATTACATAACTCTTGGGATGGTTCCATGGGCCAGTCCATTTAAGGGTTACCCCCCTTCCCTTCCCTCCCCCCAGCATTTTGTCAGGGGTCACTATCAGTTTGCCACTACCCATGTAAGGAATGCACTGTGAGAGTAATGTGTGCTGCTCAAATTATCACACAATTACCTGGGGCCTGTTTCTCAAAATTTCAGGTAATTTTATGGCACAAATGCATGGCTTAAAATCTATTGCATTTTTTTCATACAGTTTCCAACTGGATTAGTTGCTTGTGTCAGTGATAGCTATAACATTTGGTGAGTTTTGCACATTCATACTTGTTCTTTTGTAAATTAAAGACTTTTCACCCGAAGGACTTCATCCGATGTTAATTATTTCTGTTAGACTACAAGAAGCCCCTCATTCGCGCTAGTCCAAAAAAAAATCAGTCAAAAAAGGGTGTTTTCCGCCGCTCAGTGTCCACCATTTGTTTTTCGTTTTTCGCTAATTTTTTTTTGGATTACTGAAAAAGAGGGACTGCTTGAAATCTAGAGAATTGTTTGCGGTGAGTAACGTATCCAGCTTACTCTGTTACACAAGTCAGACTGAGAGGTAATTCCTGAGAAATGAATTTTTCCCCACTTCTTTGTTTGATTTTACAGGGAGGCTTGTGAAAAATACTGGGGAGAAGACTTGAAAGATCTTGTTGTAGATCGGGGAACAAACAAAAAGGGTGAGAAGATGAGCTAAAACTTGTTGTTGAAAATAATAGGGGTTGGTATTGCACCTGTTAAGCCATACTCGTCCCAGTGCTAAGACTGATGCATTGACTTGACTTTAACCTTACATCAAAATAATTTGGTTTCATCAACTGAGTTGATTAATGTGAATTTGCCACGGTAGAGAGTATCCGGCTAAAGCTGACGATTCGAGCGTTAGCCCTTCGTCAGAGCCAACGACTAAGGGCTAACGCAAGAAACGTCAGTTTTCGAAACTCTTTACGGTGGCCAGTTTGAATTTATCAACTCAGTTGATAAAATATAATTATCAAGTAATAACCTCACCAATGCTGCATCACAGTTTCTTTAGAAACTTACCCTTCCATTAAATTACATCAAGCCTCTTTTAAAACTGTATGCATCCTTTCATTTTGGATGATTCATTTGCGAATTTCTGCTTTATAATATTATTTGTGTCAGGTGTGCTCGTCATTCGTCCAGATTCAGGAAACCCTGCAGAAGTGGTGGTCAAGATATTGAATATTTTGTGTAAGTTGAATTTTTTTTATATCACTTTTTTTCAAGAATCTCTTTTCTTTTTTCCACATTGTGAACGTTGAAATTTCTGTTTTCTTGCAGATAAAAAATTTGGAGGGGAGAAAAATTCTAAAGGCTTCCATCTCCTACCACCTTACCTTAGAATAATCCAGGTGAGGATTAGGAACATTTTTTTCATTCAAAGCGTTATTTTCTTGTATTTTCTGCTTCGTTCCTCACCAACGAATGTATTTCGAGAGATTTGACTCGTGTCCGACGCAACCTCTAAGAATAGCATTGTAGTCGTCAGGACTATGATCGATACAGTTCTTTGAGACACGTTATCCGTGTGAGGCTCTGACATTTGTGAAGGGTATTGAAAGCATGCTAGATACCTTGAAGTAAATGCACTTAGCCTCTTTCAAGTAAGCATTCCTTCGTGTGTGATTTTGCTAATCCTCTCTAGTATAGAAAGTCTTCAACGCTATTCAAGTATGTGATCCATGTGACTATATTCCGCATCCAGACGACGAAAAAACGAATTTACAAATTCGTGTAATTTTCTGCAATTATTTAGGGTGATGGAATCAGCTATGAAACCCTGTCTGAAATTTTGGAAAACATGAAGAAGCACAAATGGAGCGCTGATAACATCGCATTTGGAAGCGGAGGTTCGCACAAGACTCCTTTGTGAAATGTATAAATTAGTTGGTGACCAAGCTTGAGGTCCACACTGTAGATTAAGGAACAAGTTTCTTCTGCGCGGGTACACTTCACGCAGGCCATAAATCCGAGCAAAAACAAAAGGGGTTCCGTAACCTACAGTACGGACCGAGAAAACGAGGTTGATAATATATTTATTTTATCTGTGGCTCTAAAGAGGAGGGGAAGATCTCAATTCAAAGAAATTTTTTTTAAGTAAGCGGGCTGTACGGTGAAGATTGACCAATCGTAGCGTACGTAGTAACAAAAAGGTATAATGATAAGGGTAAGTACAGGCGGGCGGAATACGAGGTGGCCTGGGGATTACAGTGCTGAATTCCCGATCTAAAGGTCTGGGTTTGAAATCTGCCCGGGTAACTGCGTTGTGTTCTGTTCTTCGTACAGTAGTTGATGAAATATTATTTTTACCACAAGAGGAATGTAATGTCTGGTTTTGTCAAAACAGGTGCTTTGTTACAGAAATTGGATCGTGACACTCAGAAATGTGCCTACAAGTGTTGCTTTGCAGTTATTAATGGAAAACCGGTAAGTACTGCTGGTTTATATTGAACTCTTTCGGTTCAAGGATTTGTCCTTCGCCGCTTTTTTGGCAGGCTCAACGTAGGTTTCTCTTATGCTCAAAGAAATTGTATCCTTCACCTGGCCGGCCAAGGCCATGAAATTAGTCTGCCTTCATGGTTCATTTGTGAGAGATTTTCAAGATAACAGTTTTCTTTTCCCCATCTCTGAAAATCCCCAACCTTGTAGTGTATTCCGTGTTTCCCTGTTCCGTAAAGGGTACACCTGTCAGTTGTAGGATCCCTCAGAGTCCGTTTGCTTCAGTGTGGAAAATGGTTACCAAAACCTGGAGTGTCCAAAGTAATCCGGGATCTCTTTGTTTTTGCCTTACCTCGCTCTGTGGTTGGTCCAGAAAACTCGCGACAACCTCTTAACCAATGAGATGCAAAACGAGTTTTAATCGTGACTTGATCACCCACGTTTTCGCGCGCTTTTGATGGTTTGCCTTTTTTGGCATGAGTTCTCGTTGGCTGACGATTTTTCCTTTTGTCATGATTGGCTGTAGTGGTTTTATTTGGTTTCAGTTTTTTAACAGTTTATTGAAAACTTCTCTAAAAATACACTTTCAAGCTACAAGTCCTTGCCTGCTTTTTTAGGTGAACGTGTATAAGCAACCCATCACTGATTCTACTAAGCATTCAAAGAAAGGGTTGTTGTCGCTCGAACTGGATGACACAGGAAAATACGTAACGGTTGAGGAAGGAAAAGGAAATGCAGACAAGGTACTATTTAAATTATTTGTTTGTTTTTCGTCGGCGTCCTTTTCAATTAACCCTGTTACTCTCAAGATCAAAACATCTATTCTCTGCACTGTGTTTTACATTCCTCTTTATTTTTGCTTGGGAAGTTGATGCTAAAACATGCAGTATCCCTTTGTGAGAAGAAATTCCTTTGTAGTCACTCTCGGGAGTTGAAGAATTAACCCTTTCGCTCCCAAGATCTCATCAGTAATTCTCCTTACTGTCTGCCATAAAATTCTTATGATGTTAGTTAAGGAAACTTGGTATTGGATCAACTGATAATCCCCCAAATTATCTTTTTCTTTATTTTTGTGGTTGTAATTGCAATGTTTACAAATGCGGAGACGTTTAAACGCAGTGTTAGTCGGTTTCTCATTTCGTTATTACAGATGTTGCTTCTTTAGGAAATGCCCTGCTTTCGGAAGTGTGTCGTCTCTGTGGCTTTCTATACTTTAGTTGTTAGTATCCATGATTCAAATGCTTATAAACAATTATTGGATGAGGCTTTTGTGATCTCCAGAATAATCAAGGTCGAGGTAGGGGTTATCAGCCGAAGCCTTCGGCTTCCTCATCCAATAATTGTTTTATTATACATTGAACGAAAGTAAAAATGGTCACGAGAGTGAGTGGAACTGACGATTTATTTCAAAATATGTAAAAATATACAAATCAGCAAGCAACACAAAGCGCGCGAACTTGACATGGTTACCCTAAGAAATCATGCACCGCGGTCCTATATGAAATGATCACCCGTGACTATGAATGTCAATCGCTTTCTGTCAATCACATAAGAGATAGGGAGATGAATGTATAATAATAGGAATAACATAGTTTCTTACTAAAGGAACTTTGTTTTTGGACAGGATCTTCTCGAGACTGTTTTTGAAAACGGTGTCCTTGTGAAGGAGTATACTTTTGCACAAGTCAGAGAGAATGCCGAGATCCCTTTGGTAAAAGAAGCAAAGAAAAACAAAGAAAAGATGTAGTACTTGTTTGCATTCGTGTAAATTTAATTTTCTATTTGTTGTCTCTTCACTCATAGCATGCACTTGTTTAGCTGGAGAACTCAGATCTGTTAATGAAAGCCAGCTTGACTGGTCTAAGAATTGTATGATAAGATTGGTAGAATGTGCGATCACACTTTTGTTTAGAGTACTGTTTTGACTGAGGAGAAACTTTTAAAATAACCTACAAGACGTATCCTTCTGTATTCCACTTGAAATGGTAAGCGTAAGAGGCTATCGGCGGTAACTATGCAGCCAGGTGAATTTAGCAAGATCTCAAAAAACGGTGACAGTAGTTCTCACACCGTAAGGGTTTCCCTCCCGGAACGAGGGACTCTGGAGGGTACGTGGAGGGAATGAAAATTGTAATTTTTTTGTGTCTGGTGTGAGTTGCTGGTTCCCTTTCCCTATTTTCCTGGTGTTTAATACACTGCACATGCGGTTTGACACCATCTCGCAGTGCGGGAGGAAGGAGAGATCTCTTTTTAATTGAGGGTAGAGTGAAGTCAGTGCTGATGGGAAGACTCGAAAAGACGCTGGTGATAGCACTGTATGAATCAGGACACTGTACCAGGTTAAGAGGATAGTTATTACACCTTAATCTTGATTGGTAGGTCAGACCATGTGGTATCTATAGATATCCAGTGAATGAAGCGCTTGAGTTGTTCACTTCCTGAAAAATTACTTGGGGATGAGTTTGATTCACTTTGTCTGCTGTGCGTTTAGTACTTTACACTATTTGTGTACGTAGCTTTTAAAATCTTAAAATTTGGGAATCATTTATAAGCAGTTCATAAGCACCGAATCATTTCGTTTGGAATGGTAGTGTTTATTCTACAAATCTTAGCGCAGCAATAGTGCGAAAACATATTTCATACCAGTACGAATGTCAAGTATCTTACAAATACATTAAAAGTTGCGAACAGTTTACATAACACATGAAAGGGGATTTGGCGTAAAAGAGAGAACGCTGACCACAAGGAGAGCTTTCGTTAACTTACAGGCAGAGCTGATCAAGTGATAGCTTGTAAATAAAGGTGTCTTATCTGCAGGCTTGTCACTTAGAGGGCTCTTTCCTGTTTTTTAGTAACGCATATAAATCACCTTCGTGTCTTGAAGTTTCTTAATGAGAAGAACTTTGAAAGTAAAATGATGAAAATTGTATCGTTGCGTTTGGTGAAAAATTTCTGAGGTCAGGAAAAGTAGACTCTATGAGTTCCAAATTGTTGTCCCAAGAAGGCTGCTTTAGACCTTTGAGATATTTATGGAGCTTTTTTTTCCTCCCTATGGTGGAGGTTTTTTTGGCATCTTGCACATAAGTGAACATCTAAATATTACAACCGCTGAGTATGAAATTTGAGTTTATCCGTGTTATTAAGATAGGTGAACGTCAACATATTTTTAGAAAAATTGCAATTTCCACTAGAGTGTTTAAATCTATGGCGGCATTTTCATAATACTTGAGTAGTAATTGTAGTCGGTGTAATGAGCCAATCAGAATTCTAAGATTTTCAATCGCGTTTAGCCGTGGGAAAGTAGCGAAACGTAGATCACAATTGTTTGAGTTTTGTAACAGAGCGGTCAAACGACCGCGCATGCACGAGCGTTGCGCTCTAAAGGGCGTGCTTAAATAGGCTTTGTGTTCGGAAAGTCGAGTTTTCATTTTTCCTTCATTTGTTTCCTTTTAGAATTTCCATTAACGTTTCCATTTTCTTTAGCTTATTTTGCGAGACAACGGTTGTTTCTTATGTCTTTCTATGAAATTTTGCGCGAAAAATTGGCGCGTGGACCGCCAAAATTGATTCCCTTGCGCATGCACGACGTTTGACCGCTTTGTTGGGTTTTGCATATGATTGGACGAGGATAAGACAGCGTTGTTCAGGTTGGCTCATTCCCATTCCCTCCGTGTTTTCTTTTTTCTGTTAGCTCTTAAACTCGACCTTTAATACTCCTCTAATAGATGTGAAATTTTTATAGATAGCAATGTCAACATTATATAGTCTAATGGTGTTAATTTCCTTAGGAGTGAGTGATACTAAAAAAAATAACGCATTTGATATATATATTCCGTAGGTGTAAGAATTATGATGTCAATAAACTCTTTAAATTTAAGTCCGGTTTCTATGTTATTGTTTTCGATTTTTATCATATGCTGTACAAACATCGTTGAAAAATGTCTTTAATCTAGAGAAATTTTTTTTCTAAGTCTGTCACTATCGGGAATCCTATGGAATCCGGTAGATTCTGATCATGATGATCGGAAATCATTAGACAATGATGGATGACATCATCATTAGTGTATAGACTTCTGACTGCAATTGCTTGTTTTACTCAGAGACTGAATACGCGTCACCTCATCAACCAATGCGCTTAGCTGTGATTGGTACAATTTTTTTTTTTCAACATTTTTCTTGTAACTTTTATCAGTCTTTACTCCAAGGATCACTACATGCCCATGCGTGGTTCGATTAGTCTAGACATCAGAGACCTAAGGAGGTTAAGAAAACCACGAAGACAACGGCAACGTCACTAAACAAAAGGTTAAATGAGCAGAACAATGGCTGTGCACGTGCGCTATAAATCTTTGTAAATTTCTTTGCGTCCTCTGCAAAACAACAACGTATAATGACCAAACTTTGCGTTGTCTGGAGAACGTGAATGACAACGACTTGTTTTTTGAATTTCAATTTCTAATTTAACGCTGTGTTCAATATTCAGTTTCGAGATAGTTTGGACAGTGAGAAACAAACTCGATGACTTTAACCGACGTTGTCCACGGCGTCGCCGTCGTCGTTTCTTAAACTCCCTCTTGACTAAACGGCGACGGCAACGAGGACGTGGACGGGGCAAACAAAAGATCTAATGTGAAAGAACAATTGCTTAGCACGTGCATCTCCAGATTTTGTACATTTCAGAGCCATCCTCTGCAAAACTGCAGCGTGAAATGACTAAAATTTACTTGGTCTAAGAACAGAAACCCCAACAGCAAATTATTTAAGTTTCTATCAAGAAATCAGCCATTCGTTAAAACTGATTTTTTGATGATTTTGAGTTGTGTTTGGCGTCGTAAGGATTGACGATAAAACAGATCCTTTGTTACGATCAGACTCGATATTTTACGTTCTCCTGATCCTGTTTTCCATCTTAGTCGACTAAAAGTTCGTTGATTTCGCTGTAGTTTCCCTTCTAGGAAAAGTCACGTTTTGTCTTCATTTTTGCCTTTCTCTCATTTGGCGCTCCTTTACAAGAAACAATTTTTTAACAAGAATGAATAAGATGTGCTTCTAATAAATCAAAGTGGATTTCTCTCTTTTCACACATAAACTTACTGGCGACATTTTCCAGTCCTTTTTCAGCGTCAGAGGGGTTTCCTTTTGCGAAACAATTTTAAAAATGTAATTGCCGATAGATTTTTCCTTTTTTCACATGCAAATTCATCATACTTTTTCTTTTCTTTTGATTTTTGAATACCTGGCTGAGCGTGGAAACAAAACTGTGCGCCAAAGCAGTGACGTACGAGCCTATTATTGGCATATTCATCTAAAATTGTAGAATTTTCCAACCACCTTGTCCGCTGAAGAGTGAAGATGTGCTGTTTCTATTTTGAAACTTGCACTCTGGAAAAGAAGAAGATACACGAACTGCTTGGTACTCGGAGAAAAAGTGACCATCCCTATCGAAAATATTGCCTTACACTCCTTCAGAAAGCAGAGCAAGTCGCAACATCTCAGTAAAACGAGTCGACGCCCATCAGCTGTTTGGTTTGCGCGGCTCCTCAACTCAAAGTTCGATTGAGTAACGGTGTCGGCCTCCTCAGAAGTAGAACTTGAGATAGTGATAAACTTCCGCGGAAATTCAATGTAATCCTGAGGTTGACCACTAAAATAACATGCTATTAATGTTCGACTGACTGGGAACTTTTACCTCGAGTTGAGCTTGCATGACCACGTGTATTTTTCGATGACTCAAGTTATTTATCAAATCCCTTTCCTGCAGATTTTTTACAGTGCAAAGAAATAAGACAATTTTTTTACCTCGGAGCTCTCTAAATTTCTTATCGTCGTTGTTAAAGAATGAGGTCTTTCTCTAGATTAAAAACGTCAAAGCGGACTAACAAATTTCTCAATTTTTGGACAATGTCGGCGGCGGAGTCACAAAAAGTGGCAGAAGACGGTCAAAACAAAGAAAATCTAAGCGACTCTTGGGGTATTGTGCCACAAATGCGGTTGGCTTTCTTTTATGGCTCTCGCAATAAAAAGTCATTCTTAATTTAAAGCGAAATCTTTTCAGTGTAATAAATCCTATCTTGACGAAGCTTTTTCGGTCAAGATGGCTGGATATTAGACTCATTCTTTTTTTTTTTTGCGTTTTTTTAGACCACGACTTCGTCTCGGTCCACAAAAAAGCTTCGTTAATGACATATTAGTATGAAAAAAGCTCGCTTCCTATGTGAGGGAAATACGTAAATCAAAGACTAGATAATGATTGAGATATCAGATTTTGTAACTGGTGAAGTAAGTGATATTTTTCTTTACTTTTTGGGTTGATTTTTAGGGTCTTACCCCAAATGCAGAAGGGAATGCAAATAAAATTGTTATTATTATTGTTGTTGATCGCACTTATAGCTACAGGAGCTTATCCAAATTATGGCATGGATTGACTGAGACTGTTACAATTCCACTTGGATGGGATTCTAGGTCCATAACAGGCTACTCGCCTCTCCCCCCATCAGGCATTTATTCCAGTTTCTATGACGCTTCATCGACACAAATTTATTCTGGCTTGGTGGAGAGAAAGGCATTGTGGGAGTAAAGTATTTCACCGTCCACACGTATCCGGATAAACATTCATCCGTTTTCAAATTTATCCGCGTCCACACATTGCCGTTTGTGAATCGTTTTTGGTGTCCACACGTAAACGAAAAAACGATTTGAAAACGATAACGTCGCCTACTAAGCATGCTCTTTAGAGCAAAACATGTGCCCGCAGTCTCACGTATCCTGAGCTTGAATCCTCTTGGCTGTGCTCTTGGGCTTCTCAAACTTATCAACAGTGTTCGCATGGCCAGAAATCCGTGACAGCATGGCTGCCACGCACGCGCATCGATGTCGAACTCGGTCTTAGGTTACAAACGAGTCGCAAAATCACTACAAGGAAAACAGTGCACTTTCAGCAAACCTTCTTTTAATAATTGCTTGAAATGAGACTCATTAGTACCGAAACTAGACCTTGTTTATTCGCCATGTTTTCATTAATGGTCGATCGGCCGAGAGCACGCGTTGGACTAGGTTTGAATTGTTACGTCATCGTTTTCAGAGCGTTTTCAAATTTATCCGGATAAGGCGTCCACACGGAGGCGCTTAGCCAGCGTTTTCAAATTTATCCGTTTTCGGTGTGTGAAAACGCCGTTTACGTGTGGGCGGAACCCGTAACCGTATAAATGTTTATCCGTTTTCAAATTTATCCGGATACGTGTGGACGGGGCCATAGAACACATCACATTGACCCAACCAGGTCCTAACCTCTGACCCCAGATCCGTTTGTGCGTAGTGGAAAATAACAAGTGCATTTAAAACAAATTGAATGTTAAAATAATGCAAGTAGATAATAGTGTCTGATATTAAAACCGAAATGAAATTAGATAAAGAGGGAAATTAATAATCAATATACTGTCAATATATAAAGTACGAAGTTCTCGCTGTTGTCCTGAAACGCATATGATTTAAGAAAAACTGTTACGGCACCTGACACTGATAATAAATGTCTTCTCTTTGTTTTCCACATGCAACTCTGTAATCTAAGTAACGCACTTTTCAACGGCAACAGCAAAAAAACCTGAACCTATTAACCTATACGTAGGTTATTACCAAGAGAAAATAGTGACAAAGTGACATTCATCAATCCTAGACGTCGCAGCCTTCAGTTGAGAAGCCTCGAAAAACACCCACCAGCCCTAATGAAAAACAATATCCAAGGCAATATCGTTGAAATGAAGTGTTTTTAAGCCCTAGATTAGCTGAAAGAGACACTGGCGTTTCTTGTAGTTCGTAAGCACTTTCCACGTGCAAGGCAAATCATACGCATGAATATTAATTTTGAACGCAATTTGAAATTCCAATTAGTTTTATAGCTTTGAAAGGCAGAAGCTAACATTGTTCAGAAAGAAAGGCACTGAAGGCTACAGATCGTGGTAAGTACTGTCTGTTTCAAAACAACCGACACAATACTACATATTCGCTACTGTTTCCTTAACATAAGTAAGTTCTTGGAGTTTAAAGCGTCCCACATCTCTCAATATAATCATGTCCTGCTTAACTGATGTGACTTGGCGGAAGGAAATTTAAATGTGTGCGATAGAAAATGAAAAACTAGGGGTTTATAAAGAACAGCCACAAACAGTGAGAACGGTTTGACTTTTTGGATTTTTCTTACAACTGCTAGGCTTGATCAATAGATAAATTGCTTTAAACCAGCAGTAGTAATTTTGATGATTATTTGAGTGAGTTACCCGGCTTATGGAGTATAAAAATCCGGCCTGCAACAGAGTTAATCGCCGTAAAACTTTGTCTATCGACCCTGTTTGCGCAGAAATCGAACTGCAATAGCGAAAAATGGAAATTGAGTGTCTACTACACGAGCTTTATTGAACCCGTTTTTTCTATCATTGGAAGGAAGATGATAAGAGATGTATAGCAATTTAACCAGCTTTTTAGCGTTCCATCTTCAGTTCACGTATTTCAGTTTCTAACTTTCACTACTGATGATGGATTTCAACATGCAAAAAAAAAATTCTCTTTGTTTTACAGGAAACGGCAAGCCTAAGTGTTCATCGCTTTTGAGCGGTAAGATTTTCATTCAAAGATCAATCACAGCACAAGTGGAGCTTCTTTCTGTAAAAGGTAAGCTATCTGTGTGTGATGAGTCACTCTTCATTTTCCAGTAATCGCGACCTGCATGACGAAAACAAATACTTAATAAGGAACACGGATGGGTTTTATGGGCGTTGTAGTTTAAATCGACCACATTTCTCCCTACGTGTTCCCTTTAAGGGTATTCATCCTGATGAGAACGAAACATTTTAGCAATGGGGTAAGATCATAAATGGTTCAGCTTGACATTGGTTAAGTTACAATAAAAAATTGATATATCTTCGGCGGATTTGCTAGTGAGTCATCATTCGAATAATTTCAGAAATTCTTCACGACTTCAGCTAATTTTCATATTCGAAAATTTGGCAAACAAATTTGACGCCAAACGCTTGTATCCCCCTAGGTCTTAAAATGCTCAAATTCCTTTAAAGAAAGTCCGATGCTTATTTTTTTTTGACGTTAGAATTATCTTACTTTCAGAAGTTGGAGAAGTTTCACTTTCGTAAGCTAATCCATAAAAACAATCCAAGCTGTGGGTTTAAAGCGACGAATTAATAGTAACGGAGGGAATATAACCTCTCCTGACCGAAGCTAATGAATGTTTACTATTCTCATTCTTGTGGTCTGTTATGGATGTACCTTTAAACAAGTCTTACGACTGATTTTTTAACAGATGGGAGGGGAGGGGAGGGGCTGTACCTGTGTTTCATCGGAGAATACAAGGACATTTTTACAATCGTAAATTGTTGAGGTAGGGGGTGGTGGGAGTTGGGGGGTGGGTAGGGGGTAAAGGTATTTCAGGACCCCTTAGATATCCCCCGCTGTTATTACCAATTTGTGACATCATGAAGGAAAATGAAAAGCCCCGTGGAAGATATCTGACGAAGACAATGGAAATAGCAAATGATGAAATTTAAATGGAGCAAATTAAAAAAAAAAAAAAAAATTCAGGACTGATGTTTGATACACGGGCCGTTTTCGCTAATGGTTACAATAAATTTGAAGCGAGTTGAAAGCGTCTCTCTATCACCTAAAGGAAGACGGCTATGGATCATACTCGGTTTCAAATTTCACGGCGTCATGAAATCCTGAAATTGCAGGGAGTTTAGCTGTATTTACGCTCAGTGTACTGTTTTTTTCAATTATATGGCACTTGTCACCTATATTTCAACTCGTGTTTTTTCCTAACGTATTTATTTCTAGTTTTATCCTTGGTAAATTAATGGGAAAATTTGGCGAAATTTTATTTTGTTGCGTGAAGATACTTGGCTATAATACGCTCCTCAAGTTTTGAACAATTTTAGAGAGCACAACGATGTTTTTAATGAAAAAATGCTTTGCTTTCTAATGAAAAAAATGCGGCAATTCTTGATTATCATATGGCGGCCGAGGAAGCCGCCATGAATGTAAAACAAAAATTATATTAAGATGAAGATGATGCTATTATGTGATATTTTGTCCTCTAACTTTGAATAATTCATTACCAGTGAGCACGCAGTAACTTTTCTTTTTCGAGGCAAAAAAGGAGAAACATATCTGCTGAAATTTATGGGAAAGAAAGTCGACATCTAGCAATTTTAATTCGACATTATGGTGAATAACTCTTTAGCGCTGAGCCACTGACTGTGTTTAAAGAGCACATTGTTTATTTATCAGTGTTCCACAAAATATGTTTTTCGTGTTGTCACGGGCGTAAGACAAAGAAAAAAATTCTGAGTTCCCATGAGGAATCGAACCTCAAACCCGCGCTCCGATGCTTAATTAAGTTCTTAGCTTCATGCAATCAATGGATTTACTTTCAGTTTTGTAGATGGCGTGACAAACAGAGCCACTATTTAAGTTGACGAATTCCCGATATTTTTCTCGTCGTTAAATTAACCTCTATTGGAAGGTTTCATTCCAATATCTTTGCTTTTACAAAATTAACTATGAAAAGTTTCTTGCTTTAAATGGCGAGTTCAAGTTCATTCAATGAATTTTCATTTTCCAAAAGGTCTCTACCTCGCATGACTCATGTGACAATGTAATGAACACCCTACTGAGCGGAACGAACAGCCAGGGTCTCTCTCTTGGATGAGACTGGTTCCGAGTTTGGGTTTCAGGATTACTCGTTGAAAAAAACAAAGCAAAACAAAAAAACCAAAAGCTAAAAAAATGTCTCTTTCGTTTACCACCTGTCTGCCATTCTGATCCAGGCTATAAGAAAAGAGAGCACTACAGTTAGAGAGTTTTGCCAAGGTCTACTATTGAAGCTTTCGAAATTTCTTGGACCACAAACGATCGCCAAATTAAACCCCACGGGCCGGTTATTTACACGAGGTCTCACCCAAACCACGGTTTTATGCAACCAGTAGGTCTCCAGCCTTAATCTGTTAGGTTTCAGACCTCTAGACAATTTTCACAAAAATAAATGTTTGGATAAAAGGTCCAGCTAAATCGAGGTTGTTTATGGCGCGGTTTTGTTAAACAAAGGCTAACCTCTGTCTAAATAGTCGGCCCTAAAAGTTTGAGGACTACAAATAATTCTTTTGTATGAAGGAAAAAATAAATAAAAAATAACGGAAAACTCTCTGTGTTTCTTTAAAGTAAACCTCTACAATCAGTCAATGCAATATAAATTTTTGACACTGAAAAAAAAAATAATTGAAAAAACCAATATTAATAAATAAATGGAGAAATTGGAGAAACTGAATGAATTTCACATTCGCTATAAAGGTCTGGTGCTATGATAGAGTCTGTTACCATTTCAAATATAACTGAAGCGAGTCATGTTTTTTTTTTATCTAAAATGAATTACTAAACAAGTGATTACATAAAAAATGAAATTCTGTGCCTTTTTTCAGTGAAATTCCAAAATCAGCCAATTCACTACCAAATTAATTCAAAACAATGCTAACAAACAAATGAACAGAGAAATCGGAGAAAGAAAAAAAAAAGGAAGAAAGTATTTTCAATCGTACAGGGGTTGATTTTTAGTGTTAAGTATGAATGAATGTCACATTAGCTATGAAGGTCACACTGTGATGGGTTGGCACTTTCTTAGAGACTATTTACATTTCAAATTTGAAAGGAGTCGAGTAAAAGCTTAAATGATCTGATGATCTGGAATGAAAATTGGTGATAAACGGAAATTACAAAGTAACAAAAGTGGGGTTTCTAAGTTTCATCAGTAACAGGAGATTCTGAAGCATTTGAATTTTGCTGGAGTGTACTTTGGGAGTTGACTGTAATGATATATCTTAAGCACTTCAAAATTGTTCATAGAATGTCTTGTTTAAAATAATTGTCTAACATAAATCCTATTGCTGACGTAGATTGAAAGCCTCGCACCAGAAGTCTCTTTGGTGACGTCTTGAAGGATTCCTGTTCCTTTTTCATGGTCTCTGGAGGGTCTCACTTGGAAACAGTTGGAATACTAATTTGAAGCCACGGATACTTGAGGTACTTTCATTTTAATATCCATAACATGACTTTTCTTTGCAACTGTTTGTAATGAATGGAGCAGTTAATTGGAAAATATAGGAAAACATGTTTGATACGAATCATCTGGAATTTCCTTTCCAGAATTAATGAGAAACTAAGAAAGTTGAGTGATAAGAGCACTTTTCGATTGAGTGTTGTTAAATCAAAACCTAAGTGATCCTAACAGCCAATCAGAAGAAAGAAAAATACCCTTTAAGAGCCAATGAGAACTCAAAGAGTATTCATTTAAAAGCATTTCCTTCACAGCCTCTTATCATTTACGTGTAAGGAAGAACTATTGACGAGCTAAGCCGTCAGCAGCATTTTTGCACGCTGTAATTTTTTTTTAATTACTCGCTTTTTATGTATAATGTTTCCTTCACTTCTTTCAAACTTACAGCAAAGAAGACCACAATGGACAACATAGAAGGAGTTTTAAACACAGTACAAGTGGTCTTGATAGGTATGACGATCGCCAATTTCCTTCTAAACACTGGTTGTTTTTTACCAGCCATAGAGTTGTGTGAGGAATGTTTGATTTTACTAAACAGTCAAGCGCTTGATAAGGATGGTCCAATTACCGACTCAATTCTCGTTAAGAGTGTCTACACCATAATGGCCAAAGCAAGAGAGAAATACTTCAGGGAACTCCTTATCCTGCACCAGGACTCTGATGACACCTTCCCACAGGGTAGGTTTAATTTATTACTGGCAAATACACTTCAATTTCAAAAGAAGTTTGTGGAGGCCAGAGAATTTTATAAGGGAGCAATAAAAATCATGGAAACGAATGGCGACAAACAAGGAAAAGCAATTTGTTACAAAAACTTGGCAACATTACTTTATTCCTTTGAAGAATATGACAAATGCAAAAAGTATCTGGAGAAGGCCCTTGCGATTAGAAAGGAAATTGGTGACAGAGTTAGAGAAGCAGTGGATTACAGAGAACTAGGAGGACTGTCAAAAAAACTTGGTAACCATGACCAGGCACAAAAATATTACAAGAAAGCACTTGCCATCACATCGGAAATTGGTGACAGAGAAGGAGAAGCAATGGTTTACAGAAACCTTGGAACAGTGTTTCAATCGCTTGGTAATTATAACAAGGCACAAGAATATTACGAGAAAGCACTTGCTATCACATTGGAAATTGGTGACAGAGAAGGAGAAGCAACGGTTCACGGAGACCTAGGAATAGCGTTACGATCGCTTGGTAATTATAACAAGGCACAAGAACATTACGAGAAAGCACTTGCTATTACATTGGAAATTGGTGACAGAGAAGGAAAAGCAGCGGCTTACGGAAACCTAGGAACCGTGTTTCAAACGCTTGGTAATTATAACAAGGCACAAGAACATTACGAGAAAGCACTTGCTATCACATTGGAAATTGGTGACAGAGAAGGAGAAGCAATGGTTCACGGAGGCCTAGGAATAGCGTTACAATCGCTTGGTAATTATAACAAGGCACAAGAACATTACGAGAAAGCACTTGCTATCACATTGGAAATTGGTGACAGAGAAGGAGAAGAAGCGGCTTACGGAAGCCTAGGAACCGTGTTTCAAACGCTTGGTAATTATAACAAGGCACAAGAACATTACGAGAAAGCACTTGCTATCACATTGGAAATTGGTGACAGAAAAGGAGAAGCAGCGGCTTACGGAAACCTGGGAACCGTGTTTCAAACGCTTGGTAATTATAACAAGGCACAAGAACATTACGAGAAAGCACTTGCTATCACATTGGAAATTGGTGACAGAAAAGGAGAAGCAGCGGCTTACGGAAACCTAGGAACCGTGTTTCAAACGCTTGGTAATTATAACAAGGCACAAGAATATTACAAGAAAGCACTTGCTTTCACATTGGAAATTGGTTACAGAAAAGGAGAAGCAACGGTTTACGGAAACCATGGAAAAGTGTTTCAATCGCTTGGTAATTATAACAAGGCACAAGAATATTACGAGAAAGCACTTGCTATCACATTGGAAATTGGTGACAGAAAAGGAGAAGCAACGGTTTACGGAGACCTAGGAACAGTGTTTCAATCGCTTGGTAATTATAACAAGGCACAAGAATATTACAAGAAAGCACTTGCTATTACATTGGAAATTAGTGACAGAAAAGGAGAAGCAACGACTTACGGAAACCTAGGAACAGTGTTTCAATCGCTTGGTAATTATAACAAGGCACAAGAATATTGCAAGAAAGCACTTGCTATCAAATTGGAAATTGGTGACAGAAAAGGAGAAGCAACGACTTACAGAAACCTAGGAGCATTCTTCAAATCGCTTGATAATTATAACAAGGCACAAGAATATTACAACAAAGCACTTGCTATCGCATTGGAAATTGGTGACATGAAAGAAGAAGCAAACGTTTACGGAGACATCGGGAACCTGTTTACGTTACTAGGTGAACATAACAAGGCACAAGAATATTACAAGAAAGCATTGGCCATTAGAATGGAAATTGGTGACAGAAAAGGAGAAGCAGCGGATTACGAAGACCTAGGAACAGTGTTCCAATCGATTAATAATTATGACCAGGCGAAAAAATATTACAAGAGAGCACTTGCTATCACATTGGAAATTGGTGACAGAAAAGGTGAAGCAGCGAATTACGGAAACCTAGGAACAGTGTTTCAATCGCTTGGCAATTATGACGAGGCACATCAATATTACAAGAAAGCACTGGTCATCACAATGGAAATTGGTGACAGAAAAGGAGAAGCAGCGGTTTACCGAAATTTAGGAAGCGTGTTCCGAATGCTTGGTAATTCTGCCCAGGCGCAAGAATATCAGGAGAAAGCACTGGCCATCAGAAAGGAAATTGGTGACAGAAAAGGAGAAGCAGCGGATTGCGGAACCCTTGGAACCATGTTTCAATCGATTGGAAATTATGACGAGGCACAAGAATATTACGAGAAAGCTCTGGCCATCAGTCTAGAAATTGGTGACAGAAAAGGAGAAGCAGCGGTCTACAGAAATTTAGGAACAGTTTTTCAATCGCTTGGTAATTATGCCCATGCGCAAGAATTTCACGAGAAAGCACTTGCCATCACACTGAAGATTGGTGACAGAAAAGGAGAAGCAGCGGTTTACCGAAATTTAGGAAGCGTGTTCCGAATGCTTGGTAATTCTGCCCAGGCGCAAGAATATCACGAGAAAGCAATTACCATCAGAAAGGAAATTGGTGACAGAGAAGGAGAAGCGTCGGATTACGGAAACCTAGGAGCATTCTTTCAATCGATTGGAAATTATGACGAGGCACAAGAATATTACGAGAAAGCACTGGCCATCAGTCTAGAAATTGGTGACAGAAAAGGAGAAGCAGCGGATTACGGAAACCTAGGAACAGTGTTTCAATCGCTTGGTAATTATAGCAAGTCACAAGAATATTACGAGAGAGCACTTGCTATCATACTGGAAATTGGTGACAGAAAAGGAGAAGCAGCGGTCTACGGAAATTTAGGAACAGTGTGTCAATCGCTAGGTAATTATGCCCAGGCGCAAGAATATCACGAGAAAGCACTTGCCATCACACTGGAGATTGGTGACAGAAAAGGAGAAGCAGGGAATTACGGAAATTTAGGAACAGTGTTTCAATCTCTTAGTAATTATGCCGAGGCGCAAGAATATCACAAGAAAGCACTTGCTATAAGACTGCAAATTGGTGACAGAAAAGGACAATCAGCGGAATACGGAAACCTAGGAACAGTGTTCCGAGTGCTTGGAAATTATGACGAGGCACAAGAATATTATGAGAAAGCACTGGCCATCAGTCTGGAAATTAGAGACAGAGAAGGAGAAGCAGTGAATTACGGAAATTTAGGAACAGTATTTCAATCGTTAGGTAATTATGCCCAGGCGCAAGAATATCACGAGAAAGCACTTGCCATCACACTGGAGATTGGTGATAGAAAAGGAGAAGCAGTGAATTACGGAAATTCAGGTAGAGTTTTTCAATCGCTTGGTTATTATGACCAGGCGCAAGAATATCACGAGAAAGCACTTGCCATCACAATGGAAATTGGTGATAGAAGAGGAGAATCAGCGGATTACGGAAACCTAGGAGCAGTCTTCCAATCGCTTGGTAATTATGACAAGGCACAAGAATATTACAAGAAAGCACTGGTCATCAAACTGGAAATTGGTGACAGAAAAGGAGAAGCAGTGGTTTCCGGAAACCTAGGAACCGTGTTCCAATCGATTGGTAATTATGACGAGGCGCAAGAATATCACGAGAAAGCACTGGCTATCAATCTGAAAATTGGTGACCGAAAAGGAGAGGCAGAGGCTTATGGAAACCTAGGAACAGTGTTCCAATTGCTTGGTAATTGTGCCCAAGCACAAGAATATTACGAGAGAGCACTTGCTATCAGACTGGAAATTGGTGACAGAAAAGGAGAAGCAACAGATTACGGAAACCTAGGAACAGTGTTTCAATCGCTTGGTAATTATAACAAGGCACAAGAATGTTACAAGAAAGCACTTTCTATCGCATTGGAAATTGGTGACAGAAAAGGAGAAGCAACGATTCACGGACAACTAGGAACAGTGTTTCAATCGCTTGATAATTATAACAAGGCACAAGAGTATTACAACAAAGCACTTGCCATCACATTGGAAATTGGTGACAGAAAAGGAGAAGCAGCGGATTATGGAAACCTAGGAACAGTGTTTCAATCGCTTGGTAATTATGCTAAGGCACAAGAATATTACGAGAAAGCACTGGCCATAAGAATGGAAATTGGTGACAGAAAAGGAGAAGCAACGGACTACGGAAATCTAGGAACAGTGTTTCAATCGCTTGATAATTATAACAAGGCACAAGAGTATTACAACAAAGCACTTGCTATCACATTGGAAATTGGTGACAGAAAAGGAGAAGCAACAGTTTACGGGAATCTAGGAACAGTCTTTCAATCGCTTGGTAATTATAACAAGGCACAAGAATATTGCGAGAGAGCACTTGCTATCAGACTGGAAATTGGTGACAGAAAAGGAGAAGCAACGGACTACGGAAATCTAGGAACAGTGTTCCAATCGATTGGTAATTATGCCCAGGCGCAAGAATATCACGAGAAAGCACTTGCTATCAGACTGGAAATTGGTGACAGAAAAGGAGAAGCAGCGGATTACGGAAATCTAGGAACAGTGTTTAAATCGATTGGTAATTACGCCCAGGCACAAGAATATCACGAGAAAGCACTTGCCATCAGACTAGAAATTGGTGACAGAAAAGGAGAAGCAGCGGATTACGGAAATCTAGGAACAGTGTTTCAATCGCTTGGTTATTATAACAAGGCACAAGAATATTACCAGAAAGCACTTTCTATCAGACTGGAAATTGGTGACAAAAAAGGGGAGGCAAGGGATTACGGAAACATCGGGACCCTGTTTTCGTTACTAGGTGAACATGACAAGGCTCAAAAAGATTTGGAGAAAGCACTACGGATTCAAAAGAAACTTTGCGACAGAAGTGGAGAAGCAAGGTGTTATGGAAACTTGGCAGCTTTGTTTCTGTCACTCAGAAAATACCCTATGGCAGATAAATATCTACAGCAATCACTGGCAATAGCAAAGAAAATTGGCGATAAACGTGTAGAAGCAGCAGTTTACGGTCATCTGGGGATAATTTCTTGTCATCTTCAGAATTATGAAAAGGCTCAAGAACATCACGAGAAAGCCCTTGCAATCTGTAAGGAAATTGGCGACAGAGATGGAGAAGTAGTCGCATACAAAAATTTGGGGGCATGTTTCCACTCGCTTGACATATATAACGTGGCCGAAAAAAACATCAATAGGGCCTTATTAATAAGCAAGAATATTGGACACAACTTGAACGAATTTAGCTGCCTTCGTCAACTAACGCTGTTGAAGCTATCACAATTTAATCTCAAAGAGGCCATGTCATATCTTTTTCAGTGTATTGGAAAATTCGACACGTTGCGAGGTTTCCTTAAAGATGACGATCAGTTTAAGACTTCTCTTTTAGAGGAGCACGGCAATTTCCCATACAAGTTGCTCAGCTACTTGCTTTCTTCTACCGGCGAGCCAAGAGATGCTCTTTATGTTGAGGAGCTGAGACGGGCAAGAGGCCTCGCCGACTTCATGGCAGCCAAGTACTCTGTTCAAGAGCTGATCTCAGGAAATCCACAGTCATGGCATGGCATTCAAAATATCATCCCAAAAGAAACGGACTGTACATGTCTTTATATTTCAGTTGAAAAAGAACATGCACGGTACTGGATTCTCGAAGCATCAGGAGCCATTCATTTCTCACGAAAGAAAGTGAGTCTGGAGAAACACGTGGTGACCCAATTAGTTCCTGATTTGGACGAGTTTTTCAAAGAGAGCTTCCGCAGCCTTGACATTTTATCTCAACAGAATTGCGAAGATCGATCATTAGATGACAACGAATCGATGCCACCTCACAAGCCCATGCGTGACTATGATCCAAAAGATTTCAAAACGAATCTTCAGTCGTGTTACGAGTTAATCATCGCTCCCGTGGCCGATTTACTGAAAGAGCCCGAGATTTTAATTGTCCCTGAATCCTGTATGTACCAAGTCCCATTTGCTGCCATTAGTGATGAAGGAGGACTCTATTTAGTGGACACTTTCAGGATCCGCGTCGTTCCCTCTCTGACGACTCTAAAGCTGATTCAGGACAGTTCCCCAGACTATCACAGTCAGAGAGGAGCACTGATAGTGGGTGATCCTGAGGTTGGTGAGGTGCTTTTGAAAGGAAAACGCATGATCCCAGAATCATTGCCATGCGCACGAAAGGAAGCAGAAATGATTGGACGACTTCTTGGAGTGACACCTTTGACTGGAGACCGTGCAACAAAGGAGGCAGTTCTTGATGCAATAAATTCAGTAAGTCTGATTCACTTTGCTGCCCATGGTGATCCCGAAAGAGGAGAGATTGTTCTCTCTCCTAATTGCCCCACCAATTTTATTCCACAAGACGAAAACTTCCTTTTGACGATGGCGGACATTTCAAAAGTTCGGCTGCGAGCTAAAATGGTGGTACTCAGCTGTTGTCACAGTGCTCGTGGGCAGATTAAAGCCGAGGGAATTATTGGAATCGCTCGAGCGTTCTTAGGATCCGGTGCTCGTTCAGTGTTGGCGGCACGGTGGGCCATAGAAGAAACAGCCACGGAGGAATTCATGAGATGTTTCTACCAAAACTTGTTCCGCGGTAAAAGTGCAAGTGAATCCCTTCACGAGGCCAGGAAATGGTTGAGAAAGAACGGCTTCGAAAAAGTTTCTCAGTGGGCTCCCTTCATGCTTATTGGCGATAACGTGACATTTGATTTTGAAAATTGGTCCGGGTCTAAAACATCCAAACAGCCATGAGAGAAGCGAATCCTTTTAAATGGATCAAGTAAACTTTGCAACGGTCAATTGCCTTCCTGAAGGAAAAAAACGCAATCTGTGAAGGACAGAAAACCTTTTCTGAGAGTGCTTATTAGCTATCTATGTGTAATAATCTGGAACATGAAGACAGTTCATAATTCAGTGTTTATGAACCAGCGGTTGAGCTGTTAACCCTTTCCACCCTAACATCAGTATTCATATTCTCCATACTGTTCTCTATACATTTCCTAGGGTGCTGACAAGGAGAATTCGTCTAAATAATCAAGAATTTCTTTAGTTGGTGATCATTTCCTTTATTCTCATGACCTCAATGAGTAATTCAGTGGTGATATTGTAAGGAGAAATAAGATGTTAGTCACTCTTAGGCTTTAAAGGGTTAACAATTTCAGAAGCCTTTCTGTTGGAGAAACATTAACTCATTAGTCAAAACAAACAAAGGTTACGCAAGTATTTTTTGAGCGCGATAATTCAGTCAAGCCAAACAAAGTTTAAGATTCTTTTCCGCAAGTGATTAGTTACTCAAACGAGGCAAATTTTAAGACTTTTGTCTAAGAAGCCCTCCATTACATGTAAAGTCTATAACACAAAAAGTATTCCTGAAGGTTGAAATCACCTGAAAATTCTTGCCAGTCGGAAACTGTCTGTTGCCCTATATATATAATGAAGAGGCATTTTCTTAGTGTAGGACATAGTTATGAAATGTTTTGACAGTTCTTTCTGCAAGGAAATAAGTTCTAAAACCCCAGTAAGGTCAACATAGTGCTCCTCATGTCTCTTGCTTTAATACATTGTAATGCTCATACTTTTTATTTGAAATTGATTGCCTCAATGATCAGTTTTTTTTTTAAGGGCTAAATTTTTCAGCGATTCGACGAACATTTGTCTCAGAAAAGTTCTTGAGACTATCCTAGTCAAAGGAGAGTTTATTTTATCTTAAATGTTCTATTGTTGATACCTGTTTTTTCAATGATTCGACGAATATTTGTCTTAGAAAAAATTAGTGAGACTATTCTAATCAAATAACAAGTTTATATTATCTTAAATGTTTTATTGCTGATTCCTGTTTGTTTAACAGATACTGACATTTACTCCAAGCGAAATTTTCAAATAAAAATTATTCGTAATTAATCGCACGAATTCTTGTTGGTCAGACAGTTTTTCTCACAAGAAATAATCCAAGAAGAAGAAAGTATCAAATCATAGCGAATCATCTTGTTAGGACCAAACAGTTTTCAACTGAGAGTCACCGAAAATCCAAAACCAAAGTTATAACAACTACAAATCAGAACCAAGGTTAGCATCTTCATGAACCAATAAGAACTCAAAGTTAAACGAGAAAACCTGCTTGAAGTGCGGGAAAATGTGGGGGGGAACAAGTCGTGATTGGTTTTAGTTTTGCAGTCGATTGGTTGAGGAAGTACCGTGATTTTTCTAGAACAATCTTAGAGCGAAGTAAATGAAAAACGTAAGCTACCAGGATCACTTTCGATACTCATTTAAGAACTGCTCTATTTCTTCAATTGAAGAATGGCTAATTTTGAAAGTAATATCAACTAGCGTAGCAGGTGCTAGTGGAAGCGGTCAACTCCTCCCATTACGTTCGGTCTTGTCGGCTTAATTTCGATGTCCTGCTATTGTTATAGCTTACTCATATATGGAGAAGATTCACCTTTTACTTTATTGTTATTTGAAGTTTTCCTCTTGTTAAAATATTTCATAAGGAAAACTTTGATTTAACAATCTGCCACCACATTCTGTTCAAATCGAGTTGCTTCAGGTGAAAGGGGGTAAGTTTTTAAAGAAACTGTGGTACTGTGTCGGCAGGAAACCACCCCTTCGAAACATCAGCTTTACAAACTCTCTAAGGTGGCTAATTTACATCATCAACACAGTTGATAAAACCAAAGTATCTTGCTTCAGGAGAGCTAGATTGAGAGAGAAAGTGACTGGCGTCAAAGATTGAAGTGCATAATTATTTAGTGAACTTGGCTAAATCAGTTTGTTGTAGGGAATATTCGCGCTATTAGCAGTTCTTTTCTATTCTACACACTAAGTCAGCTGGAATTGAAACGAGAACGATGACAATTCTTTTTCGTGTAGAGGGCATTTTAGTTAAGACATACTCAAGCTTCGGTCCCGAATTAAGGCTTCCATAGATATCAGTTCTCCTATGATCCATCGACGGCATCTGTTGCCGAACCTTGTTTAAGTATCCAAGGTCAATTTCTGCTGCACACACGTCATTTCCTTCATGACACTGAGCAATAACACAGCCCCAAGGATCTACAACCTGCAGTGACATGAACAAGGACAATACTCAGTACACGAGGCCTGCTAAGAAATGATTTTGTCAGGGTTAGCGTCTTTCATATTATCAGGTTCCCTCATAGTTAGCTGGTACCCATTTATACCGTCCTGGGTAAGAAGAGTCACTGTAAGAGCAGGGTGCCTTGCCTCATAATACAACATGGCAATCCAGCCAGGACTTGGAACTACACTTTTCTCACTTTAGTTTAGTGCTGTTACAGCAGACCAACATGACTTTCTAAAGCAACCATTAAAAGGTATGTGGCTGGAACTAATCTAATCCCCATAGATGGAATACCACTCCATTGCAAACCCCCTCCCCCCCTCTGCCCAGAATTTTATCAAGCTACCCTGACAGTTTGGCATTAGCTATCTATACTCCAAGATGAAGTGAAGCACTGTGAGAGTAAAGTACTTTTAAAGACCACCAATAAACAGATGACCATGATATGTTTTGTTCCATGTTTTCCTTGATTAAAATGTTTTCAAGCCCATCTGACCTCCAGTTTTGTCTTCTTTGTCAAAGAGAAACAAAAATCAAGCTTGTTTGAGAAAGTTAAAAGGAATGAAAATCTGAACTTAACCACACTAACTGTTAATTATGCAAAGGATACAATGGCCAAGCCAACATTCCCCACAAGGGTAGGCACAGGTGGCACTATCTGGTTACCAGGGATACAGGTGTCACTCTCCTTAAGCCTGGGTCCATCTTTCGCATCAATATCAAACGAATGTATTTTCCGATACACTGCGACTATGGAGCCACTATCATTAACAATGACATGTGAGTTACGCAGCCTCTTATCATCAAGTGGGCCCTACGATTTAAAAGTGCATTGACTAAGGGAAAAAATTACTGGCGCTGCTGAAATTATTACACTTAATTAGTTACCTAAGTTCCCAGATGAAAGCAAAAATATTTCCTTCCCTTGCCGCATGAGAAAATGTTTAACCCATGCAGTGAAAGGTATACAAAATTCTTACTAACGTAGTTTGAGGTCCATACCGTAAGTTACGGACCAAGTTTTTTCTTCTATAACTAATTGTACGGACCAAGAAAACAAGGTTTATACAATATTCATGATATCTCTGGGTTTAAACAAAGGCTAAAGATTTCACTACAAATGAGGTTTTGAATTTAACAAGCTGTACACTGAAACTGACTAATTATAGGACATGTAATAAATGAGAGATATAATAAATCACATTCAAACTGAGAATAGCACCTGTCAGCAGGTCGGTGGCTACTGTTAAGTTATCAAAGGAGACTTCAATAGAGGGTTGGAAATAATCTGGAATTGCCTTTTGGTTTTGTTTTACTTCCCTTTAAGGCTGGTGTGAAAAATTGTCCCCTTTTTTTGATCAAACAGATGCAAAAGTAAAACTACTTGTAACTGAGCCACTCAAGTTTTAAACCCTTTAATTTGCTTGCCAGCTATTCCGCTGATATCATGACGGAATTCAGATAAAAGCATAGTTTAATTTTATAATATATCTATCTAAGTTTTTCGTCAAGTTGAAGTCACCCCACGTTTTATTCCGAGACTATATAAAATGCCTTTTTTTTCTATTTCAGTATTGTATTCTTCATTTTTTTTATAAGAAAAAGGCCAAGAAACAAATGAAAGGCAAATAAATAATTGTTTCCACAAACTTCTAGTCGCACAGTAATGCGTGAAAACTGTCAATGGTATTTGAATGAAGCTTTGAGCTTTCTGACGTTTTCGCGGAAAAATTCAAACATCTAGTTTTAACAGTCTAAAAAAAAGTAATAAATATGGAAGACGAATTCATTCCCTGTAAACAAACTTGAATTAATGGCCTATTTCTCAGATGTAAGACAATTGTTACGAAACCGGCGGTTTGACATCGTATCTCAAAATTCGAATGAAGATGGCAGAAAACACACACACACACGCACACACGCACAGGCATTTATTCCAGTTTCTATGACGCTTCATCAATACAGATTTATACTCCTGGGTGGAGAGAGGCATTGTGGGAGTAAAGTATTTCACCTAAGAACATATCACATTGACCCAGCCAGGTCCTAACCCCAGACCCCTCGATCAGTTTGTGCGTATTGGCATATAACAAGTGTTAATATCGGAAAGTTAGAACGAAAATGACTGCGAAAATGACAGTCGAAATGATTTTGTGCAAGAAACAGATGATCACATTTTATTGGCTGTCTGATGAGTGACGTAGGACGTATGCCGGGGAAAACTCAAAGAAGAGACAGAGGAAGATAACACTGTTTAGAAAGAAAGACACTGAAGGCTACAGATCGTGGTAAGTACTGTCTGTTTTAAAACAACCAACCCAATACTATATATTCGCTACTGTTGCCTTAACATAAGTAAGTCCTTGGAGTTTAAAGCTTCCCACTTCTCTCAGTCATGACCTGCTTAATTGGTGTGACTTGGAAGAAGGAGATTTCAATGTCTGCGATAGAAAATGAAAAATTAGAGGTTTATAAAGAACAGCCAAAAACAGCGAGAACGGTTTGACTTTCTGGATTTCCATATACAACTGCTAAGCTCGATCAATAAATAAATTGCTTTAAACCAGCAGTAGTAATTTTGATGATTATTTGAATGAGTACCCGGCCTATGGAGTATAAAAATAAGGCCTCCGACAGAGTCAATCGCCGTAATACTTTGTACTATCGACCCTGCTTGCGCAGAAATCAAACCGCAATAACGAAAAAAATTGAGTGTCTAGAACATGAGTTTTATTGAACCCATTTTTTTATATTATTGGAAGGAAGATGAGAAGAGATGTATAGCAATTTACCCAGCTTTTTAGTGCTCCATCTTCGAGTCAAGTATTTCAGTTTCTAACTTTCACTGCTTATGGTGGATTTCAACATGCAAATAAAACGAAATTCTCTTTGTTTTACAGAAAACGACAGGCCAAAGTGTTCATCATTTTTGAGCGGTTAGATTTTCATCCAAAGATCAATCACAGCACAATTGGAGCTTCTTCCTGTAAAAGGTAAGCTATATGTGTGTAATGAGTCACTCTTTTCATTTTCCAGTGGGCACGACCTGCACGACAAAGACAAATACTTAATAAGGAACACGGCCGGGTTTTATGGGCGTTGTTGTTTAAACCGACCACATTTCTCCCTACGTGTTCTCTTATTAGGGTATTCATCCTGATGAGAACGAAACATTGTAACTATCAGGTAAAATCATGAATGATTCAGTTTGACATTGGTTAAGTAACAACCAAAAATTGATATATCTTTGGCGGATATGCAATTTGAAATTACTGCATTGAGTCATCATTCGAATAATTTCAGAAAATCTTAACGACTAAAGCTAATTTTCATATTCGAAAATTTAGCAAACAAATTTGACGCCAAACGCATGTAAACGCCTTGGGAGGACCCAAAGTCTTAAAATTCTCAAATTCCTTTAAAGAAAGTCTGATGCTTAATTTTTTTGACGTTAGAAATATCTTACTTTTCAGAAATTGGAGAAGTTTCACTTTCGGAAGCTAATCCATAAAAACAATCCAAGCTGTGGGTTTAAAGCGACGAATTAATAGTAACGGAGGGAATATAACCTCTCCTGACCGAAGCTAATGAATCTTTACTATTCTCATTCTTGTGGTCTGTTATGGATGTGCCTTTAAACAAGTTTTACGACTGATTTTTCCAACAGATGGGAGGGGAGGGGAGGGGTTGTACCGGTGTTTTATTGGAGTAAGCCGGGAAATTTTTATCATCGTAAATTGTTGAGGTAGGGGGTGGTGGTAGAGGGGGGGAAGGAGTAAAGGTACTTTAGGCCCCCTTGGATATCCCAAACTGTTGTCGCCAATTTGTGACGACACGAAGGAAAATGAAAAGCCTCGTGGAAGATATCTGACGAAGACAATGGAAATAGCAAATGATGATATTTAAATGTATCAAATTTTAGAAAAACAACATCCAGAACTGATGTTTGATACACGGACCGTTTAACTAATGGTTCACTTAATTTGAAACGAGTTGAAAAGCGTCTCTCTATCACCTAGAAGAAGACGGCGATGGATCATAATCGGTTTCAAATCTCATAGCGTCATGAAATCCAGAAATCGCCAGGAGTTTAGCTGTACTTACGCTCAGTGTACTGTATTTTTCAGTTGTATGGCAATTGTCACTTATATTTCAACTCGTGTTTTGTCCTAACGTATGTATTTCTAATTTTATTCTCGGTAAATTAACGGGAAGATTTTGGCGAAATTTTATAATTATTTTGTTCCGTGAAGATACTTGACTTTAACACGCTCCTCAAGTTTTGAACAATTTTAGAGAGTACAACGAGGTTTTAAATGAAAAAATGCTTTGCTTTCTAATGAAAAAAATGCGGCAATTCTTGATTATCATATGGCGGCCGAGGAAGCCGCCATGAATGTAAAACAAATATTATATTAAGATGAAGATGATGCTATTGTGTAATATTTTGTCCTCTAACTTTGAATAATTCATTACCAGTGAGCAGGCAGTAACTTTTCTTTTTCGAGACAAAAAAGGAGAAATATATTTTCTGCAATTTATGGGAAATAAAGTCGACATCTAGCAATTTTAATTCGACATTATGGTGAATAACTCTTTAGCGCTGAGCCACTGACTGTTTAAAGAGCGCATTGTTTATTTATCAGTGTTCCACAAAATATGTTTATCGTCTTGTCACGAGCGTCAGACAAAGAAAAAAATTCTGAGTTCCCATGAGGAATCGAACCTCAAACCCGCGCTCCGATGCTTAATTAAGTTCTTAGCTTCATGCAATCAATGGATTTACTTTCAGTTTTGTAGATGGCGTGACAAACAGAGCCACTATTTATGCTGACGAATTCCCGATTTTTTTTTCGCCGTTAAATTAACCTCTATTGGAAGGTTTCATTCCAATATCTTTGCTTTTACAAAATTAAATATGAAAAGTTTCTTGCTTTAAATGGCGAGTTCAAGTCCATTCAATGAATTTTCATTTTCCAAAAGGTCCCTAACTCGCATGACTCATGTGACATTGTAATGAACACCCTACTGAGTGGAACGAACAGCCGAAGTCTTTCTATTGGATGAGACTGGTTCCAAGTTTGGGTTTCTAATCAACGATGGTGAGGATTGCTCGTTGAAAAAAAATAACAAAACAAAATGAAAAACAAGAAACAAAAACGAAAAAAGTGTCTCTTTCGTTTACCAGCTGTCTTGGACCACAAAGGATCGCCAAATTAAACCCCACTGGCCGGTTATTAACACGAGGTCTAACCCAAACCACGGTTTTATGTAATCAGTAGGCCTCCAGCTTTAATCTGTTTTGTTTCAAACCTCTTGACACTTTTCACAAAAACAAATGTTTGGATAAAGGTCCTGCTAAATCGAGGATTATTTATGACACAGTTTTGTTAAACAAAGGCTAAACTCTGTTTAAATAGTCGGTCCTAAAAGTTTCAGGACTGCAAATGATTCTTTTGTATAAATGAAAAAAATGAATAAAAAATAACGGAAAACTCTCTGTGTTTCTTTAGAGTAAACCTCTACAATCAGTCAATGCAATAGAAACTTTTAGCACTAAAAACAAATAATTGAAAAAAACAAAATAAATAAATAGAGAAATTAGAGAAACTGAATGAATTTCACATTCGCTATAAAGGTCTGGTGCTATGATAGAGTCTGTTAACATTTCAAATATAAAAGCGAGTCATGTTTTGTTGATCTAAAATGAATTACTAAACAAGTGATTACATAAAAAATGAAATTCTGTGCCTTTTTTTAGTGAAGTTCCAAAATCAGCCAATTCACTACAAACTTAATTTAAAAAAATGTTAACAAACGAATGAACAGAGAAATCGGAGAAAGAAAAAAAAAATAAGGAAGAAATTATTTTCAACCGTACAAGGGTTGATTTTTAGTGTTAAGTACGAATGAATGTCACATTGGCTGTAAAGGTCGCACTGTGATGGCTTCGCACTTTTTTAGAGACTATTTACGTTTTAAATTTGAAAGCGAGTCATGCTTTGAAGATCTGGAGTGAATTACACAGTAACAAAAGTTGGGTTGGCAAGTTTCGTTTTAATATCCATAACGTGATTTTTCTTTGCAACTGGTTGTGATGACTAATAAAACAACTAATTGGAAAAATATAGGAAAACATGTTTGTTATGAATCATTCGGAATTTCCTTTCCAAAATTAATGAGAAACTAAGTAAGTTCAGTAATAAGAGCACTTTTCGATTGAGTGTTGTGCTTGAGATCAAAACCAAAGTAATCTTAACAGCCAATCAGAAGAGAGAAAAATACCCTTTAAGAGCCAATGAGAACTCAAAGAGCATTCACTTAAAAGCATTTCCTTCAGAGCCTCTCATCATTTACGTGTAAGGAAGAACTACTGACGAGCTAAGCCATCAGCAGCGTTTTGCACGCTGAAAATTTTTTTTGAATTACTCGCTTCTTATGTATCATGTTTCCTTCACTTCTTTTAAACTTACAGCAAAGAAGACCACAATGGACAACATAGAAGGAGTTTTAAACACAGTACAAGTGGTCTTGATAGGTATGACGATCGCCAATTTCCTTCAAAACACTGGTCGTCTTTCACCAGCCATAAAGTTGTGTGAGGAATGCTTGATTTTACTAAACAGTCAGGCGCTCGATAAGGATGGTCCAATTACCGACTCAATTCTCGTTAAGAGTATCTACACCATAATGGCCAAAGCAAAAGAAAAATGCGTCAGGGAACTCCTTCTCCTGCACCAGGACTCTGATGACACCTTCCTACAGGGAAGGTTGAATATGTTACTGGCAAATACACTTCAAGATCAAACGAAGTTTGCGGAGGCCAGAGAAATTTATGATAGAGCAATAAAAATCATGAAAACGAATGACGACAAACTAGGAAAAACAATTTGTTACGGAAACTTAGCCAAATTGCTCTATTCCTTTAGAGAATATGACAAATGTAAAAAATATCTGGAGAAGGCACTTGCGATCAGAACCCAAATTGGTGACAGGGTCGGAGAAGCAGATTATTACAGAGAACTAGGAAAAATGTCCCAATTTCTTGGTAACTATGATAAGGCACAAGAATATTACATGAAAGCACTTACCATCAGAACGCAAATTGGTGACAACGAGGGAGAAGCAGTAGTTTACAGAAACCTAGGAACCGTATTCCAATCGCTTGGTAATTTTAACAAGGCACGAGAATATTACAAGAAAGCACTAGCCATCAGAATAGAAATCGGTGACAGAGAAGGAGAAGCAACGGATCAGGAAATGCTCCAAATGCTCGGTGATCTTAACCAGGCGCAAAAATATCACGAGAAAGCACTTGCTATCAGAGTGGAAACTTTTGACAGAAAGGGAGAAGCAGAGGAGTACGGAAACTTAGGAAGAGTGTTCCAATCGCTTTGTAATTATGATCAGGCGCAGGAATATCACGAGAAAGCACTTGCTATCAGTCTGGACATTGGTGACGGAAAAGGAGAAGCAGCGAGTTATGGAAACTTAGGAACAGTGTTCCAATCGCTCGGTAATTATGCCCAGGCGCAAGAATATCACGAGAAAGCACTTGCTATCAGTCTGGAAATTGGTGACAGAAAAGGAGAAGCAAGGGATTACGGAAAGCTAGGAACAGTGTTCCAATTGCTCGGTAATTATGCCCAGGCGCAAGAATATCACGAGAAAGCACTTGCTATCAGTCTGGAAAATGGTGACAGAAAAGGAGAAGCAGCGAGTCATGGAAACTTAGGAACAGTGTTCCAATCGCTCGGTAATTATGCCCAGGCGCAAGAATATCACGAGAAAGCACTTGCTATCAGTCTGGAAATTGGTGACAGAAAAGGAGAAGCAGCGAATTACTTAAACCTAGGAACAGTGTTTCAATCGCTTGGTAATTATGACCAGGCGAAGGAATATCACGAGAAAGCACTTGCTATCAGTCTGGAAATTGGTGACAGAAAAGGAGAAGCAGAGAGTCATGGAAACTTAGGAACAGTGTTCCAATCGCTCGGTAATTATGCCCAGGCGCAAGAATATCACGAGAAAGCACTTGCTATCAGTCTGGAAATTGGTGACAGAGAAGGAGAAGCAGCGAATTACTTAAACCTAGGAACAGTGTTTCAATCGCTTGGTAATTATGACCAGGCGAAGGAATATCACGAGAAAGCACTTGCTATCAGATTGGAAATTGGTGACAGAAAAGGAGAAGCAGCGAGTCATGGAAACTTAGGAACAGTGTTCCAGTCGCTTGGTAATTATGCCCAGGCGCAAGAATATCACGAGAAAGCACTTGCTATCAATCTGGAACTTTGCAACAGAAATGGAAAAGCAAATTGTTATACAAACCTAGGAGCTTTGTTTCTGTCACTCGGGAAATACCCTAGAGCAGATAAATATCTAGTGCAAGCACTGGCAATAGCAAAGGAAATTGGCGACAAACATGGAGAAGCGGTAGTTTACGGTAATTTGGGGATAATTTCTCGTCGTCTTCATGATTATGAAAAGGCCCAAGAATATTGCGAGAAAGCCCTTGCGATCTTTGAGGAAATTGGCTACAGAGATGGAGAAGCAGTCGAGTACGCAAATTTGGCGACATGTTTCCAATCGCTTGGCATGTATAACGCGGCCGAAAAATACATCAAGAGGGCATTGTTAATAAGTAAGAATATTGGACACAACTTGAATGAATTTAGGTGCCTCTGTCAACTATCAGTGTTGAAGCTATCACAATTTAATCTCAAAGAAGCCATGTCATATCTTTTTCAGTGTATTGGAAAATTCGACACGTTGCGAGGTTTCCTTAAAGATAACGATCACTTTAAGACTTCTCTTCTAGAGGAGCACGGTAATTTTCCATACAAGTTGCTTAGCAAGTTGCTTTCTTCTACTGGGAAGCTAAGAGATGCTCTCTATGTTGAGGAGCTGAGACGGGCAAGAGGCCTCACCGACTTCATGGCAGCAAGGTACTCTGTTCAAGAGTTGATCTCAGGGAACCCACAGTCATGGCATGGCATTCACAATATCATCACAAAAGAAACGGACTCCACGTGTCTTTATATTTCAGTTGAAAAAGAACATGCACGGTACTGGATTCTGGAAGCATCAGGAGCCATTCATTTCTCACGAAAGAAAGTGAGTCTGGAGAAACACGTGGTGACAAAATTAGTTCCTGATTTGGATGAGTTTTTCACAAAAAGCTTTCGCAGTCTTGGCATTTTACCCCAACAGAATTGCGAAGATAGATCATTAGATGACACCGAATCGATGCCCCCTCCTTATGACAATCACGGGCTCATGCGTGATTATGATCCTAAAGATTTCAAAATGAATCTTCAGTCGTGTTACGAGATAATCATCGCTCCCATGGCCAATTTACTTAAAGAGCCTGAGATCATAATTGTCCCTGAATCCTGTATGTACCAAGTCCCATTTGCAGCCATCAGTGACGAAGGAGGAAAATATTTAGCGGATACTTTCAGGATCCGCGTCGTTCCCTCTCTAACGACTCTAAAGCTAATTCAGGACAGTTCCCCCGACTATCACAGTCAGAGAGGAGCACTGATAGTGGGTGATCCTGAGGTTGGCGAGGTGCTTTTGAAAGGAAGACGCAGGATCATAGCATCATTGCCATGCGCACGAAAGGAAGCAGAAATGATTGGACGACTTCTTGGAGCGACACCTTTGACTGGAGACCGCGCAACAAAAGAGGCAGTTCTTGACGCAATAAATTCAGTAAGTCTGATTCACTTTGCTGCCCATGGTGATGCCGAAAGAGGAGAGATTGCTCTATCTCCTAATTGCCCCACCACCTTCATTCCACAAGACGAAAACTACCTCTTGACGATGGCGGACATTTCAAAACTTCGGCTGCGAGCTAAACTGGTGGTACTTAGCTGTTGTCACAGTGCACGTGGGCAGATTAAAGCCGAGGGAATCATTGGAATCGCTCGAGCGTTCTTAGGATCTGGTGCTCGTTCAGTATTAGCGGCACGGTGGGCCATAGAAGACACAGCCACGGAGGAACTCATGAGATGTTTCTACCAAAACTTGTTCCGCGGCAAAAGTGCAAGTGAATCCCTTCACGAGGCCAGGAAATGGTTGAGAGAGCACGGCTTCGAAAAGGTTTCTCAATGGGCTCCGTTCATGCTTATAGGCGATAACGTGACATTTGATTTTGAAAATTGGCCAGTGTCTAAAACATCCAAACAGCCATGAGAAAAGCAAATCCTCTTTAGTGGACCAAGTAAGCTTTGCAACTATCAACTGCCTTCCTGTAGAAAGAGGAAGCCCTCTGTGAAGGACAAGATTAATAACGGAAAACATTTCTGAGAACGCTTACTAGCTATCTACGTGTCATAATCTGGAACACGAAGACAGTTTAAAATTCATTGTTTATTAACAAGCGGTTGAACTGTTAACGACTTCAGAAGCCTTCCTTTTGGAGAAACATCAACTCATTAGTCAAAACAAACAAAGGTTACGCAAGTATTTTTGAGCGCAATAATTCAGTCAAGCCAAACAAAATTTAACATTTTTTTGGTGATTAGTTATTCGAGCTAAACAAATTTTAAGATTTTTGTCTAAGAAGTTCTCCATACATGTAATGTATATAACACAAAAGGTATTCCTCAAGGTTGAAATCACCTAAACACTCTTGCTAGTCGGAAACTGTCTGTTGCCCTATTTATAATGAAGAGGCATTTTCTAAGAATAGGACATAGTTATGAAATGTTTTGACAGTTCTTTCTGCAAGGAAATAAGTTCTAAAACCCCAGTAAGGTCAATATAGTGCTCCCCATGTCTCTTGCTTTGATACATTGTAATGCTCATACTTTTTATTTGAAATTGATTGTCTCAATGATCAGTTTTTTTTTCAAGGGCTAAATTTTTTAATGATTCGACGAATATTTATCTCAGAAAAGTTCTTGAGACTATTCTAGTCAAAGGAGAGTTTATATTATCTTAAATGTTTTGTTGCTGATTCCTTTTTGTTTAACAGATACTGATATTTATTCCAAGCGAAATTTTCAAATGAAAACTATTCGTAATGAATTGCACGAATTCTTGTCGGTCGAACAGTTTTTCTCACAAGCGAGAAATAATTCAAGAAGAAGAAAGTATCAAATCAAAGCAAATCATTATGTTAGGACCTAACAGTTTTCAACTAAGTGTCACCAAAAATCCAAAACCAAAGTTATAACAACTAAAAAATCAGAACCAAGGTTAACATGTTCATTAACCAATGAGAACTCAAAGTAAAAAGAGAAAACCTGCTTGACGCGCGGGAAAATGTGGGGGGGAACAAGTCGTGATATGTTTTAGTTTTGCAGTCGATTGGTTGAGGAAGTAGCGTGAGTTTTCTAGACCAATCTTGGAGCGAAGTAAATGAAAAACCTCAGCTACCAGGATCACTTTCGATACTCATTTAAGAACTGCTCTATTTCTTCAATTGAAGAGTGCTTAATTTTGAAAGTAATATCAACTAGCGTAGCAGGTGTTAGTGGAAGCTGTCAACTTCCCCTCTTGCGTTCGGTCTTGTCGGCTTAATTTCGATGTCCTGCTATTGCTATAGCTTACTCATATATGGAGAAGATTCACCTTTTATTTCACTGTTTTTTTGAAATTTTCCTCTTGTTAAAATATTCCATAAGGAAAACTTTGATTTAACAATCTGCCACCACATTCAGTTCAAATCGAGTTGCTTCAGGTGAAAGGGGGTAAGTTTCTAAAGAAACTGTGGTGCTGTGTCGGCAGGAAAGCTACCCATCGAAACATCAGCTTTACAAACTCTTTAAGGTGGCTAATTTACGTTATCAACACAGTTGATAAAACTAAAGAATCTTGCTTCAGGAGAGCTAGATTGAGAGAGAAAGTGACTGGCGTCAAAGATTGAAGTGCATAATTATTTAGTGAACTTGGCTAAATCAGTTTGTTGTAGGGAATATTCGTGCTATTAGCAGTTCTTTTCTATTCTACACACTAAGTCAGCTGGAATTGAAACGAGAACGATGACAATTCTTTTTCGTGTGGAGGGCATTTTAGTTAAGACATACTCAAAGCTTCGGTCCCGAATTAAGGCTTCCATAGATATCAGTTCTCCGATGATTCATCAACGGCATCTGTTGCCGAACCTTGTTTAAGTATCCAAGGTCAATTTCTGCTACACACACGTCATTTCCTTCATGACACTGAGCAATAACACAGCCCCAAGGATCTACAACCTGCAGTGACATGAACAAGAACAATACTCAATACACGAGGCCTGCTAAGAAATGACTTTTGTTCAGTTGTTATATTACCAATGAACTTATTATTAAGTTATTATCAATAACTTAATAATAATCTATTGAAGTTTTTTAATTGATATCTTTCTACTCAAAGTTCTTGTTGGCTCTAAATAGCTATTGGTTCAACGAGATTGAATTAAAAAGTTGTTTATACAGCTAAGTAAAAACGCATTCACCCTTACATGTTACATGCGTGATTGCGAGACCGTCATTGCACGTTACACACGATGGCGTGACCGTTAAAACGTTCTTACACGTTTAATACATACCATGGCGTGACCGTATAACCATCGTCATTTTTCATCCTGTGGCGTGACCATATGATTGTCGCAACACAGAATATACCATGGCGTGACGTATCGCCGTTCTTACAAGTTTACACGTACTATAGCGTGACCGTATAACCATCGTCCCAAGTAACATATCATAGCGTGACTCTGTGACCATCACAACACTTTACATACCATAGCGTGACCGTAAGACCGTCGTTTGGCATTATGCTGTCCTGTTTGTGCAGCAGCTATGACATAACATTGGTTCTCCACAGCACGACATCTTAATAAAACCTGAAAAGAAGTAAAAAAAATCTATTTTGAAAAAGAAATATAACTAATAAAAAAATGGAAGTCAAGCCGTGATGGTAATCTTCATAGTTACGCACGGAGAGTAAAAGAGGCGATTTACTCAACCCTTATATAACAACTTAGCATCATCATATTCTCCATACTGTTCTCCTTACTTTCCTAAGATCTGACAAGGAGAATTTAACAACCAAGGGCTTCTTTAGTTGGTGATCATTTTGTTTATTCTCATGACCTCCTTAATGTTTGATTCAGGGATGATAATGTAAGGAGAAATTAGGTGCTAGTCACTCTTGAAGGTCAAGGGCTTAAGACTTCATCCTGTCTACCTCAAGAGCTTCAAAAGGATAGAAATTCCACCGTAACAGATCACTGAAATACGCGATTTGCGACTGCTAAAAACTAATCAATCACAACAGGACATTATGTTTCAGAAAGTGAAGTGTTACCAGGTAATCTAATAGATTGTTTTGGAAATGAAGGACACCCTCGAAACGTAAATTGCTGCACAGTATGTGGTGGTAATTTCATGATTCACTCCAGAAATGAAGACAAAAAATATCCTCTCAAGGTTATTAAATAAATGATTTCCTTTGGAGTTAGCTACCCTTTCGAAAAAAGATAGCTAAGATTCAAACATTGATTTTAATAATAAACGTCCGCCCAATCTGACTCTTTGCCGAGTACAAATGTTTGAATTCGACATTTTTTCTTCAATTATCCAGGTAGCTTGGGGTAAAGGGCTAAAAGTAGCCTGTTTCTGTTGCCACAATGTGTTCATAAGTTTTGAATTTAGAGTTGCTGGATTTGGAGACCTCTGATAAAAGTCATAAGCAGTAAAAATTATAAGTACATGTACAAACCTCCCAGTGTGCTGATCCAGTGATCTGAGTAAATGCTGATGGAAATGTTAAGATGTCGGCTCCCTGTTGTGCTAAAATAAGGGACAGCTCTGGAAAACGTACATCATAGCACTGGAACAACCATCATGTTAAGGATCACACAGCACCAGAAAGAATGACATTTTGCATATGCTGCTGTTCCCAGGTTACTATTACAACTGATTTTCTTGAAACAATTACTCAGGGTTAAATGTTGTAGAAAAGTAGGAAGTACTCAGTTATGAGCGAAGTTTTAATGATGATGTATTCAACTTCCCTACTGAGTCAGGTAACCAGTCAATTATATCAGGTGATTCCTGGGTGAAAATAGACCTGAGAAGGACTGCTGTTGTTGTTCAGTGTTATTAAACTGACATAAAAAAATGAAGTCAGCTTATGAGCCATAAGGCTTCTCCTGCTGCAGCTCATCCAGTTTTGGTGACACGAACAAAGTGGGAGTATAGCTTTTCCACCCTGGAAAGGATTTTAGTCTAGCTCAGGGTTAACGTCTTTCATATTATCAGGTTCCCTGAGTTAGCTGGTACCCATTTATACCATCCTGGGTAAGGAGAGTCACTGTAAGAGCGGGGTGCCTTGCATCAAAATATAACATAGCAATCCAGCCAGGACTTGGAACTACACTTTTCTCATCTTAGTTTAGTGTTGTTACAACAGATCAACATGACTTTCTAAAGCAACCATTAAAAGGTATGTGGCTGGAACTAATCTACTCCCCATAGATGGGATGCCAATCCATTGCAAGACCCCCCCCCCCCCCCCCTTTCCCCCCTCTGCCCAGAGTTTTATCAAGCTACCCTGACAGTTTGGCAGTAGCTATTTACACTCCTGGCTGGAGTGAAGCACTGTGAAAGTAAAGTACTTTTAAAGACCACCAATAAACAGATGACCACAATATGTATTGTTCAAAGATTTCCTTGATTTAAACATTTTCAAGCCAGTCTGACCTCCATTTTTGTCTTCTGCAGAAGTTAGTCAGAGAGAAACAAAATTCAAGCTGGTTTGAAAAACTTAAAGGAAGGAAAATCTGAACCACAACAACCACACTTAACTGTTCATTATGCAAAGGATACAATGGCAAGGCCAACATTCCCCACAGGGGTAGACACAGGTGGCACTATCTGGTTACCAGGGATACAGGTGTCACTTTCCTTAAGCCTGGGTCCATCTTTCACATCAATATCAAACAGATGTATTTTCCGATACACTGCAACTATGGAGCCACTGTCATTCACAATGACATGCGAGTTACGCAGCCTCTTATCATCTGGTGGACCCTATGATTTAAAAGTGTATGAAAAAGGGAAAACAATACTGATGACTACTGAAATGATTACACTTAATTACTTACCTAAGCTCCCAAATGAAAGTAAAAATAATTATTTCCATTGCCACATAAGAAAGTTTTTAACCCCAGCAGTGCAAGGTATACAAAACTCTTAAAAATGCAGTTTGAGGTCTCTAATACTGTAAGTTACAGACTGAGTTTTTTCCACTCATATTAACGGCCATAAATGCGATAGGAAAAACAAGCTTCCATAACTCATAGTACAGACCAAGAAAACAAGGTTGGTACAAAATTTGCTATATTTATCTCTGGGTTTAAACAGAGGCTAAAGATTTCAATACCAACAAAGTTTGGAATTTAACAAGCTGCACACTGAAATTGACCAATCATAGGACACATAATAAATGAGAGATATAATAAATCACATTTAAACTGAGAATAACACCTGTCAGTAGGTCGGTGGCTAATGTTAATTTATAAAAAGAGAGTTCAATAGAGGGTTGGAAATAATCTGGAATTACCTTTTGGTTTTGTTTTACTTCCCTTTGAGATTGGTCTGAAAAAATTGCCCCCTTTTTTGATCAAACAGATGTAGAGCTAAAACCAACTGCGAATTAGCCACTTCAGTTTTCTCAAACTTTGGATTTTGTTTTGGTCGCATCACACTCAATCAAAAAAAGTACTCTATTTGACATAAAAATGTCATTATTTTGATTTCACCTAAAATTTTCCTTCCACCGAAATTCAAATCTCTTCTGTTATCAAGTAGGTTTTGCAATCTATTACCAAGTACCACGTTACAAGGTGCTTAAAAGTTCCCATGTATTTGTCATGTTGTCTTTCTCATGCAATTATCAAACTATTTTGCCTGGGAAGGTTGATCAACTGGCCATGACTACAAGATATCATGCAAATATAATGGGTCACTTGCAATTTGAATGCTTTGAACACCGAATAATAGTTCACTGCAAAGATAATGATGAAAATGTCTTTCCCCAATACCATGCATGAACAAGTTTATAAATCAGAAATTTGACCATAACATTTTAGAAAAAAAAAAAGATAAATAAAGTAAATGAGAGCCTATCCTGACCTACCCTACCCTTTGCCTTGACCCTTTAACTGCAAGAAGTGATCAACATGTCACTTCTCCCTCTGACATCCATACATTATTCAGCAAACAAGTTATGAGAATACTCAACCTTATCAGGTTGAAGTTGTTGTCTGGATCGAACTCATTATTCTCATAACTTATTCACAAGGAAATGTGTAGCAGCAAGAGGCAAGAATTGACAATCTGATCTTGGGAGCTAAAGGGTTAAACTGGGTCAAGGATCAAGTGAAGTGTTACCACCAATATGTTGACTTTAATGAGATCTTTAAGCACTACCAAGCTGATTCATCATCCTAATACTTAGAATCAGAAGTGAACCTTTTCATGGTATCCACCAAGGGAGAGCCAAACACCCAGTTCTTTTGCTAATTCACATAAACTTTGCATTCTTGGACTCTCCAGTGGTTCTGCCATTGACAAAGACTGTTCGCTGTTTTCTCCAACATAGTCAAAACATTCAGGCAAAAACACAAACTGTAAAGGAAAATTCCAGTAGGTAACATTAGTCTTACAAATAAAAGGAAGTTGGTGTTTTATCTAACTAAAGATATCTTTATTTTCATCTGATCAACCTCTTGAGCACATTTCATAGGATCAAAGAGGTAACTCTTGCTTTGGCTTTGAATTATCAGTTCTTCAGAAAAACATAAAGTGAGAAAACAATTGATTGTGCAAATGCATTTGTTAGAAGAAAAGATTTGCCACCAGCCACCGAGTCATTTTTTTTTTTATTTTTGTACTTGTACTGTTTCCAATATGTAGAATCTAATAATTAATTATTAGTACATGGGGCAAGATAGGAGTAAGAAGAGGGGGGTAAAAATTGGGGTGGGGTCAAGGTATGAGGGGTAAGGGGCAAGGAGTGTAAGAGGTGAGAGTTAAGGGGTGATGGTGGGGGGATGGGGTTGGTGACTAAGGGACAAAACATTTTAAAATCCATATCATCTTCACCTTGGCTCCTCTCGACTTGGCTTTGTTTATTAAATCTTTGCAAATTCCCATGTTACGGTCCACGTCATTGGTGGAGTTCATCTGACAAACTGCGACAAGAGTGGCTCCAGAATCGGTCAGCTGATTGTCTCCCATGACGAGCCCGGTTATGGAGGCAAATTCTCGCCGGTAAAAGTAACTAAAAAATCGGTACCTTACCTCCTTAGAGGTTTGAAGTGATGATCTTAGTTTAAATTTATATCCTACTGTAGTAATGAACTGTTTGGTAAATATAGGAATCATCAGATTCAACGAAAAACAGGCAGAAATTAAAAGCCACCAGACATATTGGATGGTGGTTTCTTTCTCCTTGTTATACAACAAAAGTATTGTTTCTCTGTAACCGACTGGCATATTGCGGGCTCATGCAATTTTCTTTCGCGTGTTCCGTGACCTAGACAGTCGATTAAAAACGCAGAGAAAAATTTCAGGAAAAATTGGGACTTCTGATAGATCAAGTGGGGTCTACAATGACAGGTGGCGATAAAATTAATCGACCAAAAACGGTGGGTATACCTTTCATGGCAGTTTCGTGTACCACAACATCTGAGATCTGAGCTCTTGTTGCGTTACAACACGTGTTTCTTGTACCCTGTAGACCACCGGCCTAATCTATTACGTACAATCTGAAAGGACATCGGTCTTTGAATACAGTTTCGGTCAGTTGACGATAACTGAAAGTTCACCGGAACTTTGATTAGGCTTGTAAGCTTGCAGCTGAACTTTGATGGGGTTAAGTTATGTTAACTACAATATTATTCTAAAAATAATAATCTTTTCCAGGCTTTGCAGAAAAATATTAGCAAGCTCACGAGAGTAAAAAAAGCACAGAAAAAGAAGCAACAACAGAAAAACAAAGGATCCAAGCAAAGGTACAAATGCAACCAGATATTCCTGTAAAGAGAGAGAAAAAGAGTTGGCACCGTTTACGTCCCTGTGAAATAGAATTTAATACACTCGAGACATAAATAGCAAAAAGAAACATTCATTTTCGTGTTAATTTGCCATTTTTGTGCTGTGTATTTAGAGAGGGTTGAACATGCTTGACTAGCCTTGGACGGAGGGGGGGCTTTTTAACACAAAATCGTCGGAAATCAGAAAGGAAATTACAGTTTAACTCCTTGCAATTCCAATAAGTTACTTTGTAAACAGGTTATGTGAACAGACAGCTTTCAGCTAGAGAGTGTTTTTTTGGGAATAAGACCAAATTGTCCTGTACAAGGTAAGCATGGCATTAAGTGGTGAGAATTGCCAATTGGATCTTGAGAATTGAAGGGCTAAGAGATGGGCAGATTCACAATGCCTTGACATTCTTCTTTGATGAACATTTCTTATCAGTAACAACCAGAGGGGCAGTGCTTCAATATCTGCAAAAAAGAAGAGACTTATAATGAAAGAAATAAAAAAGCAAAGAAAAGAAGAAAATGCAATGGAAGGTAACAAAATTACACTTACTTTTTTACAATGTTTCTTCAATGGATTAGGGCTTACCAGAAACCTTATATAGCAGGAATCCTACATAAAAAGGTCTCTCTCCCCTGTTTTAAAAAGCAACTGATACTTAATGATAATCAAACAATCAAGCATGTTTCCAAATGCATGGAACCCCTTCTGGAAAATCGTGCTAACGCTTAATGCAGAGAACACCTTTGGGAGATCATTCAGGGTCCTTTATCATCAACCCTTTGACCCCTAAGAGTGACCATCATCTAATTTCTCCTTACAATATCGTCCCTAAATCAAACATTAACATCATGAGAATAAAGGAAATGATCATCAACTAAAGTTTCTCTTAATTGTTAAACAAATTCTCCTTATCAGCACCTTAGAAAATGTATAGAGAACAGCATGGAGAATATGCATATTGATGTGAGGGTGTGAAGGGTTAATTGGGAGACTCATAACCTGGTGGGGCCTTTGTGTTGTGTTCTTGGGCAAAACACTTCATTGTCTCTGTGCCTCTCTCCACCAAGGAATATTGATGAGTATTAACATATTGTCGAGGAAGCCTGATGAAATGTTGGGGGGAACCTTGTGATGAACTAGCATCCCATCCAGGGGGGGGGGGAGTATTATTACTGGTACTCCTACCTTATTGGTACTTAATTTAGGGTTTTTTGCGATGGTAAAAAAATCGTAAAATTAATGACCTGAAATAAAACTCCTCAGGGAATATGGACTTGCAAAAATTTAATACCCTGTAGAAAATACAAAAAAAAAACAAAAAAAAAAAAAAAAAAAAATGATCAACATGTAATAGCAACAACATATGCAGAATAAATGACAAATACACAGTTTATTACAATACAGTAAAATACAAATTTCATTTGCCATTTATAAAGAGAAAGGTGTTTTTCATTACCAAATGAGTAAGTTTACAATACTTGTTATAAACAATATTTTAATAGATGGCAAGGGGGCCTCTGGAAGCACTGGGCTTAACATTGTATGAGTGAGATTTCATCATTAAGAACATTTCTTTTGCCAAACCACTAAGGTGCGAGAATTTGGTGTTGGTTCAAGACAGCAACCTCTACCTGATAAGTTTGGGTATTCTCATTACCAGAACTAGTTTGCTGGATAATAAATGGATATCATAGGGATAAGTAACAAGTTAATCACTTCTGGGAGTTGAAGGGTGGAAATGCTTTCCCAACACTCTTTGTACTATAGCAAACACCCATATCAGCCTTAAGTCCCCTTGTGCCAAACAACTCTTATAATTCTTAAGCTGCTACTCTAAGAGGGGGAATACAGATAAATGTTTTTTTTTTACATTATTCTTTTTTAGTTGTTACACAGCAGCAAATTCATAAGAAACCAGAGGGAAAGAAAATCAAGGAGACTAAGGCTGAGAAAATGGACACAAGCTAATGTCTCTGAAAAAGGAACAGTAACCTGACAAAAGAGGGGACTCTCTCTTCACATGGGTCGTTCATGTTTTGATTCCATACTGATTTAGAGAGCTACATGTTTAACTTTGTCCATCAGTTGTTCAAGTCTACACAAGCACAATCTTACCCATTAAGGCTTGCATTTAGTAAATGAGCTACTGATGTTGTTGTTTTTCCTTCAACCTCCTAACCCTTAAGAGTGACTAACATCCAATTTCTCCTGACCTCAATCAAATAACAATAAAGGAGATGGTCACCAACTAAGGAAGCTCTTGATTTTTAAACAAATTCTCCTTGTCAGCACCCCAGAATGCGTAGAGAACACTATGGAGAATATGCATACGGATGTTAGGGTGTAAGAGATTAAGATTTGTTATGTAAACGAGTTTCAAGGAATTAGAAAACTGTTAATTTTTTGTGGGGAGGTAGTAGGTGTCTTGCATGCACTCTAACGTCACCTTCCCCTTCAGAGGTTAGTTAATCAAATGGAGTAAGCCACTCATGTGGGATTAAAAGTGAAATCTGAGTTTGACTTCTTTGTTGTGGTATGTCTCAGGCCTAACATCCTCTTTGATTTTACCTCAGAGCAAGGCAAAACTACAAGAAACAATAAAAGCAAAAACATTAAGAACCTCTCTTAAAAGCCGTTAAACTAAATGGCAAGTTTATGCTTGACATGGGTCAGGGTAATCATTAATTGAACAACTGGTCACAGTAACCCATTTCTCTAAAGTCTTGTTAACTTAAATGGCCAAAAGTGATATTTTAAAATCCAAATTTTAAGCATAGAGTAGCAGGTTTACCCTTAACCAATCCATTTTTTTCTTAAGGTGACAATTTTATGGTATGATTTTCAAAACTCTTAAACACTCCATCTTCAATGAAATCAGAACAGCTTTGCTGTCATGTAAAGTTACCACACCTTTGAGAAATGGTCCCCAGGGTTACACAGTCTAGAAGAGGGGAAGGAGGTCTGACATCAAAGCAAATTCTTCCCACTTTTCCCCAATGGATAACATCTGAAGTCTTAACATCAGAACCCAGTATGTCACTAATCTGGAAAAAGTTCTGGAACATTATCATCTAAAGATGAAGAAATCAAATTCAGGGAATGGTAGTTAATCTGATAGCTTCGCCTGTGTGGCCTGATCTTCACTATGATAGGGTACAATACAAAAACCTTTCCAAAAATAATTTGGTTGTTCCCCATTTTCTATATTTGATACTGTATAATGATAAGCTGAATTTGGATTGGTTCTTACTTGTGATATAGTGGAGGACAGATGCATAAATGACATCATCATTAACATTTTACTTTTTCATCATATAAAACAAATAGATTCCATATTGCCTTGGGTTTGTACAGTAATGGATCTCAGATGTCAAAATGTGGTAAGGTTCTCTTGTCTCTTGTTGTACCACATTTTGAGGTCAACCACCCACTGGGTCATAAATGTCAAAAAAACAATCAACCCCCCCCCCCCATCAATCAAGGCTTAATAGACCAAGCAGAATACAGAGGAATGATTGGAAACTTGTTCTCGATTCTGACTCATTTGTTTATCAAAGGTGATAAAGGACTGTTGGGAATGTACCATTCTACAGTTATGTAAAATGTAACTAAACCTTTATGTGAAAGCGAGGTCATTGGTGACCTTGAAATGAAATTGGCCACAACGCAAACAAAGGCGACACAAAAAAATGCAACTTCAAAGGTGTTTTTTATTCAACAAAGGCATAGCACATTTGAAACAAAAATAAGGTAAAAGCTCTCTTATGTACAGTTGCAGCAAAGCAAACTTGGATTCTAATTACAATATTGGGACATACCATGATGCCAATTCATACTTTTTATACACAATTGCAAAAACAAGAATTTTTCAACATTTGCAAGAATATTTGTCATTCCACTCATCATTTTACTACCAAGTGAAAAATAAATTTTAGACAGAAGTAACGAAACTACGACCGCACAGGCTGATGTGGACCAAGAATACACATCCTTCACCTTCACTTCTCAACTTAAGATCCACTTAACAGTATATTTGGATAGGGAAAATTATGTTTAGGTGAACATGTTCACGTTTATACCTTGGTATCAAAACGACAGGACTTCAACCCTTTCCATAGGCGAAATTCAGTAGCAAGGCGGAAATATATTTAGATTTTCATGTTGGCAATTTTTTCCAGATGAACGGGGTGTTCATGACAAGTAAAAAAAGCAAGTCAGAGCGAGAAGTCATCTCTAATTCCTTCGCTCGAGAAAACAACGAATGGTATAGCCTCAGTCAATTCCCTCTTGACCGACACCTTTAAACGACGTACACCTCTCTAAAACTAACACTTGGATTCGATTCTTTCCGTTCAAATTTTTCAGTCATGTCAATATAGTTGATCTAATGTCTAACGAGGAAGGAAGGCTAGTTACTGCAATAGGTTGTTTCCACAAGGGCTGTTGTACTGACACTACTCTACGTAATATTTGAGCCCGTTAACAGTCGTCTGCTTGGAGTTGTGCCTGATTGCCGTTTTTCTGCACGCTCCATAAATATTTCCCTCTCCATTTCAAATGCCAGTCTGTTCACACATCACCGTTGTTTCACTAAATTCAATGCGCGACTGATTGCACTTGGTAATTCTGGGATCCAGGAAAGAAATATTAAGACTAGAGGATATGGTTTCGTCAGCTGCGTGCCAAGTCAGCCCTTGCCTCGCGCCTCAACTGCACAGCATTCACCACCATCACAGTTTCTGATAAAAGCGATTCGAAGATAGCGTCTGCCACTTGGAACTTCACGGCAAGTTCATCATCATCGTAATCTACCCATAACGGCTCCTCTTCTCGAAGCTCCTGAATCAGGATGGCGTCAACGAAATCCTTCTTTCCCACCTTTAGCGGCGTCTTCCGACGAACACGTTCAAGAGAAGGCCTAGCATCACCCAAACCGATTAAATTCAAAACTTGTTGCTGCACTACAGGGAGAAAGTCTCCTTCGCGGACAAGTGGTTGAAGACCACGATGCAGACGGTGCTTTCGTCGCGGTTTTGCTTTCATCCAAGCCGGCCGCTTGGTGGGGGTCTCCTCAGATAAGAGATCTTTGAACAAATTGCCGGTCAAATCGAACACTAATCGTTGGTAAACTCGTTTACTATTGGCTCCGAGGTCGTCGTCCGCTTCGTCGTCTCCGATGATTTCCGACGGGGGTGTTACGTTATCTAAAGGCAGTCCTCTCCTCTTGCGTTCGAAGAAAACGGAAAGAGAGGAAGCCACCAATGGGCTGACTTCATTGGGACGATGAGGAACGGAGAAAAGAAACGAAGGACCTCTAGAACGCCTAAATGTCTCCTCTTCTTCATCTTCCTCTTCAGAGGGAAATTCCATGAGAGCATTTGTGTTAAGTTTAAATTCTGAGCGTTCATCTTCACCTTCGCCCCGTGCACCCTCCAGATGCTCATGTAAACGTCGTAACTGATCAAGCTTATCTGTCAATTCTCTCTCGTTAATTGAAGATTGCTGCTCACTTGTGGGGCTTCCTGGAGGTGTCGAGGTGTCCTCAGTATACTTCAGTAATCCGTCGGGAAAGCGTTGGACGGCCATAAATCTACTGTTTCTGGGGGAGGAAAGAGGACTCTCTTCAGCCGAGTGAGGTTCGTCTTCTGTTGCCCCCCTTGGAGAAGTAGTTAAGTCCGTGGTACTTTCACCCTTGGTCTTGGCAAACTTTTCTTGACGAGATCGCATAATTGCAATCATTTGAGAGGCGGCTTCCTTAAGCAGTGCGTCTGACAATTTATTCACGATGTCGTTACTCTTTTGTTCAGGTGATACCTGCTGAGGTTGTTCAACAGGAGAGGGAGCAAAATCTTCTCGCTCTCTTGTCCTACGGTCCAGTCCAGATTCTAAACTTCCATTCGGCGAGGTGGATAAATGTTCAGATATCTCTTCTGTTTCGGATGTTTCTGCTAATGATCGTGATGCACCATCATTTCCATCCTCAATAGGCGTACTATCTTTTGCAGACTGTTTCGGTAAATCTTGGTAGATCCGGCGACGTTCATCGAACACTCTTGTCGCCAAGTTCACAGACTCTTCCAGCAACATCATAGACAAGTCCTGAGTGATTCTGTCAGCAGTTTTTTGATCAGATTCATGGCTTCGGGATTCTGGCGACTGTCGAGTACTTTTCGGCAGCACACCAGGTGACAATGGCGATACTTCTTTATCAATTTTCTCCTTCTCATCAACGGATTCGTCCTCAATCTGTCTCTGCAGACTTCCGTGCTCATTTTTGAAGTAGTTTTCTTCAAATAAGGACCCACTATCACCGTCTTCACTAATTTCCTCAAGGCCTTCAATGTTTTCATCCAATTCTTCTGCAATGCTTTCTTCGTCGGTAGCCTGCTCTAATTCGAGAGTTGGAATTTTAGGAGGTTTCTGGACTTGCCCTTCCTGCGGTGATTTATTGTCATCCACTTCTACACCTTCAGAAAGTTCCCTTTTCTTCGAGGAAAACCTGAAGTCGTCGTTTTCTTCTTTTTCCTGAGAAGTTTTGTCATCCTCTACTGGAACGTTCGACTCGGATGGTTCGAAATCTGGTGTGTAGGAACCACGAGGTTTTCCTTCGTCAGTTTCGTCAACCGCCGAAGGCTCAAAGTCATCAGTATAGGAGACAAGTCCGCTTTTGTTTTCCTCAGGCAGTTGTAAACCCTTTTCTCCTTTTAAGGATTGTTCCGCCTTTTCAGACACGGGGCCACTACTTTTTGCAGAAAGTGATGTACTTTTTGGTGTCACTTCAATTTCAGATTGTTCAGAAATATCCTCGGGTACTTCAGAAATGTCTATTGTCCCTTCTTCATCTTTTGATAAAAATTGATCAGGATGCGCAGATGGCTTATCTGGGACGTCATCTTGCCTTTCAGACCGTTCGCTATTTTCTACGTCTTCCTCAACACTGATATGCTCACTGATATCGTCTTCGCTTTTGTCCACTTCATTCTCAACGCTCTCAAAAGACGAACTGTACGCCTGTTGAAGACTTTGCGATTTCTCCGACAAAGCCGGTGATTTTGATCGTCTGGAAGACTTCGATCCCTCGGAAATAATCGAGTTTTGCCCGCTGACGATACCTGACTGTCCTGAGCGATCGGTGTCTTTCGACTCTTTCAGTTCCTGGGTGGAGTGGCTTCCAGAGTGAGTGGATCTGGGCCTTGTAACAACTTCATTTTCTTCGGTTAACGATTTATTTTCTTCGGTCCTTGCTTCTTTCGTGATCTTTACGTCAACCTCGGACCTTTCCCTTACCGAACTCTTACGATCACTATCCGATCCTCTCCGAAGACTAACTGATTGAGATTGACTAGATCCTCGAGAACTACGTTCCGACTTGTCGGAGTAAGATGCTTTGGACGGTGTTTGAACTTCGATATCCTCACTCATGGAAACATCTTCGGCCGTCGTCACATCATCTTTGATTTCTTCTCGGGAATCTTCGGCACCTCTAATCGATGTTTTGCGTGCACTATTGGCTGATTGCCGTAGATTTTCCGAGGAGGTTTTGTCGGGGGTTCGAGTTCTGTCGGTTAGATCAAGGTCTTCTCTTTTATCCAAGGGAGTTTCACCTTTCCCCAATGACAAATTATTTCTCTCCCCGGTCTTAATCTCACTGACAGAAGAACACTCCTCATCTTTCTCTTTTAAGCTGGGAACATCGGAAATTGTTTGATCACCTCGACTGTTAACTTCCGCATCCACAGAACTTAAAACTCTCCCACCTGCTGGCTCACTCCTAGCAGACACTTTCACAGGCTTTTCCGATGGTGTTACCTTGCGACCTCCGCTCACATCTGATGTTCGAGAGAGATGGTACCTGACTTCACGGGCACTAGAATCGTTTTTCGCGCTCATTGGGTGTTGGTCAGTAGAGCCAGACTCTGGTCTTTTTGAATCCGTTTGAGGTCGATTGAGTTCGGCCTTTGTCCTTGAGATTACCATTTCCACAGCCTAAAGAAATTAAGAACTATAAATGATCGAGATTTCTTCACTGAAAATCTATCGTATGATAATTACGCATCCCACAAAAAAATTCTATTTTGGATTCGCAATGAAGAGTTCTCCTTCTGGCACCTTGCACTCGTCTCATACACCTGATTATAATTCTATTTTAATTACAAAAATTAATTTGAACACTTATACAATACTTAAAATATCAAACAGTAACTCGCCTCAGAATTTTGAAATATTTTCCATCAGGCCGAAAGACCGAAAACAATGTACAAAGTTCAACTTCACGCGCCCACGTCAAGAAGAGCGCGTGACATTGACGGCGTAAACAACAACCCCGTGATAGTACTCGTTTCCACGTGTATTTACCTGTAATTCCTGCCTTAAGCTGGCCTCTTGAGCCCGCAACATAGCTTTTCTTTGTTTCTTCCTTTCATTATACAAGCGCTTAACCTCGCGCTTGCGCACTTCAAGTTGGTCTCTCAGGCGGCGAACACGAGACTCGATGTCGCTGTGGTCCGAGGTTTCTGGCGAGAAATACAAGAGATAATATTAAGCCATTGCGATGTATGAAATTTGACGTGAAATTTCTACCTAAAGCGGAAAGGGGTTCCGAATTAGCTTGAAGGAACCATTAAAACGTCAAGTCGTTTTTAAGCAAACACCAGAACTAAAATTGTCAACAGTGAAGGCATATGTATGAAGGGTGTTCCTACAGACCGACCGACCGATAGACCTAGGAAGATAAGATAGGATACTTTGTAAAAACTACAATTTATCAAGCGAATGGCGATAAGAGCCTAAAATTTTAATATCAGAACTGAAACTGTGGGAACAAAGTGTTGATTAAAATAAATAATAACTAATGAAATGTGGGAACAGCTAGTAACTTGCATCACACCACACACACAAAACTCCCACGGAACACTGTTTGGGGGAAAGTTCACACCTACATGTTTATTCTTAACGCCACGGGAGGCCAATTTCTACTGAAGGGGAAGTCACTCAGCAACAAGATAATGCCGTGAATACTTTTCTTTTAAAATATTATATTTAATAAACTATGGTAGGTCTTACAGCAAACCGAACTATGATCCCGTAAGGTCTTTAGCCGCGTACCAGAGAAAGATATCACTGATCTCTGGTTCTCGTAATAATTTGCATATACTTATCAAACCTGTCTCGGGCATATCTTCCTTCTTTAACACTTAATTGATCGTTTTTCCCTTAAACTACAAGATCGTCGAACGAACTGCCCTCAAGCGTCAACGTGTCAATCGCTCTACGCCACTTTAACGAAGACCAACTTAACGGCTATACCGTAACACGCGATCACCGATAAACGCAAACACAGTCTTGTTTCCTGCAATTCTTTGATTACCAAATTAGTTCAGCAGCCACAATAACGCCATCGATGGAGACCAAGCGGTTGAGCAAATTGTGAAGGTATCAAACACAGCTGGCTCGAAAACGTCAAAAGCCGTTGAGAATTGTTGGGTTGTTTCCTTTTCCCAATTAAAAAAAAAAGCAAAAAAACTATCCAACGATTTTTAAGAAAACGACCAAGAAAACCAGTTTTTAAGAATTTTGAAGACAACAATTTGCAAGCTAAGGGTTTCTTGTTGCTCTGCTTCACGTTAAAGAAAAAAACCCGAGGAACGAAAGAAGTGCGCACCTTCGGCGCAACCGTTATTTAAAAAGACCCTACGCCAAATCAAATCGACTGACTATGCATCTTCATATCTCAAGGTCTCGAGTAACAAGAAGATAGAGGAAAAAACGTAATATTTCTTTGGCTTGTGCGTCTAGGCCATTCAAACCCGCTGTGTATCTTTGGTACAACTGCCCATAGTCGAATGCTCTTCCCTTCATGCGAAACTTGCTATCAGTGAAGTTAGGCGTTTACGGAAAACGGCAAGACTTGAACTTCTTACCGATTCCTTCAGCCTTCTGGGCACATTTATGGAAATATTTGAGTTTAATGAGAACAAAAAGTGTTTTCAATTTTTCCACAAGATTGATTTAAGGACTGGAAGAAAGTGAGCATAAATGGAATTCATTTTTGCCGTTACTGTCATGTTCAACAAATTTAAAAGCAACTAGATCTTCCAACGAAGAGAGATCATTCTAGAAACAAATTTTTAGTTAGCAGAGCAAGGTTTAACCACGCTTTAACCGAACAGGCCTTTGGAACTGTTTGCGATCAATACGTAGTTTATCGGGAAGCGTGCATTTTGCCATGTCGGATTCCCCTTGCAACATTAAATTAAAACAGTTAACAAAAGGTAACATCGAAAAGGTTGAGCAACCATTACGGATGGCAACAGATAAATTGTTTTAACTGGAAATAATGCAGACTTCAAAACATACAAAACGGAAGGAACTCCAAACTCTTTTACACCCTCTCAATTGAATGCTGTTAATTTGAAGAAACCAAAATCATACGTTTTAAAAAATTTTAAAAGATCTCGTTCAATAATTGATGCGTGGAATCACTCTTGTCTTTAAACAGTTCTTCTGGTCGCCCTTTCCTTAAAAACGATTTAAGAACAACAGACAACAACTTCATACCTAGAAGAAGAAAATCAAGTTAAACCAATTTCAAACGGTAGGAAAGATTTAGAGACCATTAATTCGGATGAAGAAACGGAATTTGCGTCACCGTAATAAAAAGGTCACCTCGCTCGGCCTGATGCAGCCTTCATTACTGTTGACAATGAAATCATAGGGAAAAGAAAAGTGTTTAAACTTACGACAAGCGGTCAAACATAACGCACGAAGAAGCAGCGGAACTTGTAATGGTTCAAAGTACGCAAGGCAAAGAGAACCAGTGTTACATTCGTTCCACGAAACACGCAATGCTGAACAGCAACGTAAGTAATAAATATAACCACAAGTATTCTACCGTCCCGTCATTCCTCGTGAGGGAAGTTATTTCAAAATGGTGTCGGCGCAAAATATTCAGTGCATTTTTTAAAGCACATGGAAATCCTATGGAAACTTTACTGGAGGCGATAGCATGTGATAACATGAGTTGTAACGCAGTTCTACAAATAACAAGGGAATCAAAAATTGAACTCTGTTGACAATACCTCTCTTGGAAAAATCTTTGTTAATTTTTTTCTATTAACAAACCAGAGCGAAAGTAAGCAAAAAGGAAAAAAATGAAAAAAGACAGAGAATTTAGCGGGCGTTCGATGAAGGATGTTTAAAATGACTTTGTTATGCAAATTACCATGTTGTGGGGATGATGATATCATAATTATTTCCTTTTCTCGCCCACAGCTAAACTTCCTCATCGATGTTTCGCAACCATTAGTTGGAATATTAAATGTCCAACTCGTGTAATGAAACTATTCGTTGCGTCAATTTCTACTAAGATACTAATTCTTAAAAGCCTCGTAGTCCGCAACACGTACGGATTCACTTTAAACAGCGACAATTTGGTACGTGCTTCAAAAACCCAAACTCGGAAAATACGTCAGCATCGTGCACTCAAACTGATATTGGACTTTCTCCGAAGAAGAACCTTTAGAAAAACCCCGCCACTGCATTTAAAAGATTGTCTCGTGTTTCTTCACACAAAAACACAAATGAACAATTTTTGGACACATAAATTACAAAAAAAACGGGATCCTCGTGTCATTCTTAAAATGAACAATCACCAAAACAAAATGGTTTGATAAGTAAGTAAGCACTCTAATAACGTCGTAGCATTATCGTAATGTAAAGAGAGCTTACTAACACACGGCGACTATTACACAAGACAATATCATTTTAACAAGCACGAGTGTACAATTCACGATGCCCTCCGACTGAACATAATCAAAGAAGTTGTGGAAAATAAGCCCCTAACGTTTTGAATTCACAATCCATCTAAAGCCGTAGAAATTCAAGAAATACGAACATCTTAACAGACAATACTGGTTTACAACAACTGGATCAAAAGAGTTGAGCTGAGATAAAGAATAAAAAATCAAATAATTTTCTATTGTCTTGAAAGACGAGAGCAATCTAGAGGAAAAAATTTTCTTATGGTGATGAAAAGCCATCAGTCCTTAGAAAATTATAATATTAATAACAAAACATACTCGTAGTGCTGATAGCATAGAAAATCGAAGAAGTAGTCTAAGAAGGAAAATTTTCTGCAGACATCGATCATATAGCGGCGCTATAATTCTTCACTTGAAAAAATATAAAAACAAAAAAAAACCAAGGTAATTTTTTTTATATGAAACACGACTTGGAACAATACAAAAATTTTACTAGGTAATGGGCTCCTGATTTTACTTACTTTTACTTTTCTCACTTTTAAAAACGTTTAAGTTAACTGTCGTTGCGGCTCCTCCGCAACAACTTAGGCAAGCACAAATGCACCGTTGGCGGAAATTGATTACATACGAGAGTGTGCTGTGAATACTATTTTTATGGTAATCCTGCAATAATGATCGAGGCAACAGTAAGCCAGCCAGCCGCTCGTGAGAATTACCAATGGGAAACCGAGTTTTCGCTGTAGTTTTCCACGAGAGGAAACCATTGAATACAACTCACCCGTCATAGAGGTGTCCTCTTCACTCTTGCTCCCCTCCCCTGTGGATGATCGCCTGCTTAGAGCCGGGGACGTGTCTCGCTTAAGCGTCAAATCGCTCCGCACGGGGGTGGAGTGCGCTGGAGTCGCACTGCTATCCAGCGACTCGAACGTATCGTTGACATACTCCTCTGGAATCTCCTCGGGAATCGAGCTACCCTGGGATCGGGTCTTCATGTCTACTTCAGGAATAGAACTGTCACGTGACCTCTCTGACTGATCTTGTGACCTGTCACGTGTGGGAATACTCAGCTCCTCAGCAACTGAACTCTCACTGGCACTGCGCTCGTGGCCATGCGACCGAGCCGCCTTGATGGATTCACTGATTCTGTCAGTTCCTTGTGTGGATCTATCTTTGGAGATGACTTTACTAGAGGGAGTCCTAGATACTGACAGGCTGGCAGAGGCCTCTCTACCACTGCGATCTGTTAAAATAACCAGCTCATTTTAATAAGACAAAACAATTCTGTTGTAAGGAAGAAGAATGATCAGTGTTTGTGTCGTAGTGAGGCATAAGTCATGAAACGTTCGTGCCGTGAAACATTTGGCTTTCTATATACTATTGAAGAGTATATGACGCACAAAATCAAGCATTAAATTAAACTTTATTCCAATATTCCCAGAATAGCTTAATTCCTTAAAAAATAACATTCAACCATAATTAACATTTTAAGTTTCGGTACCGAGAAAAAATCTCGCAGTTAACACAATCGAGCGTAAACAAGAAACGCAACAAGCTCGTCAGGCCTGCAGGGTTACTTTCAGGTAAAGGTAATTCACCTCTCCGATTTATTTCCTTCTCCCGAAGCAAAAAGTAGAAGTTCTGTAGCGAAAAAACTTAAATTCCGCAATGTCGAGGATAAGCATGTATAATGAACAATTATTTACCGAAGAGAGGGTGAATACTGGTGAATATTTACCGCCGGTGCCGCGGAGCAACAGAGTAAGCACTCACCACTTTCACCGACACCGGAGTGGTATATTGTCCAAGAATAAACCACACAAGAACCAATAAAGTCGGCTACTTTTGTCAGTGTACCGAGAAATAGTCGCAAATTGAACTCCTGACATTCGATTTTTTCCTCCTCGGCTGCTCGGAGGTGAATGGTACTTGCTAATCATTTTCGAGCCAACAAATCAGCACGCGCGAAAGGCACTATTTACCTGTGTGGTATACGCTAATTCCTACAACTCGCCTCCCCGAATTTAGTGTGACTACTACAAAAAAATGTTCAAATCAGTAATCTATCATGCACGTCGTACCTTTATGTTCTTCTTCTTCGCTTGTTATGCTGGTTGTCCTTGGCTGCTTCCTGGAGCTTTCGAGATTTAGAGCTTCGTTGAGTAGGTTCCTGACGAGACTTTCTTCTTTGTCAAGTCGTTTCTCCCATTCCAAAAGCTTTTTCTTGTTCTCCAACAGATTTTCAGCCTCTTTCCGTCGTTTCATAAGCTTCTGCTCTCGCAGAGTTAGATACCTACGACATAAAAACAAAAACATCACAATTTATAATCAACAACAACAAAAAAACAACACAAACAACAAGAAACAACAACAACAAAAAACGAACAAAAAAAACGCAAAAAGGCAAAACATAGAATCTGGCGCGAAAATTAAGAAATGCATACACTTATTAACGAAAGCAAACATCGGTACAAAAAGATATACCACGTAGTTAACAATAAAGCGCATGTTGTACCAAGCTCGGTTTATGTTCGATCAGTGAAAGCCTTGCCTGGAGAAATTTTGCAGAAGCCGACAACTTTAAGAGTCGATAGTATTGCAACCGATTAAAATCACATATAAACTTCCCGAGGCCTTGAGCGATTTCTACCGAAAGTTGCCGTGTATTAGTTAGAATAAATGCGACCAGAATTACATTTGCTTTTAAAGAAGCGCTATTCAGTCACCAATGCTTGGAGCTGGACGCCTGCACTGAGTTACGAAGCGTGATCGAGTACCCGTTTCGTGCAGTTACGAAAAACAGAGGACAAAAACACTGGAAACAAGCACCTCAGAAAAACTGCATCAGTCCCAAATCAGCTTGTAAAGACGGATATGAAGTCATACACCACACTACAAGACGATTAAACAGAGTTTTGGATCAGGAACAATACAGGGAGTGGACTTAAACTTTGAACAATTGTCCGGTGTATTTCCATTCCAGACAGTCACATAATCCCATTCAAGTAACTCATGAATTACATATTTCCAGATATATACAATTGCCCTTGGTAACACACGCAATGTAAGTTTAAAGCGGGAAAATTTCCGTAACATCCTCTCCTCACCCAAACACTTCCCTCCTAGAAGGAGAGGCGGAAAACAAAAACAGGATTGTCCTAAGAAGAGATTGAACCGCTACAAACAGGTTTTATCAACACTGATTATTACACCGGTCAAACAAGCTGCAAACACGACAGCTGTACCACTGATAATAAATTACCTTGAAATTTATAAGAATGACAATAAAACTAAATTTCGAATCGCCTTAAAAGACAAATTGCTCACTAAAAGAGAATCTCAGGATTGTTACTGTGAAAAAGAAATTCGATTATTTCAAACGTAATGTTCGTTTTCAGTTAAGCAATACTGGCAAGGAACACAGAAATAAATTGCAAAAACGTTTTCGGATGAAAATTAAAGCGTCAAATAAAGAATTTTCACTTCTACTGAGAAACTGTCGGCTGGATCATAGTCGGGGTAACTGTTTGAACCTAGCGATCAGCGAAAACGTCTACGTATCCGTAAAAAAACAACAGCAGGTGGAATGATAAAGAAGCAAAAAGTACAGTACCTTCTAACGCAGAAAAACAACCACATCATGGCCAACAAACTGCACAGTTAGACGGCTTCCGGGAACCATTAACTAAGACAGCCTTATGACAGGAAATTTCTAATAGCATAAGCGATTTTACGCGGGTTTTGATCAGCGACGACAAGTGATTACCGCTAGGGCTTCGCAATGTTTTACCGGTTCTTTTATTTGTTTTCATTTCTACGTCTCATTCTGGCAGGAGTCCACAGTATTCTTGCTAATCGTGTTTTTTTTTCGGAGCACGTGAATAGGGACTTTCTAGAAAACTTTGTAGAGAAACTTTGTTGAGAAGTTTTAGGTCGTAATTCCTCAACGAATCCTAAAAAACGACCTTAATATCTCAACGCCACAAGCATCACACGAATAGCTGTAGGTGAAACCTGATTCTGCAGGAAAGTTTCATTAATACTAAAAGCAATAAGAATTGTCCAAAACTAAAGAGTAAAGGACATTTCAAAATGACACTGCTTTTGAGTTTTGTTTAGTTCAATATTGGTTCGAGTCTTTTTGCCTCTCGTCGCTAGTGATAATCATTTCCACAAGCGAACAGAATGGGTGGCACACAAATACAAGACAACTTAAAAAAGGTTTCGCGAACGCAAAAGATGTAGTTCGGTTAACGATGGCTGGCTGTTGCCAAGAGGCGAGAGGTAAAGAAGATAACTTAAACCGCTATAAAGGTTCTGAGTCGTCGAGAGACCGCAAAAAAACAATTTGAAATGTTTTACTTGTCCTGAAATAAAAACGAACTGTGCTGCCACTTGCAAACGACAGAGAAGGAAATTTAACCCGTTAGAAAAATTTATTTTCATTTTCATATCTTAATTTGTTTGTTCTGAAGACACTTACGCGGTACTAGCAAAGAAAATAATACGGTTGTCTGTATTGAGCAAAGAAATAATGTTTGACTGAGGATTGAGAGGAAGAACTCATGGTATATCCTCTCTCCAACTCAACACACTTGAAAATAGACTGTCCTTACAGGTGGTTAGCAAATATAAATCACAACATTTCAATAAGTCCCAAATACACTCTCACCTGCGAAGCTTACGGCACAGCATACAAAGCATAGATCGGCGGAAAAAAAAACTAAATTACTCCAGAAAAGTAGATTCCGAAAGCAATTAGCAGATTAGTTTTAAATACAAAAAGCGGCAGCGGCCATTGAAGGAAATCTGAATCGGGTATGCTGGATATTTCCACTGAATGTGTAGTTTTTTTTCGCTGTGACAACTTGTGGAAATAATTTTGAAAATATTCAAAGAGCTGTTTAAAATTGGTGGAACGTGCTTCAGTATCCAACGAAGTGTGACGACATGTCTAAATTTATAAATTCTAAGTTCTGTTTGCATATTCGACGCAAAAGGAAACTCTAAACGCTATGAATCCCTTAAAAAATAAAAATACTTTTTGAGCCGTTTGTCACGGTAGTATAAAATGACGACGGTTAATTACTATCAGTACATTTGGACTTAAGTTTTCAACGAAAGATAAGTGTTTTTAAATAGTGTATTACATCTTGTGTTGTCAAATTCTACACGATCCATTTTAAATTAACAAATGAATAATTTCGTTGGTCTACCATAGGCAAAAACCAGGTTTCCATAAAATATTACGGCCGTAAATCGATTGGAAGAAGTCAAATTCAAACCACTTCACCCAAGGTAAATATTAAAAAAAAATTAGTCCCTGAAATTATTACGCGTTTTAAAAATGAAAATGACATAATCCACACAGTCTGAATTTAAAATCTATCGAATGTCAACAAAACACTGATGAAAATCACGACGCCGCTTAACACACAATAGCAAATACAGAAAGTCGTCAAATAGCGACTACTGTTTGGATAACCTTGAATCTAAGCCATCAAAACTCACCGGACACACAACAGAAGACACCATTGTCGGCATTGACAGTTGAGTCGCTAAACCGATCACAGAATGTGAGGCGCTGCTTACGTCAGTAGTTGTCAATTACTGGAAGAATTTACCGCTCCGGGATATGCCTCGGCTTATCATCATATTGGCTGGCCGGCAGAAACCCACTAAAATTTAAGATGTTAAATAGGCTCATTCAAAAGCGATGAATCGTGAAAATACCGTTCGGAATTTTGTCTTCGCGTTTCCGGAAGGAGCTAGAAAATTTCACGTAAATCAAAGATTTATGAAGAAGAAATTTGATAGCTTTATTATTTGCATGTTGGTGTTCGGATATGCTTTAGGAACATCACGATCTCAAAAAAAAATCAGTTATATTATCAAGATATTGCCTTCCGTAAACATACAGATTTAATACAAGAATCTTATCGTCGATGTTTTACCTCAAAATAGCACTGTCATTCAAGTGTTGGATAAGTTTTGTATGAGATTTCCGGGACAGATCTGACTAGGAATTAAACAATATTTGTAGAAGACAAAGGTCTTAAGCTGTCCTAGCAAATATTTAAGGGGTCAGCAATTAGCCTGAACAATCATCGTGCACAGCAAATTTAATTGAAGAGAGAGCTTAATTCAATTCAGTCGTACTTATAGAGCAGCGAAAGTCCTAGACTGGCGCACTTATCGTCTTTGTAATTCAACCGGTTTCATTTTCACTTCCTTGTTTGTACTTTTCGACTCAAACGTTTCTCATGATTGATTACCGTATACGTTTTATAAAAAAAAAATAACGAAATTGTAGAGCACACGAACAATACTCATGGTTTTAACGCCGACAACCGTAAGATCAACAAAGGAGAGCTTTAACAGGTCACTTGGCTGGCTATTCAAATCAAAACAACAGTTTGTATAGCACATGATCAGCGCATGATATCCTAAATGTTCATTTCCTCTCTCAGATATAAGCCAAACGTCTAAAATTTTACATAAGCTATCAAAGGCAGAAAAATACTTGTGTAAATAGCACTGATTCCTTTTCATAGACATGTATGGCACGAACAACAGGACCAGACAAAGCGTGACCTGGCTGAACACTTACCATAGGAAAACGAAAACAACACAAGTATGAAATTTACACGACAAAACGGAACATACCCTAGTCACTGCAAATCATCATTTCAGTCAAATAAAAAAAATCCAACAAAATCGATACTAATAAGTACAACAGCAAGTCTCAAGGAAAAGCCCTCAGACAGCTGCAGTTCCTTGAACAATTTGTTAGCTTTTCACATAGTCAACTTCCGGCCTCTGTTCGTAACAAGCCGAGGTTTGTAGACATCTACAAGTTCAGAGCAAAATCGCACGGAAAGACAATCCTACCTTCACTTCCTGCGAGAAAATTTTATATCAGACACAAAGTTCATGAAGCAGCTGATAGCAGCAAAGGCAAACGAGCTTTATCATACCTTCCACTATATTTAATGCGTGGTGTTGCCAAACGATAAGAATGAGATAGTTACACAAGGCAGATTGCTTGCACTCATAGATAACGTAGACACCTTTTGGCAAGGACGACTCAAACAATGGATTTTTTAGGACTTGCACTTGTAACACAACCGTTTTCGATGTTTTCATAAGTATGGCGCACGAAATCTGCAAGCTTTTATTCGATCAAACTGACACCAAAATTTGGCAGGCAGGCATCTCGACACACTGTTTAATGCCAATTCTAGGTCTCCTTTTTATCATTCCAACTCCCAACCCTTCCTCTCCAAATACAACTTCCACCGTAACATTCCACGGCTTGTAAACACGATTTTAGGTGACAAAATTTTCAGCTAATGAATGGAACATGAGGGTTGAGCTCGGCCAGTTTACTTCCCGCAACTCGTTATTCAATACAATCCCTATAAACAACTGACCTCTCGCTGGATTGATGTTTTAACTTTTTCAACTTCTGCATAACAGTAGAATCTGAAGCTGTTGGTGATCCTTTAGTGGCGGACACAGTCCCCTCCTTAGCAGAGCCTTCGTCACTGTCTCCCTCTGATAATCTTCTCTTCCTCTCGCTAGTACCAGACTCAGCACTGGACGGACGAGACTCGGCTCGACTGGCTCCTGGAGACTGGTGGGTAGGGATTTCTTCAGCGATACTCGCTGCAGCTGAGGCCGAAAGTGAAGCAGTTTTGATGTCTTCTGAGACGGATGAGCGACTGCCAGTGGAATGATCTGCGGGTTTCTCATCCAACTCCTCGACCACCTCAGTCGATTCAGCCTCGCTCTGAAAGAGAGATTATACAAGATGAAATCAACTAATGAGCACAGAGTAAAAGAAAGAATTAATGAATTGATTCTCATAAGAGCCAATAACAACAAGTCGTTTAACCGTTTACACCTTACCATCAGTATACATATTCTCCATACTGTTCTCTAAACATTTCCTTTGGTACTGACATGGAGAATTTGTTAAACAATCAGGAACTTCTTGGGTTGGTGTGATCACTCATAGAGGTCAAAGGGTTATTATGGGTACGTAAGAAAGGTACATGATTACTAGAATGACAGCACATGAGATTTAAAACCTGGGGTTGGTGGGTCGGCGCATCCTTAAATAAAAATAAAGGTGGCAGCGACACATCCCTGCAAATGATAGCAAAAGTGCAGTACATGTCACTTCCAGAGAGAGACCAGCGCTACGCTGAGTGGTAAGGGATCCGCCACCGCTCGAAGTTTTATTTTGGGGGGGGGAGGGGGAGGGGATCGCATGGTTTTCTGGGAAAATGGGTAATAGAGGGTCAGTCGTAACTAACAGAGTATGAAAGGGGAACTGCAGAAAATTGACTGTCAGTGAGGGAGGATCACCAGAATACTAGAGAATCTTAGGGGGGATTTTACTGACGCGCCCAAAATCCTCCAGCCCTCCAGCCCCCCACCCCAACCCCCAAGCTATAAATAAAGACAGGTCCTTGAAGTGTGCACGCAACATTAAAAATTTACAAACAAGTCACGCGAACACACAGTGCTGTTCAGAAAGATACACGCGATCGACAACTACGAAAGAGAGCTTTCACGAAAAAAAAACTGCTTCGATGACATTTTGTTGACAGCACACTTCCTGTTCGTAAAGCCAGGAGAAAGGCACGCAACAAAGACTACACTAATAAATAAGGCAAAATTCAAACAACTCATACTTATTAATAACGTAGCTTATCAGACGAATGTAACTCCATACATCCCAGAAATTCCAAAATGAGGAGTTCTATTTCTATTATGGCGTGCCTTTCGTGAGTTCAGCACGAACATATATAGATGCCTTAAATGACCACAAATGAATATACTTGGAGAGCGTCACATTGTGAACTCCAATTTACATTTAATTATTATAAAGAAACTTCCTAAAGTTAAGTTTAAGCAGGGCTGAAACCAGTCAGTACGTCTCAGATATCGATTGAGCGCTACTTGTTCCTAATAACCTTGCTAGTGGGGTTAGCGGTGTTCTGCTCACCGCAATGCAATCTTTATCGCAAAAAAAAAATAAACACATCAAACCAGATTAGATCTGTAAATGTTACGTAAGGAACACATTTTCACAAGTAAATTGCAGTCAGAGAAAATGTGGAAAGCAAGCATAATAAAAAAAATAATTTAGGCCTCGAATAGACTTGAACCCGTCCTTCCCTGATATGTCTTGATTAATGAAATGTAAGTTTTCTTCACATAATTCACGTCACAATTTAAAGACAGAGCACTCATATGAAAACGACTATAAGGGAATCATTCACGAAAGAAGAGCATAAAGAGAGGACCTCATTGTGCTGCGCCTTAATTCTCAAAAACCGAAATAATACAGGATTTTAAGTCCCCACCCCTTGCCCCCCTCACCCTTGAATTAGTAATTATATGCCAAAGGTTGATTAATTTCTGTTACACCTCACCTTTGCCTGTTCTGCAGAGTCCTTTTCTCCAGTTTTCAGGTTATCAGTCCGTTCCTGTCCGTGCACCGCCTGCTCTGTAGCCGCCCTCTCTCGGACTTTCTTGGTGTTTTTTCTCAGTCTTGCAATCTCCTCCTGTTGCATCAACAACAAACGCCGTTCGTAGCTGGCTGCGCGATTCGCAGCTTTCAGACGTTTAATCTCCGCCTGACAGAGGCAAAAATAACATCATGAAAACCCAACAATTACAAATTAAACGACGTAATTAATCTCCTTAAGATATTATGACTACATCCCTACTGGTTTAAAAACAGAAGGAGACTTCAAGTGATCTTTGGCAAATCCTCGTAAGGACAAGAATTAGACCAAAACAGGAAATTGCTCATGTGATTTGACGTGGTGTTAGAGAATAAATTCTCGTAGAAGATCATTTCACTATTGCAACAACACATGACTTAGGAAGGGATGTATTAAGAGATCATAAAGGTAGATCGTACGAGTAAGTTTGGCCTTACATGTTCCACACAGAACTAATTTTGGTGAAAGGCAACCAGGGCGAAAGTCATCATCACAGTCACGAGAACCGCGCAATGTGACGACAGTCACAAATAATGCTGCTCGGAAATTTCTCAGAATAATTCACAAAGATTTCCCAAAAAAGAATTAATTGAATTAAAACAGGTTGACATTACAACAGTCTCTTCGGCACAATTTCGCATAATACTAATTTCCGCGTACAAACATGTTTTCCTCCACCGACCTGTTCAGCTTGAAGTCTCATTAAAACTCCTCGCTGCCGCTTCCTAATTGACGGCATGACGTCATCAGCGCCCTTGTCCCGATGCCTTTGCTTCTGACATTCAAGCCAGGCCATCTCGGCTCGTGTCTTTTCCTTCAGGGCTTTTTCGCGCAGGCGTAGAAGCCCAGCTTGATGTTTGGCTCGAACTTCTTCCTCCTTCATCAAACGGACCATTTCGGACGTGAACTGAGAGAATGAATCTTCACCGGAAAATGGCGCTGAGGAAAACTCCTCCAACGTCTAGGGTAAAAAGGGAAGGGTTAGGGACCAGTCATTATTCATCGCCTGTGGTTGGAGGGGGGAGGGGGAGGGGGAGGGAGAGGGGGAGGGGGAGAGACTTGGCCTAAATACCATCATCCAGAAAAATGGCCAAAACATTTGGCCGGAAATTATCAAAAAAATTGTCGATTAATCCCACTATCATGTCCTAAAATCTCGAATTTTTGTCTCAGGCACTGAGGTCTCACAGTGATTTAAAAAGGCATGCTGGAAACACAACTTAGGATCTTAACCAATGACCAGTAGTATTTGTATAGAAGAAGCCCGCTTGGAAACAATGGAAGAACTCCGAGGAAGGCTTTACGAACTACGTGAATTTTTTAAGCTAACGGCTGTATTCTTCTAAAAATTATCGTCTAAAAATCCTCTAATGTTCGAAAAATCCTAAAACAAAATCCTATTTTTAAGTATCAAGCCCTATCATGATCGCTTATTACAATTAGCCAGCTAAAGTAAATAAATCAACAACTACCTTGTCAACCGGAAAATCCTGAGAATCATGGTTATCGTCCTAAAACCAGGAAAAATAATACATCACCACCAACATATCAAAGGCGTTAGGCCCTAAAAAAGGCTGAAACACGCATGAAAGCACGCCACTGGAAAAGAAAAGCTATTCTTCTGCGCTACCACAAAATAATACTTCAAATTGGATTTATTTATTTTAGTTTCACTCAATACGCGACGAATTTTTAAGTGAAACGTATTTATTCTGTCTGCGATTATGGGCACTCAAATGTTCTCGTTTGTGTATATATTTTGCGTATTATGCCAAACCATCGATTAAGACAAAATAACAACAATCAAAACGAAGTGGAGCGATGGTGATATTGCCTTCACACTTTCCCCAAGGATTTTTCGGATATCAACTTCAGTAAACAGTATTTTGTAGTCGTCTAATTACCTTGTGACACTACCTTTGTAGATTTCCACTTAGTATCTCATTTTACAACGTTAAAACTCATATTTACTTACAGACGAGTAAGATACAGTCCCCTGGTCAGAACCTATGCTGCCGCGCCTTCCTGTCTTACCCAGGCTCCTCCGTCTGTGGCTCTCAGATGGAAGAATCATTCGGAAGTCAATCTCGTCATCTGTTGCAGTGTGTGATGACATCACTGTCTCTTCGAAGTTCAGCGTGTAGTCTTCTTCCGGTGACCTTTCTAAGCGTTCTGAAAGAGCAAAAAGAAATTTCTAAATCATTTTATTTCAAGGTTAGCTGAGTCGTTAATGTTCACTGCCAATAGTGAGTTGATAAGTGTTGCAACATACCAGTTCATAGGTTCTCTCACAATTGCACTGAACAGACTAACGGGTTACCTCCCCCTCAGTACATAAGGAGGAAGGCGGAAGAAAATAAAACACTTTCTCATATTTATCGCATTTAAAGAGGGCTGATACGTGAAGAAAATATGTGTCTTACCCATTTGGCATGGGTAAGACACATAGCGTTTCCATACAGTTCTTCATAGATTTCCTAAGGTGGTAACCTAGAGAATCTGTTTAACAATCACGAGCTTCTTTAGTTGGTAATCATTTCTCGCGACCTTAAAATGTAATTCAGGGAGATATTACAAGGAGAAATTAGATGCTGGTCTTCCTTACGAGCCAAAGGGTTAAACCCACCAGACGAGTGACTGTACAGCTGTCTTTTCCCGTACTTACCTGATGGTTTTTTGAGGTCATCTCCCGTCAACACGTCAGCTATAGAGTCATCATCAGCCAGGTCAAGTCCAAGATCGGATGCAACGCTATCAGCCACACTGTGATCAACTTCTTCGGGAATGCTACCCGACTCCTCCCCTGCTAGTGTTGAGTGATGCGAGCGCGAAGCAGCTTCTGACCGGGTGGGGGTGCGCCGGCTGTGGCTGGCAGAACGGTCCACTGATAGATCACTTGCTGTACGAACGCTAGAAATAAAGTAATAAAATAAAGATGTGATCGTCAGGTTACAGTTACAGTTTGAGTTTTTTGGTTCCTTTCTCTCTTTTTTCCTCGTGGTAAAATAACTTGACAGTCCTTTCTAAATCGGCTTGCCGCTAAACAAGTTAACCTGAAATCATTTTATTTGTGGACAAAAGCCGTTTCGGGACACGAGTAAACAAAGCCAACCGAACAAAGGGTTGTAACACATGATGATTTTTATCCCCTAAAAAAATAATTACGTGGCATATGTTGAAGTTTGGTTGAACAAAGCAATTCTGTGGAAACATGAGCCGCGGGGGGTTGTTCTCCAATCCATCACCGCGATTGCTATAAAACTTCGCGAGTTCTTTTCAAATCGATCAAAACTGAAAAAAAAATACTACGAAGAAAAAGGAAATCTCTCGCTTTACTGCCGTCACTTGGCTTAAAATTCTAAATTTGTTAACTTATGCTCTCTTCCCTTAAAAAGTGTCAACAGCCCAAGGCATTTCCATGTTTCTATGAAACACAGAATTAAACGCTCGAACATGCTTCCTTTCTCTTCAATGCAAGGTATACTTCCATTTTGTTATGTAAATGATAAATGTCGTGTGTCTGATAACTGCACTAACACATCAACACACGCTAGTTTAACACGATTGCCCTTGAAACGGATCTCCATCAAGAATTATCTGTGAGAAAAAAAACATGTAAACGAGACAAAAAAGAGAAGGGAAGAGTTTTTGTTCTTTTCCTTTTCACCAAGATAAAACAGAAACAGTCTTCGTTCAATCATCTTTTTTTACGCGATAGGATAGAAATAAACTAGAACATGGTATATAAGGCTGTCTTTAACACTTTGATATATCTTAATTAGCTATTTGTTTTTCTTGATATATCTCAAGTTGCATTTGGCTACCTTTACTCGTTACGCAACGGACAATGGTGGAACTATTGCATAAGCACTTGTCATCGTACTTATTAGCTTTACATACAGAAATAAAGACATGCCGTAAACCGACGGTATACTTATTTACCTTACAGTTCTATCTTGCTTAGAACTTCGTGAAACATCCACATCATCACCAACATTCGTCCTACTCTTACTAGCACTTCCCTTGGATTGTGATCCCCAGTCTACCGCATCAGTTTCTGACCGTGGGGTCCTTGTTCTAGAATAGCTGTCGCTGCGCTGGCTGGTTGAGTAACTGGAGTAACTGTCACGCGTCACGTCTCGACTTCTGTCACGGTAGCTTTTTAGACGTGCTTCTCTTTCTCTCAACAGTTGTTCTTGCTGTTCGTGAAATCGCGCCATGCTGCTCTTGACGGCTGCTTCTGCGGCTGCACTGGCTGCTTCAGCGGCAACACCACGTGTGTCAACGGTCTGTTGCTTAGCAACCTCCAATAATGTCCGCGCGGCTGATGAGCGGGCCTGGAAAGTAAGGGAAAGAAATCTCAACATAAAAGTAATGTGGAACATCATTTCAAGACACATTTTTAAAAAAATTGGCGAGTTGGTAATCCAAGTATAGGGGGGGAAAATCGCTCTGTAAGTTAAATCTCTTTCATAGAAGTTATTTTTCTAAATATTTCTTGGTGCTGCTCAGGCTGGATCACCAGATGGCGGACTATTACATTAATTCAGGTGAAAAGAAGACACACGAGAGGTCAGTGCAACGTTTCGCGCGTGGGGGTAGGGAAACACGCACGCAGTCCTACATAACTGTAGCGGCTACAATGAGTTAAAACACCAACCTCCTCAACTTGTTTAGCTGACTCGGCTGTGGTTCGTGCAGCTTCACTCTGAACCTAAGGGAAATAAAACACAGAGGGAGAAATCAGCAACCAATCAACGACAACTACAAGACCAACAAATGAATACAACAAGTCACAAGCTGCATTACCGTAACTAGCCGGTCGGCGGATTCTGATATGCTAGCAGCCGCCTCCAGTCTCACTCGAGCAATCGTCTCAGCTGCTCCTGCAGCAGCATCCGCCGCCGCACGTCGGGCCTGAAAATCGGTACAATATTAAAGATCTTAAAAGGGCAGTAGGGTAATAAGAAAAAAATAAGACTATACAGAAGTTTGTCGACACAGATCTTTACGGCCATACTTGAATAAGTAGTGATTTTAAATGCCACGCACGACAAGAACATTGTTCAGCAAAACTTGTCACTAGAAAAAACATGGTCTAGAATACAGAACTCAGCTCGAGTGTCTGGAACAAATTGGACTGTTTGAATTGTTTCTGTTTCCTTGTTTAACTAGGTCAAATTTTCTCTGACGTCAACAACGTCCTAATTTCTCTCTACCTCTCTTTCATTATCCCTTTTATGTTTTCCTCTTCTCCAAGTAATTCTTCAAGGAATTCCTTCAGCTTTGGGTAATTTTTAAAAAACAATGTGGCGAGCTGTGCGTATTTTGTGGTCTCCATAGGCGCGATAAAGGAGTTGACTGGGTACTTGAATTAATCAAACTTGAATAACTTTTAAGTTATTGAAATAAGTATTTTTCGAGTGAATAGAGTACTTTTCAATTGAATGTGGTAAAACATAAACCAAAGTAATCAAAACGACCAATCAGAATTAAGGGACAGACCAGAAGGAGCCAATGGGAGCTCAAATTAAAAAACTTCCTGAAGCGCGGGAAAACGCTAGTAACCAAAAGGCGATTGGGTTTAGTTTTGAATCTGATTGGTTGATAAAGTGGTGCGAGTTTTCTGGATCAATCACAGGGCGAAATGAAGCAAAACCAAAGTAATCTCGTATTACTTTCGACACTGAATTGGAAATTTCTCTATTAGCATATAAATCCTAGTGCGATCCTTCTATTTTTGCGCCTTACCTCTTCCAGTTGCTTAGCTGCCTCTAACGCTTCCTCACGAGCCTTGGCCCTAAGATTCTCCATGTCTCTGGCGTGCGACAGTTGTTTCGACTAACAGTAAAACAAACAACAATACCATCAACAAACATGAAAATGGAAAATAATTGATTGAAAAAGCCACAATGACTCTACAATAATGGGCCATCAAAGATTGCTTGAAGCACGAGAGAACTGGGACGACCAAGTCAAGAATAGTTTTAGTCTGCAACCGATTGGATGAGAGAGTGACTTGAGTTTTCTAGACCAATCAAAGTAAACAAAAATTTTTCCAGTTGTGTCATAATACCAAAACCAAAGTAGTCACAACGGCCAATCAGAAGGGGAAACACCTTTAAGAGCCAATGAGAACTCAAAGCAAGAACAGTCAAACTGGCTAAAGCGCGGGAAAACGCGGGTGACCAAGCTGTGATTGTTTTTAGTTTTGCATCTGATTGGTTGAGAGGATGGCGCGAGTTTTCAGGATCCAATCACAGAGCGAAGTAAGTTGTACATCACTACATTATATGACAGCTGAGAAACCTGTGGATGATACAGCATCTCTTGATAAGAAACTAGGAAGAGTGATAAACAAACAAACAAACAAACAAACAATGCCCTTCTGCTCATCAATAGGTTGAAAATTGCTCTATAAGCAAACGTAAAGCAGTCACCATCCCGGATTACCAATAAAATGACACTCAATGAAAAACTGATCCATACACTCACCTTGAGTATCTGAGCCAAAGACACAGTTTCTTGTTGTGCCATGGACACTGCCCGAGTCCGCTCCACGTCAGTCAGTTGTCGGACCGATTCCTCCATGTATTCCAATCTATTCAGTTCTGCAGTGAGCCTCACGTCTAGAGATCCAGGTGACAGCCGGTCACCCCCTTGATGCGATGGCGTAAACACTGACGGCGGTGGGTAAATCGGCGCTGCGTAAGGGGGGACAGGGCTTTGAGAGTCTTGGTCCCTTGAAGGAGAACGCTGAATGGCAATAAAAACGTTCAGCTTTTCACAAAATAGATTTCATCATAAAATACTGGAAAATGAAAAGCGCATCATATTCCAAATTGTAATAACCCTGGCATCTACAGTAGAACACAGCGGTCAAACGTCTGCACATGTGTGCACGTTGTAATAACCAAGTGTGCTTTCAAGCTGTCTGAACTAAGTTTTCTCACACGATTTACTAACAAACACATAAGCAAATACATCGCGGTGTTTTAGAAGCGTAAAACTCTTTGTGGTAAGGTTCAAAACAAAATGATAAATCAGCACGATACCCGTACTAAAATCAGCTTTGTGTTTGAAAAGTTTCGAGTCCTCTTTTTCCATAACTTTCTTTCCTTGTACAGATTTCTATGAACTTTTCAATTTACTTTCGCTTATTTTCTTGTGTTTACTTTCGGAATTTGCGTGGGAAATTGGCGCACGGGTGGCCAAAATTGATCCTGTCATGCCCGACGTTTAACCGCTGTGTTCTATCGTAGAAATATGGTAAAACATTCTGTGGATGATAATCATATATATGGAAATACTGTGTTGACTTGACGGGGTTCGTCCACGAGCGTAGCTGTGTTTCTTTATTTTTATAAAAAAACCATAAGGAAACTTCTACGCATGTCAACAACAATGTCACAACGAACAAATTGGGTTTCATTTAGCAACCTTCAAGAACGTTTGGTCAAATCGACACTTGCTAGATCCATACCCGTGTAGACGAAAAGGTTGAAGATTTGTCAACCGCCTCGCTTACACGAGACAACTCTCCTTCTGACAGTGTGGGTGATAGGGGACCACTTTCCAAACTCCTGTTAGGAGATCGCAAAGAGTCGTTCTTATTGGGAGAGCTTGTCTTGTTCTCTGGACTCTCGAATGTCTCTGAGTACACAGGCTCGTCTGTCTTTCTGTTAGGGCTCGGGGTGCGCTATACGTGAGGAGAAAAAAGCTCAATGAGTAATCTTAGAATAGCTGACGAACATACAAAAAGGTGTAGCCTTAGTTGGCAAAATCAAAGTTACATTAACTAGAGAAGAACTACCCTTTAATCTACATTATATGACAGCTGAGAAACCTGTGGATGATACAGCATCTCTTGATAAGAAACTAGGAAGAGTGATAAACAAACAAACAAACAAACAATGCCCTTCTGCTCATCAAATCGTTTGACTTCAAGATGCATTCTAAAGAAAGCATACAAATTTGAGAAGCACGCAGAAAATTCCAACAATTGATTCAGTCCACATCAACCCTTTGATTCCTAAAGGTGACTAACATCTAATTTCTCCTTACAATATCAACCCTGAATCACACACTAAGGTCACGGGAACAAAGGAAATGATCACCAACTAAAGAAGCTGTTGATCGTTAAACAAATTCTCCTTATCAGCTTCTTAAGAAATGTATGGAGAGCAGTATGGAGAATATGCATACTGATGTTAAGGTGTAAAGGCTTTAGACCTAAAACTCATACAGTTCTAACAACTTGGGCTCCCCCAAACAGGAAAATATAATACCTTTCCACTTCCTCTGTTTGTGCTGCCACCAGAGGACCCAGTAAAGTCATCATCGTCATAATCATCAAGAGCGTGACTCTTATCAGGGGATTCCTCCACCAGTGTCTGTTCCAACAGGTCTCCAGACTGATTTGGGTCTGCAGGAGGCTCAAGCAGACTAGCTGTCTCCCCCACCTTGTCATCTGTCAGCGTCTCTTCAAGAAGACTTCGTGTTTCTGATCCATGTTCCCCTAAACTTTCATCTATGACAAAACAAACATTCATGATCCGGTCATCAAGCAGAGCTGTGAGTAAGAGCCGGTAGATGAACGCAACCTGCGGCTATTCTGTCATCTTACGCTGTCTATTTCACCTCATTCCACCGCAAGCACTGATGAAAAGTCTGTTAAATTGAATGTATAGTTTACCAGTAACGGATTTCGATGTGTGAATCGTTTTCAACTTCAGAATTTGCGCGGGGTTTCGAGTTCACATCGCATGAAACATGAAATTTGACGAGACGATAAAGCGTTCACGATAGCCTGGGCTCCTATCCTTAGTAATTCAACGCGTTAGGATAATTTTGAGAAACTAAGGACATTGCTAATACCATTGGGGAATGTTTCTTCCTTACACTCCTCCACCCCCCCTTCCTCTAAACTTTTCAGGTTGTCCTACAAATTTGCAATATTTCAACTCATTGGTGGAGAGAAACCCTGCGAGAGCTAAATTTTAACCACACAACATAAAATGGACTTAACCTGCACTTACCTACAGACTGTTTTTTATCTAAAAGTCTAATGCATCTACCATTAAGCCACCTCACTGTCCAACCGTACAAATGTATTTACTGACAAACAAAAAGTTGTCTTGACAAATGATGTCTCCGCATGACATTGTATCTTTACGAGGGGCACAATACTGCGAGTGAAAACTAACACTACTCTTACCTTCTTTGGGAAGCAATTTCAAGTGGGGATTTCTTCTGGTAAAAATATTGATGACACTCAAACTAGAACCATAAAGAGATCCGACATCAACGGAAGGTGTCAAATTACAGTTGGTAAGTAGAATAACCATGATTCAAACATTTTTTTTTTCGTTTGGGAGGGGGGGAGGGAAAGGGGGAGACTGTTTAGAGCTTCTTCTTACTGAAGGAAAACTGCAAGCAAAGCAGACAAAGGCACGATAACAAAAGGTAAAGTGAATATGAAAGCGATCTTCGCAGTAATGAACACTACTTAAGCAGTAGTGAAAATAAGGCCTGGAAAAAAATTCAGCCCTGTAAGGGATTTGAACCTATGACCTTTGCGATACTGGTGCTGTGCTCTACCAACTGAGCTAACTGAGCTTGGTAATAAACCCGTGAAGTGATGAATCAATTTTTTTTCAAGCCTTATTTTCACTACTGCTTAAGTAGTGTTCATTAATTCAAAGACCACTTTCATATTCATTTCTTAAACCACAGTTCATATACATGATTTTCATATATTCAAAGTCAAAAGGTAAAGTCTCAGAGGCCAAATGGCCACAACACGCACTGTTTTTACTTGGATTCTGCAGCATAACCTGACTAGGAATAAGTAAACTCAGTAGAGTGCTAGTCTATTCACATAACAAAGGAGTGGGAATAATCAAACCGATTGATGACAAAAAAAATAGCTGGAGAATGAACTGGTACAAAGTACATTGCTCATATGCAACACACCTGTCACCACCTTTGCTTTTCCATGGAGGAGTGGATGATTTCTTTTTCCCCTTTGCCTCCCTAGGCCCATGTCCTGAACAACAGAGATATAAATAATATTCAAATTACTTATCAGAATCGCATAACACAGATTTTCCAATTACTCTTTCCATAAGCAACTGCCAATGGTGTAACAGACAGTTGTGCCTGGAAAAGGGGCCAGAAGGTGCACCCAAAACATGACAGCCTGCTGGCAGGCTAAAATGACAGCGGAAAGATGTCTTAACCCTTTCCACCCTAACATCAGTATGCACATTCTCCATACTGTTCTCTATACATTTCCAAAGGTGCTGACAAGGAGAATTTGGTTGACAATCCAGAGCTTCTGTAGTTGTTGATCATTTCCAATATTCTCATGACCTTAGTATGTGATTCAGGGATGATGTTGTGAGGAGAAATTAGATGCTAGTCACTCTTAAGGGTTTAAGGGTTAAAGGTGGTGTTAAACCATGGGTAACTAGCCTCTTGAAATCCCTGTGTAACGTGTAGTTGTTTACTTTTACAGACACACATCGTTTCTTATAAATAGGTGTGCATTGTATGTAATTCTAAGCCACCATAAAGGTACCGATGGGGTGTTTTTTGTAAGCAACAAAATACCTGTTGTATGCTTTCTTCTTCGAGATTCACTGTTTGGTGAGCTTTTAACACATGATGATCTGTCATCCTGAAGGATGAAAAAGAAAATAATAATCACTGACAACACGAACATCAAATACATTTGCACATAGGGACAAGACTACTGGTGAGTCTGAATGATAAATAAATGTACCCGTATATTGCATGTACATGTACATGCAATAACATCAAGGAATTGTGCTATTAATGTTTAATAGCGATTCACCTATGAGAATGGTTTTCTGTCTACAGTTTTTCAAGATGTAAGAAAAAATGTTGGATCAGTGGCTAATCACCTTAAAAGAACCAAATTTTAAACAAGCAAAACTTATCCCTTTCTTTAAATATTCACAACTTTAAAAATCAGCGTAACATAGAAAAAACTCATTCATGATCTGCCAGTGTCCGCTCCTTTTGAAGCAATAGGGTTCAAATGGTGTGACAATAGCATCAAATCAGGAAAATTTTGCCTCTTTTTTTCCGGAAAAGTAAGTGGAACCTTGACCATTCTTCTATTATGCCAATCTTTTGTTAACAGAACACTTTACCTTCAGGGACTTTGAGCTTTGAGTTGGTGATTTCGCTGTAGATCTCACTGAGCTGTAAGAGGCACTGATGTCAGATATGATACTCTTGTCCTCATTAGGAACTACAGTGTCCCAAGCTGTGGAGTAATGGGATGACTCTGACGTCCCAGCACCTGAGATTCCTGGTCTCTGATGTAGCCCATGCCTGACAGTGGACCTAAGGGTGCGCCCAGAGGGAAGTTTCCAGTTTAGACCCTGGCGAACACTGTGACCTCTAAAGGCCGCTTGGATTGTTGTTGCAGCACTTGTCCGGGAATCCTATTAACATTGAGAGAGGTGCAGAAGTTTAAGGATGCTAGCTGGCTCTGATGAAGGGCTAAAGCTCGAAATGTCAGCTTTGAAACTCTTTACAGTGGCCAATTTACGTCATTAACTCAGTTGATAATACTAGATTACCCTGTTATACTCTCCTACCCACACACCACAACAGTTTCTAAGTAGAAACTGACCCCCTTTATTCTTCCATCCTTTCGCAAAAGAAGGCAAAATAAAATACGTATTTCCACAATAAAACCATCACCTTCATAACTTAGTGCCTGATCTCACTGACATATTAAAATAATTTTGTTTGTAGATTTACATGTATTTCTGTGCTTAAAGAGAAAGTTATCTTAACTTTACCAATTCGTTGTTTAGTTCAGCTTGTTCATGAAGACTTCCAACTCCTGTAACAAAGATGGCAAAAGAAATAAATTTACTGAAATTCAAAATATTGTAACTAAACCTTTTTTGTACTTGTCATGGGAGAAATTTCATGGAAGACTGCATCACACCCTCTGTGCCAGGTGCTCACAGATTTTCGGGCATCTGCAATTTATGTCATACACAAACACATGATACTGGTGCTAAAAGCTGAGTTACCAGTACTGTTAACCCTATAACTCCTGAGATCTGATCGACAATTCTCCCCTCCAACTGGTACACATTTCATTGTAAATTAGTCATGAGAATTTTTTGTTTCATCAAGATAACAACTTTAACCTGATAAGTCTGAGTCTGGATAATGTATGTATATTATAGGGAGAAGTTACATTTTAATCCCTTGTGGGAGTTAAACACAAACCTGGGAGTGCTCCCCTGAACACAGTGTGATCACTAACTGTTGTAAAGGTTCCTTGTTCCTCAGCTGTTTCTTCAGAAGCAGTGGTGTTCAGATTCAGACCAAGTCGTAATGCTTCTGATGCCAGTCGCTGTTTGAGCTGTGCAGCTGTTTGTTTTATTGCTGCTATTCTATCCTCTCTGGGAGGACTACTTGAAAGCCTTTCCTCCTCATTTCTTGCTGCAAATTAAGACAAGGGGTCACTTTATTCTATATAATAAACTCCTTTAAAAACTTGTTATTTTTTTATGTTAAGTGAGTACGAAAACAAAATGTTTCCCAGTAATAATTGCACATCTTCTTTAAAAACTTGTTCAGTCAAGATGTTTCACTTGAAATCATTGCAATATATGAGGAATCTTTGCTAAATTTTTCAATAATGCATATAATTTCCAATTCCAGGTGGAAACCAGATGACAGTTCTTTCAGAGGTGTAAAGTTTACCAGCTACAATTTATAAGGGAATCTCTGCAGCATAGACAAAATTTTCAGCATGACAAAATCCTGGCACCCACATAAAAGCTCCCATCTTTCCACACCCAATACAAATACAAAAAAAAATATTTTGTACAATAATGTGTGTCATTTTTTATTATATTGTTATTTTGTATCTTGTATTTTCAAAATTTTTCATTTACGTGTATTAAAATTTGAAAACAAAACAAAAAAAATCTTTCCACACCAATGTTAGATGTATCAAGAAAAGAAGTGTAAAAATGTGTTCTTTTAAATTCAATGGAGAGATCAAATCATCCAATGAAGACCAAAAATTTAACATAAAAATGAAAGAAGAACAGACATATGTATAACACAGTAAAACTACTGACATACCAGATGAAGACACAACCCCTGGTCTGTGTCTGTCAGCCAGCTGACTTGGGCTGGAAGAACGAGGCTCAAACTCACCTGTTGTCAAAAACACATCATGTTGCAGGTCTACTTTAAAGCAAATTAATTATATAGATATTGATAATTTTCTTTGATAAATAAAGTTTATGGTGCTAGAAATTATTTACCAGCTCCTAATGACAGTATAAATGTAAGATTCTCACTTCTGGCTAACTCCAACTTTGAAACCCCCTGAATGTATCTGCTAACCCTTATTCCTTTTGTTAATTTAGTTTTGTTATCCAGCACAGTAAAGTTTAGAGATTTTGTTTACCTTGAATCTGCAAATCATTGAAAGGGAAACAGTTTGTGGTTCTACACGTGACAAACCATGCATTTACATGTACCTTGAGGGAAGCCAACATATTCAGGTCTCAAATCAGTGGTCTTTGTTCCAATAGATACACTAGTTACACCTGGGACTGGACTCATCCTCTCTCTGTGTGGTTCTGGAGAAATGCTGCCATCTTCACTTAGAACAGATGATGAGCTAGATAAACTGTGGTGGTCTCTGCCATTCACCCCAAGTGTCTCCCTGGATGTGGAATAATTTGGAAGACCTTTGAAGGAGGCGATGTCAAGATTCTCTGCAAGATGACATTAGCAACAGCCTTGAGTACAACATGTATTTGTCCAGAAACACTTTTCAGGGCCATATAGATTAAAGAGTTAAGGTAAACTGACATAAACTATAATTTAGACTCCTATTTTTTGATATGTACCTTTATCTGACCCACTGACTCCCGTATCTTCACTGTAACACTTAAAGGGAAGAAAAAAAGAAAGCAACAATGTAAATAACTTAACATCAAGCCTTGCATGAGACATACTGGGCTTCAAGCAAACAAAACAGAATGATAGTAAAGAATTTTTTACAATTTCACTCTGATACCTTCGAGCACATGACTTCAATTCTAGATCTTAACTAAACCATACAATACAGTACATGAACAATATAGTATTTCAACATAAAATATTTACTTTCAGAAACTGCCTGTGGGCTCTAAGTAAGTATTTTACAATCTGTTGTCTAGCATTTAACCATCAGTCAGTAGTATGGAGTTATTCAGCAATTCTTTGCAAATTCTTAGCTTTTGATGAAGTTCCATGGCATTCTTACAAAAAATACATTCTGTACTTGAAAGAATATATACATTTACAACTTTGTGTTATATATTAACTTGCGAGTAACTTCCAACCTTGGTCAACTTTTTCTCTGTCAAGAGGACTGGATGAAAATTTAACAAGCTATTTACCTCTACTTCATCTTGTTGGAATGGGTGGTTGTAAGGGTATATAATAGATCTGAAATCACTGCGGCCTTTTGAATATGTTTCCCCAAGAGATTTCTTGTCTTTGCGATGAAGGTTGTTTCCAAGATTCTTTTTTTGTCTACTGTACAGTTCCTGCAGAGAAAGGCATCAGCCCATAAGGATTTGTTTTAAATAAAGAAAATAATATTACACAGCTGTTAAAAGTTAGTAGTAATAATCATAATTATAATAATGAAAGTAAACTTAAATAAATTATAATAAATCTAAGATTAGTTAACAGCCCAGTGTACCTCAAGCTTCTTCTTTTTTTCTTCCACAGCCCTTTGTTTCATAAGCCTGTCTTCTTTCAACTTTTCCTTTCTTTCAGCCATTTTTTTAGCCATGTATTTCTGCTCAAAACACAGCAATTCAAATTACTCCATTGTCATGTGTACAATGAGTTTAGGAATTCAGTATAAAATAATCCACAAAATTAAAATATCTTCTAAAAATTCATGGGAGTAATCAAACCAAAATTTGATATCTAATGCCTGATTTACTAAAGGTGCAAATTGTAAGTTTGAAATAAACCCTTCAATACCTAAAAGAAATGAGAAACTGATCGAGGGGAGGTAAGCCATCCCAAAAAAAATATTTCTTTTTCTCCAGAACAGATTTCGTATCCTAACCTTAACTTCATCAGTGTCATAGTGTCTCTGCTTTTGTGCAGGATAGCTTGGCTGTTGTGAAGCTAGAAATACATTGTAATAATAATAGTTATTATTTGACATTATTATTTTTATTATTATTATCATCATCATGTAACTCTTATTATAACTTCTACTACTAATAATCACTATTATAATTATCATTACAGTTATAATTAGTATCATGATTACTAGTAATATTGCATGTATACTATTGACATAAGTAACATAATATTATTATTGTTATTATTGATGGGTAATAATTGGTCAAAAGAATTATTAATGATGAGATTCTTAATGTAAGCAGACGTAAATCAAAATTGAGGAAAATAGAAAATGCCTTTATTGAAAATCAGAAGAACTAAATTCCACAGAATTCAACGTAAACAGACAAGGTCACCATGTTAATACTAAATTACTAATTTCATCCTCAAGAGTCACATCAGAAGCACAATTTTCTCATTTTTTTCCCAAAGTAAGTTATGAAATAAGTTTTAGAAATTCCATAAAAATATAACTTGCTCCAAACCTTGTGGCTTTACCCTCAATGGTCTCTTTCTCTGAATTCCCTTTGATGACTGCTTCACTTGAGTTTGTTTGGGTTTGAACTTGGGAATAACCTTATCACCATCGTCCTTGTCTGAAGAAGCACAACAACAAGTTGAGACAATGAAAATATCCAGTTTTATCAATAAATTTTCCCTCCATATTTGAACACAAAAGTGTAATAAAGTCTTCCTAACCTCATTTTCTCAGAGTTTACAGCAAATTGCAGAACCTTGTTTAATCCACACAAAGATATGTTCTAAATACAAAAACATACCTTGCACATGGATTGTAAATCCAAGCAGAAAAAAGTTGGTCCATAACTTTCAGTACAGACCTCAAATGTTCATATGACCTAATCCCATGACTGACATTTAGAACTGAACATATTATTTGTATATCATCTCATTAAAGTAACCTCTTACTTAAACACTAACCAGATTCATCATCAGTATCAAGTTCTAAGTCAGACAGAATATTTTTTGCCTCTGTGGATAAAATTCTGTTCCCTCTTAAATCTTTCATATCCTCATCAGGGCCAACTGCTTCAAATTCCTTGGCAGCAACTGGAGAATTTTGGGACAGTTCAGAATCTGTTAATAGAAGGAAGAAATTACAGATTCAATCACTTCAGTAATTTTTTTGAATTTGATGAGGGTCATTCAGATGAAAATTATTCACAATTCATCAACTAAAGAATAATGTGAAATAAAAAAACAACAACCTTTTCAGTATGGACATTAATGTAGTTGTCCCAAAGTACAACAATTGCCTCTTCTGTTTTTCTTTTTGTTGTTGTCGTTTTTTTAACCCTTTCACTCCCAGGAGTGACCAAGACATAATTTCTCCTTACAATATCAATCAGACCAGGGAATAAAGAACAAATATAAATTAGGGGATAATGAGTTTATCCAATACCAAATTCTCTTAACCAACATCATAAGAATTTTATAGCAGACAGTAAGGATCAAATAATACTAATGACATCTAGGGAGTAAAAAGGTTAAGGTATTCTAGGTATGATTTATCTCACCTGAGTCCGTATTCCCTGCATTCACTGCTTGCTCTTCATGAACTGGAGATGCTTCTCTGGAATTATCACTTTTTGCACTGCCATTTCTCTCCCCTAAATCCCCATTCATGTAACCACCACTCCTTTTATTGCCAGTATCATTTTTCAACTGGAAATTTAGACTCCTAGGTTCTGATATGTCTGTATCTTGGCTACTGCTTGACTGGGGTCGACTGATGGCAGAAGTTTTTGCCTTCTTGGTTGCTGGACCCAATATCCTTTTCACTGTTTGTTGGCCAGTACGCCATGATGATGTTGTTATAACATCTGTTGGGCGGCGAGGGGCAATGACTCGTTGTACCTTGGGAGGTCCTGGAAAAAGATGTTTCATATTAGTCATGTATCTTCTGAAGACTTAACACCTTAACCCCTAAGAGTGATGAGGATCTACTTCTGCTTTAACAACTGCAATATTACAATAGGGTTGAGTGCCTGAGGCATCCAGGAACTTCCACTATCAGCAGCCAGCTCCTAGATGGAGACTGCTCCCATGGCTGGCAAATCCTGGCAACCCAGCCATAAGCCCCCACACAGGAAAGGGAAACAGGCACCCATCTTTCCACAGTAGAAAGAGGGAGGAAGAGATGGGGAAAACTGCCTACCTAGATGATGAGCTGCCACTCCAAACAATGCTGCAAGTTCACACTCAAAGCACACGCAAGAAAGCCTCAAATGAAGTGCAAATGGAATTCCAATGAAAATGCATATGCAAAAACTGTTGACTACTAGAGAACGCTAATGATCTTTGTTGTTAACTCCATTAAATTACATTTTACTTCATTTAGAGTAATACTACTGCATCAATCATTAACACATGAGAACAAAGAAAATGGTTGCTTTTCACTGTTTGTTGGCCAGCTTGGAAGCTTTAATTGGTGAAAAAAATTCTCCTTGTCAGTACCAAAATAAATATATGACGAGAAAAGTAAGGAGAAGATGGGAACTGATGTAAGGGTGTAAAGGGTTGAAATACCTGAACTAAGCAAAATCACATGTCATAGCATCTATAATCCAGTTTCAAAGATACTTCTTCACTTTGCTTCAGTTTCACCCACACAGACATGCACAAAACTGCCCCTCTTTGCAGAAATTGCCCACTTTTTTTAATATATGGGTAATTCAAAGAATTAAGTGGGACAACTTGCCTTTTTGTTGCAATGGCTTTTGAGGCCTTTGAGTGGCAGCCTTTGTTCTTGCATTGTCAACTGTTGAACTCTTTGCTTTGACCTTTCTGTTAACTTCAGATAACACTGCAGGTTTTGATTCTACCTCACTGAAACCTAATCAGGAATTTTTTGTAAATTATGACAAGACATTTCAAGTTGGTATGTTGCATCACTTGGGTTAATTATCATCAAGGAAAAGCTTTCAAAACATAAAGCATTGATCAGCTCAACTAGCAGAAAATGTTGACCTTTACTACCAATGCATAAAGACCAAAGTAATTATTTCAGCTGGTTACCTTTATAAGCAGGTGCTGCAGGGGCAGAGGCTACTTTTCTCTTGGAAATTGCAGGTCTCATTGGAACATCCAAATCCCTCATACATGGTTCCTCTGCTGCAACCTCCACAGACGGGCCCTCTGAGCTTCGAGGAGAAGGATTTGCAGAGCTTATCCCTGTTTATAAAATAGAGGTGTAATCAATAAAAGGAAGAACATCTAATAAAAATTTTCAAGCTCATGTGAAAAAGATTATTTGATGGTTATTCCAACGAAGCAAGCCAAGGGACCTTCCAGAATTTTGAAGGAGTTGCAAAATACATATATGCAGCAAAATTTGTCAAGTATTTGTGAAAAGCACAGTTTAAGGCTAATCTGATGTAGCAGTTCATCTTGGCCTCAAGCCTCTTCACAGATCTTTTGAGATTTTATTGCAAACTCATGAAGCAATGTGCTCAAAGTCCTGTTCACAAATTTAAGACCCAAGCAGTCTTGTCTTCCATGGTAGAATGATTCCTTTTCAAACATTAATGACAATTTACAATTTTAAAATTGTTGCTAATTATAACTGTATTTTCATAGTCCATAATTGTTGTTTTTCAAAAAAACCAGAACATATCATTGTAAGTTATAAGGAGTGGCAATTTGGACAAAGTGCTCTCTAGAGATTTTTAAAAAGCTAGTCATTCAAGAATGGTAGCCACCCCTTCAAAATATGTGGCTGACAGACTTCCTCCCCCCTTCCCCTGTAACATAAAATTCTCATGTCATTCACCTTCGGGTCTGTAACATGTCAGGCAGGTTTAAAAACAGATAACTGATGAAGCTATAAATGCTGCTAAGTATTTAATAAATAAGATGCATTTTCTTCACCTGCAATAGAATCAGTTGGACTAAGCCTTGAGGCTTGTTCTTTCTGTAGTTTAATTCTCTCTTTCAACCTTGCAAGTGCATCTGTAATCAGAAGTAAATAAAAAACTAATCAAGGTTCCTCAAGGTCATCAGGGTAAACACAAATATAGTTCATTGAGACAAGCTTGCAAAGCTTTTTCACATCTTTCAGCAGTACGAGACTTTATGGCAAACATTTACTATTACCCTGAAATTAACCCTTGAACTCCTAAGATCTGATTGGTTATTCTCCCCTCTAGTTACTACACATTTCATTGTAAAGTAGTTATGAGAAATTGGCGTTAGGTCAAGATGAAAATTTATTTTCTCATCACCTGTTTGCAAGATAATGCATGAATGTTATAAGGAGAAGTTAGATGTTGAAAACTTCTGGGAGTTCATTAAACAGCAGTAATCAACAAAAGTTCTATTAAAGACAGCCCCTTAGTTGGGAAGTTACACAACACATGACCAGAGAAAAAAATGACAGTTTGAAAGAGAAACTTAGAATACCTGAATTATTTGCTATTACAGGTCTGAGTCCAAGTGAGGATGTTGGACGAGTTTCACTCCTGGACAGTCTAGCTGTACTGCCAACTTCCAATGAATCATCAAAGCTAGATGAAGAAGGGATGGTTGAAAGACCTTGAAATCTGACAGGTGATCTACGAATTGGTTTCTCATTTGCCCTGTAGATTGACGAGTAAGCTGTTGTCAAAACAGGATCCAAACCATGCGTCATTTGGGGGTATGTAGGAAAGACAGACGGTGGATTTCTTGTGGTGGTACTGCTTCCAATCTCAGCAGGGTGACTATCCCTTGACGGAGGAGATAGCAAAGAGGTGGGTGCTGGTGCTCTGACTGACGACTCCTGTCTGTTCCCATTCTATGGAGCAGCCAATGGAAACAAAATAGCCTCAAACAATTGATATATGTACCTAGCATGAAAACTTTGCAGGAGACTCACATCACAGATTGGCAGTCTTTTATGTTTTGCCAGAGCAAATTTTTGTGGTTCAAGATGACTGAAATTTCTGGTGTATACTACTTTTTTAACTTTCTTTTCACACAACAGACAGAAAACAAGAGAGGAAAATAGCATTTTCTAATGTTTTAACTAAGTGAGTAAAACATAGGAGCTAGAGAGTAGATGATTAACAAATTGACAGTTAATTAGCATGTGGAGTTTTGTATTTGAAAAAGGGTAACATATTCTAACTTATAGCATTTTGGTTTGTGAGATTTTTCACTCCTTAAAAAGTTACTCTTGCTCATTCATCAAACCCAGGGTTGTTGCTAAGAAAAAAAGGGAGCCAGCTAAAATTTTAAAAGTCCAGCCAGCCATTGCTATTTTTTGTGTAGAAAATTTTGCCAAGAGCTGGGGCTTAGCAACAACCTTGTAAATCTGGTAATAATATAAACGTGCAAGACATTTGAATTTATCTGTATCAATTATTTGGTCAATTGCAAAATAGCCAGACCCAAAATATCACGCATATAAACTGTTTCCTTACTAATGAAAACTCAGGTGATCTTCTCACAGGCGAGTTGGTGCGATCCTCTCCAAAAACAGTTGCTGGTCGTGCACCTTGTCCATATCGACCTGGTCGCAGTTCATATCTGGACACCCGTCCATATCTCTGTGTCTCAGAAAATACTTCTTGTAGGGGCTCATCATTATCCTCCACTCCAGAACCGAGACCAGCATTTGCTTCATTAATTCTTGCTTCCGCAGCTTGGAGCTGTTTAAAACAATTGATAACTTCATAAACATAAAAAAATGCACAATCATTGTTTATTATCCAACAGCACTAAAAAACAACTGATCAGACTTTTGGTGAGTAGTGACTCTACTGGCTCGTCAAAATATGGCACAACTCAAACAAAAAACACTTAGAGATACTAGTGTGCACTAAAAGGTCTAATGAGATATATATTCATGATATCTAGAACTCATTCTAAATATTGGCTAGAAATACAGGGCCCTAATATTGTATATCTGTGATCACCAAAACACTTAGTAACAATAGCCTATATTTGGCATGAATAGTTGTCTATGGGCACCACCAGTTTCAAAATGCACACATCTTTGCAAGAGAGAAGCTCGGGTAAACTGTGAGCTTTGAAAAACAGGTAATCTCCAAGGACAAATATACATGCATCTTTTCACCAAATAGGGGTTATTATCCTTCACATATTTTGCAATGTGCATAAAAAAAAATGTTTATGAACAGCTTACTGTTTGCTGCATGGGAGGTTTTCTTTTGAGTGTTCCCTGGTACGACTTTATGAACAAACAAATATTTCCCTTTTCCTGTAACCACCAAATGCTCTCTCATATTGAATTAAATTTCAAAATACTTATTGTAGGGGAAGTAAGGTTTGAAAATTTGGGAATATCTCTTGGGTAATATCCTCAGATATCCCCCAGTTTAAGCTGGGAGATAATCCACCACGTGCATTCAGACCAATTACATGCGAGCAAATACATGTAATGGATCATAGCCTACAATATCGGTCCATGAGAATGTAACAAACAAAATGTTGTACAAAAAACCTATAAAACAGCATGAATCTTATACTTCTCAATCAAGTACTACAAGTTCAGTAACTTTTAAAAGTTAAATTAACTGGCTGATGTTCACACGTTCAAGGAGACTTGATTAATTGAAGTCAACACTTCAATTGGAAAATAAATCAAACAACTAAATCTATACAAAGGAAACGTGGATAACACGGAAATACTTTTATACGAATGCAGGCCTGCTAAAATATTTCAAATTTTTAATTTTTAAGGGCAGATCGAAAACTCGTCCATGAACGATCCCCTAGCAGCCCACCTGTTACAATGGAACCAGACATACGTGATCAAATTTCACTTACCGCAGACTTCACTTCCCCGACGTTTTCCCATGCTGCTGCCAGGTCTGCAAAATTAGCCAAAACAATCTCAGTTTTCGTGCACAACATGTAAAACTTACATTAAAAGGCGTTGAAGAGCACACTCCAACTCCGTCTGGTACAAGTTTAAAAAACATACCATGAATCAAAACAAAACAAGGCGATTGATCACATTAATCTTGAAAACTTAGTAGGCGAAACCAAAGAGCAACGGTCACAGCCAACACTTTTACCTTACTTCTTTATTTTACCATTTCTTCAAAAGCACTACCTGAGAACGAAGTTTGGTATTTTCCATCTCTCGGTAAAGGGCCACGCTGAACCGGAACGGGATCTACGATGCGTCGACCACGAAACAGCGTCGACGAAGCCATCAAAAAACTTTCGCTTTCGTCAACGGGAGAGCATCAGACACAGACAACAAAGCTTCCGCCATATTCTGTTGGCGCTCAGGAAATTATAGAAGGTCCATCTTTCGAATGATACTTTACCTGTTTATTTTCCCAAACAATTCCTTACCGTTTTTGAATGAAAAACACTTTGAAATCATACATCTATTTAGGGCAAATGACTCTACCACAGCCCGCCATTTTTTTGTTTTTAGTGCAAAGCAGTGTGGGAAATCAGCAGCGCTTGGTGTCTCATGGGAATTGTTATTATTTGAAGTTTGTGACGAGCGGGGGATGGTGAGGGACGGGAGGGAGCACTACCATTTTTGCCCTAAAGAATGCTCTCTCTCTCTCAATGCAAGTGATATCAGGCACGGAGAGCACTAAAAAAATAATAATAAAAAAAAGACTTAAGAAAAATAGACGTGGTATGAATGAAATGACAGAAAAAACGAAAAAGCATACACATTTATCAAAAACGTTTAAATTTCTATAACTGGTTGGCGGTTGCGGTCACATTTTGGTGTTATGGTTTTTTTTCCAATTCTTTTTCACTTCTAAACTGCCGTGTTGTTAGTATTCAACTATCCATGCCACCGTGAGGGATCGAGACTCATTGCACACAATAATACTTTATAAATATATTTAATAAGTGAGGTGGCCGTTAAATCTATACGATGAGGTGCCATTGGTTTTATAATGAACCTAGGATCGACCAAATATTTCAGAATGTCTCAAAACCCTCCTATCGGTAAGGAAGAACTTATCGAAATATTTACTATATGTTTGAGGGGGGCATGGGGGGGCAATAATTGAGCTGTTTTTGTGAAGAGGGTCACAGGTATACGCAACAAAATTTTGCTTGTATCTTACTCGCTTGACTCTCAGGCTAAGTTGTTGTACACAACAATCAGGACATCTTAAGACAATTTAGGTTTTACTCCATCAACTGAGTTGATAATGCAAATTGGCCACTGTCATGAGTTTAAAAGCTGATGTTTCAAGCATTAACCCTTCGTCAGAACAAATTGTGGAATTGTGGATGGCGGGTTTGTTAGAAACCAACATAGTGATCAGCTCCCAGTTGGCTTGTTAGCTCAGTTGGTACTCGGTAGAGCACTGCACCGGTATCTCAGGGGTCGTGGGCTCAACTCCCGTACAGGCCTGAATTTTTTTCAGGCCCTATTCTCACTGCTGCTCAAGTAGTGTTCATTATTGCGAAGATCGCTTTCTTATTCATCCCTGATCTTCTTGTACGCTAACCAGAAAAGAACAGCCACGATGACCACGTCTTTATCCGCGGTTCACATATATATGATTTTCATATATTCACAGTTATTTAAGAATAAATTAATGGAATGAAAAGCGTTCGTGGATACTGTGGGGATTAAGAGTGCCGATTTCAAAGGCAGACTTTCTTTCTAGGGTTTTCAGCCTTTACGAACTGCCTAGATGTAAGGAAAGGCGGCAGACTGCCATATGCTGCTTAGAATGATTAAGGAGATTAAGGTGGCTACCGACTGGTTTGGAAGCGTCCTTGTCATTCCTCTCTACGTCGCAAAGGTGTTTTCAGAATCAGTCACCTGGTCGTCTTCCTGTTTTACCAATGTATATCTTTTTGCAATACGTGCAAGTTATGCTATATATGACATTGGCGCAGATGCACGTAAAGTGATCAGTAGTCTTAATGGATAGTTTGGATCCCGATATTTTCTCAACGTTATGAATGAAAGAACAAGTTTTGCATCGCATGCGAGCGGAATTCGAAAGTTCCGGGTTGGTCGTTAGTTGTAAGGAACTTCCGACCAAAAAGTTGTCTATGGTTTTTTTGCGTTTGAATGAAATAAGTGGAGGTTGCGAAAAGATAGTCTCTGAATCATTTTGAAATAACTTATTTAAAATTTTTAGGAATGATGGATTTAAATGCGTGGTTGTGAGGGTGAAATGTAAGAGTGAACGGAATGCGATTGGCATTTTCCTTCTGTGACAATTGTACGGTGGACTGTCGATCAATTTGTTGAGCGCAGTGGTGGCCCGCTTGGACATACATTCTAGGTATTTTGACTTAATGCATACCGGAATGGGTACGAATCGACCAGCGGTTCGGGTACGAACCGACTCAAAACGGGTACGAATCGACTGAAATTTGATGCAAAACGACTGGGTACGAAACGACTGGAAACCCCCAGGGTACTTCTTAGCAATAGGATAATGAGGACATGCTGCGCTTGAATGGGGTCGCATTTTGACGACTGGATTGACCATTATGTCTATAATGGGTTGCATTTTCAAAAGAGTGGACCCCTAGAATGGAGTCGCACATTTTCGGGATTTGGGGGGTACGAAAATACGTACTGCTAAGTAAGGATTCAAAATGGAAAGATTTGCGTGTAAAAAGTGGGATCGTGATAATTATATTTGCCCAAAAGTAACTAAGATGGGGTCTATAATTGGCCTTAGGATAGACTATGATGGGGTAGCAGCGGCTCATACCCAGAAAAAAAATTGACCCAGGTACCCCTCCCCCCGCCACCTCCGCTGGACAAACAACCCGCCTTAATAATAATATTGGTCTGCCTCTATAGGTATCGACACATTGTGCGGATCAATATTAGCTGAGTGGTTTCGAACTGACGGCGATCTTCCCTAGAATATTTTGTTTATGAACTTCTATTCGTCACATCGAGTTCATTGATTTTAGGAATTTTTGTCGAGCAATTAACTCTTATCTGCACATCTTTACCAAAATTTTTAGTGGATGATATAGAACGTAGGGTCTTTTTTGTGCGAGCCTTGTTTCCAAGGCGAAAGTGAAGAAGAAGGGAAAAAGCAGGAAAGAGCAGCGACGCGAAACACCGCGAGAGACCTGGAACGAGTGGACAGTCAAATTTGAAAAATCCACAAAAGTGGAGAAACAGACAATCCAAGCAGGACTACACTTGATAACAGTTAGGTAGAGACAATTTCTCTTGTATAGTGGCTTCTAAACGTGAAAACCGTCTATAATAACGATTGTTGTGATGCAAAGCTTTAGTGCGTTGTTTTGGTCAAGTCGCAGCGGATTGGAAACTTGCGATTAATTTATTACAGCAGGACCAGTCCGACGAACTCGCAACTCGCTCTCGACAATAGACTTCGTGTTACTATCGTGAAGAGTTATTGGCAACCAATCCTTATTCAAGGAATTTTTGGTGTTTTTTGGATCAAGGAAAATGGCAGTGCAAGCATCGTGTATGGAGCTTGCATTGGAGGGTGAAAGACTCTGCAAAGCGGGTGATTGCCGCGCAGGAGTAAGTTTCTTCGAAGCAGCGGTTCAAGTCGGGACAGAGGATTTGAAGACATTAAGTGCGGTGTATAGCCAATTAGGGAATGCCTACTTCTATCTGCAAGAATACGAGAAAGCCCTAGAATTTCATCGCCATGACTTAACTTTAGCAAGGACACTTGGAGACAGAGTCGGGGAAGCTAAAGCTAGTGGGAATCTTGGAAACACCTTAAAGGTTTTGGGAAAATTTGACGAAGCCATAGTTTGTTGCACTCGACATTTAGACATTTCACGGGAACTCGGGGATAAGGTAAGCTTGCATGTTTTGTAGGGATTTTTGAGCTTGCTATACAAATATCTCATTTGGGTTTTAGCGTAAAGTTTAAAATGAAGAAATGATAAAATTGATTTTGCGGGAGCAGTTCAAAGGTGACAGCGAAATTTACAATAGTACAATCAACAACAATGGGGGATTTTTGATCTTTCTGCGTATAAATTGATTTAGCTAATTCTCTTCGTATCTTTTGTTACTGATGTCATTTTCTTTCGTCTTTGAGTGCTCTTTAGTGGTATGCGATTTATATGATGCTAGTGAGTGTGTATGCTATTTTTAATTCACTGGGAAGCATTCTTGCGGTCTTTTGGTGGTCAAAATAAACATTGGCTTTCTAAAGTTTGCTAATCGCAGCGCAAACGTGCACATATTCAATCCACTGCTTGTAATCATTTTAATGGCCGCCGAAAAATTTTTACTAAACACGCAACGGTCCTTTACCAAACCGAAATAGCAATCCGAACTTAACTTCAGCTCTGAAAATATTACTAGTCCTATATTGCTATATTGAAAAAATTTTCAATACGCTTGCTGAATACGAAGGCATTATTAAATTAAATATATTCTCTAGTAATGCCAGCAGTTGTTCTAGCGTTGTTCGAACCATTCATCAGAGGTGATTCCAATAGGGGACAATGTTACCAGAGAACGCTGTACTCTTTTTTATTGTTATGGAAAGTATTGTGTTAACGGTAAATTGCTATCCTTGATCAAAGACCGACGTGTTTCAGACCTCCATGAGGCAAATACCAGCATGATGTAATTGTATTGTACTCACGAAATAGGAATATTTTTTAAGCATGTTGACGCGATCGACCCGAAATTTGCATCCTTACCAAAATTAAGAGTTGTTCTGTATCCCAGCGAGGACGTAATTCAACGCTTTGTTCGAAATGTACAAATTTAAATGCTATCGGTGTAGATTTCATTTCCTTGATGTGAGTGTATTTCACCAATTAAATCGAACATAACGACGCCGATCGAAACTTATTTGCGCACAAATAGAGTGAGATGAAATGTTTTAATTTTTGCGATTACTCTGTCCACCAAAAAGACTGATTTAACTTCATGTGTGATTAGTGACAAAGTGGCATTCAAAGCCAATGATAATATTATTGGTTACCAAACTATGCAAATGTGGATGTGTCTCCAAAGCCGTGATAACTTCGGAAGTGTAATATCATGTGAAATATCCGGTGTAACGTATATTATTTGCACTTAATATTTACAGCCTTCGGTCTTACTGGGCATAATATTTCTTCAGTCAAAAACACTGATTTCTGTTTTTTTAGGAATCAGCAGAGTTCATACCACACTGTTTTTCTTCTTCATAACTTGTTTACTTTGGCTAATTGGCACAGAGGCTGTGGATTGCCCTAAACTGAGCTACCTGTGCACAACAACTTTTTTTTTTCAGATCACTCACCTTACTTTTAATGGATATTAACTACACATGTTTACATATTGAAGTTTTACAGGAGTTGTTGCCAAGCAAAATTTAAAAAGAGAACTATTCATTTACATATGTTGACAGGCACCATCTTCAAGACAATTTCAACTGTCTTACATTCTATTTTAAAAGTGGTTCCAAAGGAATATGCGATCTTTGTAAATGTTTTAAATGTGATTTTCACATATGCTTGTGCAGGTATTTTTTCAAATCAATTTTTAGCCTCCTGAAAACTCTTCAAATATTGCCATTGTTGTGAAGGAAATGCGTCAAAGTTTCTAGTACATTCTTACTGACTGGTCTCCTTCTTTTGTTTTTGCTTTAAAAATATTCCTTGATATAGAGTAAGGACATCTTATTCATAGCTCACTACTGGAGGAGAAAAATCAGTAATTCAATTTTTTCAATAATGATATTCCAGTTCAGGTACATCAAGAGTAATGTCCTACTTGGTTTTTGATATTGGTGAATGACTTTTCGAGAACCTTGGGGCCATTTTATGAGATAAAAGATTTTTGGATTTTTTTTCCACTTAAACAGTTTTTAAAATCATTTATAAGATCAGGAAACAGTCTTTGAGTGCCTTTGAAAATATGTCAAAGACTTTTCCAAGAATTTACATTTGTACAGACAATTATTAGTACATTTTGGCATTACAAGGCATTAAAAATGTTTTTTACTAGAGCTGGCAGTCCACAAGCTTGGTGGATTGCAGCAAAGGTGGTGACACCAACCACTTAAGTCATTTTGGAACTGATGAAAAACAAGAGAAGACTAAATAAAATGACTTTAAGGCTTGATACTGAACAATTTATACAGGGACTTTCTATTGACATTAAGTCAAAATTCAAAACTCAAAGAAAGTATGGTGTAGTCATAAACTGATAAATGCACTGTGCTGTACAGTGACTCTTTTTTTTTTCGCAGTCTCAGTTAAGCAAAGTCAAATTTTGACAGGATAGTAAAGAGTCACCCTCATCACCATGCACTTGCTTCTAGTCATCTGGTCAACACATAAGATAACACTTGTTCTGCAGGGGAGATAAATGGGCAATGACAGCTACCTTTTTTAGTATTAGTCGTGACGTTTAGTTGTAAATGTATCCCCTGCTTTGTTTGAAGAGATTGTCATCCTTTGGGGTCAGTCAACACTTTGATTGGTCAACTGTTTGGCTTGTTTTAGTTGCTGGAGAGCAATTCATTAAGTACCACTAGTGATGCAGTGTGGCAGTGTAAACAGTAATGTCGCAATATTATAAAGTGAGCCAACCAGTGAAACTGGCTGGTTGCTAAGCTGTAAAATAACAGTGATGTCAAACAAAAAAAAAAAGGAATGATTTAAAAATTACAATAAGAATCCCCCACAGAAAAGAAGAACCCTATAACATGTGACCTGCTCCCAACATGTGGCTTTTCAACTTAGTTGGTGTAGCACCATGGGGCTCAAATCCTGTCAAAGCTCATATGTTTTTTCAAGCTTCTTCACTGTGATCACTTAAATTGCAGTTCACCTGCGAAGACTATTGCTTTACTTGACTAGGTTAGAAGTAAGGATGATAGATTTATACTGACAGGGGTAAAAAATAGCTTGCTGAATTGTGAGGGTTTTAGGGATTAGAGAATGTAACAGCATGAAACACAAACAGCATTAAGAAAGCTGACATCATGAAGCTTGTAGGTGTGAAAGGGTAAGTACATCCAAGTCTTAGGAGAATTTGGCATCACTTTTTACATTTAGTAAAGAATTAAATGGTTTTGAGAATTAGGGTTACAGTAATGAAAAGCTAAATTTCCTTTATTTTTAAGAAGAGGAAATTGTAATAATTAGCACTGTATGAAGAAAATGATGGATAGAATATTAATGTCAGTTATGAGGTTTAATTAAATGCGTGAATATTATGTTTGCAGATTGGTGAAGCCAGAGCCTTGTATAACCTTGGAAATGTGTATCATGCTAAAGGTAAACACTTTGGTCGAAATTTCCACCAAGATCCTGGAGAATTTCCAGAAGAAGTGCGGTCTGCACTGGAAAGAGCTATTGAATTCTATGAGTAAGTGATTCCTATGTAGCCCATCTGCTAAATTTCTCTTGATTCCATTTTGTCTGTGATCTCTGATAATCTATGTCTAATGTAAATTTATTGAGGAGTAGAATTTCTTCATGCATGCTGTTCCCATTTCAATAATCAGAAACTATTCTGTCTTCAAATTTTAGGGCCAATCTTTCCATTGTGAAAGAACTTGGTGACAGAGGTGCACAAGGGAGAGCCTGTGGCAATCTTGGCAACACTCACTACTTGATAGGAAACTTTGAACTGGCAATCATGTTTCATGAGGAGGTGGGTGTCTTTTTTTCCCTCTTTACATATTTCAATCAAATTTCAATCTGTTAGTAAGGATAAAAGGGTGATGCCTATACTAAGCCAAGTGGCTCCACCAGTGGGAGGTTATCCCAGTTTCCATAGCATGAGCAACTAGGAGTAGTATGCCACTAAATCTCTGCAGAGCGTTGTCTCATGAGGTGATGGAAAGAAATAGAGCAGCCAAATGCTCAGAAAGGTTACCTTACAGTGAGATAGAGATGGTAAACCTTGGGTAAATAACTATGAATCAAAGGGTACTTACCATCATTCAAATAGGGTAGGGGAGGCTAGTCTACTTGTAAAGAAATTGAAAATATCAGGCAGAGCTGCTTAGTTAGAGCACTAAATTCCAGAATTACAGTTAGAGCACTAAATTCCAGAATTACAGGTAATACTCTTTTCAGCTCTTCCCACCCTAAAAAGCCCCTTTTTGAAATAAGTCCCCCCCTCACCCCCTATATCCTTGGCGTCAAATTTTTGATAAGCACCCTCACTTCATGTGATTTTACAATTTGTCTTTGTGGTTGGTCATCTCCGTTAATGGTAAGTGCCCTGGCCAGATTCTGTGGTAACCTCTCTATTTATTGTGATCTAAATCCAGAGGTTAGTCATTGCAGAAGAATTCCATGACAAGCCAGCAGAAAGACGTGCTTGTAGTAACCTTGGAAATGCACATGTTTTCCTTGGGGAGTTTGAGGTTGCAGCTGAGTATTACAAGTGAGATAAACTTTTTAATAGTTTTCTGTAAGTTAAACATTCACTGTCAAATGAGACTGCTATGTAAATTCTCCTTACAGTGTTCATATATTTTTAAGCCAAAAGGTGACGAGAAGAAAGAAAATCATCCTTAGAGCTAAAATTATGAGAAATGAAGGGCAGACACTAAACAGAATTGAAGTCTTGGGAGTGAAGGCGTTAAGAAAACCCATTAATCTTCTAACCCTTTAAAGTGTCCAGCATTTAATTTCTCCTCACAATATCACCACTGAATCACACATTAAGGCCATGAGAATATGGGAAATGATCACTACCAAAGAAACTCTTTATTGTTAAACAAATTCTCCTCGTCAGCATGTTAAGAAATATATGCAGAACAGTATGGAGTATATGCATACTGGTGTTGTGGTGTAAAGGGTAAGGCAAAGATTAGGCTAATTTTGGTTATGGGTCAGTGTCTAGTGTGCCTGCACAATGAACTTCACTCTTGCAAGACCTTTCTTAGCCTTTTATAAATAAATAATCACGTGGATGACCGCTGAATACAGGGTCGACGGTATATAAACGTGAACATAGAAAAGAATCAAGAGTATGAGAGCCCAGGAACCTTGGCCTGTAAACTAATCAAAACTCAGGAATTGCAATATTCCATGACTACTTTTGATAAGCGTATAATGTTACCTTGTTTGCAGGAGAACACTGGGGATATCACGTGAACTGGGGGACAGGGCGATTGAGGCACAGGTAATTTTAAGTGGTTATAAAAACGTAGTGTATAGAAAATAGATGAAGAAAGGTGTTTAAGGAGGGATATTATTGACGCATCGCGAGCTCTAGACGAAGTAAAGATCCTAGACCATTAGATTTCCCGGTGCGAGCTTTACCACTTAGCAAATAGATTCCATGTTGTCGTGGGACAGTTCAGTGTTAAACCATAGATGATGTGGTAAGAACGAAAAAGTGGTACACAAGGCGCAGCATGTTGATATCATTTATACCTCTGTCCTCTAAGTGATTATCAGGAAAAACCAATCAGCGAGTATGGTTCAGCTTAGCATGTAATTAGCTTTATATAATAAGCTCAGTTATGCACGCATTCTGATTGGTTCTCACTTATGATCTATTGGAGGACAGACGTATAGATGACGTCATCATTAAAACTTTTTTAAATTCTTTATTGTATAAAAACAAATAGATTTCAAGTTGCCGTGCCTCTGTTCAGTAATAGATCACAGAGGACGTCAAAATGTGGTAAGAGCATCAGTGACACTTTTTTGTTCTTACCACATTTTGACGTCATGTGTGATCTATTACTGAACAGACGCACGGTAACTTGGAATCTATTTGTTATGTAAATAACTCTGTGGAGAGCTATACCGAAAGAAAACGATAAAATATGAGCTCGGTCGTTGAGTTAGAATAATGGTATTCTGTTTTGGCTCAAGTTAGGATAATTAATTATTTGAGCAACGTTCCTGACATAACAAAGAAGCTTGCTAATTACCTCAACTGTCCATATCAACTGTCCATCCGGTAAAAATTTTCTTTTCTAGATAGGATTAGGCAGTCAAACCTTGAAAACATTCTTTTTTTTTCCTGGAAATCCAGGCCTGTTACAGTTTAGGAAACACTTACACTTTACTCAGAGATTACCAGGAGGCAGTGGAATACCATTCCAAACATTTGGAGATCGCTCAGGAACTGGGTGACAGGTACGCTGTACATTTTTTTTAAATGGATAATTACCTAAGCCACCTGAACCACTTGCTTTTGTTTTTCAATTTACGCTTTAAGAGCAGAATAGCAGAAAATAAAAGTCTCCTAACTGAGAGAATCATTAACACCCCTTTTGCTTGAGCACAAAAGCCACACTTGTTTGTTACTCTAAATCTGCATTATCCATGAAACATTCAAAGCCTGTCTTTATTTTTTTGTCTTCATTGTACTTTCCTTTCTTTGTTATTGCGTTAGTTAGTAAGTTTAACACTGGTTACGGTATTCAAATGAGTTAAACTTTCTTTCTTACAGAGTCGGCGAAGGTCGTGCTTGTTGGAGTTTAGGAAACGCGCACACTGCGTTGGGTAATCACGAAACAGCTCTGGATTACGCGCAGAGACATTTGGATATCTCGAAGGAGGTAACGTGAAATTACACAAAGCAGATCTATTGTGTAGTGTACATTTAATTTTCCTGTAGTTCAACGTAATAATTTAAAGATGCTTCAAAGAGACGCTTCTCGGTCATTTTTTCTTTGCAACAAGAAATAATTTTTCCTAGCAAAACAGCAAAATGTTTCAAAATATTTTGAATAATTTTTCGTGATAAAGAGAATTTCTCAAAAAAAAGGAAGCCTTGAAATTGCAGTTTTACGTCTGTAGAAAACTATCAGAGAGGTGAGAATAAACCACAGGGAAACCAGGATAGCTGAGGATGGAGAAGAATGAATCGAATTGCTAACTTTTAACGTAAACAAAATTATGCTTAAGTTTTCAAACTCTTGTACATCGTTAACGACGCCATATTAGCTTCTGTGCTGAGAAACAATTTAAGGACTTTTCTCGTCTCTCTCTAGCGATGACACATTAAAAAACATTCTTGAAAATTAGCACTTTGTGTTCAATCGCAAAAGTTGACTCATGAAAATTTAGCCTGGTCCATCAAATCGCTGAAAATCGAAAGATTGTTAGCTTATTTATATCACAATGAATGGAGTGGCAGCTGTGTGGCTACTTTTGTGCGCAAGAGTAAGGTGTAAATCAGCCATTTTCACGTTTTAATGCCCCTTTTCAATTTTGTAGCTTTACCTTTTGTTGGGAATTAAACCATTGTGTATTGTTTGGCTGACATCTTGCTACACGCACGTAGACCCGTTTCAAAATTGAGAAGTTATAAATAGTGTTTATTGCGCAGGTTTTCGTTTACTTCGCTCTGTGATTGGTCTAAAAGACTCGCGCCAACATCTCAGCCAATCAGATACTAGGGTGGAATCGATCGCGACGCGGTCAATGACGTAATATTGCTTCTGAGGTCGTTATCATTTTCTTATTTGCGCTTTGATTGAGTGTTACAACAACCGGCCGAAAAACAAATTCAACTCTGAATACATTGAAGTGAGGGTATTGAGTTGCAGAAATTAATCTTTGGAGTGAATGCCACGCGGAAGTGAGTCGGTCATCACTGACCCTTAATTTTGGTTGTGTTCGACATCCTCAGTTTAGGAGCGTCATCTAGAGTCTGTTACTGGCATAGCCCTGTCCAGGATAGCCGGGTGCGATGAAAATCGCTCATGATTTCAGGTTTTGTATCGCGGTTATTCCAAATTTTCTTCGAGCAATTTTTTCTTCCTTTTTGGAAAAGCACGGACCGTGACAGACTTGTCAGTAGAAATGATAATAGTTCAATAACTTTATTCAAAGTACTCTTGCTGACTCACTCTACAACACTGTACTATACATCAATCTTCATTTCTCTATTGGAATGGAAACGATAAACCCATCTTCGCTTTGGGATCATGTGAAGTTTCCGCAATTTTTTTTCGCCGGAAGGATTAGGGTAGTCACAAATGTATCCAGCTATTGGAGATTCAGCCATGGAGATTAACTTCAGTTTGAATTTTTTACGGCAGTTATAAACCTATTTTCCTGCCCGCCACGCGTTGTTCCAAAAGGAAAGAAAAACAAAGTTTGATCAGTTGATCTTCCTGGGAGTCTACTGAAATGTTTCTTCACATTGTTATAGTGGAAAAGCAGTTTCATGTTATTATGGACATATCATTTTACCCAAGTATATTACCTCGCCAAGTTGAAAGGGTACTAAGCTGCGAAAAATGTAACAGAAATATAATGTTGTTTTAGTGCTATGCTAGTTGTTTTAGTGCTATGTTGTAAAAGAGTAAAGTAATAGTAGTAAGAGTATTGCTAGTTTCGTTCTTGTTCAGGATTATACTATTTATACTGAGACGAAATAGTTTTCACTATTATGACGTACTTTACGAAGTAAAGTAAGAGTAGTACTAGTTTCATACTTGTTCTTCAGAATTGTATTGCAACAGAATAAGAAAGGATTTGGTATGAGTTTCAATAGTTCGAATCCAATAGTTTGTTGTCATTTAATTAATGCGTAGGCTATTCTACCAACTTAAATAAATGTGTCAGAAATGAAACGATATCTGCCCTTTTCTTCGTCAATTATAGTACGCAATCTTGTGTTGAAATTTTAACGGACATCGCCTAAAAGCTCGCAGTTGGAACAAGTTACGAAAAAGGAATGTTTAGTTGGGGGGGGGGGTCCAAATCCGCGAAGGGGGGTCCAAATCCGCTAGCGGATATGGACCGGGGGGATCCAAATCCGCTAGCGGATTTGGACCGGGGGTCCAAATCCGCGGGGGGTCCAAATCCGTTGTGACACCGGTTTGATTCTATGATAAACATGAGTTTGAAGTATTCTCACATTACAGGGATTTATAAAATTTCCAACAACAGATCTTTTTTGTATGTGACGGGTGCTCTGGTGAATATTGTATCACTTTATTTTTGAAGGAGCTTCGTCTTTGTGATAGTTTATTTCGTTTTATTTGTTCAGCTTGTGTATTAATATTCGATTCTCAATTCCAGGTTGGAGATCGCACCGGACAAATAACGGCGCAGATGAACATCTCTGACCTCCGGGCCTTACTTGGAATTGAAGACGATTCTCACGATACGTAAGTGTCGTCCTTACACACAGACCATAAACTGCCTTACAAACAGAGAAATTTTTAATTGAGTATCGAAAGTAATCCGGGAATACTTTGGATTTGCTTTACTCCGGTCTGTGATTGGTCTAAAAAACTCGCGCCACTTTCTCGACCAATCAAATGTACTCGAAAAGCAATCACGACTTGGTCGGCCGCGTTTTCCCGCGCTTTAGGCAGTTTGATTGTTTTGGTTCTTAGAAGTATATTCCTTTGTTCTGATTGATTGTTGGAATTGTTCTGTTTTGGGTTTTTACGGCACTCTATCGAAAAGCGTTCCATGAACACGCGAATGCCGGGTGTGTGAGTTGGTTTTGTTCACGTTTGTTATCAATTACAAACTCCAAGCTCTAATTTGACAAGGTGATATCTATTTTTGACTAAGTCACTATCATGTTTAAGACAAGAACAATTCTCAACAAAGGACATTGAATTATGAATGAGTTTTGAGAAATGTGTGTTTTAGGCTGCAGCGTGGGCGTTTATTTGGCGAGTGAGCTCTCACGAAAAATTTATGTGTTAAAAATTTTCTGCCCCTTTGGATTTTGAAAGTAAAGGATTTTCCATCCGATGGAGCAGACGACAGTCGTTACAGCATGTTCTGTTCTTGCAGGAACTCAAATAGCTCAGCATCTGGAATTGCTGAGGGCGTGCATCGAAGCAGCCCGGGATCTATTAAACAACTCTTTAACAGAAAATTCAGCAATTTAGAAGGAGGTGAGCAATAACAGCGTCCATCAAAATCGAAGCAATTAAGGATCAGGACTAAGTATAGCACAGCATTCACTACCAGTGAGGGAGGGGGGTCAATAGAATACTACAGGGCCCTTAGGGGGAGGGATCAGCCAAATTTTATCATAATCAACCAAAATTCTCCGACTCCCCCCCCCTTCGAAAAAATAATGACCAGTTCTTTTTTATATCGCCATTCCACTCCTAAGAATTAGTTGTTTTTTTTCTTTTTTTGAGTTTGTGATTTGTCTGCCTTGCCTTCGAGATGCTCTTCAGCAAATTATGTAACCCTTATTTATACTGGGTCTAAACCGAACCGCGGTTTAACACAATCAGTGGGCCAAAGGCTTTCCCTGTAAGAGAATTGATTTGATCTAAAAAATGTCTTCCCTCTGTTCGCTTCCGGCATTCTTGACACTATTCACATAAAGAAATGCTCAGATGAAAGGTTTAGCTAAATCGAGGATTGTTTAGGACGCGATTTTGTTAAACAACGGCTAAGCTTTGTTTAAATAACCAGCCCTAAGTCTGCTTCCATCTGTGCGAAATTCTGTTTCAAAGATTATTCCTAACACTTAACATTTATTTATTCATTTCTTTTAGCTAGTATTCATACATATCTCTTATCTCTTATTTCTTAAAATGATGAATACGGTAGTAGTATTTATCTACTGAACTTTCTTGATATGTATTGATGAAATATTTTCTTTAAAAATCGCTCCCCCATTGGACGAAGCAGTCATATTATAACATTGACTAAGTTTAACAATTACGAAGTATTTTGATTTTGTGTATTTCTTTTTCTCAGATAAAAGGAAACTGGAGTCAGCTGCATCTGCTGATGTGAGTTTTACCATAGAGAGGACCTTTTTCTTTTGTTTTTTATTGTTTGTTCGTTTTTCATTTTTGATGACTCGATCAAAAGTTAGAGCTTTTTCCGCCTCACTCAACATAGCGTATGTACTTTCTCGTTAAGGACTTCTCTGTACCTCAGTTGGAGAGCGTTTAAGTCACACAACCAAATCTTGCAAACTTCAAATATCTCGCTCTCTTACTCTCTTCATGATAAATAATAATAATAATAATAATAATAATAAACACAGTTCTCATAGACAAAATAACAAATGTCTTGTATGAAACCTCTTTGAGTCCTAGCTCTTGTTAACGAGACTGAAATTCATAAATTGATCGTCCTCAAAATACATGTTTTTTTTAATTTTATTCATGAATTTCACTACGTACGGCTCAAAAAAAAGAGAGAGGTCTCTGTCTGTTTGTTTTCTTCATACTACAAAGTTTTTTCTCTAAGATTGTGCAATGACCGAAGTAATTCCTATGAATTCTGTGTTTTTCTGAAGATCTCTTCAAATGAAAATGAGTTTAGTTTGACGTGGATTTTTGAAAGCGAATTCTCGGCTAATATAACTCATTATGTAACAGAGGTAACAAGACAACTTGTGTAATTTTTTTCTCATTAAAAACCTAAACATCTCCATGTTATGCGGAAGAATGGTGAAGGACGTGAAAATGTACTTATGTCTCAATCAACCAAATCGTTCAAAATACATCCTTCAGCAATAGGGAAGTCACGCAGGCGATAAATCTTTATGAATTTCTTGTTTTTCTTATGTTGACAACGAATTAATTAAAGCGCTTTGAATCATATTGAAAATGATTTTAGTCGCCAATTCGGTTTATAGACAGATTCTTCTAATTAAAGTTTTCCTTTCAATGCATTTCATTCTTTAAGATAAGTCAAATACCTGCTGTTTACCAAATAACGTTCCTACATCGTCTAATATCGTTTGATTATTGAAACCTAACCATTTGTTTGTACAATGGAATCTTTAGATGAACAAATTCTTAGAAGATTATACACATGACAATAATAGTCGTTTCAACAACGTTTTGATTTTTCCAAGCCATGATTTTTAAGTCGGCGTTATCTCAATTTCTTAACAAATCAACGAGCTGGTCAATAATTCGTGATATATTTGAGTTCTCTATTTATAGATTTAAGTTGACCACACATTAACTTTAACAGATCTTAGAAACATATAGAATATTTACTGTTTCGGCGCCCGATAAGTCTGAGACACGAAATCATTCAATAGAGCTTGAACAATAGGCTAGTGAGACAATTACTCAATGCAGTACTTCCTTTAACAATTTCGGAAGTCACGCTTAAGCTTTTCCACTTTACTAGAGGAAGCGAACGAAATTTTGGTTACTCCGTGCCACGATTTTCAAGTCAATTTGGGCTGCCAAATCAGGCTATGTTTCATGTTATGTTTTAGTCCACGATGTAAAAATTTCAGTTGTCCTTACGTGAGTCAAACAGAGCTGAGGATTATATTGGGGAATTGTAACTGTTTCGGTGCACAATAAGTTAAGTTGCAAATATTTACTTCAACGTTTGAATAAAATAGGTCAATTTTTCAATGCAATACAATGCGATACGGAAGTCACGCACCAACACCCCCTGTTAATTACAGGAAGCATTGTACTGTACACTTGATATACAATGAAAGACGTTTTACAATTCATACGCCCTAGGTATTGTCTGAAAGTAATATATCTCCCTTGTAAGCCAGCATTATTTTAAGGCAACAAGAAATCCGTTCTCGTGACTTCATATTTTACACAGTTCATTTTACACCGAAATTAAATGGCCTGCTGTCTTTAGACTGTAAAGTGTTTGGAGAAATATCTATTTTCGGAATGAATGTCAAAAGCTCTTCTGGTGTTAAATGCTGTAATCCGCCACAAAAACAGACCACCCACAATCCATTTTGAGGCGGAATTAATTAATTGACCTCGATCTGGAATTCTTTACCCTTTCGACCAACAACTACAAATTTTTGTTAGTTTCAGATGAGAGAACTTAGAGATCGAGATCGCAAATTCTTAAAACTCAGGTTCACCAGAAATTTCAGTATCGCTACTTTAATACCGCGAGTGATAAGAACAGGAACTTGAAAAATATATTTTTTATTCGTTCTTCTTTTTTTCAAACATGCCTCATTATATGGAAGTGATTTTCCATGTTTTTTAAAACCTTAGGGCAATTTCTGTGTATTTTCGAACGTGCTGTAGCGCGGAAACGTGTACCTCCTCGAGTTATTTACCAAGATGATACTGGACTTTCTGCCCCTTGCGCTTTTGTCTCAGACGTGTTAATGACTCCTTGGGGAAGTAATTCACAGCCATTTTGTGGTCGAATTTTCGTAATATATTCGAGAGGTATAACCACTTACAAAACATTCGTGTTCGATTCCTACTTATGAAAACCATCGCGTGAAAGCGCAGAGTTTTGAAAGAAATCTTTGTTTTTTTGGCTCACGCAAACGAAAAAGATTTGCTTCCAGGTTTCGTGTTTTTTTATTTCGCCGCCCACTTAGAAACGGATTTAAAAAGGTTAATCCTTGAGTTTATTTAAATGACGTAATGTTTACTTCTTGAAGCGTATCTGGGCACGTTCTTAGTTGAAGTGTTTTTAAAAGCCTTGAGTTTGGCGTTAGATCCAGTAGATTTTACACCCAGAAGAGAAGATCAAACTCATCTTCGGCAACACAATTCACCAAAGTCTTTGAAGTTTGCTGATAATTTTCTAAAATGGGGCTTGACTGCTCGGAGCTGATGGTATGTTTCATTTCGCGACATTTTTGAGTGATAGCAATGTTTACGTTTGCATTAAGTCTCTTCAGAGATAGGAACTGTTTAAAAACTTTATCAGATTGCAATATATTTTTCCTGGAGCTCACTTTGTTTCGACCATCTGCCAGTTTGTTTCGACTATCTGCCAGTTTGCGAGCCCTCTCAGTGGATAGCCAAGCTTTTCGGTGGTCGATTTTGCAAGAAATTTGTTTTGTTAGTTAGGACTCTCTGAGAAGTAAATCTTTGTGTCACTGTCTTTGAGTTTAGTTTCCCTTCGCGGGGAGTCAGACTCTTTTTTGGTTACACTTTCGCGACTAATGCTATTCGACATCAGAGATAAACTTGAACTAAATCTCCGCACGGCACACTTTGTTCGACATCAATGCTAGTAGTATTCAGATCACTTGTTGCATGTGATCTTAATAAATTGACCCTAGTAAATCTCGCCAATGAGTTCTCTGTTGCTCGATTGATAAACCATAGGCCCTCCAAATTGGAAAGTCCAAGATTTGAATCCTCAGGGGTACACAGATGTTTCTTTTTTTCTCCGGCATGTTCAGCCAAAAATTTAAAAACAGTTTTCTTTATTTTGACTTACATGATCTTCTTGTTTGTTCAGGGGTGAAATTTTTAGCGAGAAATTAGTTAGTTGCTGGTCACTTGTCTTAGGTATAGGGTTTACTTCACTTGCTTTCCTCCCTTTTCAGGGTGTGACTAAGCCTCGTTCGTCTTCAGTGAACTCGAGGAAACCTGTGGATCACGGTGATGTCCAAGTTCGTGTTCGCTCCGATGAGGTAAGCGCCTGAACATAGATCTGAAAATTTTAACGTTAATTTTATCTTTAGTTAAGGAAATTCCAAATCTCAAGCGCTTTGGGAATGCGTTATTATGATATTAGGAGCTCTAACACCAGATAGCGTGACTGATCAGTTAGTGCGCTGGTTTCGTTCCGGTGGTTCCGAGATCCAATCTGTCCACTGTTCCATTACAATATAGTTCTCGTTCGATAGACTTATTGCAGTCACCTGATCATAATAGTGTTATTTTTACTCGAATTGCTTTTCAAATACATCATTTTCTTCGAGCCCACAAGCCGAGAGCTCGAACAGATAACAGATTTTATTATTTAGACCGCGGTATCAACTGCCACGCGCGCGAAGATTACATTTACTCTTTCAAAAATTATTTCAGAGGACCAGGGGATGGGTTCACTCCTCTTTCAAGTGATATCTTTTACCAACAGAGTTCGACAACATGACAGCCTCTAGGCCGCCGATCGATTAGACGTAAAGATTATAGTTGTTCTGTAAGCGAATAAGACGGTGTCGTGATGATCATACGACACGGAGCCGTAAGCAAAGTTGAGGTTTTGTCATAATACGAAATTTATGAAATAAAAATTGATACTTTAATCGAGAGCACTCGTCCTGAAGACTTCTGTGTTCGTTTTAATTTTGGAACACCAATAACAATTTCTGATTTTTTCTTGTCCCCACGCTGCTATGGCTAAGAGTTTTCTGCATAGTTAAGGAATTGGAAAAGATTAAATCTAGAACCTTCCTGAGTTGAAATGACGACATAGTCTAATGAGCTTCTTAGTTGAGTAACTGTTAAATATATTGGTGAACAAGACTGGTGCCGTTTAAGAATGTAAAGATGACTTGAAATTTGTCAATACTGGTTTGTTTCCCTCGATTTTCATGGCTTTGCTTTTTTTGTTGTTTTGGCGTTTTGTTTTGTTCTGTTCTGTCTTTGGTTCGTTACAATGAGGGAAATATACGCGTTTTCTGTTCTCTTTGCGCCCATCCTTGGCCGAAAAGCAGATTTATCTTCAGTAAACCAACCAGCAGTAGAGTTGTCCTTGCGAGTAGTAAGAATTGTCCACGTAAAGGGAAAAACAATTGTGTTTTCCACATTGCAGTTAGAGGCTTCAAAGGTAGCCGGTGTGTCTAGTATAGCCTCAAGCAGATGTAATCAGTTCTAGTCAAACCTGACTGCTCTCTTAAGAGTGCGTCATGAAATTTTATTTAAGATTATCAACCCAAAAGTAGCACTTAAAATTCTTATCATAGACGGCACTTCAAACTGTCGCAGAAATGAAGTTTTTGTGATCGTGGAGATAACAATCAAATAAATTACCATTTATATGTACAATTTTGCAGAAACAGAATGATCACGCCCTGAACGAAGACTTCTTCGAATTCCTGAGTCGTTGCCAGGGTAACCGAATGGATGAGCAGCGTTGCGAGCTCCCTAAACCAATCGAAAAGAGCAAGAGTACGGAAGACATGCTGGATATGGTGGAACGAGTACAAGGAGACAGAATGGAAGAACAACGGAGTGATCTTCCTTTCGAGGATGACCCGTCTCAGATAAGTACGTTTGTTCCCGAGATCTGACTTTGTTTAATCCCTTAAGAGACCCGTCGTTATTTATTGCCGGATGGCCCGTGGGGGTTGTCACATTTTTGGTTGTGTCACAATAAGATTAAGCGCTTCAAAGCTGAGTATAGCTTTTAATTTATGTGGTGATTAAGATGATGTAACTTCATCCTATAATATCTATACATTATCCAGGTAACAGGTATTGAGAGCACTCAAATTTGTCAGGTTGAAGTTGTTGTCATGACCTAACGCTAAATTCTCGTTATTGATTTACAAGGAAATGTGTAACAACTAAAAGGGAGAATTCACAATTAGATCTTGGGAGTTAAAGGGTTAACAGATTTTGATGAGTTGTGGTATACTATGTCGTTACTCAAGCGGTGAATTATTAAATATGGTGAAGTGAAATTATCACTAACGGAATATTAGGAACAAAATTGAATTCAATTTTTTTTTTCCATTAAGGGAGACTGCCAAAGAGAGGAGACAACCCTGGCGATGAAGATCTTTATGAAATGGTTCTCCGAAGTCAAGTAAGTATCGTTCAGGGTGCTTTTTGTCAATAACAGCTCGACTGTGTTAACAACTAGCCTACGAGCAGGTCCTCATCATTCGAGAATGAGTTGATTTCCTTTCACGCTTAAGATGTCATATTGAATCAAGTACAGAGGCGCATTGGCAAGTGAGAACAATTCCGCGGTTTGAGCCTGTTAGATGGTACTACATGTATTCGAACAGTGAGATAAAATCGACTGCTTGTATAATTTTATAATAATAATAATGATAATAATGGTAACAATTCTGATGATAATAATAATAATAATAATAATAATAATAACAATAATAATAACAATACTTTCAATATTTTTGAAAGTAACCAGTTCTTGGGATACCACCGAAAAAAGGCCAATCATTAAGATTTTTCATTCCTCTCCCTAGTCCCACCGTATTGAGGATCAGCGTTCGGAGCCGCCGCCCAATGCGCCCACAGTACCTGACGAGGACTTCTTTGGTCTGATACTTCGCCTACAATCAAATAGAATGGACGATCAGCGTTCGTCTGGTCCCGGAGGTCGTAAACCTCAAATACAACCCAGGCGATAAAGAGAAGTGAAGAAGTAGACACTGTAGCTGTAGCCTTGTATTATTTGAACTAAATGGTGCAGTTTGTAGTCGTGTTCAAACATGTTTGGCTGGACTAGAACGTCAAAAACGCTACAAGTATTAAGGAATCACGAGCTTGAAGGGATATACTATACGGCGATTCGTAATTTCCGTAGTCTAGTGAATAAAGATGATATTTTCAGCCCGTGTACTTTTGTAGCTTAGTTCTGTCAAGAAAACTTTTTAGAGGACTGTCTTTTTTAGGCTTTTCAAGCGATTTACTTAGTGTGACATGAATGTGACAAATAAATTGTGTGACAATCAGAATTGCGTGAGTAACTGAGGAATAGACGCTCGCAGAAAGCCTGGGTTGTTGTAGAGTAGCTTAGTACGTGTCATCTCTCTTTGGACATTGGATTTTAACCGCATTTTGCCAATACAGTTGTAAAATAGTTGGAGGAAGTAACTGATTTTTAGCCAGGCTAACGTAGAAAATTTAAATATTTAAAACGCACACGAAATATTGATACTACTTGCTTCTCAACGACGCGAAGTGTTCCCTGTAACACTTATCGGCTGTTTTTTCACCTTACGTTTTGTATCACACGACACACAATATTGTAGTGAAGGGAAAGAGATTTGGGTGATTTTTATCATTTTTAACCCCAACCGAGGTGTTTATTTTTTAGAACTCAAAGTCGTTATCAGATTTGTGTATTTTTTAGACCAAGTAGAACGTAAATTTCAAATTCTCGTAGCACATTCAAAATTTGAACTCCTCTCTTATTTTACTAATTTATTTAAGTCAGATATCTTTAATAAAAATGTAGAATACACTCTAGGCGCAGTGATTATCGCAAAGGGGAACATAATTTTTAGGGAAAAAATATATTTCTTGAAAATCAGATGGATTTTTACACTTGTGAAATAAGTGTGGCAATTCGCGATTCGTTTTATTTTTGTATTCACGACATGTACAAAGCAAGGAATAAAGAGAATCTCAATTCTACTTTAACTTGCGCATTCATTCTGTACTACTCAGTGGTCTCAAATAAGAGTGACAAAGGATATTTCAAGATTTTCAACACGTTTCTCAGGACAGAATCTGGTACACAGCATTTAAGATCTAAACCGCACCTTTTCGTTTAGCGGCGTAATAGCGGAGCTCGCAGAGCGTAGCCCCATAATTGTACAAAATAGTAGTAACCCATCAAGCCGAAAAAGTTTGGATGTACGACCGTACGACCGTACAAGGTGCTACTTTTAATATGCGTGGTGAACTCTACCGCGGGCACGCCAACGCCACGGCTTTGTTCAGTAGTCCAGTGGTCAGTGCACTGGGCTCCGAGTCGGACGACCCGGATTCTAGTCCTGGCCGGGGCAAGGCGTTGTGCCCTTGAGACGTGCGGGAAAAAAAATGCGAGCTCCGCTTTTAGGCTTGGCTAAATCTATATATTAACCCACACGGGATGTTGGAGAATACGAGAAAAGTTTGTTAATCACTCGCCTCCGACTCGAGATTGAAAATACGGCCTACTGCTTAAAAAGGAACTGTGGTTGTGTAATTAATGATAGGTTTTTGACTAATCAAGGCACTTGTACCATCAGTTAGTTTATAAGGAAACCCTCGCCTCCGTTTCACCTTGGGAGGGAGGGTACGGCTACACGTAGCCTACAAAGTTTTAGGTGTCCCTATATGTAGCACCTGTGTCTGTTGTCATTGGTGCGTTTCGATCCTCATAATTATTCCGACTTAGAGCTGCTGTTCCCTTTATGCTTATCTCATACAAGTTTCCTTACAGAGTACTTTTTTTATTACTAAATTTCAAACTTCAGGTATTTCTGAAAGTCTAAACAATATCTCTATTTAAAGAACAGATACATCATGGTCGCCTTCGGTGCAATAATTAAAGGTTAACTGGAGACGTTATTTACAGCATTTAGCAATATGCTTGTGGCTTAAATTGTAAGAAAATTCAGGGAATCGTTGTCGTCCAAAAAACAGATGAAACTACAAGCGACCTCTTGTGTTGCACTCATACGTAACATTCCTTGTTTACAATTCCCGTCTTGTCACGTGTCTTTTAAACACGTCTTGAGTGTGAAACGACTCAAGTTTGGGTGTAGCTCGACCCAGTCTCCAACCGTGTTTTCACATGATTACACCACAAGCTGAGGTTCACTTTTGGCTGCTCGTTGTTGCACGAGCCTCTGTTCTCCGGGCAGCAGTTCTCCCTCGTACAAGTTCTCTGTTAGAAGAAATCATCGAAGTCAAACGAACAGGTAGAACTTGGGTGTAACCATCATTCCGTTTTGGATTACCATAACGGTATACTTCAGATCAAATTAGTCATTCTCCTTACTGTCAACCAAACAATTCTTATGGTGTTCATTCAGAGAATTTAGTATTGATTCAACTAATTATCCCCAAATTGATATTATTCTTTATTCTCATCACTCATCTGGTTGATTTTATATTGATATTGTAAGGAGAAATTCTGTCTCGGTCACTCATGGGAGTTGAGGGGTTAATTTCTTTATCATGAGTTAAACTTTAAATTAACATTGAAAGAGGCTAAAATTGTTAAATCACCTCTAAATAAAAGCAACGAATTCTAAGACCAGGTACTTTACTATGTCTTAAACTCCGTATTCGTATCACATTCCGTTTCAAAAGCCAAGATATTTCAGATGAAAATAAACCGTCTACTTACCTGCCGTACATTCGTCTGACGGCTGAGCTGATACTAGTACCCAGCCCAACACGGCCCCTAACACGCGCATGAGGTTGATAATCCTCCAAGTATCCAACAACGAAGAAGTCTCCGCGTGTCCCCTGCAATAAACAAACAAACAAACAAGGTAAACAGTCGAATGGAAACAAACACAGAAAATACATCAAGAGCCAAATATTGGGGAATTTATTTCACTTGAGCCTTGCAGAGAGCGCTGTTTGATTGAGTGTTGTAAAACCAAAACCACAGCAATCATCTAGGCCAATCAGAAAAAAGGAAAATACCGTAAGAGCCAATGAGAACTCAAAATAAAAACAACTCAACTGCACAAAGCGCTGGAAAACGCAGGCGACCAAGTCATGATTGGTTTTTTGATACCTCGAACCACAGATAACTGTGTATATTCTTCTCTTAATTTTACCTCTCAACCCAACACAGTCGAAAAGAAGACGCCTCAATACCTTGTTTGATTTTGCAAAGAAGAGGGAAAACAATTCAGTAATCTAGAGCCCTTATATCGGGCTTGGATTTTCCGGACTCTCGTTCTTCAACAAAGGCACTAACAAAATTCCACTGTGAGCAATAATGTAATTCTGATAACGAGCGCAAAACCCTTAAACTTATGCTTTCTCGAAAAGACATAAACTCACCATAAGTCGCTGTGTACCTTGTACAAACTGATTCTGTCGTCTATGTTGGCCACACTTATTGAAAAGACCATAGCAAAGAGGTATGCTGTCACAGACGAAAAAAAAAGCAAAATTGTTAAAACATTTCAAGGTTTATGATTAAACGGGATTAAGAATATTTCCCTTAACCGCAGGTGCTAAAAGAGATGAAAGGAAAGTGATCTTTTGAAGATTAACCAGCCGCTTCGTCAATCCTTTAGGCCCTTTCATCAGTATTAACATTTCCTACCGTACGAACATGGAGAATTTTTTTAATAATAAGGAGCTTCTTCAGTTGGTAATCATTTCATTCATTCTCGTGACCTTAATGTATGATTCAGGGGTGATCCTATAAGGAGAAACTAGATGCTAGTCACTCCTTGGGGTCAAAGTGTTAAATGGACTGTGCCTGGGGTATCAAGAGGCTTCCACTGTGTCCAGCCTACCGTCACATGAAAGACCACTCCCGTAGCTGGCAAATACCCTAAACCTAGACAGGAGCCCTTCCTGTAGCTACCTGCCAACATTGATTGGGGCAGGGGAAGGAAAACAGTGGGCGAGGTGGAGATCCAACAGCTATAAGGCAGATTCACGAGAAAAACAGAAGATCCGACCACAATGAAGTCACCACATCTCACGTGAACCTAATTGTATTGTAAGTTGACAAGAGAAGCCTGTTTAGCTCGTGGCGGTTAATACTGATAAACTGTATTTTTTTTTTTACGCACCACTTATTGAAAGAATTCTAGATGGTCTCGACAGCAAGTCCCGGAAAAAGCCAGACCGTGGATTTGCCATATCGTACCTGTGACATACATAACAAAAGTACACGTTACATAGAATCTTTTTTATATGATAAGAAAGGTAAAATGTTTTTAATTGTGACATCATCTTCGTGTCTTTTCTCCAACAGATCATAAGAACCAATCAAAAAACATGTCCGACTGGGCTTATCATATAAACAGTATACCATAAATGAAAAAATTACGCACGTCTGATTAGCTGAAAATGTGTGAATTTTTAATTTAACGCGAGTGCAAAGTTTTAACACGAGTGCAAATTACAAATGGTGTGCGCGCTACCAAAACTTCGTCCTTCTTGAGTTTCTGTAATGAGTTTTTCATGTAAATTATTAACAACATGATTTCCATAACAATTTGCTGCAAATAAGCACTTATAAATTTTCAAAGACTCCAAATTGCACTCGCCCTACGGGCTCGTAAAATATTGTTGTTTTTAAAAAATTTATTCGTGCTTATTAACACGAAATTGCACTCGAAATCATGCTACTACCTGCACAAATAGATAACAGATGACGTCAAAAGGTGGTAAGAACAGAAAAGTGGCACAGGAGACCCAGCTGAGTGTCACTGATGTGTCACAGAGTATGTCACTGTGATTTATTACTGTGCAGACCCACGGCAAAATTGAATCTGTTTTATATGATAAAAAACTAAAATGTGGTTAATTGTGACATCATGTATGTGTCTGTCCTCCAATAGATCATTAGCGAGAACCAATAAAAATGCCTGTATAATTTGACTTAAAATATAATATCCATTGTAATAGTCTTCTCTATTCCTGACCATCCTTGTTCTTTCAAGGTTCAATTGTGCTTCTCTTTTGTTTTTCTTCCTTACCAAATTAATATTTTGTGATCACAATCAAGGAGCTGGTGGTTAGCACTTCACACAAAATTACACAAAACACTATAAAGTAAGTCCTTAAAGAACCCTTATCTCAATGAAATTATATGATAACCTGAATTTTACATGGCTCTTACTAATGATCTACTGGAGGACAGCTGCAGAGATGACATGACCTTTAACAACATTTTGCTTTTTTATCATATAAAACAGAGATTCCAGGTTGTCATGCATCTGTTCAGTATAAGATCCCAGAAGACAATATGGCAACATGGAATATATTTGTTAATCATAGCACAGATGGACGTCAAAATTAAAAATAATGCGAACCTGTCAAAGACAGACACTGTACAGATTGCAAACAGCATGTAGTACAGTGACTGTAAAGGTTGCGCCAACTTATAGTAGTTTTCCAGGAAGACCACATCACCTTGGCTGTTATTACTAAGCGAGTAAACAAAGATGACCTGGCAAAGTGCTAGACCTGAAACAGAGTGGAACACAAAACTGGTTAACCCTTTGGAGAACTTTTTGATGGAGAGTTGTAATGTCAAAACCGAGGCAAATACATCAGTTAGTCAAAGCACAGAACAGCACAAAGAGTTCACTAGAACTTAAGGTAAAAAAAAAACAAACAAACTGCCTAAGGGGTAGGAACATGCAAGTTACCACTAGTTAACCCTTTAAACCCTAACATCAGTATGTATATTCTCCATAATATTCTTGATATATTCCTTAAGGTGCTGACAAGGGGAATTTGTTCAACCCAGGGCTTCTTTATTGGACAATCATTTCCTTACTCTTGCAACCTAATGCACACCTAATGTGTGATTCAGGTGTGATACTGAAGAAATGAGATGCCTATCATAAAACTTGTGCTAGCATATTATTTAAAAGCCATTTCAGTCTGTGACAACCTGCAAGAAGTCCATGGCAGAAAACAGAAAAAGATCTAAAGGCTTTATGCACTGACTGAAAAAGATAAAGAAAAAAGAAAGATGTCATTGAATTAGTCATGTCAACAACCATGAAATTCTGTAAGTAATTCTGAAACTTTTTAAAAAAATTCAGGGCTGTCATTAGATAGATGTATAATCTAAACTGAGAAGGCAGCTGAATTGAGTTATGCTTGTGTAACAGGCATAGTGAGTTGCTTTGAAATATGCCCTTCAGGAGGGGGGGGTCCTTCCTGGAAAATTTTGAAATTTGAAAAGACTCTCTAAGATGTGATTCTGGGACATATATAAGCCAGACAAAAACATGTATTCTTCTTGGAAAGATACATTAAATTGGCTTCCACTGTTGCATAGTCTTAGCTTTCCAATGAAAAAATAAATAAATAAAAAGTCTACCCTAACCCTTAAAGTGTACAACATTCTTTTGCAAATGAAAAGTTACCAGCTGCAAAATTTTACATTTCATGCTTCAATGTAACTGGAATTGTGCAAGAAGACAAATTTTACAGGGTTGGGGTTTCTAAGGGTTTTTATCATGACCTATATAATGGTGAGAACAATCTAACAACTTAATCAGGGACTAAGCCTACCACAGCAAATTCAGCAGTTGTCATCTGCATGGAGGAGGGAATCTTTTCAGGTTCTTTATTTCTTTCCTCCTCCATTTGCATTAACCTTGTTTTTCTCTCCCGTGTAAATCCCTGGCCATCTAGAATGAAACATGAACAGACTTGTTATCTTTTCTTTTTCCTTATTTAAAGTAAGAAAAATCTGGTAATCCTTCACACCCTAACATCAGTATGCATATTCTCCACACTGTTCTCTATACATTTCCTTAAGAGCTGACAAGGAGAATTTGTTTAAAACAAGCTGTAAGTTGATTAAGAGATATTAATATGGTTACATAATCATATATTTTAAAAAAGAGATCACTGCAAGGGCACAAATAAGACACAATCATTTTGAGTCTTCAGATTGTGAGAAAATTGTATGCGACTTCTACCGGATAAAGGATTTTATTTTGTAAACAAGATTGTATCTTTACCATTCATATCATGCGTTACTTGGTACAGTTCTTTTTTTTTTTTTTGTTAACTTTTATTTCAGTGAATCAACAATTCTTACCTCTTCGTTCAATAAAAACAACATCTAGTGGTTGACTAGGCAAGGTCTGAGCCACAGGGGGTAGGGCAGGGGGTGATGTTTCTGAGGTGTTGCTCACAACAATGTCTTCTTTGTCCACTTTATAATAGTCAACTATTGAAGCTGTAATGAACAGTAAGAATACACAAATAAATGAAAATAGGACACAAATAAACTCAAATTAGATATAAACAAATACATAATCACTCTTTGAAAGCTTGTAAGACAAAACTTTAAAACTTTAACTCCCAAGATCTGGTGGTTAATGCTACCCATTCCCTTGCAAATTAGTTGTGAAAAATTTTTTTTAGATCAAGATAACAACTTCAAACTGATTAGTTTGAGTATTCTTATTACCTGTTTGCAGGATAATATACAGATATTGTGGGAAGAAGTTATATGTTAATCACCACTGGAAGTGAAAGGGTTAACAGGATAGGTATTCACACACCTGAATGATTCCACCTTTAAAACAATTTTTTTATAAAAAATCCTTTTAAAATATCAAGGCACATGGCTTTTAATTAATGCTGAAATTTTACCTTACCTTAATTTGGAACTTACACCAATTTAAAAAGGTTTTAAATTATTTACACTCAAGGAAACATGTCAACATACAAAAAAAAATCAATCCTTTAACCTTCTTCATCATTATCGGCATTATAGTTGTCTTCCTCTGCTGATGTTCCAGTTTGCTGTCTGAGAATTAATAAAATGAAAAATTTGTTATTAATCTCATTTGAGAAAAATATACTGAGAAAATATACTGCATTTATTTGCAAACAGACCACAGCTTTTCTTTTTTGCAAATATGGGATCAAAGTTAGGGGTGCAGCATATATGCAGGTACAAGCCTTTTGACAAATCATTACTTTGCATATCAAAACAAAATCTTTCACTTCAAATTGCTGAACTTCTTTTTTATTAACAAACATCACTTTCACATTGAGTCAGTAATCATACTACAAATACAACTAAATTCCTAGATAATCTTGGTCCTTTCTTTTAAGCAATAAGCACATCAATTTTTTTAGGTTCTTGTTTGGGGAATTCCAGCACAGCTTGCCTGGAATAGCAATTCTTACTCACAGCATACAGAGTGCCTCCTTTTCCCAGTCACTGCACTGGAAATTTCATCTCCACTCCTCTTGATAAAATATAAAATAGACCACAATTTTGTTAAATGCCACTGGTAAGTAACATACTCATACCAGTGGAGTGCCAACTCAAGAAAAGAAAACTCATTATGCACCTTTGAGACTTCTTTGTTTTATTTTTCTTTGGTCTTGTCCTCTTTGAGTCTCCTGGGCCATCATATCCATCGTAGTCATAAGTATATTCTTCACCATTGATCACATCTCGGGAACCTGAAACAAAACTCTTTAGTTGTTACATAAACGTTTTTGTACACTTTTTGTCTACAATAAATTACAAAATTTTCTAAAACCAGTATTTAGATTTTCCATGCTCAAGCTTCTGAGTCAAATGACAACATTTCATACAGGAGGATGGTTGTCAAAGATCTGCCCCAAAACTGAAAGTTATCTGATTATGGCAAAAACAATTCTTTGGCCATGCTTTGGCAAACTTTTAAAAGCCCTAAAAAAAACTTGAGACCCCTTTCCATATTTTTGTGGGTTTCTTTTTATTTTTCACACTTTTCCAGGTGTTGAAAATTAAGTCTTAATTACACCATGCATTATGTTTTCAAATACCCATTCTCCTAAAAGGTGTTCCTTTCTCCGTAGAAAACTTAAGAATTCTAAACATCTGGGACATCTTTTAACCTAACTTTGGACAAACGATAATTTATTTTGTCCATAACTACTAACTTCACAACCCATACAAATAATAACTGCTTACAAAAAGAAAAATAAGTATCATTTTAGGTTAGTGTGTACCTTACAAGTGTTTGATTTTGAAACGCAAAATGTGGCTATTAATTTCCCTACAAGTCCAGCTTTTTACCCTGCAGTTGTTGTCAGATTTTTTGGACAAGTAACCTTGTGGTCCATAAAGGAAAAATAGAGAAAGTTCTATGCCTTGAGCTTGATATGGCTAGCCAAACATATCAGTTTGAAAGAGAAAGAGTACCATACATTTTGCTTAAAAACTTAAAAAAAAAAACAAAAAATAAATTCACCATGTGTTCTTTTCCTTCTTGGCCTTCTCCTTGCAGGAGTAATATTTTCAGTATCTCCCATCATATCCTCCTCGTCCCTATTGATGACCTCAGCACTGGCTGATCTGGCATGACGAGTTACACCAGATGCAGGGCGTTTATATCTTTTCTTTTCTGGTATATCTAGTGTTTTAGACTCCATTCCATCATAAACATCTCCTGAATAAAAGTAAATTAATTGAACAATTATCCACCTAAGACAAGTAAATATTGTTGAATAATCCAAAAGACAAGCAACTGTGTTAGTAAAATTGCCCAGGTGCTTTTGAATTCTGATGTAAATTCTTTTTGATGTTAGAACCATTCTGTAACAATTGTTTTGATTACTTAATATATCAAAATAGGCAGCCAGTTTCCACAGGAATTTAACCGGTTTATTTAATTCAATCACAATATTTTTCTTCTCTTCACCTTTCTACCTGAAAATGTTTTCATACTTTAGGTCACTCCTGAGAGCGAAAGTACCACATTTCCTTGAATAAGTACCCATACTCTAAAAGGCACTCTCTCCCCAAAAAGCATCCATTTCCTAAGCCATAATGTCAAACATATAAATAACAGGGGTAAGTTTCTAAAAAACCTGCATTGGTGGGATAGTATAACAGGGTAATTTAGTATTATCAACAGACTTGATGAGGTAAATTTGCCACCATAAAGAGTTTCAAAGTTGATGATGTCAATCAAGTGCCCTCTTGAATAAGTCCTCTATTCCAACATCACTTTCTTAAATAGTAGGAAATCAATACAAAGAAAACCTGTTTCTACTGCTGCTTTATTTATAACTTTTTACGCTTAAACTTCAGAGGAATCCATACAGGAAAATAATAAGAGCCCCCTAAACTAAGTGCCTTCCTTTTTGCAGAAATTTTCAAACAAGTGCTCTTGGGGAATATTCTAGGAATTAAGGTATCAAGATTTTTATGAAGGACAGGTAAAAGGTATATTAACCCAAACTTTTTTTTCTCTAAAACAAAACTTAGGGCACAATTTAATGGAAAAATCAAATAAATCATGTTTAACCAATAGATGATAAGGTTAAAACAACAACTCCAGATTGTGGAGCTAGCAAAATCAAATGAGACTTCTACTGGTCTTGAACTTATGTCTCCCACAGAAGGGCTGGGTACTGCTATCAACTGAATGACTGACAAAGCCAAATACTACGAGGATCAGGAAAGTCTGAGTGGGCTTTACTATCTAAACTAGTCTATAACCTGTAATCTCGCAGCTACGGCAGGCTTAGAGCTTGTGAATAAGAGGAATTATAAAATCAATACTTTATTTTGTTACCATTTTCCATCCTGGACCTTCTTCTCTGTCTTCTAGCGCGGTTTTTTCTTTCCGAAGTTGATTGCGGAATCCCTGAGCTTCCCTCTTGATCACCAGAATTATTCGACGCGCTACGAGTCACTCCACCTTTGTCGCCGTCTGCAACATCTTGAAGAGGAATTCTCTCTGGTAAAGAGCTCGGTGATTCTATACTTTCGTTTGTGTAATCGTCAATTTCTCTTGACATTCTCTTTTTACGACGTCCTCGTCGCGAACTGGGGTCTCTAGAGCTTTCTGTATCGATCGCAACTTCAGCCATGTTCTGAAGCTATGTTCGTTGAGATTTGAACTTTCCCTGTGACAGCACAAACTTAAAGCGACTCTAACCGTCCGTTTATGGGAAAATACATCACCATAAGTGACTCAGAGGCTGTGATAAAGTTTCAAATGTCATGGACCAGATGTTTCGAAATGAAAACGTTCAGCCTATAACTTTGTCATACAGCTGAACTAGTGGATATTTTCTTGTTTTTCATATTCTATGTATACAAATTCCATGGAGACCTGGGTCAGAGCCATCTTTGAGCATACTCAGTTAGGAAAAGAATCCTCTGACAGGTAGCAAGTGAAGGCTCAGCGCATGTGTTTGCTCATTACACCGCTTCGGTAATCACTAATTGCCACGTGGAGGAATGCTAAAAATTTTATTTGTATTCAGTATTTTGAGGCTTCCTTTGCAGCCCAGAAACATCTCCCAGCAACTATGAAGACTGTACTTATGGTAGCAGAGAAGCCTTCCCTGGCTCAGTCAATCGCCAAATTTCTCTCTAAGGGACATATGAAGACGAGAAAGGGGCTCAATGGAGCTTGTTCAGTACACGAGTATGACGGACAGTTCAACAAAGAGCCGGTGAAATTTAAAATGACCTCTGTGTGTGGGCACGTAATGACCTTGGATTTCCATCACAAGTTCAATAACTGGGACGCTGTTAATCCTCAGGAACTTTTCACGGCAGCAACGCTGAAGAAAGAGGCAAACGAAAAACTGCAAATGCCTAGATTCTTGCAGCAGGAGGGAAAAGGCGTCGATTACATTGTTCTGTGGTTGGATTGCGACAAAGAAGGGGAGAACATCTGTTTTGAGGTGCTGGATTGCGTCAGGCCTGTTATGAATAAGAAATCAGGCAACAAGAATGTATTCCGTGCGAAGTTTTCTGCCATAACAGAGACTGACATTTGCAATGCCATGCATCGTTTAAGCGAGCCTAATAGGAATGAGGCTAGGTCAGTTGATGCTCGGCAGGAGCTGGACCTAAGGATTGGTTGTGCATTTACGCGATTTCAGACAAAGTACTTCCAGGGGAAATATGGTGACTTGGATAGTGGGCTGATTTCTTATGGCCCCTGTCAGACACCCACTCTAGGCTTTTGTGTGGAACGTCACGACCAGATACAGTCGTTCAAACCTGAACCTTTCTGGGTACTTAAAACCCAGGTACTCCACCCAAGTGGTCAGACCTTGCAGCTTGACTGGGACAGGGGTCGACTGTTTGATAAAGAGGTAGCTGTCATGTTTCAAAAAGCTGTCAAGTCATCAAGGTCAGCAACTGTGGTTGGTGTTTCCAAAAAGGAGAAATCCAAACAAAGGCCCATTGCTTTAAACACTATTGAAATGTTACGTATGGCTTCTTCAGGGCTTAATATGGGTCCCCAGCACTGCATGCAAATAGCAGAGAGGCTTTACACACAAGGCTACATCAGCTACCCTCGTACAGAAACAACTCACTACCCAGAGAATTTTGATCTGAAGGGAACTCTCCGACAGCAGCAGACAAACTCCAGCTGGGGTTCATCTGTACGAGAACTTCTAGAGCAGGGTATTAACAAGCCAAGGAAGGGGCATGATGCTGGTGACCATCCACCCATAACACCAATGAAGCCTGCGAGTGAAACTGAGCTGGGGAGTGATGCATGGAGATTATATGAGTTGATCACAAGATCTTTTATAGCCAGTGTCAGCTATGACTGTAAATACTTGCAAACAACAGTGAAGTTTTCAATTGAGCAGGAGGCCTTTTCATTCACTGGTAAAGCTGTGACCAACCCAGGCTTCACGTCTGTGATGGACTGGCAGGCAATTTCCAGTGATGAACGGATGCCTCATTGTCAGCAGCATGATTCATATCAAATTGCAGAAGTGAAACTTGAAGAAAGACAAACTTCACCTCCTGATTACCTCACAGAGAGTGAGCTCATTTCACTGATGGAGAAGCACGGTATTGGAACAGATGCAAGTATTTCTGTTCACATTAATAACATCTGTGAAAGAAACTATGTCCAGGTACTCAGTGGTCGAAAGCTTCAACCAACCCCTCTTGGAATTGTGTTGGTACATGGCTACCAAAAAATTGATCCTCAGCTTGTTCTACCCACCATGCGATCAGCTGTTGAGCAGCAATTAAACCTAATTGCTGTTGGGAAGGCAGAATTTGATTCTGTTTTGCAACATGCCATTGGAATCTTCACAGATAAATTTGTTTATTTTGTGCAAACCATCACAAGCATGGATGAGCTTTTTGAAGTATCATTTACTCCACTCAAAGATACTGGCAAGGCCTTGTCAAGGTGTGGCAAATGTAACAGGTATATGAAGTACATCAGTGCTAAACCAACGCGCCTGCATTGTGCCAACTGTGATGAGACATATAGTCTTCCGCAAAATGGAAGCATCAAACTGTACAAGGAACTGAAGTGTCCCTTGGATGAGTTTGAGTTGGTGTTGTGGTCTACTGGAGGGAGGGGAAAGAGTACCTTAGTTTGTCCTTACTGCTACAACCATCCGCCCTTCTCAGAAATGCGGAAAGGTATGGGCTGTAATCAGTGTACACATCCCACATGTGCCCACTCTGAGGTGAGTCTTGGCATAGCTGACTGCACTGAGTGTGATAATGGAAGCCTTGTGCTTGATCCAACCTCAGCTCCCAAGTGGAAACTTGCTTGTAACAGATGTAATCTGGTGATACATGTATTTGAAGATGCATTTCGAGTGAGTGCCACAGATCAGGGGTGTGAATGTGGGACAACTCTTCTGAACATTGATTTCAACCGCACCAAGTCACCACTGCCTGATGAAAAGACCCAACATGTCGGTTGTCTCTTCTGTGATCCACTGCTTGCACCTCTGGTCAAAATGTCCCATGCAGCATCAAAGCACCCCATGTACAGAGGAGGGCGAGGCAGAGGAGGAAGGCGTGGCAGGGGTGGTAGGAGAGGAAAGGGCAGAGGTAGACCCAAGGACAAAATGTCACAGCTTGCATCATACTTTCTGTGATGTCTCAATTACCGTGATAAGTATTGCTTTGGTGAATGTGCAACCTTATTTAATTTCAGGACAGAAATTTATGTTATGGTCTTCGTGGCTTTTATGTAACCCTTTCACTCCCAAGACTGTATTGGTAATTCTCATTACTTTCTGCTATACAAAACTTATAATGTTACTTTTGAGAATTTTGTATTGGATCAACCAATAATCTTCTTTTTGAAATTTTCCTGAATTCCCATTACTTGCATGCTTTATTTTGTATTGATATTGTTAGGAGAAATTCTGTTTTGGTCACTCAAGATCATGGGAGTTGAAGGGTTAAGTGGTAAAACTTTCAATTTTTATTCTACTTTTTATTTGCCTGTAAACTCCTAGGATATGACTGGTAATTTGCCTTGTAAGCTGCTATATATTTCCTTGTAACTTAGTGAAGAGAATTGGGTATTGTATCAAGGTTACACCTGCTAACTATTAGGTTTGTCCATTCTTCTTTCTTGTTTCTTGGATGATATATATAACTCTAAAAGGAGTGTCATATTATCACTTCTGGACGTTAGATACTTCATTCAAACATTTTTGGTTCTCAATCCATTTTACTCCCTGAAGGGACCTAAAGGGAATTTGATCAAGCAGTCTGATATTCTAATAACATCACAACAAAACTGACCAATCAGTTTACACAAATTACACATATTGCACATCACTGACAATAATTCTTCATGTGACTCTGATGAAGACTTCTGCTACTGATGTTAAAATGCTATTCACTAATACTGATAATGGTCCTTCTCAGGACTACTTAAACCCCAAGAATGACCAGCATCTTATTTCTCCTAAAGTAATACTGCTGAATCATTCATTAAGATCATGAGTAGACAAGAAATGATCGTTAACCTAACAAGCTATGACTGTAAAAAAAATTCTCCTTGTCAGCACCAAAGGAAGGGTTATGGAAAAAATGGATACTGATAATTGGGTGTAAAAGATTGATGCAGATGATCAAACTACATGATTAAATTTTGCTCCCATTCTATTTTACTGGAATAATATCAATAACAACAACAATATCAATAATGGTGTATTTCACATTTATATACCTATTACGTCCAATTTATATTGTATTTTGCTTAATTAGATTCTCATGGATGTTTCTAGGGAAAATAAATTAGATGTAGATATGTAGGGTGCAAATGTCCAGTAACTAAGTAAACCTTACAGATTTCTAGTAAGACTCTAGTCTTGTCAAGTTGTTTGAAAAGGAATTTCTCAATTCAATTTCAATTTATTTTGTATCATTGTCTATTTATCTTGAACTTTGCACCAGAGAGATTAAGTTATGAAAATGGTTGAATTTGATTCATGACTGCCAATACAGGTTGCCTAAGCAGCAACTTCAACTGAAAATTTAGTTGCCAAAATGTTTTTACTTGCCATGGCAGCCAAAAGGGTTGCAGCATGGAGTGTTCTGTTGTTTGCACAACACTACAAATTGCAAGTTACATGGATAAGAAATCACTTTTATTAATTTATGGAAAGAATCCAGTATATGAGAGGGAAAAAATGTAAAGCATGTCCAATTATTTATCAAAAAATAACTTACAAGAGATAAGATATTGTGATTGTTATTATGGGTAGCTTGATGTATGAGCTTTAGTAAGACAGTTCATTGAATATTATGTTCATCTTTTTTGGAAGAATTGTAATAGAACTTAGTTTTGTTTCAATTGTAAGGCCAGTTATTTTTTATCAATTTTTCTCGTAAAGAGTTTTATTACTTAAAATTAATGAAAAGTTGTCTGGTTATGCCATTAGATTTATACCCACATGTTACTTAAAGTTTATTTTATTTGAATTTTGTTCATTTTTTCAGTAAGTATTTATTTATTTTTCAGTTTTTGGTTAATATTTGCATAAGATTGTCTGAATCTTTTTCAATGTTAATATTTAATTGAAGCTTTTGGACATTAACCCTTGAACTCCCATGGGTGACCACTAAGGCAAAATTTCCGAATATCAATATTATAGCAAGCATGCATCAAGTGATGAGAATGCAGAAAAATATAATTTAGAAGATTACAAGTTGATCCAATACTAAATTCTCCAGAGTAATATGAGTTATTTTGTAGATGGTAAGGAGAATTTCTGATGCAATCATGGAAGTGAGAGGGTTAAGAGTCTCCTTCAGCTGTAGTTTGGTGTATATGTAGTTGCTAGACAGATTGTCTTCCAGTGAATGATGACTTGATAACCTTGCATGCAGAGTGGCCTTTGATCTTTCCTGCTTACTCCACATGAAGGGTTAGAGTGCATTGTGTGTTTAGACCAAAACCAAAAAACGACTGGAGAGGAGACTAACATGTTGGTATCTGAGAAGGAAACTAATGCTCTTTATAATCCACATCTTTATTAAAGTTCACTAATTTGAGCCAACTCTAATGGTCCCAGTATTCTGTCACTGACTGTAACAAAATTATGAAGACAGAGTAATCTATGGATTGTAATTTGGACCTTTCCAAGTCTGTTTGAATTCCTCATTACAATTGGTTTTAGGAGGATCTCAATTGGGTCAACTGATAGCTGTGAAACAGCTTGAAGATTTAGCCATTGAGGCGTGAAAATTGATGAATTTTAACTGTTGTAAAAAAAGTTAACTGTAATAAAAATTTATTGTGACACACTGGATAATACTGATATCATATATAATGAAGATGAGATCACTCATTTTCATTTATTAATCTGCAGTTCGAATGTATTATATTCACTGTCATCCATTCATCACTACACTAGTTTATTACAACCCAGCAAAATGACCAGCTCCCAATTGGCTTGTTAGCTTAGTTGGTAGATCAGCACTGCACTAGTATCACAGGAGGCAATATTAGGCTCAACTCCTGTGCAAGCCTGAATGTTTTAGGCTTTATTTTCATCATCACTTCAGTAATGTATTAATTACTGAAAAATTTCACTCGTCTTCATTTAGTCATCATGGAATCCTTTTCAAGCCCAGCTTCTGTTAACAATACCAATACATTTAGAATTCTCTGTCTTGTGTTTCCTACGTCCTTTTCTATTGTTCTCACTGTCATCAACTTGGGTTCCTTCCTAACTTGGTAGCTCTAAGATACAGCCTAATGTTCAGTCATTACCGTCAATTTTTATCTCCCAGATATATATCTATATTAAATGAATTTGGAGAAGAGAGGAAATTAGGCGTGGGTAATGCATTTTTGTCTGAATATATTACTGATTTTTCCCCCTCTTTTGACTCTAGACTTAATTTTTGTTGGGAAATTCTTGTGAGAAAAGTTTGAGATGAAGCGTTTAACCTTTTAACTCGTAAGAGTGACTGGCATCCAATTTCTCCCTAAAATATCACTCCTGGATCAAACATTCTGGTCACAAGAACGACTAAAGAAGCTCCTAATTGATAAATAAATTCTCCTAGTCAGCACTTTAGGAAATGCATAGAGAACAGTATGAAGAATATGCATTCTAATGTTAGGGATTAGAGGGTTAAGTATCATGTTCACGGGTAAAGGGGGGTGGAGTTATGCTCTAAATTTCAGATTTCCAGGAGTTTGGGAAATAGGGATCACCCTGAGTAAGAGTATTCTGTTAGAATTGATCTAATTTCTTGAATTTCTGCAGCAAAAAGGTTGCATATCAAAATCCAAAAGGTTTTGAAATAATATTCCATCAGTAAAACGACTGAACTGCGTATTCGTTCATTTGTATCCGTCTGGCCTGACCGAACTGGGATGACTGTGGCATATGTAAATAGCCTGGCTACCAAGCCTAGGACGCGCTCATTTGCGAGGACAACACGCAAGCGGGCAGAATTATTAGCATGCATTTTTCCCCAACATTATTATCTTTCCCATAGCGATCACCTCCAGGCACAATGTTCAGTGAGTTGGCACAATCTAGTGACGTAGACACAAAGCCAAGTTTACCCGACTCTGAACGCAATCATCAGAAAAAACCTTCAAATGATCTACAAGCTCAGGTGCGTCCTTATTTTCAAAGCTAATGCCAAATTCGAATTTAACGCTCACAAAACGTTGCTCAGCTGGTTATTTGTTTTTTCCTGGGGAGGCCCTTTTCGTAAATTTATTAAGGATCGTGCAATAACGTCTTAAACGTTTTGTATAAATGTGGCCTCGAATCTCTTTTCCTGTTGCCAACTCAGCTGTTAAGTAAGTTTACGAAGAAAAGTCACCGGTCATGTAAGATTGTTTACCAAGTAAACACAATCCTGGTAGTGTTACAGGAATTAGGTTATAGCTAACATACCGGTTGAAACTTTTATGCAGTAATTTTCAAAATTTTACGTCCCCGCAATACAAATTCTGTCATTGATGAGTGTTGGAGGCAAATTGTGTCTTGTAAAAATTCAGTTCAAGATATAGTGCAGTATGTAGCATGATTGGGGCAATTTTGCAGGTTTTTGCTATTACTCTCACACACAGATTTTTTCCACCATATCAAGCCAAATTACCAGACTGAATCAAGCTTAATTGAACTCAATTCATGGAATACTTTTTAATTGTATTTGATGGGGTCCAATTACATTTCTAAGTGAGTTGTGGATCAATGAATCATTACCTTAGGCTAGTAGATATGTTTTTTTTTTCTTCTCATCATATGTCTGCCTGATATTGTATTTATATTTCAAGGAGAAATTATATCTTTGTCATTACTGGGAGTGAAAGGGTGAATACTCAATTCTACAAATGATCAGATTTTCCAATTTACCATGATATCAGTTAACCCTTTAACTCCCATGAGTGACCAAGACAGAATTCTCTTTATAATATCAATACAATATCAAGCTGACAAGTGATGAGAATAAAGAAAAATATCAATTAGGGGATTATAAGTCGATTCAATACCAAATTCTCAAAACTAACATCGCAAGAACTGTATGGCAGACAGTAAGGAGAATTACTGATGAGATCTTGGGAGTTTAAGGGTCAATGAAGTGAGTTATATGCAATCTGAACTAAAAAGAGCTACAGCAATGTGAATTTTTTGTTTTAAATGATCAAGCACCTGCCAACTTAATAATTACTTGCATTATACTTGTTGCACTTGTGATCAAAAGTGATGTCATCTTGTATATGAAATGAGACAATTTCCCATTTCCAATTTTGAAGTACTTGTTCATTAATCATTAAAGTGAATAAGCTGAATATGATTTTCACCCAAAATAGTATAGTAAACTGTGCTGAAAGACCTGGGACCAGTTATATAAAGGGGAGGGGAAGAGACACTGTCCAACAGATAAATTGCTCTCCAGGGAATAAGGATTAGCAAATATACTGTGCTATCCACCAGAGAGAGATTTATTTAACCTTTGAACAACCAGGGCTGAACAACAACCTTTTACAAGGTTCTAGCACATTATCTTAGCAATACAGAACTCAGGATAGGTGCATTCTAGGAACACATTAATTAACTCTTTGTATAGGTAATCACATGATTTCGAGTACAATTTGGAATAAATAAGCATGAGTAAATTTTTTTAAAGACTAACAAAATTGCACTAGCCTGTAGGGTGAGTGCAATTTGTGGTCTTTGAATAAATTGACAAGTGCTTGTTTATTCCAAATTGCACGAGAAAAATCATGTGATTACATGTTAATAATATACATGGAAAAATACGAGATGGCGTATCATAATTAAGCAGAAGCAAAGCGCATGCATCAAGTGCAAAATAATTTATTCAAACCATGCATTTGGTCAAAATAACCACGTATGATCAAAACAATAATATGCAATGATATCTTCACATCTTTAAGGTGCAAAAAAGTTCAAAGTCCAGCTAAACAGTTCAAGGAATTTTTCAGTCTGTGTCCGAATCACTTTCTATGAAATGGAATTGTCGTTTCCAAGGTTTAACCATGTTTGTTTTTAATTTCAGCATTGGATCGCTTGAGCTAAGTGTTAAGCTGAGTTGGCTCTTAATTTTTGATTTCCTTGGCAATTCCCTTCTCTAAACACCACTTTTTCCAAACCAACAACCAAAAAGCAGTGCTTTTTACAGTGTTTTTGTTGTTTGAGCTGTTTTTCAGCTGCGGTAGCAAAAGAAAACCTACTTAAAATGCTGGCCATTGTTTCGCTCACAAATTTTCAAATTTTGTTGCAACATCCAAAGCTTGCATTTGATTGGCTATGTGTGAGTTTCTTTGATTATTGACCAATCAGAATGTCTGATTTGTTACTTTCTTTGTACTGAATTAACCCTCTTCTGCACTGAATTAACTCTCTTCTGCACTGAATTACCTGAAAACTGCATTTATCTTAACCAATCAGAACTGAGTAATTTTTCCATGTATACTATTAAGCCTCTAAGAGTGACTTGCCTTTAATTTCTTCTTACAATTTCACCCCCAAATCACACATTAAGGTCATAAGAATAAAGGAAATTATCACCACCTAAGGAAGCTCTTGATTGTCAAACAAATTCTCCTTGTCAGCACCTTAAGAAATATACTGAGAACAGTATGGAGAATATACATGTTGATATTAGGGTGTGAAGGGTTCAGAAACCTTCAGAAGTCATGCAAACATCTTTTCTAAGCAAATGCAATTTCAGAAGCTGTCTGAATACCTTCAATAATGCTTGAAACCCGCCAGTTTCTTTTTTTGGATAAATCAAAGATATGTATATACAAGAATCAAATTTAGTGGATGTTGGGGAACTTGGCTGGTTTGTAAAATAGACAAAAGTAGACTGCCTGAGTATGATGTGGTAAAGAATGAATTTAAGCCATAATGGTTTTACACCTATTTAATAAGTAAATTATTTCACTTTGTTTCACTCTGTAGATAAATTATCTTAATTCAAAGCAAATACAAATCAACCTAGTTTGATGCCATTTCAACCTGGAGTCCATTTTGATCTACAACATATAATTATTTGGTGGGAAGAATATTAAATTGGGAAAGTATGGCATCTCCAAAGCGACCTTTTATGGATTATGATTGTAAATCATGTAATTTATCTATTTGTCCTGTAGATTATAACCATACATCGATCAAATATGTGTGAGACTTAATAGAACATGTTGCCTTCTTGTGAATGCATGTACAAGCTGTAAACATCTGTATTTAGTAGTTTTTACACAGCCTTAGAACATGGAACTCCTTCTTCTTTTTGGCTTAGAACATGACAAATGCAATATCTGGTGTACAACAAAAACACATTTGAAGAAATAGCAGAACAACCCCAGGTTTCTGTCCAAAGAAATAGCAAACCTGAATGCCAGAGATTTTTTTTTAGTTTATGAAGGAAATGTGCTAAGTTTTGACTTGCTCAATACATTTAAATGATTCTAACTACAGCATGTTCTCAATGAAAAAGTGATCTTTGATATTCAACATATGCCTTCACGTTATGTTTCAAACAGGAAAAAGATTTGAAATATTTAGAGGAAAAGTCAGAACAGAAAGAGCCCAGAGAAGAAGAAGCGTCACAGCCTTTCACCATGAATATTGAATTAAATTTTGTCTGGCTAGTTTTGGTAGGTTTGTCATTTGGTACAAGAATGTGGCAGCTCACTACGCCCAAACATGTCATGTAAGTAATTAGTATAAAAGGTTGAATTTGAAACAATTTTTGAAATTCGTTTTAATTAAGGTAATAATATCAATGACAATGAAACCTCTTTTGTCAGCTTTGTCCAGTTTTCATAATTTATACAATGGTAATAAGCTTCCTTGTTGCACAGTTACAGACTGTCAAAGACACAATCATGTAATAAGCTATATTATTTAATCAACTATTTTGGGTCCCTCTTTTACAAATTTTGAGGGTGTCCCATACTGAAATTTGGTAGAGTTTCATTGTCATTGCAGTCTCATATGGAAATTAGCTATGTGCTTTTGCTTCTCACTGAAGTTAACCCTTTAACTCCCAAGATCTCATTAGTAATTCTCCTTACGCTCTGCTATATAGTTCTTGTGATGTTAGTTTGGAGAATTTGGTGTTGGATCAACTAATAATCCTAATAAATATATTTTTTTCTATTCTGATCACTTATCTGGTTGATATTGTTATTGATATTGTAAGGAGAAATTCTTTCTTGGTCACCCATGGGAGTTTAAGGGTTACAACATGTCTGATGTTGACTTTTCTTTCTCTTGTCTTTTTTTTTCATTCCTGTACTTTGATACTGTGCTGGAATCACAAAACAGTATGGGTAGCTGATCAGCCTTAATTCTTGTTCTAGAATAGAACACATTTAGAAATGATCGTTTTTCAGGGAAACATTTTTAATAAAGATTCCATTCTCATGTGTGAGATAGGTTGACTATAAATATTGACAGAGAGGTTGATTTGTTCAATTAATTGCTTTGGTTTGTGTAGTCACCTGCATCCCAGTTGAGTGTGCAAACCATTGTGTGCTCAAGTAAATAATATTTGGTCAAAATTTCCACTGTTTTTTCCAAAAAATAATACAAGCACTGTAATAAATGAATGATACGAACACGGAAAATATAACATTAATACCATTGTTAGATTTGTATTGAATACTTGTTTTCTTCTCAATGTGCCACTTTTCTTTTATAGATACAAGGAAGGCATTTATTAACACTTTCACACCCAAAACGTCCCCTATCCACAAGTTTTAATCTGTATCTGGCACTTGAATTCTTCATTCTCCCTTTAATAAACTTCATGTCATTATTAATTTTTTGTTGACGCAGTAAAAATTATTCATTCATAACTCTACACCAAGTTGGCCTTTTTTGGCTTGTCACCAAGAAAGCTTGGGCCAAAAGAGGGATTGCCTAGGAGGCTAGTACTGAGTCAACATTAAATTTATCATTTTCCACATACAACTAGTCCAGGGTGACTGTAGGTAACTACCAATGCATCCCATGTATTCCATTCAAATTCTTCGTTAATTCTTCTTATGTCAGCTTAAATAGTCTTTAGGTCATTATCTGTTGACCCAGTGCAAATAACTTGTGACAAATTCTATACTGAGATAGCCTTTTTTGGCTTATCATCAATTTAAAAGCTTGCATGATGGGCCAAAAGAAGGTAACTTAGGAGGATAGTACTGAGTCAACATTAAATATATCATTTTCTGCACACAACTAGAGTAGAGTGACTGTAGGTAATGACCAATGCATCCCATGTTAATGCTATAAGACATTGACAAGTATAATGTTCTCTAATCATCGATTGCTATAGGACAGACTGGGGGTTGATGGGTTAAGGCCTCTTCTCAATCTTTTCCAATGATTGTTGGTTACATGTATTAGTTGGTTTATTTTGTGCTTTGAATTGTTGATTGCAGATTTGACGAGGTACATTTTGGCCAGTTTACAAATTTTTTCATGAAGAACCAGTTCTTCTTTGATATGCATCCACCTTTGGGCAAACTCATGTTTGCCTTCACAGGTATAGTGTCCAGAGCTAAGTTTCATTTGAGTTCTGACAAAGGGCTAATGCTCAAAACTTTGATGGTAGCCAATTTACATTTACGCAGTTGATAAAACCAAGTTATTTTGTATTGCAAGCATACTTCATCAAATAATAAATACTTCATGTTCAGATTTGTAATTTTCAGTTATCTGATTTTCCTTCTTGCGGCTGATTAATACACTTTTTGGATTAATTTGAATTTTTTTCATTTCAGCTTACTTATCAGGATATGATGGGGAATTCTCATTTGCAGACATAGGCCAAGGTAATGTAGAATAGGCCCACAAAAATTCCATTTTGTAACAAAATTTTTGTGAATAAGGAAGAATTCATTGCATAATTGTATATCCTTGCCACAAGGGTCAGACTAAGTGGTTAAGAGGTAACATGGCTACCTGGGGAAAGGGAGGCTTGGGGGGGGGCTTTCCACACAGAATTTCAAAAATTGGATTCCTTTCACCAGACCATTTTACAATAAAACATGAAGGCTGGTAAAAAGTATGAAATCTACACCACATTTGAAAAAGAGAACAAGTTTATGTTTGTGCTAATTACATGTATGTCAGTAAGTTTCCTTAACACTTCACCAACACTCGTTGAATGTACTCTTACTAGAGAGAAAATGGACAAATCAGCACAACCAATACTCAGAGTAACATAATTTCTTGTTCACAAAGCAGTGGTGAAAGGGCTTCCCTACTGCCACTGTGACCTGGGTTCAATTCCTGCACCTGGCACTCTAACAGTTTTCTTTGGGTCCTCTGGTTTTCCTCCCTCCACAAAAACACACACTCCAAATTCCAATTCAACCTAGAAACAGTGGAAAGGAAGAGTCACCACCTGGAATGTCCACAGCTCTATTATCATGATTAATATCATCATAGTTCAGTGATCTGTGGACATTACGACTAATATGAGCTCATATTTTTTCCTTAGATCTTGGTGAATATGAGTATGTTGTTTGGTGGTTACGCTTTGTATCTGCATTTCTGGGAAGTCTTGTGGCACCAGTTGTCTATGAGGTGGGTTTAAATTTCTGATTATGTTTTTTTTGGTATTTGTCAATTCAACAGAAATTTATAAAACCCCAACCCCCAAGAGGAAAACACTACTTTCAAATAAGTTTAAAAAAACTTAACTGTACAATGAAGGTCCAGTTAGATGAGCCCTGATGTATGCGGGAAGTTGTGGACCATTTGAAAAAAATGAAAATTAATTTCAAGACAATATATTGATTCGGAAGAAGAGTTTTTCAAAGTTAAGGAACTTTTTTGGGGTAGTTTATTCATATTGCAGAAAATGTTAAATCTTCAAAGCTTTTAATCTAGTAGATCTTGCCAAAAGTTGTCTATTCAAGTATAGAAGTGTGAAGTGTCTTTAATTCCTTGGTGGGTTGGGTGGGGGGGCAGGGGGGGGGTGTGCAGGATTAGAGTTGTCATTAGAGCACTCACCCTCCACCAGCCAGCATAGCTCTCCTTTAATTCCTGAACCTGGTTTCTGAAATACCATTTTAACATGGTAACAGGAAACAATGGACATAGAGCCACCTTGTGGTAGAGCAACTGCTAAAATACAATCAGTTTTTGTGAACTCTCTACCTGATTTGATATTTTAATTTATTTTTCTTTGGGTGATTTGATATTTTTATCTTTCCTCAGGTCATCATAGAGCTTGGTTTTTCACACTGGGCAGCTGCTTTAGGTGGATTTTTGGCAACATTTGGTAAGATTTTCTTTTGTTTCAAAGGTTAATGTTCTTTTGGTGAAGAATACATTGTGAGGTACAAATTAACATTGTTGAGAACTAGTGGGAAGGTAGTACAGAAAACCTGTATGTTCTGACAGTTCCTCAAGTTTGAACAAACCTTTGCTACCATAAGGCCAATTTGTTAAAGACTCTGCGAGGTAGCCTCTACATTTTCAGTGTTCCCAAAATTTTAGATTTTCTTTATTGGAAAATTGAGATCATCTCTACTATGGAAATTTTTTTGCTTTTTTCCCCTCTAGCAGCTAGAGGGGAAAATTAACAATCAGATCTTGGGTCAATTAAAGGGTTCATCATGACCCACAAATTCTCACAGTGACAAATCCTTACTGTCATTTATTGATGTTTTTTTTCTTTTTTGTTGCAGACAACATGTGTGTGGTACATAGCAGACTTATCATGTTAGATTCCCCTCTCCTGTTTTTCAGTGCTGCATCTCTCCTCTGCTATCTTAAGTTCCACAAAGAATTTAGTAGGTACAAGAAGTAACCAACTTTCATGTGTCTTGTATATAATGTGGCTTATAGTCTACCAAACATTTAATTTAATATGAGAAAGCAATTAGCTGTTGTTACAGAACACAGGACAGTCAGCTGTTCATAAACATTTTTCTCACGTATTTAAAAAATATTTGAAGGATAATAAACACAGTAGCCGCCATTTGGCATGACAGTATGCCAAATGGAACTGTTCCTTGTAGCTCTGTGTTTTCCTGGAACTTTCCTCTCAGAAAATTGTTGGTGTCTCACAACAGATGATGTTCACGAACAAATGGTGATGCATATTTTTGCGCCAAATGGAGGATATTGTGTACATTTTTTGATTTGTGTGTGCAATAAGGTGAAAAGCTTTGTTATTTCATGTTACCTTGCAGACCATTCACAAAGAATTGGTGGATATGGCTGTTTTTGACAGGCATGTCTTCACTTGGTGCTTACAGGTGAGCAAAAATCCTTAATTATTAACCCTTACATCCTAACATCAGTATGCATATTCTCCATACTGTTCTTGATACATATCATAAGGTGCTGACAAGGAGAATTCAAGAGCTTCTTTTATTAGTTGGTGATCATTTCCTATATTCTTGCGACCTTAATGTTTGATTCAAAGTGATATTGTAAGGAGAAAAAGGGTTCAGATCTCTTGTTAAGGTGCTTGAGTCACCATGACACATGTAAACACTAAGCGCTTTCTGTCCCATTTCAAAGACTGTGTACTTTAAAAGTGGTTGCTTATTGTTTGTTCTGCAGAAACCTGATGGAAGACAACCTTGTCTATTTTAAGATTCCAAATTTTTGTTGTTGTATGTGATCCACACCAAGCTTATGTTGTCACTTTTTTTATTTAGTATTAAGTACACTGGTATCTTCACTTTTATAACTGTTGGATTTTTGACTGGACGAGACTTGTGGAAACTGATTGGAAACCACTCTCTACCAACAGTAAGTGAAGTCAGAACATATAAATTGTATGTGTTTGTTAAAATGTATCTGTGCAATAACATGAGTTATAAAACATGTTCTGGAACTTTAATCAACTGCTGACTTTTGGTAAGTTATTGTGGATAACTCCAAATTACTATAGAAATTATATACTGGCATTCTAATCTGTGAAGTTTTCTTTTTATTCATCAATGATGTATTTGCACCAAAATGGCACTGATACGTGTTTAACTATCTTATAACATATAATTGTAGTTTTTGATAGATCTATGAAACTGGAAATACTGGTAAACATATACAACTTGTATAATCAGTGGTTGAATACTGTTATTAAGAGTTTTGGTATTTATTTTATTTATCATGTGTTCATGTGTGTTTACTCTTTCAGAGAGAACTTAGGAAGCATTTGTTAAGCCGTGCAGTTTGCCTTGTTTTCCTTCCTGGTTTACTCTATATGCTTCAGTTTTACATTCTCTTCACTGTTGCAAGAAAGACTGGTCCTCATGATGACATGATGTCAAGTGCATTCCAAGCCAGTCTTGAGGTAAAGATTCTTTCTGCAGACTCAACGAACAAGCTGTTAGCTTTGGAGTTTTTGATTATGTTACAATTATACTGATGTTGACAGGGCATGCAATCCAAATAAAAGTTCAAACAAATAACATACTGTCAAGGCAATGCATTTTTCCTCACATGAACAGCAGATGTAGGATTGAAAATCTTGAAACAATTTACTTAAAAATCCTGTACTTAAGTGGTAAAGTATATCTTTAAATTCTGCGAAGGGAAGTTAACTTATGAGTTTTTATCATCTGACTAGAGCAGTTTCTTTGACTTCTTTTAACCTGACTAAGTAGCTGAATCACTTTTATTTTTTTTTATCCTCAGGGAGGACTGGCTAAGATTACACATGGTCAACCAGATGGTATGTTCACCTTGTTAAATGATGTTTTTTTGTTTGTTTGTTTGGGTTTTTTTTTTAACGAAAAAAAAATTGAAAATCTAACCATAGTAAATTGCAATTGATGAGGTTTGTTCTCTTTACCTTAGCTCAGACCACAACAATGGTACTGTACTAAATAGGTCAGCAATTATGCAATGTATCTTGCAGACTTTGAGTTTTTTCTTGTGGTGTTCTTAAGAAAACAATAATTTTACTGGCATATGTTGAATATAAGACAGTCGTACCTTGCTTGGTCCTGCGGTTGGTTAGCTATCTACCCTCAATTACCCCACGTTCACCCCTGGAATAATTTTCAAATATGTAAAATATTTACTAAAACGATAATTAGACAGGTGACGGCACTTTTCACTCCAAGATCAAATTAGCAATTCTCCATACTGTCTGCCCTATGTTTCTTATAGTTTTAGATCAGAGAATTTGGTGTAAAAGAAAGTTATTTCCCTTATTTGATGTTTTTTTTTTTTTTACCTCTCATCACCTTTCTGGTTTGAAATCTCTGGATCTCGTAATAAGTTCGTATTTGGTGATTTCTGGGAGAAAAAGGACTAAGGAGTTGTATCTCAATGCCAGTTCAGACAGTGCCTATCACTTTTTAAAAACTTCAATTTAATTTTCATCAGAGGTAGCATATGGCTCCCAGGTTACTTTGCGCAACACCTTTGGCAAACAGTGCTGGCTCCATTCTCACACGCACACCTACCCCGTGAAGTACCCTGATGGGCGCGGCAGCTCAGCCCAACAGCAGGTTACGTGCTACGGCTTCAAGGATGTAAATAATTGGTGGATTGTCAAGGACCCTCAAAGGTAATTCTACGCCTCAAGCTCGCCCTTTTTTAAAGTAGCCATTAGGTGGCCTAAAATTATTTAAAGGGCGCTAAAAATTAAATTCCATCGCTGGTTAACTCAGGTTGTCGAGCACCGTGCAGGAGGTTAAAGGTTCGAGCCCCAGACTGGACCAACACTCAGGGTCTTAAAATATGCGAGGAGAATGTGCTGCTTTATGCCCTAACATTTGTTTTTGGTAAGACGTTCTAGTCTTCTCGGTTAGGACAAAACCCGTAGGCCCCGTCTCCTCATTTCTCCATACTGAATACCAGGGCACGTTAAGTAACCCATGCACTTCTCACAAAGAGTAGGAATCGTAATTCCGGGTGTTGTGGTCTGACCTTGTTTTAAAAAATTTCCAACTGGGGCTACCAGCAAAGTGTCCTTTCCAAAAATGTTGTAAACACCTCAGTGCAGTCTAGCCAAAGTCCCCTGCAAAGTTATGTAAAGCGCATGGGAGAATATTCACATAGAGAATGCGCTTTACAAAGGCACTATAATCATTTATCATCATTGAAAAAATTCGAGAAAAACTGCTTGGAAAAACTTGTTAAAACTCGCGGTAGAATGGTGACTGTTAACAGTTGCCCCAGCCAAAACGATACTCGCGCTAAGCTCTGCCAGACCAAAAAAAAAAAAAAGTACACAACTTTCTACATGACCACCGGACACAGGTCGCCAAATTGGCAGCCAAAGCGGTCCAGGCTTGGAAGTCTGCGAAAGGTATAACGAATATCTTTAAATTAAAAGAATCAAGATTCCTCTTTGGCTGACGTTTTTAATTTTGTGTTCCATTTCAGAGATGCCCTATCTGTGGATTTTCCACCAAAACCTGTTCGCAATGGCGATATTATTCAAATTGTCCATGGAGTTACAGGCAGAGCTTTAAATAGGTAAATACTCAACATTGACTAAACACAGGGGAGTAGATTGTACTTTGTACAGGAAAGTAGTCGACAAATACAGGGGTTTCAATGAACGCCAGTTACCAGCGGTCTACCGTCGCATGTAAGACCCTCACCTCCATCTGTTTAGCCTGCAAGCTGCTAGCTCTCGTGCTTGGGTTTCGCCTTGTGGCCTGGCTGCCCATTACACCAATGGCAGCTGCTTATGCAGAAAGGTGATTGAAACCCCTGCAAATATGTTCCATTTTGCTGTGTGTCGTTTTGGACATTGATTATTCACATGTATTAAGAAAAAATAAAAAGTGGTACACGAGACTATCACCAGTGTTTTTTCGCATTTTAGCATTTTTTTTGAGGTCCTTAACCGCACATAAATTTGGCTGAATAAACGGTCTGTTTGTTTTAGACAATAAACAGGAAGTTGATGCGACGAAAAATGTTTAAGTTACCTCCTGGCGCTCAAGTGCTCAGGGGTAATTCTTAAAGTGCTCGTTCAAACATTTTCCAAACTGGACGCCATGTAGGACAAAGCAATGAAAGCAATTACTGTTTGTCGTTAGCCTTGTCTCGTTACTCTGATAGATCACAGGCATCAGTTTATTGTATCAATCGAGTGTCTAAAATAATCCTAGATTTCTTTGGTTGTACTTAACTTTGCTCTGTGATTGCTCTCAAAAACTCGTGCCATTCTCTCAATCAATCAGATACGGAACTTAAAAAACCAATCGCGACGTGATCATTTGCGTGTTCCCGGGCTTCAAGCAGTTTGCCTGTTTACACTTTGAGTTCTCATTGGCTAATTATAATGTAACCTTGCTCTGATTGGTCGTTGGGATTACTTTGTTTTGGTTTTCGACACTCAATAACTGCTCAACTTGTATCACCGATTGTATACTTACTTTTTTTCATGTGTGTCTTCTTGTTACTTCAGTCATGATGTTGCTGCCCCTTTGAACCCAGCCAACCAAGAGGTGTCCTGTTATATTGACTACAACATTTCTATGCCGGCTCAAAACCTCTGGAAAGTGGTATGTCTTTCTGTTTTTGAACCACTTAACTTGAGCTTAGGGGCAATGCGTGGTGAATCCAAGCAACATTTGTGAAGAAGACTAGAACGAGTAGAAAACAGTATGATTATTTTCTTCTCTTTCGTCAAATGCCGAGGAAAGTTGAAAGCATTTGTCGAACATCATTGAACTAAAACTGATCTCAAAGTGCTGGTGGCATTTTCTTTCATTTTGCGTAAAGTGAGTTTCTGTCTTGCATTGAAGAAGAGAATGTTTCGTTATCACCATTTTTCGAAATAGGCATTTAACGTTGTGGAACAGTCAAGATAAAGCATACTTGGTAATAATGGACGTGCTGGTGGCTTGAACTTGTTCACGAAATTGCTCACTCGCTGTTTATTTGTTTGCTTACTTGTTTATGCTTTTTCAGGAAATAATTAACCCAGACAGCAGTGACGTTTGGAAGACGATCCACTCTCAGGTTCGACTGATTCATGTCAATACTTCTCAGGCAGTAAAGGTATGTACTACAAGAATTGAAGTTACTCATTTTTCTGTCCATTAAAGTATTTTCCAATTGAGTGTGAAAAGTAATTCGGGATTTCATAAGGTTTGCTTTCCTTTGCTCTCTGATAGTTCTAGAAAAGTCGAGCCACTCCCTTACCCAATCAGATACAAAACTGAAACCAATCACGACTCGGTCGCCCGCGTTTTCCCGCGCTTCAGGCAGTTTGGTTGTTTTTACTTTGAGTTCTCATTGGCTCCTAAAGGTATCTTCCTTTCTTCTGATTGGCTGTTGTGATTACTTTGGTATTTGTTTTGTGACACTCAATCGAAAAGTGCGCTATTGTGTATAAAACTGACAGTAAAGGAGTACTTATTTTGTGACTGTTATTGTGATCTTAATGGTTAGATTTCAGGTATGCAGTTACCAGATTGGGGTTTCCACCAACTTGAGGTTTGCACTGATAAATCCATTAAACAGACAAACACGATCTGGAATGTTGAGGAACATCAACAAAATATCACTTATCGTAAGTTTGCCCTCATGGCTTAATTTTTCCCTTATTTATTTTCTCTCAATCTCTTATTTTTGTTCTTGAACCTACGTCAGTTTTTTACTTTTGCCCTTCTCCTTCATCAAAGGTATTTTTGGTTGCCTGTTGAAACGTATTCAACCTCGCCAAGTCGCCCCATTCTGTGCCCAGATGTTCTTTCTTAGTCGTTACTTCTCTTCTTACTCCATTTTGTCTTCTTTAGCCGAAGGTCAAGGTCCAACAGAAGTCGAGGCGAAAACGGATGTGTCGGAACGGGCATTTAAGCCTATGCCATTCCTTTCAAAATTTTGGGAGATCCAGGTAGGTCGACATTTCTTGTTTGTGTACGCTCCACACCGGGCGTGAACGACATGTTTCTTCCGCGCTCAGTTTTCCGTGGCGGTTTTCCCCGGTGTGTACCCATTTTTTTCCAAACTCTGAAAAAAAATTGCTGTGCTGTTAACTGGGTGTCGACGATATGTCTTCCCGCGCTCAAAGTTCTGCTATTCTTTTCATTGGGTGTCGACGATGACGTTTTCCCTCGTTTTGTACCGGGTGTCAACCACGGTTTCCCGCGCTTTGCCTGTTAGCTAAGACGCTTTTCCTGCGCTTTCACCAAAAGATGCGTCTTATTACAGAACGTAATATTCCGATCAAGGTTGGTAAATGAGTGGATTACGGCTAAGTTTTCGTCACCGCAGTAGTCTTTTGTCATGTCGCTCGTGCAACCTAAAGTTAAAGCACCCTTTCCGTAGCTATTTCCATATAGCCGTTTAGAAATTACTATAAACATGCTTACGATGGAACATGTGCTACTCTTTTGCTTAAGCATTTCGATGTTTGGGTATTTATTCGAGATTTTCAGAGCAGGTGTCAGAAAAGGAAAAGCACATAAAAAATTCGAGTATGAAAGAGCAAACGAACAATATAACCTTTATGTGAAAGCGAATACTTAGATTTTGTCTAACTCTCTTGACCGAAAAAGGAAAACAAGATAGAATGAAAGAAAAAGGAAACTTAATGTTAGAGCATCACACAACAGACCAAACCCTTCTTATCCAACTTTAATGAAAGGTAATCACAAGCCACCACATGCAGTATGCCTTCAATGAAGCATAACTGCTTTTATCAAAATAAACATTAAGTCCACGGATTGATTTCCTCCAAAAGTTCAAATGTTTTTTTTTGTTTTGTTTTAGTTTTTTGTTTTTTTTTTTTTTTTTTTGTTTTTCTGGGTAGGAAGATAAAAAAGAAGTAAACATTCATGCAAAAAAAGGAAAACGTTCATGTTTGGTTTCTACCACTCGTCATGATGCTTTTTCTTTTTCTTCCTCTGCCTTCGTTGCCAAATTGGTTTCTGGGGTGGTTTAGGAGGCGGATTGGCGGCAGCCTTTCTGTCTTTATACTCTTGCCTGCAGGGCGGGAAGGAAGAACAGATAAGTTTCAAAACATACATTTCCTCATGATACGAAATGTCAAAGAAAGTTGTAAAGTTAGTGAAAATCCCTTGATTAACCTCAAATTGACAAACCGAGACGTTGCACATAATTGAGTTAGTTGTAGATGTTTCTCTAAGATGGCTTCAAACACTTAAACGATGGCATTTGAGCTTTTTTTTATTGTCTCTGATTTTCTAAACCGCTGAGTGCAACTTACCATTTTCGTCCGATAAAGCGCACAGTTCTTAAAAGTAACCAGTATGCGAGGAGGGCAGCGACCAAGAAACCGAAATTCATAACCAAACCAGCGAAGAACGCATAGACACCATCTTGCCAGGACAAGAAAAGAAAGCGAGCTAGGACAATTTTCACGTGTTCTGTTGAAGAAACAAAAGATTCGTAGCTACCGTCAATTTATCATCATATTTTCTGTTCAAATATAATTTCAAGCACTTGAATTATGTTTTGACACTGATAACTTCCTGTTGGTGTACTTTCAAAGGAATCCCTACAATCCTCCAAAGTTACCGTAGCTAGACTTGAAAAAAATTTAAGCAAATTAACAGCATAAATAACTAGAACTCTGTAGGCCACTTCATTTGAATTCGCTAACGCTCACGGCAGATATCAATACTATTTCTCATGCAGCCTGAAAATAAATCAACTTTTCAGAGTTGAAAACTTAAATCACGGTGCCCTCAAATGATGTCTCTGAGAAGATAAAAGCTTTTCACTTACCATGTAAATAGTCAGTGTAAAACTCAACAGCAACGTCAGTGATATAGTAGAAGACTTGCGCAAGGGGTTTTACAATCCACGATACCGCGTTGAACATTATCTCGACCAGATTTGCAGCTGTACTCCAAACCATTCCGACGAATAAATACGTATTGTTGATGGTCAGCTCTGCCAACCATTGAACTTCATCCCAGAGAAACTCGGCCAACCACTGGATACAATTCCAAGCCATTGGACCGAACCATTTTGCTCCTCTCCACGTTAAGTCTGAAAGCCATGTAAGAGCCGTAAAGATCTTCTCCGAAATCCACGTAGCTATGCTCCGGATCCATTCCATGGATCCAATCGAGATGTACTCAAGTACACTCCACACTTTACCAGTCACCACTTCTGTCAAACTACCATGTTTATTCCATACTCCTGATATCAATGTCATTGTGAAGTCCTGGGCCCTAGTCGCAGACGTCACTGTGAAGTTCCATATCCGGGTTATCAATCCAGGGTTTTCAAGCTCGAAAGTTTCATACACCGCGCATGTGGTGTTTCCAAAGTATTGAGGCATTTTCTTACAATTGAAGATCTAACAATCATGATAATAGAAACGTTAGAAACGTTTTAAGCGCGTAAGTGATCACAACTTCAATTCAGGCGTAACTTCGGCTGGGGAGAATTAAGCTTCTGATCTTGGGAGTTAAAGGTTTAAGCATGAAATAATCAAGTCATCATAGTGACAGAAGAAGTCGTATTAGTTGTTACGCTGGGTAATTTGAATGTATTTGGAGTTCTTATTCAGCAGAACACAGAATAGAACCTTGGACTATAAAGCTGTTTTCCCCAAAGACAATCAACGCTGTCTGAGTTGCAAGAACTAGAAAGCTTGCGTTTTCTTTCGATTTACTTCAGTATAACTGAGTTGCTTATGCTTAGGTGAAGTAAGAGTCAATCGTCGGAGTCGCAAACAGAAGGGAGTTTGTATAAAAGGGGTATACCTCGAGAAGCTTGGGTGTCCTGTGGCCATGGAGTTTGCGGTTAACATCAATCGAGTTTTTGTCGTAAATCAACTTCAGATCAAGTTCCATGGACGGAATTTGAATCTTAACCACATGTTCCTTTTAAAGGAAAGGAAAATTAGACAAATGTCATCAGAGCTGAAACAATACGCATTTATAAATCGTTGACTGATACCCCATTCGGACCAAAGCCCAAACATGTTTTAAAGCTGTTTTGTTAAACACGCTCTAAAATTAGTTCCATCATAGAAGCCATTTAAATCGATGTTTGTCGACTTTGAATATAGAAAAGTAACAACTTCTTGAAACCTATGGAAAATTCGGTTTTTCAGTTCTCTGTTTCGGAATTTAATTCAGTTAAACCCGGTTTAACTAAACATTTTTCGCTGGTGTGAATGAGGTGTAAGTTTCTAAATTTTAAAGCGTTTTTAAACACTGATAACTTAACTAGCAAAAGTTTAAAACTACGATGGTAAACCTTCTTTGCATGCAGTCTCCGATAACCATGCCATGGTAATCTGCTATCTACAAACCTTGTCATTCCATTCTCTGGTCAGAATCGTCTCGTGATTATAATCAGTGAAGAAGAACTCTTGCCTGTTATCGGTTTGAAGAGTCCCTACGTAAAATAATTTGAAATCCTTTTGCTGAGAACAAACACCTCGGTTTAAAACTTACTAACTCTGTTCGACATCGTTGTACAGAGTCATGATTTAGGCCTTGTAACTTTTGCGATAAAGTGATGATGAATAGCGAACGGTAAATTTGCAAGAGGAACCGGCCGTTGAAAGAAACTTACAGAAGGTAACCGTCTGAAAAGCGCGTGTTTAAAAAAGATTGATACAAAAGACGCGCGCGCTTGACGATGGCATCCCAGCAACCGGAAACTTGTGTTGTTTTCCCAAAAGTGAATACTGAGTGTTCGGTTGTTACGAGAATGCGCAATTCTAGCTCAATTAAGGGTTAGAGTATCCGTCAACGAACGCAAATAAGCAATTGGTTAGACGAATGAAATCTGCTCCAAATTAATGGTGAGAATAACACAACACTTCAAATTCTTAAATCCGCGCACGAAAAACTTGAGTCAGAAAATTGTTTATCAGAAAAAAAGGAAAACATACCCTCCAGTTTAGAACCATATGTAGTACTTGAAAGCAAAATTACAAGTGAAAGCGCTAAAAGCGCAGTCACCCACTTCATCTTCGATATTTAACAAAACTTATTCTCTCTCACGAAAAGTGCCCACTTGCTCTTGCCGCGAAAATGAGTAAAGTAAATCATTTACGTCACAAAAGCAACTTATGACGCCGATCACGCGACGTAATCACTAAAACTCGCCCCCATGCCGCTTTATTCCACTTAGTGGGATGGGAATAAAAGGATTTAGCAGTGGACTTTCCACGAGGTGGCCCTTCTTGTCCACTGTTTCCAGTTCGAATTATAACTTGAAATGGTAGTTTTTCAAAAAACCGACATTAAACTCAACCCACATGTTACGCCAGGTCCTGCAATCGAATTTGGGCCACAGTGGTGGGAGGTGGGCACCCTCACCACTGCGCCATCCCTGCTCCCCTATTTCTTTTTGGCATACCCCGTGCTTGTCAGATCATTATCTATGACTTATGTTTATTATAACATCATATCGTTTTTGCTGTTTTATCACCAGCTTAAGATGCTTGAATCCACAAAGGAGCTCTCTGCTGAGCACACGTTCGGATCTCGTCCTTCGTGGTGGCCTCTGATGAGGAGAGGAGTCGCGTTTTGGATTGCTAGAGACACTAATGTAGGCTTAATACTACTGCATTTCACTTGCACAGCGGTCAAATGTCTGCGCATGTGCGAACGTTGTAATGACTTGGTGTCGTGCTTTCAGGCTTTCAGAACTAAGTTGAGTGACACGAGTTAAAAACAATCACACACATCAGTAAGTCACGGTGTTTTATAAGCGTAGAGCTTTTTTCGATAAAGCTCAAAACAGAATGCGAAATCAACAGGATACCCGTACTTAACTCAGCTTTGTGTTTGAAAAGTCGCGAGTTTTCCTTTTCCCTACTTTCGTTTCCTTTCACGGATTTCTATGAAAGTTTCAATTTCTTTCGCTTATTTTTCGAGATGGTGTTTTTGTCTTATGTATTCTTTGAATCTTTAGGCGGGAAATTGGCGCGCGGTCGGCCAAAATTGATCCCCTCGCGCATGCCCGACGTTGGACCGCTGTTTTCATTTCACTTGATTTCATCCCATTTGAAAGCACAACTGATCTTAGTGTCTTCTCTATTTCAGGCGCAAGTATTCTGCATTGGCAATCCTTTTGTATGGTGGGCGACTACACTTTCCCTTCCTGTGTATTTCGGACTTTTAATTTTTTATCTATTGAGAAGAAGAAGAAACGTGCACGACTTGTCAGAGGGTAGGTTTTGTTCGGAATTTTAATTTCCTCACTGTGGTTCATAGCCAAGTTTATCTGTCTCTACAGCAGCCGCACAAATTTCCTTTTCGTGATCTCTAAGGTCTTAGGAGCCGGTCATAATTTATCTCGTGGGGTAACTCCAAGTTGCCTCGTAAGCGGTAAAATCTCTGGGAACTTCGAGAGTAAGTCTCTTGTGAACTCTCAACCTTTTCAATTGATTAAAGCTTTGTATTTACTTTTTTGAACTGGATATTCATGGAACAAATCGCATTTGTATCTTATTTTTTAGATGCGTGGGAGAGATACGTGTTTTGTGGTGAAGTAGTGGTTGTAGGATATCTTCTTCACTTCATCACGTTCTTCCCCATGGAGAGAACATTGTTTATTCATCACTACCTTCCCGCCCTGTTCTATACAATTATTCTTCTCCCAGTGATGTTACAACACGTTCATGATGAGATCTTTAGGTAAGCTCGAGGCATTTACTTAATCAGAAATTTAGATTTTGCTGGAAATGTTAATGAATTATGATATGAATCATCCTCGGCTATTGACTTGTTGACAACCTGAAAAGTCGGTCGATCAGGTGAACTTAGCGATAGTAGTTTTTTTGTGTAAGTAGTTTAATCGAAAGCGAGGTAATAATCTTTCTTGAGTAGTGAGTAGTGTTTACAGTTTACTTCACAGAGCAATTTTCAATTGAAAGTCGATTACATTGGTTTTACTTTACTCTGCCCTGTGATTGTCAATAAAACTCGCGCCACACTAATCACGACTTGGTCGCCTGCGTTTTCCCGCGCTTCGGGCGGTTTGGTTTTTTCGGTTTTTTACTTTAAGTTTTCATTGGCTCTTCAGGATATTTTCCTTTCTTCTGATAGGCCGTTATAGTTACTTTGGTTTTGGTTTTACGGCACCAAATCAAACAGCACTGTTATGAACTTGTTTCGGAATGGAGCAGCCTTAGCTTTTCTGTATTAACAAGCAACGGCCAACATAACAGAGGAAAATGAAATGACACAAACTGCCTGAAGCGCTGCATGTATTTGTTGAGAGGGTGGGCTGATCTGAGCCAATCAAAGAAAAACAAAGGCGTTTTTGGATTACCTTCGACACTCGACTCAAAATCATCTTTTGAATCGTCATCACGAAAATTTGAGCGACTTACCATCCTGCAAGTATCATTAGAGAGTTTAAGAAAATCAAGGCGGCAACGGCAACAGAAAGTCACTGAATTAAAGGTTTTATAAATAGAACAGTGGCTGTGCACGTGCGTTATAAATCTTTGTAAATTTCTTTGCGTCCTCTGTAAAACAGCAACGTGAAATTACCAAACCCTGCGTTGTCTGGAGAACGTGAATGACGACGGCTAATTTTTTAAATTTCTAATTTAACGCTGCGTTCCATATTCAGTTGCGAGATAGTTTTGGCAGAGGGAAACAACCTAAATGACTCTAGAGTACTGCGAGATTCGTAGGTAAAATTAAAGTTCGTTGTTTAATCGACGTTGTCCACGGCGTCGCTGTGGTCGTTTCTTAAACTCTGTATTGTTTCTCTTTGCTCTCTCTTTTCATTTGAAACGTAACAATTGTAAGTGTGATCTCTCCTCAGGTACAAAACACTTCGATGGATTTTGTATGGATTTTGTGCACTCTTGGTTGTCGTTGTTCTATGGGGATTTCATTTCTTCAGTCCGTTTACGTACGGTCACGTGGCTCTCTCTTCCGCCGATATCAACCGACGAAAATGGCTCAGCACATGGGACATGCTATCTCATCCGAACACGTGACATGAATTGCTTTTCAACTGACTGTTACTCCTCCTACACTCCTACCCAGACTTCTTAATGCGCATGCAAGTGTTATAATAAATAGAATTTAGAGATACTGGGAACGACAGTCGTGTGCAAGGAAATCTGGGATCGTTTGGGTAAACGCATACAACTACCTGTTGTTTTACAGTATTAAACGTCGTGTCTTGGGATTTGACTAGAAGACGATTACTAAAGCCAGAAGACCAAATTATTCAGAATTCTATAATTGTTTTAACGAATGATTGCGTAGCATCTACCCAAATAGATTTCAAACGCCATTGTCACGCACGGACATATCTTGGTAATTTTTTCAAAAACATGTCTTGTGCAGTTCCGTTTTCGACGAACCTTGATTGGTTAACTTTTATTATTTATTAACCTATAGGTGATGTTGACACCCTAAGAAAACTTTCTTTAGCATCTTCTCTAAGAGCCATTTCCTAGTTCGTCTTCTTCGCATCCGCAATTGTAATCAGTCACTCAATAGTTCTGTTTGGAGGGAAACTTTTTTTTCGCAAGCGCGTCTGAATTTTAGTGCGAGTTTTGTTCATAACTCACCCATTGTAAAATATTAGTTTGCCTCTTTTTCTTGTCCCTCTTGAGCGCATACTCAGGGTCTCTCCTTTTTACCTTGAGAACGAAGTATTGTCTCCCACAATACTTCGTTGTGTGTGAAAAGAAACATTTTTGCCAACTAGCCTCATCCAAAGTACGCCATTTTAAAATGTACTGCGGTACGTGTAGAAAAGAGAATTCTGTCCGTTCAATCAAGGAGGCCTCGCCAGTAAATGATTTCTCAAAGTATAAACGTAAAACACCAACACTGAACGGACAGTTTGCATTTAATAACTTATTAGTATAGTGTACCGCAGAGAATTGACCTGAATTGACGCGCGTAAATCTCATAGAAGCTAGTTTATTTAAATACCGTGAAATGATTCTTAACAGTCCACATTTTAAGTCGTCCTCGTTCTTTTTTTTTTTTGTGTTTATTCTCGATGACAAACTAGGCGACATAGTTCCTCTAGGTGTATTTAAGTTCCTAAAACTCCATCGTGGTATAGTCCCTCTAGCCGCCGTTGTTTGGTCTTGTCACATATCGTCTTCCGTTATCTTTGCGTTGCGTGACAAGATCTAATAACGGGCGTAGTCAACAAATGCACACGATGGTCCTTAGAGTAGAAGCTTATTTAAGAATTATTTTTCACACATGATCGTAAACATTTTAACTTAAACTTAAGTATTTAGGAGAGGAGGTTTGGTGGTTCAGGTTGTCAGCTGACCTCTTCCTCGAAACTCTCCGATTTATTTTGCAATTTACATGATAAGAATTTAATAGAAATTACGATCTTTTAAAGATTTAGAACTACTTTACAAAAAATGTGCGCGTTTTTCCTCTACTATTTTTATTATTAATCTTGACGGTTTTTATCAATACTAGTAACTGACTTTGCATTTTCGTCTACCAAAATTTTTATAGAACTGCAAAACTTTTGTTGACAGAATAGACACTAATGGCTTGCGTAGCTCCGACACTCCTTTTCAAGGTGGTGCCGCCTTTATTTCCGTCGAACGCCCGCAAACATACCGGCGACGGGGGATAAAATACTGAGTTTCCGCGTAACACTGAGATTAGCTTTCTGTTATCTTTCCTGAGTGGTGTACCTGTGTCTATTAGCAGTCTATTAGAGAAATTTTCTATCGAGTGTCGAAAGTGGTCCGAGATTTCATGGGTTTTGCTTTACTTCGCTCTGTGACTGGTCCCGAAAACTTGCGCCGCTCTCAACCAATCAGGTGCATAACTGAAACCACTCACCACCATGCCGCTCGCTTTTTCAGGCGCTGCACATAATTTGGTTGTTCCTATTTGAGTTCTCATTGGATCCTCGAGATATTTTTCTTTCCGTTATGATTACTACGACGCTCGGTCGAACAGTGCCCTATCCTGCAAGGTTGCATGTAGCTGGTAGCCCTTAGCTTCTTTCAGAAGCACGAAAAGTAGAGAAAATCAGTTGCCCCGAGATAGAGTCTGTTATTCCCGGAAAAGTATGACGTCTGAGTAAAGCGAGCTTGCGAGGGGTCTGTAAGGGGTCTCGCACTAATAACGAGGCATTATCGGTGCCAGACCACCTGCAACCTCACCCTGACTTATCTAAAATCTTTCTGCGGGAGGAGAAACGCGCGTCCTGCAACACCAGTAATAAGGGCCTCCTTGAAGGCTTCTTTATTCAACATTCGACGCGTGCATTTTTATTTATTTTTTTTGATGAAGTGTCGATCCACAAAATTTGAAATTACAAACTTTCGCTTTTTTTTATAAGGATTACACACTATTATTCCTACTTATTTTCAGTAACTTCACCACAGTCTTTAGAAAGAATCAGTTATCGATTCCTTTGATGATAAGAACGAATTGAAAAAAATAGATCTACTTTAGGAGCGCTTCCACTGAAAGCTGAAGATAGATGGTGGCTGACTTAACTGGTTACGGGTTTCAACGTCCGTTTGAGATTTTGAAGAGAGTACTATACTGCGTTGCAAAGAATTGACTAAACGGAACGACGTCACCTGAGACATCTGTTTACGCAAATTCATACCAGTTTTTAGGTAGAATTTAATCAATACACGCCACCATAAGTCACGCTAGACAATGCCGTACGTTTACAATTAAGTTATTATCTTTTTTCGCAAATTTATTACGGTAGTTGAATGTAGTAGTCACACAACAAGAGGCCAACTCACACACACTTCAAAATGCATATATAATTGCACCCTTCTAATGAAAGAGTGGAGGTACTGCAATTCACGTTTTTTAACTTTGTTGTTTATTGGAGTATCAATGCACCATCTCAGGAAACCTTGGCTCCTCCGCACAGTTAGGTGTCCTTATCTGAAGTCTGCTGTGTCAGTCTCCGATCGTTTCAGTCTGTGTCGGAATCTGAGTCTGGCAGAAAAATTATTGTGTTTTCTGCACTAGTTCTTTCGTCTTCTAAGGCTTCAAGAAAGTCCCATAATCTGAACGAAAGTTTATCGAAAAATCAGAATCACAATAGTAAATGTAGCAACAGCAATAATTAAACAAAATATGTCCTTAGAATTGTTAACTTGAAGATGCTTCGTGCTTAATGAATGTTGTCAATTTGACAAACAGATTACGTGTGTCTGTTCAGGAGTAAATCACAGATGTCGTCAAAATATGGTACTCGGAAAGGTTTGTGTCATGAAGTTGATCATTAAAAAATTTCCATTACTATTACGCCCTCTTCCCAACCTCCCTTAGGTCCTAGCAATGGCAAGAGTAGAGAGTCTTGCCTAGAAAAATACCTTAATGACCCGGATGGGCTCGAATCCAATCCCCTTAGGCAGTACTTCTCTGTCCTTCATTGTTCAAGGACTGACTTAACTCAGTTCATTTCTGAGATGGCCGAGGATAACAGCAAATGTTCCTCTCTTTCTCAAAGTTTTTCTTTTGATCTCATTTTGAAAACGAAGGTTTCAGAACTCGTTGAAATGGCCATTTAAAATTGGTGGTACAACTTATCAATCCGCAAATGTAGAACTTTAGTTTTTACCAAGACAGTGGATACCGTTGAAGGAGCGTTCTGATTGGCCACTCAAACTCCGAATAGCCTTTGCTATTCACCTTTGAGCAAAGCGCAGGATTTGCGCCCGGAAACATTGAAATCGCTACTGGAATAAAATAAAATTAAAATAATATCTCGTGCTACATTATCTAACTGTTTTAGTATGTACTAAAACGAGTAATCACCTCAGTGTCGGTGGCTTGTGGGGGATATTTACCAAACCGCTTCGTGGATCGGTAAATATTCACCATTAGCCACCGTCACTGAAGTGAATAGTTGTTAATTATTTGTGACTTCGGTGTTCACACCACAACTGACCTGAAGGTTTGTACAACCTTGGTATTTCCTTCTGAAGTATTGCAATGCCTTAGCTTTGTCTCCGCGACTCTTCCGTCTGGATATGCTACATAATGACAACAATGGGTCGAAATCACAATTCTACTAAAATGGTGCCCCAGAGAGCGGCATGTTTTTGTTTACTACAGTAACTTTAAGGACTGTTAAAGAGCCTGGCGATGACATATTTCAACTCACCGACATTCTATGTGTATAAAAACAGATTCTCAAGAATACATTGTAATTGCTGGGGGGAGGGGGGAGGGAGATTACTTTATTGTAACGTCAGCAATCAACAACAAACTGAAGCAACGGCTATCATTAGCACCTTGCCTAAATTTTGCATTTTGTTACAGTCCTCTCTATCCTTAACATCGTTCCGCGGGAAAATACGAGTGTGCAATTTGCGACGACCTTTAGTTTCACAACACATCATTTCGTAGCCCAAAATAGATGAAAAACCAATGTTATCCGGGAAAGCCGTCCTAGCCAACTTTGCCTACCACGACAAACTCTTATCTTAAAGTTTTCCTTCCAACGAAGGATAGCATTTAACCCTCCCCTCCCCCCCTCCACAAGATTAAATCTCATGACATCGCTCCTTTGAGATGAACAACCATTAAAGAAAGCAATCGCAGCCAGATTGTTTAAAACAGTTTCTCGCTACATTAGTTAAAAATGAGGAACACGGGTAACGCCATGTTTGGTTTCGTCACGCCACGCGCTCTCTCGTTGGTGGGGAGAGAGCGCGTGGCGTGACGAGACCAACAACGGCTGCGAGAGACTAGGTAACGCCAGTGCTCGAGAAAAATCTTCATAAAGAAAGAACGCAAAGATTCTCATTTCATTCCATACCGTGTTTGTAGAAGCAACTAGCGCCAAATTGACACGTCCGGGTTCCTTGCGCAAAATATTTACACGGCTTTTCCCTGGAAAAAAAATTATATATTCAGATTTGAATGTCATTGAACATGAGCGGTAGAGCATTGTAAATTTGATTCCACAAAAGAACACACAATTACTCAGTGAACCTTAGAGCAGATTTGTAGTCTTCTATAAGCTTCTTCTTCTCGACTGGATCATCAATCCACACTTCACTCTGGAAGACATCAAGAAAGCACTGAAAATTTTGCACAGCTGAGCTCATTTCGATTAAACATCGTGTGACAACAAGTAATACAATCTTGCAGACCAATCAGAGAAACAGATTCATAACATATGGAGCCTGTAAGACCAAAAAGCAAGGCAAAACGCAGGTTTTTTTTGCATTTGATTTTCTAGACTTGAAGCGCTTTTCGAGTGAGTGTCGTAAATCCAAAGTAATCACAACGGCCATTCTGATGGGGGAAAATACATTTAAGAGTCACTGAGAGCTCAAACCAAACTGTCTAAAGCGCGGGAAACACAGGCGATCAAGTTGTGATTGGCTTAACTTTTATACCTGATTGGTAGAGAGAGTAACGCGAGTTTTGTAGATTAATCACAGGGAAAAGCAAAGCAAAACCAGGGATATAGCAAATGCAATCCAAGATAACTTTTGACACTCCTGCAAAATTCCTGAATCAGAGAAGTTCAAAGGTAAAATACTCACCGGGGTAACAAATGCAGATGGTGTTCGGCAAACTGGACACATTCTATAACAACGAGGATGGAATAATGTCAAAGCGGCGATAAACATTCCGTATACGATACTGTAAAAAGGTCTGAGCAGTAACCCTTAAACCCCTGAGTGACCAGCATCTAATTTCTCCTTACAATATCGCCACTAAATCACACATTAAGGTCGCAAGAATACAAGGAAATGATCACCAACTTGTATGAATTGAACATGTTCCTGTCTAACATCACATTCAACTGATAAAACATTGTGTTCACTTAGTAATCAGTATTTTAACAATTTGATCAATGGGCAACCGTGCACCTACCCCTCCCCTAACCCAACAACAGTCGACTGATAACAAATTAGGTTTAAAAGAAGGGTTAGGGGAGGGGTAGGTGTGCAGTTACTCAGACTGAAATTTGTACCTTACAACTTTGTTTTTACTTTGAGATGTATTTCTCCAATGACGAATACAAGCCAAACAGAAAGAGTGGTTGCAGTCAGCTGAAAGTGATTTAGAGATGAAGGTAAATTTTTAGCAAATTTGGCCACCAACAAGCATCTGTTACACAAAACTGTAAAACCAAATTCAGCCATTGAGAGCTGAGCACTGAATTGATCACAAATAGAAAACAAATAGCTGCTCAACCCTTTAATTCAAATAGTGACCAAGATAAAATTTCTCCTCACAATATCAATAGAATATCAAACAGACAAGTGAGGGGAATAAAGAATAATATCAGTTAGGGAATTTAGTTGATCCAAAACCAAATTCTCCAAACTAACATCATAAGAATTGTATGAAAGACACAATGGAGAATGAGTAATAAGATCCAAAATTGGAGAGAAGGGAGTTTATAGAAGCTTTAAAGTTTATCTCTCTCTTTTGTAAATTTAAATGATGATGCTAGGGAGACACATACTTTCTTGTTTTGAAGCAATTTAGATACTTTTTTTAAACACTAAATTACTCTACAAAAATAGATTCTTCTTACTGAGTATTCCAAATCTTTGCTCACTGGGATTTGCTTTTGATTTGACAACTTCCAAGCAGATTCCACATGTCACATCTAAACTCCTGTTAGTAACAAATCAATATGATACCCTCAACTTTATCTTGAATACCCCCGGATACTCAATATAGAATGGAAAGCACCTTAGCCAGGAATTTAGATTGGCTTAAAGAAATTAAAATCCCCGTTTGACCCAAAATTGGCATACATGTTTCTTCGAACAAGTGCCCACGCTCTAATTAGCCCCCTTACCCTAATAAGCCTCCACCCCCAAGGCCACAACATCAATCAACTGCACACCTCAAATAAACCCCCCACCCCCTCCTCCCTCACTTTCTTAAAAAGTAGGGATACAAGAAAAACCTGTTTTTATTGCTATTTATTTCAAATTTTTTCAAATGTCAACTACAACAGATTCAGTACAGGAGGATAGTTTATTTTCCATTTGGTTCTACCTATCTCCATGTGCTTGCAGAGTTCCTTTAAGTGCATAATCTGTTCTTTTAGTTTTTTTTTGTCCTATTGCTTTGCTAACTAGATAGGCTCCCCCCTCCTCACCCTGGCACTTATTCGAGGAAATATGGTATGCCAGTGGTCTTGATTTGTTTAATTGTGTCATTGTGGGAGTTCAGTGTATTTTTAACCTGATTTATACCTTTGCACTGCAAATGAATGTTGCATGTCTTTTTCATGACTTTCAACACAGCTTTGGCGATGTTCTAAAATAAAGAATCACACCACATTTATGAAAAAACACAGTAAATTCCTGGAAAAGTGAAACCCAGACAAATATAACACAAACCATCTCAGTGATTTACTATGCACTCCATACGTGCCTAGCTTGTCCCACCATTTTACACTTAAGACCAAATCCCTGGGCATGGTCTTTAGTCAGATAATTTGTCAATTGTGGTTTTCTTTGAAACTGCTCACAGGGATGCATCCAAGGATTTTTAAAGGGGAGGGGAGAGGCCAAAATTACTTTCACCTCCCTCTCCCTATTGAGTAGTAATATGCAATCTTGTGGTTGCAAAAAGTTTGGTGTCAGGAAAGTTGTAAAATCAATCCACAAGTCTAATAGGGGAATGGGTCATGACCTCCGTAGCCCACCCTTTTGACCTGCCTCTGGTCCTTCCACCTCAGTTTTTGTCACTTGCATGTACAGATCCTAAGTGAGTGGCCGGAGGTTTTATATTTATCATTGCAGTCAAAATTTAGGGAGTGACCACAGACAGTATTTAAAATCACATTAGCCTGTCATTGACCTAACAAAACATTACAGGTCAATGACAACGTCACATAGTATTACCTTGTTGCTGTGTTAAGTCAAAAGGATGGAGGCATTTGTTCCCACAATATTCACATTCCAAACCATGTAAATAATTACATCTACAAATCAAGAAAACAAACTGATTGAGTTTGGAAAGACATCACTCAAGATCAAAGTCAAATGTTGCGGAAAGAAAATTAACCTACTGCTCTATAAAAGGACAATCTCCTAATGTTGCAGCAAAAGGGCAGAGCTAAAATACAAAGACAAAAAAGGCAAAAGTAGAAACTGGTCAGCAGTTGTAAATACCATATTTCCTCAAATAAGCTCTCATGCCTTAACCCTTTAACTCCCAAGATCTCATTAGTAATTCTCCTTAATGTCTGCCATATGATTCTCATTATGTTAGTTTGGAGAATTTGGTATTGGATCGACTAATTAATATTTTTCCTTATTCTCATCATTTGTCTGCTTGATATTGTATTGATATTGTAAGGAGAAATTCTGTCTTGGTCAGTCATGGGAGTTAAAGGATTAACAATTCCTTTCCTTTGAATAAGCACCCTCCTACAAATAAGTGCCCTCCCCTTGGCAAAAATATCAAATAAGCACCCCTTTAAAATAAGCACCCCCTCTCCTCATTCACTTTCTTAATAGTGAGGATATAAGGAAAGCCTGTTTCTATTCCACTTCATTTATATTTTTTTATGCTTCAAATACAGCAGAATCAGTATAGGTTAATAGTTTTTATCTTGATAAGCACCTCCTTTTAGTTAAGCACCTCTCCTTTAAGCCAAATTTTAAAGAAGCACCTGGTGCTTAATGAGGAAATATAGTAAGTCTAACTCTTGTGATCCTTCCTGGGTAAGCAAAGAAATGTTGTCAAAACATCTCATCTTTTGTATTATTCTACATGTTGGCCTTTCTAGGCCATAAAATTGTTCCATCATGTGATTTTAATAAAAGTATTTAGTTGCTACTTGTTGCCCATGCGAAAAAGTTTCTTGAACAAAACCTTTACTTTATGTTAAGTTTTGGCCTTCTTTATATATAAAGATTTACACTTGCCTGACTTTCATGACTAACTGTTTCAGAAGCTTGTTCATTAGCAAGCTCATCCACAAATTCAACCCCACACTGTGCTGCTGCAGAATATGATTGGGTACCTGTACCCTGATGATGAAAAATCAGCAACACTGTTTAAAAAAAGAAACTTTATACAATATTCAAGAACTTACTTTGTGAAATGAAAAATATTAGATATATACATCTTCATTGTAAGGTTCAGGAGAACTTACAGAATCTGTATCCCCTGGCTGTTTGTCTGACAACTCCTGACCTTTGCACATGAGGGCCTGGCCCTTGCAAAGTAAAACATAAATTAAGTAATTAAAAGCAATTATCATAGGAGTTGATCTGCAATTTAAGTAAACACAGAAATTGTAAAAGAAACCTGAAAAAAAGCCAGGCTTCAACAATGCCTCCCAGATGCTAGCGATAAAGGGGGTAAGTTTCTAAAGAAACTGTGATGCTGCGTCAGTGGGTGTGCATATTGCTCAGGGTTATTTGGTATTATCAACTGAGTCCACCAAGAGGAGTTTCAAAACTTCAATTTCAAGCATTAGCCCTTCGTCAGAGTGAATGTCATTCCCAGATGCTAGTTAGGTGTTACTACCAACTGAGCTACAAAGCCACTTGCTGGGAGTGCAGTATATTTAACTCTTTACACTCTGACATCATTATGTATATTCTCCATGCTGTTCTCTATACATTTCTCATGGTGCTAACAAGGAGAATTTGTTTAGCAATCAGGTGCTTCTTTACTTTGTGATCATTTCCTTTATTCTTATGACCTTAATGTATGATTCAGAGGTAATATTGTAGGGAGAAATTACATGCTAGTCACCCTTAGGGGTTAAAGAGTTGAGATATGTCCAGAAATGCATGCAGCAACAAAAAGCCAGCCACACTGATTTCATTTTGACAAATTTGACTAAAATTTGCCAAAATCTTCAAATTCATGAACATTAATTCCATTTGACGAAATTTCCTTTCATCAGATCTGTCATTTTCATTATTGCATGCATTTCTAGACATAAGTGAAAGGGTTCCCTGCTCCCAAAGGGTCGCTTTGTAGCTCAGTTGGTTGTAATCATCACTCCACAGATAGCATACTTGTCTTACACAGTCCTAATATCATGCGATCACTCCAACTGGGAATGAGAACCAGACAGCTCAATCCAGAGAACAAAGGGCATTGACAGTATATCAACAAAACCAAACAATTTGAACTGATACAGCTGCCACCTTCACCTGTCACTTACTGGAACAAATACAGCTGCATCTGCCCAATTCTTGGGATGTTTTGACTTCTGCTTTGTGAGGGAAACCATCTGTTAAAGATTGAAAAGAAAAAACAGAAATCAAGGTATATTTTTAACCTACTAGGCCACACAATACATTGACATCAAAGTGATACACATTAAATTACCAGTACCTCTCTTTTATCATCATTCTTTGGGAGAAGTGGTATCGGTTTTGGTCCTGAATAAGTTCTTATCCTGTAATGTATAAAAAACAATATTCAAGCTACTTTGACAATATATTTCTCTTCCCTTATATTGGTGACTTAATTAAGCACACTCTTTTCTGAGATGCAAATGGTGGCTAAAAGCACATGGTGAAAGTACTTCGATCAGGTGGGCTTTGACATCAACCAGATTCATGACTGAGAAGCCCTAATAAAATTCTTAATTACACGATAATGACAACAGATCTGTGATTACACTTACACCCTTACATCATTATGTATATTCTTCATACTGGTCTTTTAGACTATTGGAGAATACAGGAGAATTTGTTCAATGATCAAAAGCTGCTTTAGTTGGTGGTCACTACTCTTTATTCTTGTGACCTTCACATTTGATTTAGGGGCAATACTGTATGGAGAAATTAGAAACTAGTCACTCTTTGGCATTTAAGAATAAGCACCAAGGAAAAGAATTCTCAACATCCAGATACTTTCTGCCTTTTAAAAACATCTGGGCTCCTTCTCAACCTTTTACTTCCACCTCCCAATTGTGCTTACGTTTCACTGATCACAATTTCTTTTTAAACCACTTCCAAGTAACAGAAAATTACAAGCTACATCAAGTAGGATTTATCTACAAAATATTACTATAAAAATACCTGGACAATATACTGGGTATTTAGCCAGGTATTAGCTGAGGTTATGATCTCATAATTAGTAAGAAACAAACATGCAGAACTAAAATAATATTATACCTTCCAGAAGATGGCTTCACGTGATCATAGCGGCAACTATTTCCATATGAACATGACCCTTGGAGATAGTACTTACAAACCTTCACAAAAAAACAGTTTTTCATGATACTTACTTTTTGTGTCAAACACATAGGGGTTTTTTTTTAGGAGAGGAAGCAGATGTCTTTGAAAGAACTAATTGCTTGATAGTTGGGAAACAAATCACAAAATTACCAATCAAGGCTGCACCACAAGATGCTAGAAAAGGTCAATGCTTTGCTATCCATTACTAAAGAATTATGTGTTGAAAAGAAGTATAAAAGGGAAGGACCTAGGAACTTTACTATGTACAACAAGGGGATCACATATTGCTTTACATCTAGACAGTGAAAAAATTTACAAGGACAGACACATTGTTACTCACAACATAATTATATTATCTATTTGGTTAAAGTTCTTGATCAATTACCATGGAGGGCTTTTCCTTCAAATCATGAGAGTACTGGCAGTTCTCTCCTTCTCTACAGACTCCATGCATGTAATACCTTAATAAAAAATACATAAATGTCAATTATGTGCTATTTGTAATTTGCACTCATGTCACAACTTTACACTTGTGTTTCATGAAAAATGCACTTGTTTTCAGCCAATCAAAAGCATGTATTTTTAATGTATATCATTATGTAGCTAACTGCTCTGATAAACCAATCAATACATGCAACAGGATGAATACTAATATAATGATATTAATAATGATAATAATGAAATGGATAATAATAATAATAATGGTATCAATAATAATTTTATGAAAATGATAATAGTAATAATAATAACAATACTATTAATAACAAGGGAACATAATAAAGACAATGTAATCTAGAGAGGAGGGGTTGAGGAAGTAGTGGGATCACTGAAAAAAAAGCTTAGAAAGCTGAACCTCTGACAAAAGCGATTAGCATCTGTTAATGAATAAACAAGGAAGGTATCTCCACGTGAGCCAGACCATTGGAATGGAAGGTGGCAGAGAACAGAATGAGAAGTGGCTTTGGTCCCCAATCCAACCCCACCTCCACCCATCACAGAAATCTTCGGGAGATGACTCTTTTTTTCTGTAAACCTCGGGACCCTGATGTTGAGTATATGAGAAAATTTGACTTCGACATAGTTATTCTCTGAATCAAATGAGTACTCTTGATTAAATAATAAAATGCCATTAGTGAGGCATATGGTATATCTAAAATGGTCTCCGGTTGTAAAAAAAAACATTTACAACAGAACAAAACGCGAACTTTGACGCCACATGCAGGCTACGAGTCACACGATTCGTTGGAAAGTTTTACTTGCATCGATCGATACTTACATCTAGACAAAGAATTGAGATCCTTAAAACAACAAGACTAAAATTACACACAAAGAGAAAGCCGGTAACGTAGAAACAGATTGTACACATGGGTGTACTTACCTGCACAAGATTTGCTTTGTTTTTGCTAATGACGATCTACGGGGAAAAAAGATCAGTTGTGGATTATTTACCATGATTTAAGACAGTGACCGTGAATAAACTTTACCCTTGATGAACAGCCATTTTGGAAACACCAAATTGCGCCACTGATTGAAAGATTCCGGTCAAGTGTGGTGGGAAAGTGAATATTTAATGTTTTATATTGACAATTTTCGGTAACCGCTGACCAGTCTCGTGCGGGAATAGGACTACGGAAGAGGTGGATACACGCATGCTTGCCACGTCAACCAGCTGACAAAAAGTACAACAGGCCTAAAATACCGGCAAATTGCTATATCGATCGCAAACAAGCTGTCACCTACGAGAAAACTGTGTTCTGCAATGGTCCGAATGATATTTTGCGTTTTTCTTTCCCTTTTATTCTTTTCAGCGCTGCACGGATTGGAAAATGACGACCACGATGTTGAAGTAGAACACGGACATTCTCACGAGGAGGGACATAAACATCACTCTCATGGACATAGCCATGATCATGGCCACGGCCACAGCCATGATCATCACGGCCACAGTCATGGTTCACACGGCCACAGCCATGGTTCACACGACCACAGCCATGATTCCCACGGCCACGGCCACGGCCATGATCATCACAGCCACAACCATGATCATTATGAAAAGCAGAAGTACATTCATCATGGAACAAGCTCTTCTTCTAAGCTACCATCCCGCGATGGAAACTTGACAACTAAATGGCTTCAAGCAATTGGCGCAACTTTACTTATCAGCGCGGCACCCTTCTTCATCTTGTTCTTTATTCCACTTCAAAGCAACTCGGCCGAACAACAACCGCTGTTGAAGATCCTTCTAGCCTTCGCTTCAGGAGGCCTTCTTGGAGATGCGTTTCTTCATCTGATCCCCCATGCGATTTCTCCGCATTCGCACGGAAGCGGTGATGGCCACGAGCATTCTCACTCTCATCAACACAGCCACGACGGTGAGCATCATCATGACCACTCTTCAGAAATGGCTGTCGGTCTCTGGGTTTTAGCTGGTTTGATTGCCTTTTTGATGGTCGAGAAATTTGTTCGGCTTGTAAAGGGAGGGCATGGCCATTCACATAGTGCCCCGAAAATTGTAGCTAAAAACGGTGATGTGTCTCCGAAGAACGGACATGAACATGACGATTCCATATCAGGAGAGACTGATCAAGAAATACGGAAGAGAAAAAAGACAGACGAGGCAACAGAGAAGGACAGTAACTCAGACAGTGCGTCAGGTATAAAGCTTCTTTATTACAAAACCATTTAAGATAGAGATCATTGTTACCTACATGAAGCTAAATACATCCAGTCACGCTTTTTAAATTTTTAATTTCACTTTTCCTCTTCCTCTTTTTCACCTAGTTCGTATGCAATATTATTTGACACGTAAGAGGGTCTCGTCAAATTTTATTCAATTTGTACTGTGCGACTGTTTGTTTTTGATCACTATTAATAGTCGGTCACGCTTTCCACCAAACGCAAAACCAAATTACAAAATCGATCATTAAAATCTCACCATCTCCCGTTGCCTGAACATCGATTTTACAGCACTTACTTCACAGCTGTACTTTCCCACAGTATCTTTTTTTTATTTTAACAAAATTCATTAATTTTAAGTGTATTATTTCAGCTTTTTGAAATTTTCGAGTGTAAAAATCAATATATCACATATCCTCAGTGACTTGCGAAAATCGATATGCAAATTTCAAGTTTCGTCAACGTGTCAAAGTGAAATAAATCCTCGTGGCTGGGTAAACACTAGGCGCTATTGTTCGTGCTCTCATTGAGTTTTCAGAGGCTTCAGTGTGAATTTGCGAATTTTATTTAACATTTTTTCCTCGCTGACCTTTATTTCGAGTTTTAAACGAAATCTTCGTTTTTTTATATGTAATTTTGCTCGCTCCAATTGGAACAGGTTTCAAAGCCTACTGAATGTTCTGCTGTCACGGAAACTGTACTCTTTCAATACTATCCCTAATTGAAATCCATATTAAACATTATTTTTGGAATAAATTTAATCATTCAGTTTAGAAAATTGCAATTTAAATTATTACTAAAACTTTTCATAAATGTCTTAATCCAAATTATTTGTGAACTAATAGCACCCTGGAAGAAAGCCACAGATATCTATATCTGTGGTTATTCTTTGATAATTACAAATCAAGTTTTGGTGATATTTATTTCCATATTCAAATAAAGTACCTGTCTGTAATTAACACTTTGGCTTACAAATATTGCTAAGTTATCATCAGATTTTTTTTCCTTACCAATATCTTAAATAAATGGCTAACCCTCTCACTTCAAAGATGTCAATAGCAATTCTCCTAACTGTCCGCTACGCATTTCTTATTAAGTGACTTTGGAAAATTTGGTTTTGGATCATCTTAAAATCCCCTAAATTGTATGGAGATTGTAAGGAGAAATTCTGTCATGGTTACTCATGGTAGTGTAAGGCTTAACTTGTTAACTCTCCTTACTATATCAAAACATGATTAACTTAACAGGTGGGGAGATTCAACAAATACTTCTGTCTAAAGATATATACTAAAAACCTGAAACAGCAAAACAAAACAACTGAAACAACCAAAATGATAAAGTACCATGAGACAGCCTTAACATTTAAATGCTTAAATGGGAGAGAATATCTGAAGTGAAATCAACATTTTCCATGACATTTCATCCTCCACTTATCTCAATAGTTGTAGTGTTTTTTGTTTTTTTTTTGGTCACAGCAGTTGTTTTGTTCATTATGGCCATTTTGATTGGTTGGTTGGTTGGGTGGTTTGGCTTGTTTCGTTGTGGTTATTTTGTTTTGCTGTTTTGGGTTTTAATTGATACCCTGTTTTAATTTAAAACACTACATTTACCTATTTTTTCACAATGCTTATGACCTAGGAAAGAAATTAATAATCAGATCAGAGAAATTATCAACTTGTTCTTTTTGCAGAACCACATGATCATGAAGAGGATATCAAAGTGGCAGGCTACCTTAATCTTGCCGCTGATTTCACTCATAACTTTACTGATGGACTAGCCATAGGCGCCTCTTTCCTTGTGAGCCGTAATCTCGGCATAATAACCACTCTTACAATTCTTCTTCATGAAGTTCCTCATGAGATTGGTGATTTTGCTATCTTGGTACAATCAGGATGCAACAAGAGAAAGGTGAGTGCAATATGCAACACAGTGTTAAGGAGTTTCTTCATTGGTACATGTACTTTTGCCATGACACTATTTCCTGATTCATGTATTGTCACAGGTAAAGACCTACCATAATTTCCGGCCGTTTACCCGCAGGTGATCTGTTGATTTTGAATTAAACATGCGCCACTGTAGGTAATAGGGAGGTGCAGGTTATGTGACAATTTTAAAATCTACTGGTAGTTGAATTGAAAAAAAATTCTCACCTACATGCATTTCCACCTCCCAAATGAATTTTATTGTATTAAGAGTGCCACAAAGCGGTATGAAACATGATGCCAACTCAAGTTTATTTCACGCACAATTAGTTGTGTGACAAACAAATTGTGGATCAATATCAGTATCTGGGCAACTGCCCACCTACCCCTCCCCTAAATCAACAACAGTCAATGGACAACAAGTTAAGGTTAATGTTGGGTTAGGGGAGGGGTAAGTGGGCAGTTGCCCAGACTGATATTGATCCCAAATTGTTATCAGCACATGTGAAAACAAACCTTGATGGTGATAAAAATAATCCAAAGATATCTGGTGCATCAGTAACAAATTTCCATTTAACACTAGCTTTCAAGAGCTAAAGATAATTTTCCCATTTTAAGGGACTTGTTAGGCCCAATAGAGCGGGAGATATCTAATTTTTTCAGAAATCGCCAACAGTACTTTATAATTCAAGTGTTGACATGCACCCTGCTTTCTTTAAAAAAATCAACACGGCGCTGAACGATCACTCACACAAAATGTGGCCACAAATTTGCATTCTGTCAAGTATGAAACATTGAGATTTGGGCATAGGCCATTAGTGTTTCCACTGTATAATTTTATCAATGAAGTACATGCTAATATTGACACAGAATTGTGCATGCGTCTGAATTTCTTTGACCTCTAAACTCAACAAAGAAGCTTTCAAGTTTTCGAAAGTTAGATCAGACAACTTTTAAAAGACTGAAATGTATCACCTTAATGTCATTTTTTTGCCACCAAAAAGTTGAATAACATAACGTGCGGCTTATCCACCACTACAGGTAATCTGTTGACTTTTTTTTCGCCGTATGCAATAATCGGCCGGTGTGGGTAATCTGCTTTGCAGGTAAACGGCCAGAAATTACAGTACATGTAGTTACAAGAATTTGGTGTTAGATCATGACAACAACTTCTATCTACCAGATAGTTTTGAGCATTCTCTCTACTGGTTTGCTGGATAGTAAATGGATATTGTTGGAAGAAGTTACATGTCAACTTTTGGGAGTTATAAAATGCCTCCCATTTGATATTTTCTATTCCCTCCTTGGTTTGATGAGGATTTGCTGATTTGGAATCATATTAGGGGTGGCTGGGGCTTATTACCTACCAAACTAAGTGCAAACTTCTTCAAATGGCCCATAATGTCATTTTTGATCTAACACCCACTTCTTCCCACTAATTTACAAGGAGATGTGTAAAAGCTAAAGGGGAGAATTAGCAATCAGATCTTGGGAGTTAAGGTGTTAACAACTATTCACCAAAGTAAAGGTGGCTAGTGGTGGATATCTAATCAGCCATGGTAACTACAGTATGATAATATAGCATAAAAAATAATTTAAACTCATTTCTTCCTGCAACGGTTACAATATTTTGGGCACAAATCCCAAGCGTATTGCTTGGAGTTGAATAGCAATGGATTTTTTGGAGTTTGAGTAGCCAATCAGAGAGCATTGTCAATGCCATCCACTGTTTTAGTATATATATTAAAACATTATTTAGCCAGGTGCATACCAGATGAAACTACGCTATTTGTGTAAAACATTATTTAAACAACCAGCCACCCCTATGACCCCATCTACTGCCCCCTCCCCCCTCTTTAATTGTAGTTTTGGAACATATAATTATATGCTGACCTTATATTTGCATTGATCTTTTCAGGCAATGTTTCTTCAACTGACGACAGCCACAGGAGCATTGGCCGGTACGTTCTGTGGCTTGCTAGCAGAAAACATAGGTGAATCGGCAACACTGTGGATCCTGCCCTTTACAGCTGGTGGTTTTATTTACATCGCAACAGTGTCTGTTATTCCTGAATTGCTAGAAGACACTAAATTAGGACAATCCATCAAAGAAATTCTGGGGATGTTGGTGGGAGTTTTAATGATGGTGCTTATTGCTAAATTTGAGTAATTCTTTATAGAATATTTTAAGTTCTCATAAGAGATTAAAGATAAATCCATTACTGCAAGTCTTCTTTAAAGTAAGTTGAGATGGTGCCTTTGGAGTTTAAGTATATGATTGCTGACTTACAGAACACAAAATAGTTCAATCTGACGTCAGCAAATATAAATTAAGTAGTAAATATTTACTATCTAATGGTTTAAATTCACCCCCTGAAAAGTGACAGTTTTTTTTTATTCTTTTTTTTTTTTTTAACTCAGAAAATAATTTCAAAGGGTTTTACTGTTTGCAATGTGGGTAGAATATTTGTGTGCAGAAAAGACCTAATTTTTTGCATTTTTCAGTTGAAGAGAGGTGAGCACAAAGTGTCAGCCACCTGAATAACACAAAAAAAATTACACCTGTTCTGTGGGCTAGTAAAACTGTGGCATCAAACATTGGCCCAGTATGGGCTTCCAATTGATTCCAAAGATCTAAAGGACTTTGGAAAATTCTGAAATGTCATAAGATTAGTGCAAGAAAAGAAAAATTGAATTTAAGACTAATTCCATTTTTTCAGGTGACAGCATCAATCACGTTTTTAAAAATTATTCCAATTCCAAATCATTTTCCTCATGTGATGAAGTCCCTTTAGCTTGGTTCTCTAGTGGGCTGCAAAAGTGTTTAGGATTTTTGATGCAAGCTTTAAAACAGTTTAATTCACTAATGTCTCATGCTGTTTGAAGAAAGAAATAATTTGAAGTTCAGAATAACTAAGTTTGACAACAAGTCTCCTCCATGCCAGAGTTTCATGAATTTCTTTCAATAACTGCTTAAATTGCCCATTTCTGGAGGGCAAATCCATTTAGTACCAGAATTTAAGGTTGACACGTTGAAAATATGAATTTATGTTGTTTTGCACTAAATATGTTTCAATTCAAATACTTTATTTTATGTGCCTTTTATTTTTACAACTCTTGTCAATAGTGTTGGTTATTGTGAGGTTTAGTACTTGAATTAAAGGGACCCAGAAATTCTGACTCAACTTGATTGCTGAATGAAGGAAAGAGAAGGGTTTTGGTGTTTGTTTGCAGTGACTTTACAATGCCAATATCAGTATTCATATTCTCCAGACATCTAAGGTGCTGACAAGGAGAATTAGTTTAGCAATCAAGAGCTCCCTTTGTTGGTAGTCATTTCCTTTATTCTTGTTACCTTAATGAGTGATTCAGGGGTGATTCTGGAAGGTGAAATTACTCGATAAATACTTGCCACTCATAGGGGTCGAAGGGATAAAACACCATTACGCTTTCGTGTCCTTGAGAAAACTGTACCCGACCTTAAAGGAACATAATGGTCAAAATGTACACCCGTTTCAGACCAAAAGCCAAACCATTTGAGGTGGTAAATACCTTTATGTCTTACGTTGGAGAGGAGCGCCACCCCTACCCCTCCACCCACGGGTATTAGTCGGCAGAAAACTACCCTTTGTTCAAAAAAAAAAGAGGAAAAAGTCTGTATACTATGCTTTCAATTTAAAAACGATTGAAATTTCGGATTAGCTACTTACATTGAAAATGACCGCGTCTCGCTTCTATAGATTCATTTTGGCCGTTGTAGTTAAAGTCAAACTGACCTGGTCAGTCTTGAGTGATACAATTATAAAACAGGACGGATCTCATACATGAACAGCTTTTTGAGTAAAAGTGTACTTTGAATATGAAAAATGAAGTGAGAGCCCAAATTTTCAGTACTGTGGTCATAGTCAAGTGCCATTATTGTTTGACTTCAACCATATGTACTTTCTGCCAATAAAAACAATCTTAATCTCCTCTCTTACCAGTCTCCCAAATCCCACTCCACCTTCCCCTCGTACCCATTCCTCTCAGCTTAATGCCATCACGTAAGGCTCGTAGGTCACGCAAATGAAAGAGGACAACCCAACTGAAGCTAGATTAACCCTCTAACTCCCAGAAGTGACAAACACGTTGAGAATACTCAAAATGATTAGGAAGAAGTTTTTATCTTTATCTTACACCAAATTCTCGTAACTAATTTACAAGGAATTGTGTAGCAGCAAGAGGGAAGAATTAACAATCAGATCTTGTGAGTTAAAGGGTTAAACACAAACATAGAAAAGTCAAACCAGAAGGCAGGGAACAGCAAGGACATTTGGGAGTAACGTTTAATATTGCCGTCTAATGCCTTCACCTAGGAATTTCTCATGTGCTTCTATGACGTGCCTGAATCTAAATATTCAATTCCTAATGTAAATGGTCTTAGGAAATGTAGTTGTTGACGAAGTTTGAAAGACATCACGGCATTCTTGAAGAAGATTGAAGTCAAAAGATTTCTTAGTCATAACCCGAATAAGCTCCGCCAAACATTTTGCTGCTCGCGAGATCGGGCCTGAACCAGAAATCAAACTCGTACCTGAAGAGTTCTTGTCGTTCTACTTTACCATTCCTGTCCCGGTCAGCTAATTTAAACCAAGCCTCGGCTCCATTTGGATCCAAACCACGAGCTCTCATGAAAATCTTTAATTCATCCAAAGTGACCGTACCATCGTTGTTCGCATCCATGATGTCAAAGAAGGCGTCGGTTAGTTGTTCGAGCAAGGCTTTGTCACCTGCCTCCTTTCTTTCCACTTCATCACGCGCGAGACGGTTGAATCCTTCAATGAACTTCAACTTTGAAATTTTCTCTCCTGGCATAAAACCCACGGCGCCCCAGAACTGACGAAGTTCGATGCGCAAATTTGTGATCTCCGAAGGGGTGGCCTTGCACTTAGTTTGCAAATTCTCTGCCAGCTGTAAGAATTCGTCTAGTGTTAAGAAACCGTTTTGGTTCAGGTCCAACGCATCGAAATAATCCCCTATCCTTTTCACCCACGAACTTCTCTTCATTAAATCGACTTTAGCAGACATCTGGCTCTGCAAGTATGTTCTCCAATCAAGACAAGAAATCGAGTATCAAAATATTCCCTGACCGGTATCTCTATCTCGAATCTTCCGCAGATCTGCAGACACGCTTCATGGAATTTATGGCAGCTGTCTTGTTTCTAGGCGAAAAGCAGCTCTGTTTAAACACGACCCTTAAAGTTGTTAGCCGCTCAACTATGAATCATGGGAACAAAAGGAAAAGACCCCTGCAGTTTAAAGAGCTCGATTTGAATACGCACAAAGAAACAGATGAAATTGGCGACGTTGTTCAAGTGCCCAAACAAATGAAAATTTTTATTCTGTTTTACATTCACTGGAACATATCTTATTCCACCGATAATTTAATTGAGAAAAAAAAACAGCTTAAATGGTAACAATCACCAAGGGTTGATCAACTGAGCTAGAAACATCAAAAGACGCAGATGGAGAGCTGTAGACAAAGGTTACCCATGTGAAAAAGGTATTTCTGGTATTTCATGCTTCTTAACCCTTTACATCCGAACTTTGGAGAACAGTATGGAGAATGTGCATACTCTCCATACTGTTCTCCATACCTTTTCTAACATCATGACAAGGAGAATGTGTTTAACAATCAACAGCCTATCGGTATTTGTTATTTAACAAGACTACTCGAAAGAGGAAAGTGTTCTTTTCGTTAGATATAGAAAGGATTTCTCATCTGTATGGACCATGGACAACAAAACCTTAGGAAACCTACCAGACAGAGAGCATATAAAAAGAGGACATATACGCTTCCTTGACAACTTTGAATCTCAAATCTGAAGCAAATTTGATATTACTACAAGCAATGCAAAGAATACTAAAGTATCGTAGTTTTTAGCCCGATTTATTGCTGATAGACACTTGTAAACTATTTTAGCCTGATTTAAGGCGATTGGCTGTGTTTTGCTCGACTGGAAATCTTTGTCAAACACTTTACCCACTCGCATTCTTTGTACGCGAGCACTCAGGGTTCTATGTACAGAAAAAGCTAACTTCTGGGTTCGATTCCACTTAATCAACCAAATCGACACCATTTGATCACTTAGCAATGCCTTGATCCTACATCATATAAGTTTGGTCACCGAACCTGTTCGATTGATTGTAATTCTATTGAATGCCATAAAATCTAAATTAATAAAGTGTTAACTCCGGTAGATCAGCGCGAAGGCAAACACAAGAGGAATTCAAAGAAAAGACGTGTAAACCGCCTAAAACGCGGGAAGACGCGTGAGACAGAGTTTTCGTTTTGCATCTGATTGGTTGAACAGGAAGTGGCGCGAGTTCAGTCCACGAATCACAGGGCGTGATCAAGCAAAAGCACTGCAATCGCGGATTACTTTTATTCAAGTAACATGTCGCCTAACACTCCACACTGATGTCCTTCCATCCGAAGTTTGTGTAAATTAAATTGCATTTCAAATTCTCCATCAATCACACGGCTTGGAAAGAAGGCCTTAACAGAAATTACTACGTGAAAACATTTTTGGGCGACTTCCTTAACCTGTAGTACATGTAGGCAGTAAAGGCGGACAACGAATACCTGAAAAAAAAAAACAAGAAAAACACAAATATCATACGCTTTCAAATAGGAATTTCCGAGAAAAAAAATAATCCTTCTATAACTTAAAATTTCAAGCAATTTTACGTCTTTTCTCGCGAAAAAAAAAAAGTAAGCTTTATGACTGCTGCTTAAGTAGAGGGTCGCGGGTTTGGTTGGACATTCCAATTAAGTTTTACAGATATGAAAGACAACATCAATAAAAACCTCTCGCTAGCCGAGTTTGACGTCCGCACCGTAAGTAACGGACCAAGTGTTTTTTTTCCGCTCAGATTTATGGCTCAGGCGCGAAACCAAAAATACTATTGGGAAAACGAGGTTCCGTAACTCTCAGTAGGGACCGAGAAAACGAGGTCAGTAGAATATGTTTCATACCGCCTGGTTCAAATAGGGGGAGATTTCAATTTAAACAAACTTTTGAATTTAGCGGGCTGTAACGTGTAATAGGACCCGTCAAATTGACCAATCATAGCGAACGTACTAACTGAGAGATATAATAATTTTTTTTTAGGGTAAAAAACTTTAAGTTTTATACAGACCAGGTTATAATGTACTGAAGATGTTCGTTACGAAGGTACACCCGGGTTTGGCCTCCTCGTGGTCCCCCCGGAACTGTGCTGGCTGAAAGATAAGAGCGAAGTGACGATGAAATTTCCGGATAGCCGAAGAGAGAGGAAGCGTGCAAGACACACTCGTGTTTTCTTTCCTGACGCGCCTAACTCTAGGGACGGCGGAGTTAAGAGGTTTTAGCTCCCCCCCCCCCTTCCCCACTTTTTACGAGGACAACATCTTATTTTGTTTTAGGATGAGGCACGTAAGAAGAATAAAAGAGCAAAAAAAGAAAACGAAAGTGTGAAGTCAAATGAGAATTAACTGATCCCTTTGACGAGAGTAATAATACCAGTAAATTCAATCAACATTTACCAGCATCAGCATCAACTAAAATTGGCAAGCTGTCTGTAACTTCCGCCATAGCATCCACATCTCGGGAATACCACTTGTTATTTTCTGGATTATTTTTTGCCTGAAATGGCTGTCGCTAAAAACGAAAATCACAAAACCATTCAATATTAATATCAGAATATTAGCCCTTTACCCCCCAACATCCATATGCATATTCTCCATACTGTTCATTATACATTTACTAAGGCGCTGACAAGGAGAGTTTGTTTAAGAATCAAGAGCTCCATTAGTTGGTGATCACTTCCTTTATTCTGGTGACCATAAAATGTGATTCAGGGGGAAACACAAATTTGACCTGTATTTGAGGTATTACCCCAGAAACATTGCAGATCATCAGGCAAGTCAGGCATGACAAATTCTTTTTCCTATCAACAATGAATTGATTTTCACTTCTACATTCTGATTCTTTACCTCAAAACCTCCAGCATATTTGTTGAATGGACTACTATTATTAATCTGATCAATCTTTTTTTTTACTTCTTGAATTCAAATTCTGATCAAATTTTTGTCCCTATCCTTGGATTAAACTTAGGTTCTGTCATTACTCACTTAATGGTAATACTTTAAATTTGTGTCCCATTTCACTCTCTAAATTATATCACACTTTGAATTCCTGAATTCAATATCCTCCAATTGAAACTTTTCTTACTTCTCATCAACTACTTACTTGACAACCTGTCAATGGTGTAAAGAGACATTGCATTTTGATCACTTTTGGAGGAAACAAGGTTTGCCCTCCACCTGTTCCTTCTTAATTTTCATAAGAATACAGATGGAGATCTCTCTCCTACACCTAATCCAATTTTTTTATCGATAATTAAACAATCATCTCATGGCGAGCTCAACACAAAGCCTAAGAAAACAGAACATAATGACAAAAACCTTCTCTCCTTGTCTGATGAAGCCAACCAAAGACGTCTCACCCTTAATCTTCAAATAAAAATTAAGAATGTTGGACATTGACATGTGTAAAGAATGTTTATACCTCTTTGTTCAAAATAGATCATATCACTTTACTGTTAGACCCCTTTTTAAAATAGTTCTATTTGTGCACATCTTTTACAGTTGAATTTTCATGAATTCCAAGAAATTTTAGGCAGTAATAAGAGAGATGAGAGGTTGTAAATTTTAGAGCACTGATAATACTTAAGAATACCCTCTCCCTCAAACAGTTTAATTTTTCTCTTCAACAATTTAGTTATTTTAAACTGGACTTCAACCTTACAAAATCAATTTTGATATCAGATTAGAGGCAGAATTATGCAGAAAATGTTCCATTTCATTGCCTCACAAGGAACAAACATTATTGCTGAAAAATTTGAAATTCCTACAAGTTTTCAATGTTTCTGATGACAGTACAGTAAAATGAGTTAACTTAGTCAGAAAGAGTTTGTTATTGACCATGGAGGATTCTACATCAGCATAAAAAACCATGACTCAGGGCAAAAGGGATCTCATTAATACAGAATTTTGTTACAGAGACCTGTCCTTCTTGTCTTTTTTCAGGTCTGATTTTGTCCATAGGCACCCAACCCCTATTGACCAAGATTCTTTGCCTAGAAAAAAAGTGGAAAAATTGGGATATCTCAGAATTTTGTATTACAAAATTATGCAATACACAAAATCAAGCTACAATGATATAGGGCACTTGTCATATCTTACAAAATTAGACTTGAGGTGCAGCCTATCTGCCAGTGCCGCTAATACAGCAGTGTTTATGGTAAATATTTCTAAAACTTATGAAGACACTTTGATGTGGGTCTGGAAGGTTTCAAGGTCAAATATTTCCACCTTACCCTGTTCCAGAGATTTCAAATGGTGTGATGATTTGAGCACCAGATTTCGGCTTTCTTCCGAGACTCCCTCCTCCATGTGCACCTTCATTGAGTGACCTTGGTGCCAAATGGATTTCCTCTGCATGATCAAATGTTCCTTGCACCAGGACTCGTCGATATTCCAGAAATTTTGATCTAAGTTCATCAATACTGTACAAATAATGATCTCGATTACTTTCTTAACTATACAAAAAAAAGTGAGAAAAATATTTCTCCAACAATTTATGATCATTTTTCATCTGAAGAGAAAACAAAAATTTGAAATAAAAAATTACTTTTCTGGAAGATCTCGAACTGGTTCAGTTGTCCTGGACTCAAGATCCTTGATCAATCCTTTCTTCCATTGCAATCTCTTGACCTGCCATGTTCCCAGGCCAAATGTTGATATTGGAATTATCAGCAACAAGTAATGCATTTTAGATTCCTGAGCAGCAGGATTAGCTGTTGACATTCCACAGGACTTAAGGAGATGATGAACCACTATTGGAAAAAAGCAAAGCAAAACAAAATGAAACAAAACAAATCAAAACAAATAAATCACTTTCCCTAGTATCTTCTCTTTAAGTCTGAGATGAAATGACCTAACAGTCAGCATGCTTGAATCTGAATGCGATGATCCAGTTTTGAGATCAACCCAAACCATACCTAGGTCAATTGAAAATTTCAAGTATAAAATGATGAAATGAAAACCGAAAATGTGTGATGGATTGGCATCCCATTCATGATGGAATAGAACACTCCTAGTTTCTAAATTCTATGTACACCAAGATAACTTCCAGTTTGTAGTCTCTACATCTCTGGATTGCACTAAAAATCATGAGAGCTACATCTCAATGGATGATATGGAAGAATATCGCCTGTCAACCATATCACAACATTTTTGTCATATTAAAACAGAGCCAGACAAGACGATTTTTTTCTACGAATATCTTAGCATTGAGGATCACGATTTCGAAGAAGAATGTCGCTTAAACGCAAGTCATTAGTATACTTCAATACCTTTGTTCCTTCCAAATGAAAACATGGCCTGACTATATCTGTGGGCAACTTTTACAAACACCATGTCTAGAGAGTGTTGAAAACGGTGGCTGATTGAAAAAATCTTCCCAAAATTAAAAGACTTCTACAAAAGATGTTTTCTTAAAAAGCACTTACAAACGAAAAAAAAATTATTAGAATATCTGTTCTCAAAAATATGCCAATTCCAATTAGCCTAATATCTCACCGAACGCCTTATTGCTTTCCCAATGGCAATTTCCGTCAGGCGTTACATAACCATTTGGACAATCCCCAGTCCTTTATCCAAAATACACTGTGCGCCTGCAATACTTTTTCGTATTGTGCAAAAATTCAAGATGGCGGCTAACCTAGAGAGAATACAGCAACAAATGCAAACGGAACTTGAGAAGTTCAAGGCTGTTCAGAAAGGTACGTTATGAGTAGTAATACACCTGAAAAGCTTGAGTGCTCGTTTATTTGAAAATAAATAGTCTGTGATCCCATGCCTTGTCAAGGAAAAGTTGTAGGCTCTAGATCTTAGGCGTGGGTTTCGAATTTACATGGTAAGCCGAATTATGCATGCATTTTACCGGTTTTTGCCAATGGTATATTGGAGAACAGTCGCATGTATGATGCCACCTTAAAAAAGTTTTGCTCTTTTTTTTTTTTTAGTGCATAGAAAAAATAGATTCTATGTTACCGTGGGTCTGTACAGAAATAGATTACAAAAGATGTCAAATGTGGCAAGAACACAAGTTATCCACGCGGCTATGCCTCGTGTGCCACTTTTTTGTTCTCAACGCATTTGACATCATCTGTGATCTATTTCTGAGCAGGCTCAGGGTACATGGATTGTATACAAGTAATGAAAGAAAGCTTGGAAGTTGCATACTGCTTCCTTGATTTCTTGTGGAAGGTGGAGACACCCCAAATGAAAAACAAGTCATTGTGCTGAAGAACAAACAAGCAAAACATTTTTACCACCCATCTGTTTTTGCCTTTACACCCTTACACCAGTATGCATATTCTCTATACTGTTCTCCGTACCATCTCCATAGGTGCTAGCAAGTAGAATTTGTTAGATTTTTGAGAACTTCTCTATCATATCATGTTAGCATCATGTTAATCATTTCCTTTATTCTTGTGAACATATTCAGGGGTGATATTGTAAGGAGAAATTAGATACTAATCACACTCAGGGGTCAAAGGGTTAAAGTAGAAGGTGTGTGGATCTTTGCTGTGGATTGTCATTACTCCCCTTTTCTTATGAGGGGACACGTTCTCCTTTAAGGAAACAGAGTGAATTTTTAGGAGGGGAAAATTAGTTGTGATGGAGCTAAACTGGTAGGGGGTGGACTTGCAGGGAAGCAAAATCACCTTAAACCATTTAATATGGGTAGAGAGTTTCAGATTGCCTCTTGCACTGTTTTGACCCAAAAACTCTTCAAGCATGCTTGCTCCTCTTCAAACCATTATTCATCCAGTAATTATTTCTTTCAGATTTGCAGAAATTAATCAACACAAGACAGCAATTAGATGGTCAGCTGAATGAAAATAAAGTTGTAAAAGAGGTGAAACCTACTTTAATGATTTATTTTCTCACTGATAGATTTACCTAATTTACCTGAACTTCCTGCCATTTTTTTCTTTCCATGTTTGGTGCCCTTCTATCATGAAATTTTGATATTGGGATATAAATTCTGTGAAGCAAAGGATTTTTTCATGATTTTGCTATTTCTAGGTGTTACTGATTGTCCTGCTCTCCTCTCTCTAAATTATCAAACTGAAAATGTTTGAAATGTTGCATTTGTTTCTTGTGAATGTTATGCTGCTTGAACTGGAAATTACAACAGTTAGTTCTTGGCATAGGCTCTATTACCATCCACTGTGCAAGAAATGAGCCTGCTGGCTCATGCCGCTTGAGATGATAGAAGATGATACAAAAAAAAATTGTAGAAATTGAACCTATTTTTCATCATCTTGCATTGCAAATAAATTGTTCTTGCACAACTCCAAATATCACCAATCCACAAAATAAAACTATTGTAAAATGTTCATGCCACAGGGTATGCTCAGTAAGCTGAGATTAGTGGAGTAAGAGTTCTCATAGCTGGTGGAACTTAGTTGATGCATAACCTTCCAGCTCAAAAAGATAAAGAATATTAACCCTTTCACTCCCATGATTTCATTTAGTAACTCTCCTTACTGTCTGCAAAAAAAAAATTAAGGTGTTAGTTCAGATAATTTGGTACTGGCTCAACTAATAATTGGCTTATTGGTCACTCATGGGAGTTAACCCTTTAACTTCCAAGATCTAATTGTTGATTCTCCTCTAGCTGCTACACATTTCTTTGTAAATCAGTATGGAGAATTAGGTGTTAGATTAAGATAACAACTTCAAACTGATAAATTTGAGTTTTCTTATGACCTGTTTGTTGGATGAGGTGAGTATATTAAAGGGAGAAGTTAGATATTCATCACTTCTGGGAGTTAAAGGGTTAACACTAATGTTGGAGTTGTATTACAATATGTGAATGCTTGAGTTAACCTGTTGTGATGATGAACACTGAGTGATAAAAATTGTTGACATGTCTTGGATGGTGTTGATTTAGAATAGTTTCTAGAGACATCTTGATGAATTATAATTGATGGGGTGTGATGTTTGAGTTTAAACTGACTTTGTTATTGTGTTTTTAGGAACTAGACATAATTGAACCTGATGGAAATGTCTACAAACTCATAGGACCTGTTCTGGTCAAACAAGATCTTGAAGAAGCCAAGCAAAATGTTGGGAAGAGGATAGAGTACATCACAACTGAACTGTAAGCACCATTGCTTTACTATAAGTCATCTTGGTGTTCTTAAGATAAATAATTAGTGGGTTTACAGTAATATGGCATCTCTTTTGTCTCAGCCTCACCCTTATGTCCTTGAAATTTTCTTTGCCAGCACAAAAATATTAAAAATATATTGAATAGGAAGGCTGTCTCCTTTTTTGTCACAGGTATTCTTGTTCTTTTCAAATTATGGCATGAAAGATTGTACAAAGCAAAATTTTTCAACTAATTTTGAAACTGGTTTTCGCTTCTTGAATCTTCATGTCCCTGGAACACATCCCTGCAAAAGTAACAGTTCATAGCTGCATCATGCAAGCCCTATATGTAAAGGATTTGGGCCAGGGAGATTTACAAGGGAAACACACAAGTGAACTTCTTGCAACAAAATGTTTAGATTGTTAAGCATTGTGTGGTAGTCTGGTGATGTGCAGTAGAGCGATGACAAGAATGGGGTGGTAGACTTGTGCAAATATATTGGTTACTCCATCGGTTGGCTCAAAATCTTCCATCCCTTGTCCATAACTTAAAGACTTCTTGTTGGTGTTTTCAGAAAAAGAAATGAGACTGGTATCAAAGATGTTGAAAAGAAGCGAGGCGCCAGCCAGGAGACACTAAGCAAGTTACAGCAGCAGTATCAGCAGTTCCTGACGAAGGCCGCAGCTAAAGTATAAGAGAAGAAAGAAACTTGCTAAAATCTACTATTTGTATTTATTTGATGTAAGGGACCAGTCATTTTTTTTTTGGGCCAGGAGAGCAGGGAGGTGCATAGGATTTTCTTAAGGGGCACCACATGGTTTTTAGGGGGAAGAGAGGGGGGTCAGTTGTAGCTTACAGAGTATAAAGGAGGATTATAGAAAAATGACCGTCAAGAAGGGGGATCAGTAGAATATTACAGAGTCTCGGGGGGGATCTGGTAAGTTTTATCGCGGCAACCCCCACCTTCTCTACCATGCAATAAATAATTACCGGTTCTCAAGTGAAAGTGCCCGAAAAAGGTGTTCTTGTTCTTTTACAAACACTGCTCTTGACAGTCATATCGTCGAAGATAAGATTTTTTTAATCGAAAAAAGTATTTCCAAAAATTTAATTTAGGTTTGGTCCTCTTTCGGGCGATCACGTTGGATCTCATAAGATGCACATACGAGTGATAAGCTTTTTTTTCCCTTTTTGACACATGAATACTCTCGTCGAGATTTAAAACTGTGATAACAACGCTCCCCCGAGGGTGTTTCACTAAATAAACCAGGAAAACTTTAGAATAAAAAGTAATGCATAAACTGGTTTGCGTAAAATTGCGAAGTAGCACCGGCGTCCTGTTCCATTAACAAATAGATACACCAGAAACATTTAGCGAACGCAGCCTGCGACAAAGTTTATCATCGTCTCACAGTAAACAAGGAGTGTAATGATTTCTTTTAGTGACTTGTTTACCCCTCCCCTCAATTTGTGGAGGTCCCAAGGGGCTGGATGGGCGAGGGTTAATTAAAATCCTCCACTATGTGATTTTACCAGGGACAAAATTATCAAAAAATGGTACTACATTTGGGCTTTTCGCAAACGACACTTCACAAGACCTCCCCATACGGTATATATGCGAATTACGCCCGAACCAACAAGATCCTTTCGTCACGATTTTCTTCGGTCTCTCCGACTGTTGTGCGGAAAACTGGCCGCTCCATGTAACACCAGACTTCGCTCGCTAATTTTTTTCCACTCGATTCACCAACAAAGAGAAAAAGGAGGGCCATCAGCAGTATATGACATCTTCCGAAATTCCGTTTTGAAAATAAAGATTTTGTTTCACGTCTTTTGTTTGAGCGAGCGGGTGTGTGTTTGATTCATCAATATCAGAAAGAGACTTACTTTCCACATCAGGACAGATCGACTGGGCAATAAATCATTTGCAATCTTTTCAATTGAGAATGTAGACCTTGTCAGAAAACAGAAAACAATTAACATTGGTTGAAACAGGAAAATTAGTTGACATTCAATTTAATTTCAAAACCTCTTAACATGAATAGAGAGTGACAAAAGTGTCTAAACATTAGGCGGTGTTTCAGGTATTTCCCATGGGTGGAGCTGAGAACTTCTTGCCACTTCTCGCACTTGACAAAGGTGACAAAAGCTTTTCGTTGTGTTTCAGAGTTCTACTTCCGCCCAACATATTTGAATGTTACGCAAATAGCTTTGCAAGCAGCTAACTACTCTTGAACGTGTATCAAAAAAAGGGGAAAAAACTAATGAAAAATGAATGAACGCGATCCAAGTCATTTTCGAGGCAAATTTTCTTCAGCGGTCAAAATGCGATGAGTGACAGTTGCATAAAGATCAATGTTCATTTCTAGAGAAAAGTGAAATTAAATAAAAATAAGTTTTATCTTTGTCCCGCCCAGAGATTTGCCCAGACTTGCTGGCCGATTCACGGGTCAGTCTCGTGTCTCCACGTAACATGTTTATATCAAAGCTTAAAGTTAACTACGTATAAGGCAAGGCGAGGTCCGAATTCACGTGCCCGGAAGTTTCTATCTTATAATTTCTAAACTGTGAAAGAAGAATGGCTCAAAACTCGGCACGGTTAATGGAACCTGTGCTGATCAGACTGATTTACGTAACGCGCGACCGCTGGCTGTAAGTCATCAATCTCCATTTTAAATCGTTTGCAATTGATTTAAAATGGAGATTGATGATTTTCAGCCAACAGTCGCGTTTGTGTTCATTCGCAGTGTCAAGGAATCGCCTGAAATGTTTTACCTTAGTTAGCAAAGGCAATATTACAATTTTCAAGTTAAAAACAAAACAATTTATAAGTTTTCAAAGTAGTCATTTGCTAAAGAATTTGTCGATGTATATGTGGGCGGTTAATAATCATTTCAAATAAGCTTTTTAAAATGGAATGACAAATAAAACATAGAGGTGAAAAACACAAAAGAAACTTCGCAGCTCTAAGGAAGCTTTCATTACAATAGAGTTGCAAAATTAACTAATTACTTCGACCCAAAGTGTGATGATTTCTTTTGTAATGGTTGCGTTCAGATAAAAACCAATTTCAGCTAAAACATCTGATTGTTTAAGTTAGGCTACTTAAACTCGTGAAGCCCTCAGTGGGGCACACTTCATATCGGAAACTCAGGCAAGTCTCTAACGACTGGAGCTAAATTTGATCGGAATTGTGGAGAAACTTCTGCACTGATTATTTTTCGCATCAAAAAATAATCAAAAAATGGCGCATGAGTTGAGCTCGAAGTCTCCCGATCAACGAGACAAAACAAATACGCCGATTTCCACGCTCCCCATAGACACGTGCGCTGAAAGAGTTGAAATGCATTCTACGCGGGTCAGGACTTTACAACTGAACACAGATGCGCAAGATCGAAATTTGAAAACCAAGAGACTCTTTCAGGGCTCGAGGGGTAAAATTCATACAGCTAAGAGAACAAAGATGGAAGGAGAACACAGCACCATCACCGTGCGTCTTCGAAATAAGGAACTGTGGGAGATGTTTCATCTCGAGGAGACGGAAATGATTATAACTAAAGCTGGAAGGTACGTGTTACTTCAATTTTTTTCCGTTTTAAAGGCAAAAAAGTGAATCTCTTGTTTGTTTGTTTGTGTGCATGGTAATCTGTGAGAGGGCTCAGAAAAAAGCTTGTCTGCGCGCACCATGCATCTTGATTTTCATATTGGCTCGTGCAAGCCAACATTTTCGAACATGGTTACTCATTAGCCATCGTATTTTCATGCTTCATGCTTCACGATAAAAAAAAAAATGTCCATCTAAACATAGCTTCTCTTATATCCACGGGAATAGAAAAACAATTTTCGTTCCTTTCCATTACCGGAACCAAAAGCAATAATGCATGCATGTTGCCCTTCTCATAATTGCTGAAATACGTTTCCCAAAAAAACTGACCCAAATTATTAAATGCTCATGAAGTTATAACAAGATTTATGGTCAAATCAAAAATTTTTTTTTTATCTCATGAAGTTTTATGCAAAGTTTTCAACGTGTTTAGAGTTCATTTTGAAATTAGTCTCAACAAGACTCCTTTGGGAATGATCACATAATGGTTTTTAGAAGAAAAACAACGTTCAAACAGCCCGTCTTGCATGCGAAATTTCTGTAAACAAAACTTCAAGGAAGAAGTGTCCGGCTTTTTTGTTCGGTTGTAGAAAAGTTGATTAAGAGCGTTATAGTTGTCTCGAATGCACCTTCATTTGGTATTCAATCGCCCAAACAGTTTTTTCCATTCCCATAAAAAGTAGCGCAAAAGATTAACGTTTTTGCGTGCGCATTAGTTTTCGCGTGCGCATTAGTGTTTACGAGTTATTTAATAGTTTAAAGCTAACGTTTTGGACGTTGGACCAAGGGTTAACGCTCGAAATGTCAGCTTTAAAACCCTCCGCGGTGGTAAATTCACATTACAGACTCAGTAGGTAAAAGTAAAGAATCTTGCAAGCCCCCCTCCCTTCTTCCTCCCCCATCGACGTAACACCACAGTTTTATTTGCTTTAAATGGTTTAGCTTGTCTTGTCTGGATAAGTGGACACTGAATTTTATGTTCTCTTTTTATGCGGGAGAGCGGAATACAGAAAGTTAACTTGTAAATGGAACCAATTATTTTGGTTATGAGACAATTTGATACTGGTAAAATTCGTTTTCGCTCAGAGGGAAATTTGGCCTATTTATATTCATTGTTTGCGCCGACGTTTGCCTGTTTGGTAAAGATTCTGTGGTCACTGAGAGGATGTTGACAACTTAATTTTCATTATTATTCATTGTTTGCGCTGACTTTTGCCTGTTTGGTAAAGATTCTGTGGTCACTGAGAGGATGTTGACTACTTAATTTTTTTTTCTTATTATTGACCTTTGGAACACTAAGATTGACTAGCATCTAATTTCTCCTTACAATTTATAACTCCCCTGGATCACAATTCAAAGGAAGTAATCATAAACAGAAGAAACTCTTGATTGATAAACAAATTCTCCATGCCTACACCTTAGGAAATGTCTAGAGAATACTAAGGAGAATGTACATACTGATGTTAGGATGGAAAGGGTTATAACGACAGAAGTAGGTGTGTCTAGATTGGGAAGAGCTCGGTGCGCGCGCGTAGTGAAGAAGACTCTTGCTTATACCATTCCACTTTGTAATAATAAATACCTTCACGCTTTACATTCTAGACGAATGTTTCCCGTCCCAGACTTCTTCCTCGGAGGACTCGAGCCTGACCAATACTACGGCTGCGCAGTTGAAATTGTTGCTGCAGATATGAACCGGTATCGTTACAAGACACCCCAAGGGTGGGTTCCCACGGGGAAAGGAATGCAACTGGATCAAGTGCACTGCAAGTACCTTCATCCCAACTCGGCCAGCCTTGGACAGTACTGGATGGCACAAGGAGCCTTGTTTGACAAATTGAAGCTTTCCAATCACATTATACCCAGCAGTGACAGTGTGAGTGTTTTATATAACTAACATTTATACATCGATCAATATTAGGAGCTTCAAAATCCCCTCCCCTGCCAACCCAGGGGCGTTTGACTGTCGTCCGTGTCCGGGGGGGATGGAAATTTGAGTCTTGCTTGGGTGTGGTGGGGGATTTAAACCGGAACTGTCGAGTCTTTTCAGCGGAATGCACATGTTTTACATTTTAATATGGAAGTGTTTAAAGGTAGACTTTACTTATGCGATCTAATGACTCAGAAGAAAAGGACTGTAAGAAATTTACAGTCGCTGATCTTGCCCTTTACAAAAATTTGACCATGAAATCTTAATCTTGAGTTAGGCATTTGAGCAAAAATTTAGGACAGTGGGCGGAAATTTTTAAGGAAAGTTTATATACCTGGGGAGTTGTGGGGAGAGGTTTCCCGGGGAAGGATAGTTGAAGCTCCGAATCAATCGACACATGACATAAAGCATGCTCTAGTTTTACCATTAAAGAACAGTTTTAAGTACTACATTTTGAGCATTTTCACAAATCAACTTAGATTTAAAGTGTCGAATCTTATCACTCCTAAGACTTTAAGGAGGTTTCGGTCTCTCTGTTTCATTCCTTGCTGACAGATGGTTTAAATTTGTGAAAAATATTTCTTGCTCATAGGCTTGATCTTTCCTTTTTTCTGTTTTCTTTTCGTCTAAAAAAAAACCCGTCAGAACGATAAAATGCAACCCGTGCACATTTCTGCGCGCGCGCACCTTTTCCACATTTACATTTCCTAATAGACCAGACAAACTTTCCCTTTGCATGAAACTCTGTTCGTTACATTGCATCTTTTGCTTTGATTTTTAATCGGGATTTCCTGTGCGAAGTTATCTTTCTCGTCCTCTTGTCAGAGTTGTACTGAACAGACATTTCGGAGACATAGATGCGGTGGCAGGAAAACTATTCCTGTACGTGTTTAAAAAAAAAAAAAAAATTTAATTCAATGCATCCTTTTTGTAGGTGGTCGTAAACTCTATGCAGAAGTACAGACTAAGACTGGTTGTCACTAAACTGGGAATGCATCAATGTGACCGATGGGTATTCAACTTTCCTGAGACTCAGTTTATCACTGTTACTAGTTATCAGAACCCGCGCATGACTCAACTCAAGATCGACAACAATCCATTCGCCAAGGCTTTCAGAGAAGGAAAGAGGTAAGTTCAATCAAACAAATGCAATTTGTATACTGAATTCATCAGATCAGGGCGATAGAAAAAAAAAGAAAATAAAGGTTAGATGCATTTTGACTTGCAACGAGTTCCCGGTAAGGTCCGCTTCTCCAAATGCCTTGGAACTCCTTTGGCCCCAGAATCTTATTAGAGCGTGCGTGATTCGTAATTTATTTAAAGATAATAATTATAATATATATAAAAAATAAAATCCATAAACAATGATGATAATAATAATAAAATTATTTTGTCGCACTCTTCAGCGTTCCTACTTGCAGTAGCATTCAACATATCGGTTCTTTTTTATTGACTCATTTTGTTGAACGTTCTTTCAGGTCGAGCCAACGAGACAGCACAGGATCTAAATCCAAGAAAAGACGCCTGCGTTTTCCATCTCCACCACCCATAATCCGTTACCAGACTCCTCTTATGAATTTTCTCAACAGTCAAGATCAACCGGCCTTGACCGCCGCCTCGGTACACCCACCACCTCCACCCCTGTCACACGATTGGCCTGAGGAACCGTATACGACAAGAAACATTCCTTTCCAGAACGACTTACCATTTCCTTGGGAACGAGACGATTTGATCCCAACGCAGATTTCCTCGGTTCCATCTACCAACTCAAGTTTTAAAGTGGAACTCAATCGGACCTTCCACTTGCGCGAAAGTCTTTCTTTCGCGCCAAATGATATCCCCACAGAAGAGTTGCAACCGCAGTTTCCCACTCAATGCTGGTCAGCGCCTCCGCTGGGTTTAAACATATTTGAAGATGCGCAAACGCAGATGCAGCATTACACTTCACGAGACCAGTTTTGGCGAGAAAGTTAGATACTTGACAGAGGAGCAGTAGTTGACATAGAAGTTAAGAGCACTTGAGTATGCCCTTTTTAGGAATTCGCCATATCCTGGCATTTCGACACAGCTGCGAATCTACAGGCTAAGACGAGTAAGGTCCCATCGTTTTTGATGAATTGTGTCTTATCATGACGGTTTTTCTTATTTTTGCGTTAGCAAAAGCAGTGATTTCTGAGCTCTTACCAGGAGACAATGGCCCCTCCTTGAAGCAGATGCTAAAATTAACTACATGAACTGTTAAACTAAATAGGACATTTATACCAGGGCCTTAATAAGCCGCTGGCTGACGCACGCATTTTGATCGATAGCCAAGTGTTTTTTCAGCTAGAGCCAATATCATTTTAAGCTTAGAAACACCACGGACCTTTAAATCGGGTAAAATGTTATACCTTCTGTCATTGTAAATTCAGGAACGACTTCGGAACCAATTTCTCAGACAATATGCTTACATCCTATTTTGACCTTTCTCTTTCTTGCAAAGAGATCATTCTCCGCATGGTAACTTTTTTGGGGTCAATATTTTTGAAGGACGGATGACCGCGCAAATCCTACTATAATAAATTAGGCGGAATTAATACTACATTTCTAACGTGTCTGAACGCATTTTAGGATTCCTGTGCGTTTGGTCGTTTATAATTATTGGACTGTTACTTCAATGTTCCTTCTGCTTGCTTTAACAAGCGAAGTGACCGCACCAAGATTATTTATAAGTTCATCATGATTGCTTATTGGGAAAAATTTTGTTGAGTTGTTAAGTACGATAGCTTCAGTCTGTTTAGCTAACCCTCACAAGACTATCTCCTGAGATGAAAGGTCAGTCTGGGAAAATTCCTTAAATTTCAGCGTTCTTCCACATTTTATGTTATACCTGGCAGAAATTTAGATCCCAAATTTAGAATCGGCTTTATTTGACAAAGGATGTATTTTCTTTCATATGTAAGATAGTTAAAGTTACGAATCTATCGTATGCAAGTTATAAATAGTGTTCCTAGTTCTGGTTTTAGTCGAAATAAAATCTGAAACGGACTTGACACAAGACGTATCTGTTTGACATCTGAAGTGATATTTGTAACCTAATATAACTAGCAATAAGTCTTCTGCTCTCCATCATTTGACACATGAGGCATTTTTGTCTCAAAAGTTAACAGACACATCCCTCTCTCCCTCCCGGGGAAAAAGGAAAGTCGATAAATTTCTGAAAACCCATAATAAAAAAAAAGAATTTTGAGAAGAAACTTGCAAAATTTGTCGCACAGCGGCTTATCTGTCTTTCATTTTATTGCAGTTTGATTGGTTTCTTAAGAAAGCCTGATTGTTTTGTTCTAGTGTTGCTTTTTCGTTGGTCGGGGAAAAGATGGTAGTTTAAAAAAAAAAGGGCGACGCAGGAATACATCGCACAGCTGAGGGCCAATCAGATTGCAAGGAAGTCCATTGATTTCATAGTAAATGCAATAAAGCAAATGAAAGTATCTTTTGTTGCGATTCATCCTGTAGAATCGTTCCTTTCTGTGCACACAGATTTATTTTTAGTTTTGATGGTAATAGGGACAGTGGCAGAAAATTGATGCTTACGTAACAAAACTTATCGAATAGAGGGCCTTTTATAGTGAAAAAAGGATTTATCTGCTAGGCTGCCAAATCACAATGGTAAGAAGTTAAAAATTGCCTATGAGTATACTATGGTTTCCTTTCCTTTTCATTTTACCTACAAGGAGGAAAAAAAATTCACGACTAAGAATTTGGCTCAACATAGCTGCAAGGAATATATATTCGGTCAGATATATTTATGACTGTTATGTAAAGAATTTTAAAAATGCTCCACTCAATTACTGTTACCCGATAAAACATCGATGATTGGTACTTAAACTCGTTGTTTAAGTATCAATTGTAATGATTTTATCACTGATATCGGTGAAAATTACTGTGAGAATAAAAATGGAGGAGAGTGTCTCTAAAAAATGTCATTTTCGTTGCTTATTCTTTCATGTTCACTATTAAAAGAACGCTTGTTTCCCTATTTTACATCTATTTGTATTTTTTTAGTATATTTTTGAATTGGATTTCATAAAAGCCCAGGAAAACTTGAAGCGACTCAATTCGTTTAATAAAAATGGGAATCTTATTCGAGTTTAGAACAGAGAAGGAAATTTTTTCGCGCTGAATTGCACAAACCGTTAACAGGAGCCCACTGAACTCCTGCCAAAAATAGTACGATACAAGTTGTGCAACACATTTGTTCATAGAAGTAGAGCGTGGAAATATTTCAGAGAAAGTTTCAAGCCGTTGACCCTTTGATTCAAGCTACTCAAAGAATCGGAATTATTGAGTCAAAAGGCTTGCCTCCGTGCGATGTTATAAATATTCCTTTTAGCAGTACAAAAGTTATGAAATAAGTTGCTATAATTCTTTTTTCTTTTTTTTTTTACAATAATTTTATGACGTCAATCGCAGCATGGTTAGTCACGCAAAAGTTAATGAAAAGTTCCAAAGATCCTAGGCAGTAATAACATTCAATCGGCTTTTTTCGAGGAGATTTTAGTCGAAACAATGAGTTATTAAGATTGTTTATTTTGGTCTTGTTCCATTTCCGTTGCTGAATTTATCACTTTTGTCTCGCGCTCGTTGACTTTTGACTTCCGGTAGGTATAGTATAACCTGCTATCTCATGGGGGGTCGGTTTGAGTGTTGTCAATATGCAGGCACACAGCGGTTACAGCCGAATATTTGATCTCAGCAAGACGAGACTTCAGCCCAAAACTCAAGAATGAGAATCGTGCGTATTCTCTCCATCGAAAGTTAACGAGACGCACTATTCGGGCGTCTGAAAATTGGAGATGATGCCCGCGCAAGATTTACCCGGCTCGCAAACTCCTGGTCAGGTAAGTTGCCATGAACAATTTGACTACTGACGATTGCACGCATTACGCGGTGATATTGACTTGATTTTCATGCTCACCTTCCTCTATATTACCGCAAGTTGCTATTTTGATAAAAGTTTGATCAAAATTCTTTAACAGAGTCTTCTCACGCTTTTGTCCATCGTGTGGTTCGGGTTTTTCTCGCTTTGTCGGTCGTGACAAGTACAATGCGTACGTGATTTTTTGTGTAATACGCTGAGTAAGTTATTCCCTGATTTAATGACTCGAATAAAGTTGTCGCAGATTTGATAATATTGATGTCAAAGATGGTTTCCATGGCGTAGAATAAAAGAACTGGTGAAGTGATAAGAAATTTACAATAGAAATTTCCTGCCGGAAATTCTTCGAAAATATTTTACACTAGAGCATGTTGGCCTTGATGTCGACTTCTGAAATTACACGAAGGCTGGTGTAGATACAGTCACTTCTGAAAAAGTTCGCAATCATATCATATCCGTAAACTGTTATATTTCGAGTGACACTAAGTTCGTGATGCTGTAATTGTGTTTAGAAAGTCTTCTGGAGGGAAGAACGTGAAGACGAAGCCATTTATTCGGTATCACTGAAGAAAGTGAGATACCGCTCGAGCGATAAGCTTCTTCCTTTTCCTGACGAAGACGAACAACCAGTCTCTCATCTTCAGTGGGAGATGATGAAGATCAGAACCATTAAAGCCGGTTCTTTAACGAAGCTTGTGGAACATTTAGCACCCCCAATTGCTTCATTTGACGAGGTTGATCCTGGCTACATTATGGCGTTCATGACTACGTATAGAACTTTCTCAACAATGACGGAAATCGTGGATCTACTTTTCGAGCGGTAAGATTCTTTTCGAGTTTGGTGTTGCATGATAAATTTCTGGCATTGAAAGGGAACAATCTAAATATTATTTTGGTACTCCCGAAAGACAGGTGTTTATCTTTTGTTTTCTACATGTGAATGAACTATCTCTTTCTGAAGTTATTCAAGAAAGTTATTATTAATACTTATTCCGGACACTTCGTTCCCTTTATGAACTAGCTATCGTTTGAAGCCCAAGAACCCATCATAACCGTTAAGGGACTCAAAATAATTGTTTTATGTACTCTTGAGGTCAGAAATGGCATACTTTGTCGCATCATTTACTCTTCGAAACATAAAGAGCAATCGTGCTTGACTAATCATACGGGTAAAGTGTAATCATTGTTAAAAGGCAAGCTTAGGAATACGTATTTGGTCAGTGGTGTGACAACAATTAAACCTAACTATTAGTTGATACTGTCACATCACAGGAACAGTTTTTCAACACTGCAAAACCATATGCAAAAAGTAAAAGAAGTGGTGTTAAAATACTTTGACCAACTACTTAAAATGTCAATATGTGATCATCACAAGGTTGTGTTTGGCAACTTTGCATCTTTAAAAAAGAGAGAAAGGGTTCTAAACAGGCCATAACAAAAACACTCTTGTTTGTGATGGAGGGTTATGATTTTACATAAGTTGAAATATGGTCTGCAAGGTTTTTTTTTCTGTGAAAATAAACACGGCAACCGTGAGTGATCTGTATGATGAGGACGAAGTTGTTATGCAGAGTCCAGCCATGGAGGGTTGTAATGTCAAAGGAAGTTGAAATTTGATCTGCAAGGTTTTTTTCCATGTAAATAAACATGGCAACTGTGAGGGATCTGACCAATGAGGAGGAAGTTGTTCAGCTGAGTCCAGCCAGGCTATGAAAGAGAACACTGTCTCTTGTGATGGAGGGTTGCGATGTCAAAGGAAGTTGAAATTTGATCTGTAAGGTTTACTTCTGTAAATAAACATAACATCCGTGTGTGATATGCACAAAGAGGAAGAAATTGTTAAGCAGAGTCAAGAGAACACTGTCCCTTAAATGCAGGGTTGTGTTGTCAAGGAAGTTGAAAAGTGATCTGCCAGGGTTTTTGCCGTGTAAACAAACACGGAGGCTGTTTGGCAAAGAGGAAGTTGAAGAAATGAAAGAGGACTTCCATATTACCATATTTTAACAATAATGAAAGAATACCTTGTACTTCATTTTCCTTACCGATAATTTGCTTTTCTCTTGAATACAGTATGGAAAATAAGTCTTCTAGTCTGGGCTAAAAATTATTTATTAAGTGCTTATTAAAATGGTTAGGAAGAGTTGTTTAAATATCATCATTCATTGTGACTTTATCCCTTTACACCCTAACATCAGTATGCATATTCTCCATACTGTTCTCCATACATTTCTTAAGAGTCTGAAAAGGAGAATTTGTTTGACCTTAATGTTTGATTCAGGGCTGATACTGTAAGGAGAAATTAGATGCCAGGCACTCTAAGGGGTTAAAGGGCTAACAATAATGAGAGATGTATTGTGGAAGAAGCAGTATAATTGTTGTTTTCAAAAGCCTCGTAAACTGTCAGTGAACTCACGCCAAAACACGGGTTTCAAGTAAATGGAAAATTTTTAGTAAAGTTTGTGTTATTAAAAATGGCAGTAACATTTTGGTTTGTTTTTCCTTTAGTTACCGACTATTTGTGGAAAATGCAGCTCAGAAAAAGGAGGAGGTAGTTGACAAAGTGCTGAGGTAGGTAGTAAATTGTTTAGTTTTAAATGGCCCATTTTTGTTCAGTAGCTTCTGCCAAAATGTGTTTATATTGCAGGATTCAAAATTGTTCTTTGCTGGCACAAATGAATGATGAAAGTCCTCAGAGTCTTTTCAATGGCTCAAAGGGACAGTGACAGGATTCATGGGGACTGGGTTACATAGTCCAGATAATCAAGATGCTACTTAATAAAAAATGTGAATATCAGTGAGCCAAAAATAAAACTGAATAAGTATCATTTTATTAATATTATGCAAGAATCAAAAGACATCCTCAAATTACAATATTGTGCATTATTGCCAAAATGTGCTCAAAATATTTTATGAGAACAAAGTTTTCACAACCTTAAACACTGACGTAAATCAGTTTGTTTCATCATGTGCACATCACTATTTTTATCTTTATTTGTATCTGCCTTGATGCAATAGCATCAATATTGTTCTGTCAGTTTACATCTGCTTTGTTTGATGGCAAAAAGTTTTTACAAATCTTAAATATGAAGCTTGGGTCACTCTCCTGTAGCTAAGCATGCTTATTTAGGGATGATCTGATGATAGTGAGGAAGATGATGAGAACAGCAACAAGAATGATTATGATTTAAAGAGGGAACCCAAATAGTCCTTGTGGATAATTAATAGATCAGTAATTAATGGTTTTCAACTCAATTTTCCCAGGGGCATTGCTTCAGTGTTCCATGTATGGCTAGAACACTTCCCTTCTGATTTTGATGAGCCAGATTACACAACTCTACTAAAAATACAAAGCTTTGTGACATCAGAGATGAGGGCCAGTCATGGAGAAGAATTAGCTAAGAAGATACAACAGCGTCTTGATAAATTTAGGATCACTCCATTTGAAGATGAAGGTGAGAATCTAGATATCTGTGTATTGGTTCGAGTGTGGGAAATGTAGGAAATTGTGAAAATATTTGGAAAATCAAAACCAAAATTTGATAACAAAGGTTACACTCCACCTGTTTTATTGAAGATTGTTAGAAAGATAGTAATGAGCATTCTATTGCTATTAATGAATGATGGTCATTTTTGTAAGCATGATTATGACAATAAGTTTAATTTTTCACAGATTTTTATTGCCTACCATCTATTGGAAGGCAGACTCATAGATGACTACGCTATTAACAACATTTTAATTTTTTATTGTGTAAAACAAATAGATTCCATATTGCCTTTGGTCTGTACAGTGATAGATCACAAAAGACATCAAACTGTGGTAAAAACAACAGTGACACACTCAGCTGTGCCTTGTGTGCCACCTTTTTGTTCCAACCAAGTCATCTGTGATCTAGAACCCTTCAACTCCCAAGATCTCCTTAGTTTGTTTTACTTCTCTCCCCTTACTGTCTGCCATACAAGTCTTGTGATGTTAGTTTGGAGAATTTGGTATTGGATCAACTTATGGTGCCCTAATTGATATCTTTCTTTATTCTCATCACTTGTCTGCTTGATATTGTATTGATATTGTAAGGATAAATTCTGTCTTGGTCACTTATAGAGTTAAAGGGATAACTGAACACATGCATGGCAACTTGGATTCTATTTGTTAATTAGATATCATTCAGTTCACTTTAAATTTTCCCTGGGTCCACATGAAAGTTTAGTGACTACCTATACAATACCAAAATTAACAACTTTTGATTGACTTTTTGCTTTAGATATTGAGATAATTACATGTCCCCTTCCTGTGTCACCAAAGTTTGGTTTTCAAGATGACATGTGCTCAATTCCAGAAGAGACTGAGTCTTGTTTGGATTTTCTGACCCAACCAACCAATGAGTGTGCCGAGCAGCTAACAGTGATGGATGCGGTTAGTTTTATTGATATAGTCTATGTTACAAACTCTCTAAGGTTGAGAGATTAGAGAAGGTGCCCATCCAGCTGAAGTGTATGATATTCAAGTTTCCCTAGCATGAAGCAGTGAGGAGTATTACTACTCTCCCTGCCCTGGATGGGATGCCAGTCCATTGCAAGGTTACTTCCAGTATTTTATCAAGCTTCCTAAACAATTTACCACTACCTATTTATACTCCTGATACTTGAGAGACACTGTGCAAGTGAAGTGTTTTGCCCAAGAACACAACACAATGACAGAGCCAGGTCTAGAACCCAGACCTTCCAGTACAGAGTCCAGCTCGCTAACCATTAGGCCACTGCAGGAAAACCTTGAATTCATTTTTTCCCCAAACTCACTTAACCCTCTACACCCTGAGATCAGTATGCATATTCTCCTGAATATTTTGCTAAACAATCAAGAGCTCCTGTTCTTGTTGATCATTTCCATTATTCTCATAACCTTAATGTTTGTTTCATGGGTGATACTGTGAGGAGAATTTAGATGCTAGTCACTCTTAGGGGTTAAAGGGTTAAGGGGCTTAAGTAGGTGGTGGGTGAGTCTCTAAAGAAACTGTGGTGTTGCATTGGAGGGAGAGTCTAACAGGCTAATTAAGTATTATCAACTGAGTTTATAACATAAATTGGCATTCTTAAGAGTTTCAAAGCTGATGTTTTGAGTGTTAGCCCTTCTTCAGTCACTGACAAAGGGCTAATGCTCAAAATGTAAGCTTTCAAACTTTGTACAGTGGCCAATTTATGTTATTAACTCAGTTTATAAAACTAAATTTCTCAAATAAGTAGGATCTAGGGAGAGTTAACCCTTGGGTCCTTGGAGTGACTAGTATCTAATTTCTCCTTAAAGTATCACCCCTGAATGAAACACTAAGGTCATGAGAACAAAGGAAATGATCACCAATTTAATAACCCATTAATTGTCAAACAAATTCACCTTGTAAGTGCCTTTGGAAATTTATAGAGAACAGTATGGAGAAGATGCAAAATGATCTTAGGGTGTAAAGGGTTTAAGAATGAATCTGTGTGTGAACTGATTCTCATAGCTGTGGAGAAGTTGCGAATGAAAATCCATCAATATTATCACGCACTTTATCCATAGTAGGGGGCTTTAGTTTTGTTGAAGAGGTGTGCAGGAAAAAAAATGTGAGCTCCGCTTTTAGGCTTGACTAAATCTATATATTAGCTAGGGAATATTCTGTCATGTGATGTGTTCAAACCAATTATACACAAGCAAAAATATTTGATGGACTATAACTGCAGTTAGCACATGTTCAGTTTCTAATTATTTTATATGTTATAAACCTCTTACAGAAACTGTTCAAGAAGGTAATAGCATGGCATTGCCTGGGATGTGTTTGGGGAAAAAACAAAAAGGAAGGAAGAGCAGCCACTGTGAAGGCCACGGTCGACCAGTTCAATGCTGTCTCTCTTCGGGTCATCTCCACCATTTTAACTTGCACTGAAAGTAAAACAAGTGGGCCGAACATGAGGGGGAAGTACATTTCACAGTGGATAAATGTAGCACAGGTGAACTAGATGGGTTTTCTGCATTGACCTGTGCTGTATTACTTGGTTGACAATCTAATAGGGGTTAAAAAAAAGTTATCCAAGAAACATTGTTTAAAATCAGAATAAAAACTAGCCTGTGCAGGAAGAAAGACTAACAAATTAATCCACAGAAAACCATTACAATGTGTGGGCAATTCAGGATAAAAAGGAAGGGACAATTATTCGAACACATGCCACAAAAATAATGGGAAAAATCTATCAAGTCAAGATGCGAGTTTGGTTAACACATTCGAAGAGCTTCCTGAAGGCAAAAGATTGGTTCTAGCACTTGTGACAACACTTTGCCATTATAACTCTGCTCTGCTTGAAATGGTTTTGAAAACTTGAAGTGTCACCTTTGAATCCTCTGGACTATCATATTGTGTTTTCCTTAGATTTTTCCTTTTGTATGATTGTTGGCCTCCTGACAGATTATAACAGATCAGCTCAATTTTCCAAATTAAAGTAGAACCTGAAAAGTGCATTAGGGTTCATGCTTGTCAAGCTTGCTTTCAAGGATATTTGTTAGATTGATCAGCTGTTTTCATTATGTTTTGTAGGAATGTAGAGATCTGAAGAATTTCTCATCCCTTAAAGCTATCTTGTCAGGTCTGCAGTCAGCTTCAATTCACAGACTTAAAAAATCTTGGTCTCATGTTTCTAGGTAATAATTATATTTTCTGCCAAATATTAAGAAACCGATTTGTTTAGCTGAAAAGGACAAAACATATCCTGTTATGTTGGGCGTTATTGTGCATTTTTTAGTTCTCATTTTCTCAATGCCCTCCAAAGTAATAATGATAGAAATACAGTTTATTTTCCTTTGCATAAAACACATTTTTTGCCCGTGGACATAACCTCTATTGTATACTTACATAGAAATGGTATAACCTCAATGCTTCAGAGTACCACAAAACCCTTCTGAAATGTAGGAAGAATGTATCATGAGTCCCTTCATTTCCAAGTAATCAGGGGGGCCTATGTCTCAAGTACAAATGAACGAAAATAAACCAGAGACCTTAATCCAAATTGGGTACAATTCTGCCGGCTGTGTGGAGGTATCGTAAAAAGCCCTCTTTGCTTCGAGGGCATTTTCAGAATTCAAAAGAATTTTGGTGTAAATTCAGGTGGAGGGGGGAAATCGATATCATGACAAAGGAATGATATCCTTCTTTTCCCAGCCATTTTGGAATTAGCTGAATATCCTTTTGGAAATTTGTAAGACAAAAGCAAACAAGAATATCAGGTGTTTCTTTTTGTTTAGGAGATAACTTGGTTAAATACTGTTCTGCTATAATTGTTTTTCAACAAGAATTTTGCTTCTTTGTTCTTTTATTCCCCCCACCCCACCCCACCCCACCAAAAGAAGGTCCTTCAAATGCCAAGGTGGCATTGAAACATGATGAACCCTGTAACCTCCAAGAGTGACTAACATCTAATTTCTCCCTAAAATATCACCCTTGATCTCGAGAACAAAGGAAATGATCACCAGCTGAAGAAATTCTTGATTGGTAAACAAATTCTCCTTGTCAGCACCTCAAACATCAAAATGTTTAGAGAACAGTATGGAGAATATGCCTACTGATGTTTTGGTGTAATGGGTTAACATTATCTACCACGGCTATGTTTTATCATATTTAGTATTAATATTGTTTATTGTATTGTTTTCCTCTAGAGATGTTCATAATTTGTTTCTTGAACTCTCAAACATTTTCTCAGAGGACAGCAATCAACAGAGTAGTAGAGAACTTCTCATGAAGGTCAGTATTGGCTAAAACATTTTAATTTCAGTTATCAGATATACTGCTTTGTTCATGCATTTTGATTGGTCCCTACTCTTTACTACATAACAGAACATCAACTCGGGCTATTTTTGGTCACGTTACTACTAATTAGGATTTTCAGTGGGGATCAAAACTCCTTGGGGCTGTTATTGAAAGCACGCTTTTGGCCAATTCAGGCGTGTACACAGAATCTCCTTCCCACTTCTGACAATTTTGGTTAAAAATTTATTTTTAGTAGCTTACAAAATTCAACATTCTTTGGGGGGGGGGGAGAGGGCGTGTGTATTCTGAGTCAATATTTGGACCTTCGTAATAAAAATTTCTTGGATCTTCACCTGCTCTTTTGGTTTGGCAAGCCACTGATTCTATCATACACCACCTCCTAAACTTTTTGTCCTCGGAAGATTTCATAGAATCTTGAGCGGCTTGAAAGTTTTTTTCTTCTTCGTAACAGGAAGGAACTGCAAAGTGGGCGCAGCCAGAAAGTTCACCAACTAAGAAATTGCCTAATAGTAAGAAACGGAAGTCACGCTTCATGGACCTGGTAAGTGTTTTTATGACGGTCTTACATACCTTTTCATTTTCTTTTGTCGGCAATGCCTAACACAACGGTGATTGTTATTCGTTTCTTGTATCCGCTGCAATATTTATGTCATGGACTCATTTTATACTGATACCCGAAACTACGAGTTGTCCCCTTTCGGCGAAATTGTCGCGCGAGTCGAAAAAAAAAACAAATCAGTGAAAAAAAACCTGATGATGTTAGCGCGCCGTGCAGAACCTGGGAGTGAGGCACACGAAAAGTACACCGGGCGGTCCTCGACGAAAAGCAGGGAGTGCTCGTAGTCTGCTGTACCCTTAAACTGACTGACTTGTAACTTTTTTTAACAATATCAACACATAGTTCAGCAAGCAGTGGATGAAAATATATCAGCTAAGGGGTGATATTATCGGCCAGTCAAATTATTCTAGTGTTTTGTTTAGTACTTTTTAAATTTAATTTCAAAAGGCTCCATGAATGCATTGCCCAAGCGATTTTGTTAAAAACAAAAAAAACAAAACAAAACAAAACAAAAACACTCCCACTTTCAGAGTGCATTCCATTCAATATTTTATATGCTGCGCTGTTTTCAATGTTGCACTTAAAATTTACTCGTCTCTGTTTCAAGCCTCCATGAATGAAATAACTTTAACTGGGTAGCTGTCAGCACATGCATACTTTTGAATTAAACTGTCCTGAATAAGCAGAACGTCATTTGGTAGGCGCAGTCAATATCATAGTTAGACAATCCTAATTTCACGTTGAAAATAGAAACGGGTTCGCTCTTCTTCATGGAGATAGTCAAGTCATTCCGAAGGTATATGACTCAGCTAAAGAGATGAAGATGCGAGTGAAGTAGCTTTGGTAACGGAAGTGTTCATTGTAAATTCATGATTACAATCCTACAAATAGTGAGGGACATCTGCGTCATCATGAGCATGTAAACACTTTTTAGAAGAAAGTATGTCAAAATAAATGCGTACTTGACTCAGCGTGAGATCAAGTTGTACAAGTTGGCTGGATATTGGTTTCATTCCTTCTTTACGACGCCAAAAGATATCGAAAACAAATTTGGGACCTTTTTTTGCGGTTTTCTTTGTTTTGACCAGCGTCAGGTTGTGTTCTGCGTCTCAGCATTGCCATTAAAACTGTCAGAAAGAAGTTTTATTGCTAGATAAGAGATTTCTCAGAGGTTACGATGCATGGAAGAAATTTTTTTTGCGCCGGATCACAGGGAAGGAGTAGGCGAAGAGTGGCAATATAAGCTGACACAGACTATCATCTTAGTCATCGAAAGGTCGTGGTCTTTATTGGATAGCGACTCCAAATCGTGAGACAAGCGATTACATGATCATCATCATGATATCTATGATGGACAGACGAATCTTTCCCGAAAATGATACTGAAACGATTTGTGGTTTGAATCAGATAATTATGTGAAACCATCGCAAGTGGTTCATTCAAACTCGTCATTGAAGGGTTTTAAAAGTTTATTTCCCTCCCGCCGCGATTAGCTTCGTTATTTTGCGGATAGGGATTGTTACATGTGTATTTCAAATTTTAAGGAAATTAAATGTATTATAAGGTGTTTTAGTTGCCGAACCAATTGTCTGGAACAGACCTTCCTACTTGGACGTCACTGGGCCAAGTTCATATTCTTCTTGTTCAATTTGTGGCTGTGTGCATGCGGAGACAGTCATCGACCCAGAAGATAAGATACGGCGAAACTCTCTCCTGAATGTAGAATTCATTCCTGCATATATGACGGGATTAACAGTGTTTGAAATGTAAAGAAAAAACATGCACAACAGTTCCAAATTTCTTGGCATGTGTGATACTAATGAAAAACGTCTTATTATGACTATGACCCAGAAAGGAATCCAAGAAACCAAAAAGGTAAAAACAACAATGAATAGCGACCTGCTCAGTCGAATTTCTTGAATGGAAATGCGCGCGTCGTTCCTTCTGAGTCCTCTCAACGCGGGAGAAATCCCTGTCAGATGTTGACGAACAACTTTTAGAACTCTCGAGTAACCAAAAGTTGTGGCAACCAAAGGGATGATAAGAAAAAGTGTTAAAACTATTATGTAGTGGATGAACTTGGCACTTTCCCCAAGGTGTTTGAGAGAACATTGCGCATAGCCAGGCACAAACTCAAAGTCTTGCAATTTGGCCAGTTTTGGAATTGCGATGTAACAAGCCACAAACAACCAGAGGAAGAGAACCCATAAACGAGACTTTCTGGGTGAAAATATTTTCTGGTAGGTTGTGTTTGGTCTGCACATACGAACATATCGGTTCACAGCTGTTAAACCCATGGTTGCCGGTGAGACGTAGATGACGAAGATACTCATGAAGGCGTGAAATTGGCAAATGGTTTCTCCAAGCAACCATTTTCCTGTGAAGAGTATTATTTCACTGAGAGGCATCACAAAGACAGCGGAGAGCAAGTCGCTCACAGCCAATGCTATGATATAAAGATTAGTGGGGGTGCGTAATCTTGGATTTCTGTAAACAGATAAGCATACCATGATATTTCCTGTCAGTGACAGGATGTTTAAAACGACCAAAGAGGAGCCTTCGAAGATAACCAGTGCTAAACTTCTTGATGCAAGATCGTCGGCCATCTTAGGTAACTGCACTTCCTTGTCTCAGTTGTAGCTAACAGTGAACACAACGAGACTCTGGCTAAAAATCAAGTCAAAATGCTGATATATGGCCCGAAGCACTATTGCTGCCCATCAAAAACCGGAATACCGGCCAATATTTCCATATAAAGAAACCGCCCGAAAAACCGATCTTAGGCCTGAGGGATAGAAAAGGCAAAGACCTTACAACAAGTGGAAACAGCTCTTTTTGAGTCATAAAACCGATATTCGGTTTCGGATATCATGAGAAAATCCTAAATATGGGCATGGTAAATATAGGCACGTTAAGGAGTGCTTGTCGAAGTAAGGTCTAATAAAAACAGGAAATATCTGCCTCTCGCTAAAATTAGTAAATCTGGGAATAACTTTGGCTGAGGCGCTCTTGAACTACATTCCTGTGTTCTGGTTTAGTGCTGTTTCCTCTCATTTATATTTAGAGATGTTTTTTGCTGTAAATATCTTAAATTAAAATAATGAAATTTAATTTAAATAATGTGTTTATGACTGTTTGTATTTTGTAAAACTACTTTGTAATTAAACTGCGAAGCGTAGCAAATTGCTCAATGATATCGTCCTCGAGGCGATAAGCGCTGGTTTTCATTCAAGTTGTGCAACAAGGCAAGTTGTGCTTTCAGCCAAACGTGACTGAAATGAAACGAAGACCTAAAGATTTCTCAAGTGTTTCAGGTTCTAAGTTGAAGCGTTTAAAAACGGAAGTGACTTATTTCCATCAGTATTTTTGATTTTTGTAAATTGTAACTCGGACATTGTTTATGAACCAGTATTATGGAATGAAAGATAATTACAGTCAGAAACACAATCGTAGTAGTTATAATAATTGAAAAGTCAACCTAGACTGAACTCGAACCCATAATAGTCGGGCGATATTTTTGCAACTGAGATAGTGAAACAACTGTGAGGAAGTGATCTGTGTATCTCAGTTTTCGAAATACGCGCGTGAAGGGTGAATACAGCAAAAGTGAATCAATCGAAATGATATATTTCAATTGCGGAATAAAGATGCTCTTAGACTGATACCATTTAACTGAAGCTAGAGACGAAATCGAAGTAGTTGTGAAAATGAAGGCGGAAAACACCATTCGACAGTGTGATATAACCAATACTTAACAAGCCAACTGGAAGCTTGTCACGATAACAACTCTTTATTTCTTTTAACGAAAGATTTCGAGGATATTTTAACTTTTTTCCTCTCTTGGGGTTTTCACACTCCGAAGCAATACTCGATCACTCGAGCAAAACTGTGAGACGTACTGACAATTACAATTTGAGGCGGTACGTCTGCTATTACTGATGCAATTTTCCGATAGTAATCTTGATGACTGACCATGGTAAAGAGCAAGTACTCAACTTTCCATTTGACTTAAAAGAAAGCCGATCCTCGATGATGATGATGATGATATTGATGATATTGCGATAAGCACATAACTACTTCCCAATTAAATGGCAATTAATTGGAGTTCTCGTCGTTTCGAGTTACCTTCCCGACAACAACTCGAAAATAAAATATTTACTCTGAAAATGGCAGAAAGTTGTTTTATTAAACTGCCGACATTGGACGATAATACTCGTAAACAGCCGATTGTTACGGAGTTACTTACTGAGGAGTCTCTATAGAGATTTTACTTGCTCCAAAGACACAAATTTTGTGTGCACGAGCTGGAAAATCCGGAAAACAGATTTTGACCGAATTCAGAAAACGAAAACCTGAATTCCTCTCCCTTATTTTTGTAAGATGTTTGTACATGGATATTTTTTTCCTTTTTAGGGAATTATCCAAGGAACAGTTCCATACTTGGGCACATTTCTAACCGACCTAATGATGTTAGATGCCGCTTATGCAGATTTCACTGAGGTGAGAGGAACTGGGCATCATCATTCCTCCCCATTACTTAAGCCACCTTATTACGTAAGCCACCTCCCTCTCCCCGGCTCTTTTACAAATTAAATGTTGGACTGGACTCTGGACTCTGGACTCTGGATCTAGGGTCAGAATGGGTGTTAGGCGAGAAACACAGCGCTCGAAGTAGTCATCCCCAATCTAGCAACTGTTAAGGAAATCTGGGAAATTGCAGTGCGGGGGAGGGTGGGAGTTGGGAGGGGTGAGGTTTGTGTTGTACCAGTGTCGTGCCTTTCACTCGGACTTGTACTCGGTCGACACTTTTTTTTTCCTATCTGGAAAGGGAATCTTGGGAAAGATGTGGCTTTTTCTTCTTTCCTTGCCTTGATGCAACGCGAGCTCGCTAATCCTTCCTATCAATCAGTGCGCAAATAAGAAAAAGCTGGGTACGAGTCTGCCTTTCACTTGAATTGTATGCGGACTTACTTAACTCCACAGTATACAAACGTATTTTTACCTTTTACATTCCCTTAAAATGTGAACAAAGTCATGAATTTCCCAATGACGTTTTGCTTTCTTTTCCTAGGATGGCTTGATCAATTTTGAGAAAAGAAGAAAGGTAAGTTGAATATAGATGTTTGCTTTTATGTAAGCCTTCTGAGAGTTACAATTGATTTGTGTGTACTTTTAACCCAACAGGAGTTTGAAATAATCGCTCAAATAAAGCTGCTTCAAGAAGCGGCAAAGAACTACATAATCGTTCAGGATGAAAAATTTCGACGTTGGTTTGATAACATCAAGACATTTACAGAATCAGAGAGGTTAGTTTACGTGGTAAATCGTTGTTAGGATAGAAATGGATCTGCCAGGAGAACTGGGTCGAGTTCACGAAATTGAGGCTAACCAGGAAAACGTTCTGGAAGAAACTCGTGAAACTCTTCTTTTTTTAGCTGCTCGTATTACGAAGTCCCATCGTAAAGGAAAAAAAAACTTTTAAAAGAGAATAGAAGCCGAAAAGGAAAAATCAAACCACGGGAGAAAAAAAAAAACCATGATTGTTCGCCTGTGTTCTTTTTCCACTCAAATCTTACTAGCAAACCTCGACTTGATGTACTAGACGATCAAACGTATCGAACACGGGCTATTGAAGTATGGACGAGAGGAGCTGGGTCGAGAACCTGCGTGGCACAACTGTCTGATCTAAGTCTTCTCTCGCCCAAAGCTTACGCTCCTCGCTTGCTCTATATCGAGAGAAAGCAGACTGTTAGTGATATATACTGTAGAAGCTAACGTATGTCGACTGCAAGGTTGAATCTTGTGCTTCAGAGATAAAGTGTGTTCATAAACTGACTGGAAAACTTACTAAAAGAGGCGGACCCAAATCACAATTATAGTAAAATGGGCGGGCAGCCATCATTTAATGACTAACAGTTCATTCATTCATGATTCATTTTGTATATTTTGGTACTTTCCTCAGCTACCACTTGTCTTGTAAAGTTGAACGAGTGGAATTAAAGTATACGAAAAAGAAGAAGGAAAATAAAATAAGGTATGCATCCGATTTTGCTGTAAACTATCCCCTCAAGCCTCTAATAAAAGAGAAATATGAAGAGTTTAACTTCTCCAATTTTAACAATCATCGTTCGTTTTTGGTTTATGCTATAAAGCCAGCCTCTTCCCAGGTTTCCTTCTTAAAAATGTTAAGCCTGAAGCGTTCCGGGCAGTTTGAATCGTCTGTATCCTTACAATTCTCTTTTCTATCTGAGTTACCTTACCATGGTATCTAGGGTGTTTTCCTACCTCAGTGAACGGCTTTTGCAATCTTTACTTAATCGCAATATACAATTGAGTGTCGAAAGTGATGCAGGATTGGATAGGCTTTCTATTTCTTTTCTCCGATTGGTCGAGAAGAATCGCGCCTCCTCCACTATCATTCAAATGCAAAAAATACTGGATTCAATCGCGTCTTAGTCTTAAGCGTTTTTCCGCATTTCAGCCAGGTTTTGTGTTTTTACTCTGAGTTTCCATTTCCTCTTTGCGATATTTTCCTTTGTCTTGATTAACCGCTGTAATTTCTTAGATCTTTGGTTATACGACACTTGTTTGAAACGCGCTCTGTTCTCAGTGACGCTTAAAATGGCTCAAAATCTCTTCACGTAGTCCCTTTCAGCAAAAATTCGTTCAGAGAAATTTTCAATCGAGTGTCGTAAGTAAACTGCGATTTCATTGGTTTTGCTTTACTGCGCTCTGTAATTGGCTCAATGCACTTTCGCCACTCTCTTTACCAATCAGATGCAAAAACTGAAACCAATCACGACTTGGTTTCACTTTAAGGTCTCATTGGCCCCTAGAGTATTTTCCTTTCTTCTGATTGGTCGTCATGATTGCTCTGGTTTTGGTTTTATAACACTCGGTCGAAAAGTGCTCTAGGTAACGTCAGTTGTTGCTATTAATTTGTGTGGCAGACGGATGCTCAGTGAACCAGACATCAGCAAATTGAATTTACTGACGCAAATCTCATCACAAAGTCTCTCTCCTCCTCCTGCTGATAAACAGTGCAAATCCAATGAAAACTCTCCTGTCATGGCTCGTCACAAAAGAAATGTAAGTACAACTTTGGTGAGTAAGTCTGTTTGTTGTTTTTTTTTTCTCTTGTTAACTCTTAACGCCCCAACATCAGTATGCATATTCTCCATACTGTTCTCCATACATATCCTAAAGCAATGGCGAGGAGAATTTGTCTAACCATCGGGAACCTCTTTGGTTTGTGATTTTTTTTTTCCTTTATTCTCATGACCTTAATGTTTGATATAGGGGTGATACTGTTGGGAGAAATAATTTTGACTGAGGGGGAGGGGTTAGAGGAGGCTCCGTGATGTAATTATTATGATCAATAGTCTCCCCTTTATACTCTGTTGGTGATGACTGATTCCCCGTCCGTTCCCCCCGAAAACCATGTGATCCCCTCGAAAATCCTCCTATCCCCCCCTCCCCAGCCCTCCCGCCCCCTTGGTGTGAGAAATAATGACTGGTCCTCAACCGTAACCCTGAATTTTTCGTTTCAAAATGCTTCGCGGGAAATGTTTCTGTAAGCCTCGACCTCGTGTGCTAGACCCAGGTCTCTTAGCCCGCGTCTAGTCATATTGAATAGGGTCAACCGCCTGACTGACCGACTTGTTGCCTCACAGAACTCCGGCTCTTCCTCTTCCTCCACGTCCTCCGGTGTGTCATCAGGATCAGATACGTCCTCGGTGCCAAAAAACTTTTCATTCTCCCTTCCCCGGTCACAGTTTGCTGGCTTGCCAATTGGCTGTAGGTCACCCCGCCTACCCAAGTCTAGAGGAGGTGTTTCGCGGAGGTCTTTACCAGAACGACCGCGTCTTCCTCAGACGCCTCCTCCGGACAGTCCTTCCAATAGATCTGCACATGCTGGCTGTATTATTCGGGTCAGCATCGACGGACTGGAAGATACAAAATCTGGTGCTGGTGTTATCTACAAAGGGATTTGGGTAAGAATGTTACAAAGAAGAAACATTTTTGAAATTAAAAGCGCAAATCAATAAGACAACTCATTATTTAACTTAGCTCCCCTGTTCTATTTTAATTTTGACTCATTGTTTTTTTTTTGCGTTTTTTGCTTAATTAATATTCCAAAATGTTTTAGAAAGAAATTCTGAAAAATTCATAGAAATACCCTGACGGAGCTGTCAAATATTTATATTGCTTTGAACGTGAATTGGTTGTTTTTAATAGATATGACGGTTTGTCGAGACAGACTGTTAACCAACTAAGTCCCAAGGTCCAATCAGTAATTCTTCTACTTACTGCCATACTTTTCAATATTAATTTAACAGGAGAGTTTGGCCGTATTTCAAAATTAAACCTTCCAACAAAAAAAAAATTTGTCTGCTGTTCTCTTAACCTGTTCTTCCTCTGGTTGTTAACAGCTTTCGGATGACGAGCGAACACCTGCTGTCATTCGATCGTGTTTGGAGAGACGAGAAATGAAGGGAGATCCAAGCAAGTATTTCCTTGTTCAAATTCTTGATAATGAAGGTAAGTCTGAGTTTAAATGGGTGAACAGCTTGAACTCTTTTGAAGCTCGCGCTATGTTCGCACTCAGATCTTGCGCGGTCAAAAACCCTCTGGAGTCTCCTTAAAGACATCAAGACTCAAACCAGACTTACCTGTTATTCCCTTACCTTGATTTTCTGATTTGTTTTCATTTGCAGGCGAACTAGTCATACCAGACAATGCGAATGTGTACTACGCCCTGAATTCAAGTATGGAATCTTTGCTGTTCAAACTCAAGAAAAAGGCAGATGAAAAGCCGAGCTGAGGTATGTTTTCGAGTTTGTTTCCTTGTTTATTGTGAAGTTGCGTTTTACAAGCATCGTTTCGACAAGCTGAACTGAAGAAGGACAAGTTCTTATTTGTGAAAATCATTGAAATGGCCGGTGAATACTTTCGCCTTTGTCGTAAATGAAATTTCCGGGAAACGTTTTATTGTGACAATGTAAAGTTGTTAATTAAACAATTTTTTTCTCGTGTAGTTGTCAGAAAAAGGGTCAGGCAGTGTGGTATTTCATAAACCTCATTTATATCCCATTCACTCCACGGCTAAAATACGTTTTGAATTGTTTTGCTGATAGAAAGGGCTTAAACTGATGTTTATCGACTTCACATTTTGCTCAATTGAAATAGAATGAAGTGATTACTCGAACCAGTCTTCCAGTTTTCTAGTGATATTTTTAATTAGTCCAAACTAGTGGAACTGAACATGTTCTGCCGTCGTGAGTGGGGCTTAGTTACTCAATTATGCCTGAGTTGAAGATCTCTGGTGTCATGTTTGCTATTCGATAAAAAATCAACATCTCATTTATAAAATGTGCATGATTTTTTTTGAACTTCCACTAGTAACTTTTAACTCCACTAGTATTAGAGTAAATTATTACTTTACAATCTTTTAATGTATGTCACTATGGCAATATTACAATCTTTTTCTCACAATCATATAATACAGTAATATTACAATTATTTGATACAGTTTTTTTGTCCCCATTCAGCCTCCCCATTCAGCCTCCCCACCAGCCTCCCCCACCACACCCACCTGGTGGAACTGGTGGAACTTAAAACATGTACTGCCGTTGTGAATGGGGCGTTAGTTAATCAATTATGCCTTAGTTATAGATCTCTGGTATCGTGTTTGCTATTCGATAAAATATCAACATGTCATTTATAAAATGTGTATGATTTTTTATTAACTTCAGAATTAACGGATGGAAAAGTGACATCTTATGACAGGATTAAGATATGTTTTTATCCACTTCCTTGTCAGCCATCCCTGCAGATTGCCGATGCTGAATGAGGTTCTCGCCTCGCAAGGAATAGAAACTCTTTGACCAAGAAGTTGCTACGAGGTGCCCGACATTTCACAATTTTCGCCAGAAGCAATTCATCCGTACACAAATTTCCGGCCAATCGTCCCCCGAGCGGTAACAACTTCAGAACAATATGATGCAAGAGCGCATTGTGATTGGCTAGTCAAATGTGCACCTGATTTTTGCTAATATTTGCTGGGTTAGCATTTTATGCGCATGCGTTCCAATGCTCTGTTGATCATACACAATTTTTGTAAATAAATTTTAAAAATTAAATGATCTTACGTCAGCCCAGAAATGTATTTTTAGGATTTAGTTAAATCTCATAAACAGTTCTAAGATAATCGAGGTAGATAATACATTTCTAATTGTATTTTATGGAAAAGAGACATAAATCTAAATTTTTACGTTGGTATTTTGTAAATCGTTTTTGAATTGCTCTATACATATATTTTTTTTTCAGTTGTGAATGTGTTTATCCAGAAGCCATAGAGAAGACGAAGTTTTAATGGTTTTCTAAAGGTTTTTGAAATGCAGTTTGCCTGATTAGGATAAAATTTCGCCGCAAAAGCTTCATTTGCCTGTTGAGATTTGCCAACTAATCAATGATGTGGACCTTGAAAAAAAAAAAATTTGACCAATGGAACCTAAAACATTTAAGAAATTCACGAGAAAAACAACACTATAAGTAGGGAAGTTATCGTGCAATGTTTCCATTTCTATGTGCTCTTCCTCAGCAATTGGTTTAACAATCTTCTTCTTCGTCTACGATTTTTTTAGTACAAAAAATTTTATTGAAGAGTGCAGTTTGTGACTGATAGCTGAATCGAGCGACAAAATATATATCTATTACGGCAACTGAAAAAGTTCAATATTATTGGGGTTTTTTAGTTTTATTATTATTTTAATAGACAAATGAGAATTAAACCTTTAAATGCAAATGCCTGGGTTGGTTTCTTATATGTAAATTGTTATTGTTATCATTATTATTTTCGTCTTTGTTATTATCGTCATTATTATTATCATTATTTTGAAAATCCAAATCCTATCTACTTTCTTCGTCGCTAATAGAAATATCTTTTTCAATTTTGATGTAATAATGCAAAATAAATTATATCATAATGATTTTAGATATATGAAATTCATATATTTGCACTGCGGTGAAGAAACGAATTTAAGAGATCTTCGCAGTTAAGAACACTACTGAACTAGTAGTTGAAAATAGGACCTGAAGAAAATTCAAGTCCATACGGGATTTGAACCCATGACCTCTGCGATACCGGTGCAGCGCTCTACCAACTGAGCTAACAAGCCAACTGGGAGCTGGTGAATATGTTAGGTCCAAATAAACCATCCAAGTGATGGATAATGATTTTAGATATATGAAATTCATATATTTGCACTGCGGTGAAGAAACGAATTTGAGAGATCCTCGCAGCTAAGAACACTACTGAAATAGTAGTTGAAAATAGGACCTGAAGAAAATTCGGGCCCTTAGGGGATTTAAATCCATCACGTCTGCGATACCGGTGCAGTGCTCTACCAACTGAGCTAGCAAGCCAACTGGGAGCTGGTCAATATGTTGGGAGAAAACGAGGGAGAAAATATAAAATGCTACATAAATAAAATTTTTTAATAGATATTATGAACTTCGTCATCGTTATTATTACTACTTTAATTTTACTATTATCGTTATTATTGTGATTTCTTGCCGTAAATACTTTTTGTGAACTCGAATCCTTGTTTAGGAATTTTCGCCAGCCGATGATCTGCGATTTTATTTGCTGAACCATTTCTACAAATATAAACTTTGTTTTCACAAACTAATTTCTTTTACCAGGGAGTTACAGAGAAGCTGAGGCAATTGGCAGTCAATTAAATATTGTAATAACTTCACAGATCTCTTTGCAGTTGTAAGGGAAAAAAATTACAGCATTAGTGCAGTCTTTTGAAGATTTCCTATTTTGTCTTCAAAGAATCCAAGACTCCTGTGAGACTATTTCCTAGTGTTACATGAGCACCTTCTTCAAACCCATAAATGGTAGGGTTTTGTTTATCGCCGGAGCTCACCAGAAAAATTATGTCTTGTTCGACGTTTGAATTAGATTATTATGTGGAACTGTCGCAAGTTGTTCATTCAAATTTGTCATTGAAGAATTTTTAATGTTTATTTCCATTCCGCCTCGGTTAGCTTCGCTATTTTGTGGGTAGGGATAGTTACATGTGTATTTCAATTATCAAGTAAAATAATTTCATTGTAAGGTGTTTTAGTTGCCGGACCAATTGTTTGTAACAGACCTTGTTACTTAGATGTTACTGGGCCAAGTTCATGTTCTTGTTGTTCATTTTGTCGCTGTGTGCATGCGCACAAAGACATCGACCCAGAAAATAAGATACGGCGAAACTCGCTCCTGAATATAGAATTCATTCCGGCATATATGAGTGGATTGACAGTGTTTGAAACGTAAAGGAAAAACATGCACAACAGTTCCATATTTCTTGGCATGTGTGATACTAATGAAAAACGTCTCATTATGACTATAAACCATAAAGGAACCCAACATGCCAAAAAGGTAAAAATAACAATGAATAGCGACCTGCTCAGTCGAATTTCTTGAATGGAAATGCGCGCGTCGTTCCTTCCGAGTCCTCTTAACGAGGGAGAAATCCCTGTCAGATGTTGACGAACAACTTTTAGAACTCTCGAGTAAGAAAAAGCTGTAGCAACCAACGGGATGACAAGAAAAAGTGTTAAAACAATTATATAGTGGATAAGCTTGCCGCGTTCCCCAAGGTGTTTGATAGAACATTGCGCATAGCCAGGCACAAATTCAAAGTCTTGCAATTTGGCCAGTTGCGGAATTGCGATGTAACAAGCCACAAACAACCAGACGAGGAGCACCCATAAACAAGACTTTCTATGTGAAAATATTTTCTGGTAGGTTGTGTTTGATCTGCACATACGAACATATCGGTTCACAGCTGTTAAACCCATGGTTGTCGGTGAGATGTAGATCACGAAGAGATTCATGAAGGCGTGAAATTGGCAAGTGGATTCTCCAAAAGACCATTTTCCTGTGAAGAGTATTATTTCACTGAGAGGCATCACAAAGACAGCGGAGAGCAAGTCGCTCACAGCCAATGCTATGATGTAAAGATTAGTGGGGGTGCGTAATCTTGGATTTCTGTAAACAGATAAGCATATCATAATATTTCCTGCCAGTGAGAGGAGGTTTAAAATGACCAAAGAGGAGCCTTCTAAGATAACCAGTGCTAAACTTCTTGATGCAAGATCGTCGGCCATCTTAGGTAACTGCGCTTCCTTGTCTCAGTTGTAGCTAACAGTGAACACAACGAGAAAAAGCAGCACACTGCTAAAAATCAAGTCAAAATGCTGAGATATGGCCCAAAGCGCTATTGTTGCCCATCAATATTTCCATTTAAAGAAACCGAAAAACTGATGTCAGACCTGAAAGAAAGAATGGGTAAAGACCTTTAAAAAAGCGAAAACAGCTCTTTTTGATTCATAAAACCGATATTCGGTTTCGGATATTATGACAAAATCATTAATATGGGCATGGTAAACATAGGCATGGTGAGGAGCGCTTGTCGAAGTAAGGTCTTATATCACCCAAACCGCAACGATTCGTCAAAGGTAGTGCGAATCGTTCTACCGGAAGTCGATTCGCGGTTAATGCGTCCCGTTATACCGGAAATATGATAAACTATCTCTCATTAGATGGAAACGCAAACAGGAAGCCAATTAGCTAGACACAGAAAATAAAAAAATTTAAAAATAATGAAATTTAATTCAAATAATGTGTTTATGACTGTAAGGGCTGGTTTTTTATTCAAGTTGTGCAACAATGCAAGTTCTGCTTTTAGCCAAACGTGACTGAAATGAAACGTAGACCGAAAGATTTCTCAAGTGTTTCAGGCTCTAAGCTGAAGCATTTAAAGTCGAAAGCGACTAATTTCCATCAGTATTTTTGAGCTTATGGTATATTGTAACTCAGACATTGTTTAAGAGCCAGTATTATGTACTGAAAGATAATTACAGTCAGAAAAACAACTGTAGTAGTTTTAAAAATTGAAAAGTCAGCCCTAAATGGCAGAAAGTTGTTTTATTAAACTGTCGACATTGGACGATAATACACGAAAACAGCCGATTGCTAGAGCTACCCACTAAGGAGTTTCCATAGAGATCTTACTTGCTCCAAACACATGTTTGCACGAGCTGGATAATTCGGAAAACTGATTTTGACCGAATTCAGATAACGAAAACCTGAATTCCTCTCTCTTATTTCAGTGAGATGTTTGTACATGAATATCTTTTTCCTTTTTAGGGAATTATCCAAGGAACAGTTCCTTACTTGGGCATATTTCTAACCGACCTTATGATGTTAGATGCTGTCTATCAAGATTTCACTGAGGTGAGAGGGACTGGGCATCATCATTTCTTCTTATTAAATAAGCCACCTTATTACGTAAGCCACCCTCCTTTCCCCGGATATTATTCTGGCCGTAAACCGGAAATTCACAATAGGCACTTCGTGGACATAGCCTGGGAACGAGGTTGAATTTTGGCATCGAATGTATTCAGGCTTGAAGTGCTGGGCCGCGCATAAACAATAACCGAGCTTGTTACAGTTTACACTTACTGAGTAAAATTTAAAATATCTATTTAAAGCACTAACCTAATACTGTAAAAGTCACTGCTACATATCTTTAATTTCAACCAGTCGAAAAACTTGCAGTCCATAAAATGCCTTCTGTGGTATATCGTTCCGAGGCAGAAACCTTCAGAGGTTTGTTATTAGATGTAAGCGGGAGAAAACTTTCTAAACAAAGATCATCACGTTCAAGTGCAAATATTTATGGAGCGACTGTGAGGCGAAACTTGACTTAGGAATGGAAAATAGGGGAATTTGGCTCGTGCAGACAGATAGAGAATTGAATCGCAGCGTTAAAATTTGATAAATTTTGCAACCGGAAATTTGATAAACGCAGGATTCTATTTAGTACTGGTTTTGAAGAACGCCCGAGGTATGCGTTTATTATTCGCGGAGTTGGATGGTTACCATCATTCTGGATTTCTCCGTGACTCAAGCTAAGTCACAAAGTGATTTATTCCTTTTCTGTTGACTCTACCGCGGCACTTACGTTAGTCCCCGCATTCCATCTAGCGATTTTAGTATTTCCAATTTGTCATGGCAAATTTTCCTTGAGACTTTTTTAAGATTAGGACTTTTTCCAAAGTCTTAATCTCCATAACTCTCCATGTTAAGTAAACAATGAAAAGCACCCAACAGCGATTTTTGCTAAAAACCGCAACGCCTTCAATTCGTTCCCTCTGAACCGCAACTCCGGCCAGAATATAGCCTCCGTGTAGCCCCTTGTTTTACGCATTAAATGTTGGACTGGACTCTGGATCCAGGGTCAGAGTGGGTGTTAGGCGAAAAACACAGCGTTCGAAGTAGTCATCCCCAACCTAGTAACTGTTAGGGAAATTTGGAAAATTGCAGTGCGGGAGAGGGTGGGAGTTAGGTGGGTGAGGTTTGTGTTGTAACAGTGTCACGCCTTTCACTCGGACTCGTACTCGGTCGTCACTCTTTTTTTTTTCCTCTCTGCAAAGGAATCTTAGGAAGGAGGAAGAAAAGTGGCTTTTTTTGTCCTTCCTTACCTTGATGCAACGTGAGCACGCTAATCCTTACTATCAATCAGTTCGAAAATAAGAAGAAGCGACTGGGTACGAGTCTGGCTTTCACTGGAATTGTATGCGGACTTAACTTCACAGTTTACAAACGTATTTTTACCTTGTACATTCCTTAAAATGAGAACAAGATCACGAATTTCCCAAAGAAATTTTGCTTTCTTTTTCTAGGTGGGTTGATTAATTTTGAGAAAAGAAGAAAGGTAAGTTGAATGTAGATGTTTGCTTTTTATGTAAGCCTTCTTAGAGTAAAAATTGATTAGAGTGTACTTTTAACCCATCAGGAGTTTGAAATAATCGCTCAAACAAAGCTGCCTCAAGAAAGAAACTACATAATCGTCCAGGATGAAAAATTTCAACGTTGCTTTGATAACATCAAGACATTTACAGAATCAGAGAGGTTAGTTTACGTGGTAAATCGTTGTTAGGATAGAAATGGATCTGCCAGGAGAACTGGGTCGAGTTCACGAAGTTGAGGCTAACCAGGGAAATCTTCTAAAAGAAATATCGTGAAACTCTTCTTTTTTTAGCTGCTCGTATTACGAAGTCCCATAGTAAAGGCAAAAAAAAACTTTTAAAAGAGAATAGAAGCCGAAAAGGAAAAATCAAACCACGGGAGAAAAAAAACCATGATTGTTCGCCTGTGTTCTTTTTCCACTCAAATCTTAGATCTCGCCAAGATCTATATCTGAGCATGCGTAAACTTTCGCGATCTGTCGCCTTTTGGCAATCTTTCCCGCGGTGTTTTCTTTTCAGTTGACCTCTTTTTCAGGCGTAGAAGGCCTATGAACATTACGAGTGCAGTTGCTGGAAACCCTAGATTCCAACATATAAAAACTGTATTGTGTTAAACTGTTTTAAACATACCTTTTCAGATAACAATCGTGCAATCGTATTGTGCCGCCATGTTTGTTTTGCACATTGACTCTTTTGAAGCTCGCGCTATGTTCGCACCCAGATCTTGCGCGGTCAAAAACACTATGGAGCCTCCTTAAAGACATCAAGACTCAGACTAGACTTCCCTGTTATTCCCTTGCCTTGATTTTCCGATTTTCTTTCCTTTTGCAGGCGAGCTAGTCGTACTAGACAATGTGAATGTGTACTGCGCCCTGAACTCAAGTATGGAATCTTTGCTGTTCAAACTCAAGAAAAAGGAAGATGAAAAGCCGAGCTGAGGTATGTTTTCGAGTTTGTTTCCATGTTAATTGTGAACTTGCGTTTTACAAGTATCGTTTTGACAAGCTGAACTGAGGAAGGACAAGTTCTTATGAGTGAAAATCATTGGAATGGCCACTGAATACTTGAGCCTTTGATCGACGCTTGTAAATGAAATTTCCAGGAAACGTTTTATTGTGACAATATAAAGTGGTTAATTAAATAATTGTTTTCTTGTGCATTTGTCAGAAAAAGGGTGAGGCAGTAAAGTATTTCATAAACCTAACTTATACCCAATTCACTCTACAGCTGAAATACGTTTTGAATTGTTTTCTTGATAGAAAGGGCTTAAATGTTTGTCGACTTCACATTTAGCTCAACTGAAATAGAATTTGGTGATTATTCGAACCAGTCTTCCAGATTTATGGTGATATTTTATTTAGTCCCAGTTGGTGGAACTAAACATGTTCTACCGTTGTGAATGGGGCTTAGTTACTCCATTATGCCTGAGTTGTAGATCTCTGGTGTCGTGTTTACTATTCAATAAAATTTTAACATATCATTTATAAAATGTGTATGATATTTTTTTAACTTTAACTAGTAACTTTTTACTTCACTAGAATTACATCGAGAATAACACATGGGCGCGCGTAGATATGGACTTTCTCTCCGAGTGTTTAACTCGATAGCTCACGAGTGAGCGTAGGGAACGAGTGAGATGTCGGGTTGAACACGGGAAGGGAAATTCCATATCTACAAGCAAACATGTATTATTTTGTTTATCATATAAACACAATAGCCCTTTACTGAGAAGAAAAGCCGACTTCATTAATGAATGAAAATAAATGAATCGACAATCCCCGAATAACAATCGTAGAGTGCGTTGGCGCTGACTCTTAAGATGGAAAAATGCGTTGAATTGTGATTACAAAAACAACAATGGTCGTAATTTTCAATTTACAAAATTCTCATTTATTGACTTTGTCCTTACCGACAAAAGAAGTCTTTCAGGTAAACGGCCAAAATCGGTTAGTAGCAAATCTCCCAGTTGTCGATTTTCATTCTCAGACAAGAGAAATGCTTTTCATCAAGAAATGGGCCAGGGATTTTCCACAATAGTGCAAATAATCGTGAAGGCTGATCGCGGAAAAGCGATTGCATGACGCTCGGTCAGCTGTAAGATGACATGATATTATACGCCAGACGTAAGAACTCTTCAGATTCTCAGTCTGCATTTTGTACCCACTCTGTAGTCTGCAGTCTATATTTTGTATCCGGTCTGCAGTCTGCTGTCTGCATTTTGTACTAACAGGTATCCGTGGCACCAATACAGTTTATTTTTGGTTACAGTTATTCGCAAAACACACATAATCTACCACAAAATACCTGTGTGTGAGGTAATTCGACAGTTTCGTTCTTTTCCGCGTTAATACTCTTCTTCCCTTTTGTAAGAATGTAGACCACTTACCAGAGATTCCAACCCTCCCGATTTGATCGGGAGTCTCCCGATTTGATGTCTTGCCTCCCGCTCTCCCGATTTTTACCAAATTCTCCCGATTTATCATAAAATTCTGAAAACTAGGGGAAAATTGCTAATCTTTAGAATTTTTGGCGATCTGTCACTGCGAAACACTCATATTATACTTACTTTCTTCGCGAAGAGCATTATGGTATGTTATAACTCAGGCCGGAATGATGTCAAAATTCAGGAAATGGCACTTGAGAGAACCTAAATTTGCAAAATTTCCCGGGGGCATGCCCCCTGACCCCCCTAGAAGCTCGCGCCTTTGGCACCAATAATTACTCCCTATTTTCCATCACATGGGGTTGGAATCTCTGACTTACAATGTTTCAAGTAATTAACCCACCCTACAAAAAATAACTCTTGCATGCATAGCATGCCTATGTTTTGAAATAGGTGTATGCCTTTGGCCAGACTTGAGCTCACTATTTCAGTATACTATTCCGACACCCGTAGTATCACTACACTTGATTCCAAGGATTCAGTACCATCCAGGTTTCCCAGTTACCCTGCTCACAGGGTCTAGTTAATGTTTATCTCCCTTCCGCCTCGACTAGCTTCGCTATTTTGTGGCTAGGGAATTTTACATGCGTATTTCAATTATTAAGGAAAATAAATTTATCATAAGGTGTTTTAGTTGCCGAACCAATTGTCTGTACAGACCTTGTTACTTAGACGTCACTGGGCCAAGTTCATGTTCTTCTTGTTCAATTTGTTGCTGTTTGCATGCGGAGAAAGTCATCGACGCAGAAGAAAAGATACGGCGAAACTCGCTCCTGAATGTAGAATTCATTCCTGCATATATGACGGGATTGACAGTGTTTGAAATGTAAAGAAAAAACATGCACAACAGTTCCAAATTTCTTGGCATATGTCTTACAAATGAAAAACGCCTTATTATGACTATAACCCAGAAAGGAATCCAACATGCCAAAAAGGTAAAAACAACAATGAATAATGACCTGCTCAGTCGAATTTCTTGAATAGAAATGCCGCGGCGCGCGTCGTTCGTTCTGAGTCCTCTCAACGCAAGAGAAATCCCTGTCGGATGCTGACGAACAGCTTTCAGAATTCTCGAGTAACAAAAAGCTGTGACAACCAAAGGGATGACAAGAAAAAGTGGTAAAACTATTATGTAGTGGATAAGCTTGGCTTTTTCCCCAAGTTGTTTGAGAGAACATAGCGCATAACCAGGCACAAACTCAAAGTCTTGCAATTTGGCCAGTTGCGGAATTGCGACGTAACAAGCCACAAACAACCAGACGAAAATCACCCATAAACGAGACTTTCTGGGTGAAAATATTATCTGGTAGGTTGTGTTTGGTTTGCATATACGAACATATCGGTTCATAGCTGTTAAACCCATGGTTGCCGATAAGACGTAGATCACGAAGCTACTCATGAAGGCGTGAAATTGGCAAATGGTTTCTCCAAACGACCATTTTCCTGTGAACAGTATTGTTTCACTGAGAGGCATCACAAAGACAGCGGAGAGCAAGTCGCTCACAGCCAATGCTATGATATAAAGGTTAGTGGGGGTGCGCAACCTTGGATTTCTGTAAACAGATAAGCATACCATGATATTTCCTGCCAGTGAGAGGAGGTTTAAAATGATCAAAGAGGAGCCTTCTAAGATAACCAGTGCTAAACATCTTGATGCAAGATCTTCGGCCATCTTAGGTAACTGCACTTCCTTGTCTCAGTTGTAGCTAATGGTGAACACAACGAGACACTCGCTAAAAATCAAGTCAAAATGCTGAGATATGGCCCGAAATACTATTGTTACCCATCGTCCAATATTCCATAAAAAGAAACCGAAAAACCTTATCTTATCTTAAAATCTTAGACTCGAGAGAAAGAAAAGGCAATGACCTTACAAAAAGCAAAAACAGCTCCTTTTGATTCATAAAACCGATATTCGATTTTGGATATCATGACATCTAGGCAGTTCGGAAAGCCGCAAAATACTAGAACATGAAAAATTTATCTTCCAAATCGGCACTCTTAATCCCCACGGTATCAACGAGCGCTTTTCATTCAACTAATTTATTCTGGTTTTCTCGTCATCATATTCCCACCAATAGCGTAGCTCCACTTCCTGCATATAAACAAACACACAACCCACAATTCCTCCAATTGCTTTGACGAGGGGCTAACGCTCGAAACGTCAGCTTTTTTACTCTTTACGGGGGCCAATTTATGTCAGTTGTTAACACTAATTACCTTTTTTTTCAGTTGCGTATGTGATTATCTAAAAGCCATAGAGAAGACGAAGTTTTAATGGTTTTCAAAAGGTTTTTAGAATGGAGTTCGCCTAATCAGGATAAAATTTCATTGTAAAAGTGTCATTTGCCTGTTGAGGTTTGCCAACTAATCAATGATGAGGACTTTGGAAAAAATAAATTTGACTAATGGACCTAAAACATTTAAGAAATTCACGAGAAAAAACAACACTAGAAGTAGGGAAGTTATCGGGCAATGTTCCCGTTTCTTTGTGCTCTTTCTCAGTAATTGGTTTAACGATCTTCTTCCTCGTTTGCAATTTTTTGAGTACAAAATTTTTTTATTGAAGAGTGAAGTGTTGGATTGATTGCTGAGTCGAGCGTCAAAATATATATCTACTACGGCAACTGTACAAGTTCTATATTATTGGGGTCTTTTTATTATTATTACCATTTTGATAGAGTAATGAAAATTAAACCTTTTTATGCAAATGCCTTGTTATCTCTATGCAGTTGAAAGAAAAAAAAAATACACCGCCGGTACAGTTTTTTGAGGATTTCCTATTTTGTCTTCAAAGAGTCTTAGACTCCTTTGAGACTATTTCTTAGAGTTACATGAGCACTTTTTTTGAACCCATAAATGGCATAAATGATGAGCTCACCAGGAAAATTGTGTCTTATTCGACATTTGAATTAGATTATTATGCAAAACTTTCGTAAGTTGTTCATTCCAGCTTGTCATTGAAGAATTTTTAATGTTTATTTCCCTTCCACCTCGTTTAACTTCGTTATTTTGTGGGTAGGGATAGTTACATGTGTATTTCAATTGTTAAGGAAAATAAATTTATTGTAAGGTGTTTTAGTTCCCGAAACAATTGTCTGGAACAAACATTGTTACTCGGACGTCACTGGGCCAAGTTCATGTTCTTGCTGTTCAATTTGTCGCTGTGTGCATGAGCACAAAGTCATCGACCCACAAGATAAGATACGGCGAAACTCGCTCCTGAATGTAGAATTCATTCCTGCATATATGACGGGATTGACAGTGTTTGAAATGTAAAGAAAAAACATGCACAACAGTTCCAAATTTCTTGGCAAGTGTGATACTAATGAAAAACGTCTTATTATGACTATAACCCAGAGAGGAATCCAACATGCCAAAAAGGTAAAAACAACAATGAATAGCGACCTGCTTAGTCGAATTTCTTGAATGGAAATGCGCGCGTCGTTCCTTCTGAGTCCTCTCAACGCGGGAGAAATCCCTGTCAGATGTTGACGAACAACTTTTAGAACTCTCGAGTAACCAAAAGTTGTGGCAACCAAAGGGATGACAAGAAAAAGTGTTAAAACTATTATGTAGTGGATGAACTTGGCACTTTCCCCAAGGTGTTTGAGAGAACATTGCGCATAGCCAGGCACAAACTCAAAGTCTTGCAATTTGGCCAGTTTTGGAATTGCGATGTAACAAGCCACAAACAACCAGAGGAAGAGAACCCATAAACGAGACTTTCTGATTGAAAATATTATCTGGTAGGTTGTGTTTGGTTTGCATATGCGAACATATCGGTTCACAGCTGTTAAACCCATGGTTGCCGGTGAGACGTAGACCACGAAGATACTCATGAAGGCGTGAAATTGGCAAATGGTTTCTCCAAGCGACCATTTTCCTGTGAACAGTATTATTTCACTGAGAGGCATCACAAAGATAGCGGAGAGCAAGTCGCTCACAGCCAATGCTATGATATAAAGATTAGTGGGGGTGCGCAATCTTGGATTTCTGTAAACAGATAAGCATACCATGATATTTCCTGCCAGTGAGAGGATGTTTAAAACGACCAAAGAGGAGCCTTCTAAGATAACCAGTGCTAAACTTCTTGATGCAAGATCATCGGCCATCTTAGGTAACTGCGCTTCCTTGTCTCAGTTGTAGCTTAAAGTGAACGCAACGAGAAAAAGCAGCACACTGCTAAAAATCAAGTAAAAATGCTAATATATGGCACTAATGTTGTCCACCAAAAACCGGAATACCGGCCAATATTTCCATATAAAGAAACCGAAAAAACCACGGATCTTACGCTTAAGAGGAAGAAAAAGCAAAGATCTTACAACAAGCGAAAACAGCTCTTTTTGATTCACAAAACCGATATTCGGTTTTGGATATCATGACAAAATCCAAAATATGGGCATGGTAAATATGGCCATGTTGAAAAGTGCTTGTCGAAGTAAGGTCTTATGTAAACAGGAAATGTCTGCCTCTTGCTAAAATTAGTAAATCTCGGAATAACTTTGGCTGAAGCGCTCTTGAACTTCAGTCCTGTTTTCTAGATTCGTTATGTTTCCTCTCATTTATATTTAGAAATGTTTTTTGCTGTAAATATCTTAACTTAAAATAGTGAAATTTAATTTAAAGATGTGTCTATGACTGTTTGTATTTTACAACTACTTTGTATTAAAACTGCAAAGCGTGGCAAATTGCTCAATGATATCGTCCTCGAGGCTATAGGCGCTGGGTTTTATTCAAGTTGTGCAACAAGGCAAGTTCTGCTTTTAGCCAAACGTGACTGAAATGAAACGTAGACCGAAAGATTTCTCAAGTGTTTCAGGTCTCTAAGCTGAAGTATTTAAAATCGAAAGCGACTAATTTCCATCAGTATTTTTGAGCTTTTAGTAAACCAGTATTATGGAATGAAAGATAACTACAGTCAGAAACACAACTGTAGTAGTTTTAGAAATTGAAATGTCAGCCCTAGACTGAAATCGAACCCACAATAGTCGGGCGATACTTTGGCAACTGAGGTAGTGAAACAACTGTGAGGAAGTGATCAGTGCATCTCAGTCTTTGCAATACGCGCGTGAAGGACGAATACAGCAAAAGTGAATCAATCGAAATTATATATTTGAATTGCGGAATAAAGATGCTCTTAGACAGATACCATTTAGTTGAAGCTAAAAACGAAATCGAAGTAGTTGTGAAAATACCATTCAGGCTTGGACAGATTTCGAAGAAAAAACCCTCCTGCGATGTCCACAGTGCGAGATAATCAAGAACTAACAAGCCAACTGGGAGCTGGGGGAGTTGTCACGATAACAACTCTTTATTTTCTTCTAACGAAAGATTTCTAGGATATTTAACTTTTTTCCTCTCTTGTAGTTTTCACACCCCGAAGCAACAATATGATCACTCAGCAAAACTGTGAGACATACTGACAATTACAATTTGAGGCGGTACATCTGCTATTAGTGATGCAATTTTCTGATAATAATCTTGATGAGTGACCATGATAAAGAGCAAGTACTCAACTTTCCATTTGACGGAAAGAAAGCCGACCCTCGTCTTGATGATATTGTGATAAACACATAACTACTTCCCAATTAAATGGCCAATGACAGGACTTCTCGTTGTTTCGTATTACCTTCTCGAAAACAACTCGAAAATGAAAGATTTATTCGGAAAATGGCAGAAAGTTGTTTTATTTAACTGCCGACATTGGACGATAATACACGAAAACGGCCGATTGTTACGGAGTTACTCACTAAGGAGTCTCCATAGAGATCTTACTTGCTCCAAAGACACAAATTTTGTTTGCACGAGCCTGATAATCCGGAAACTGATTTTGACCGAATTCAGATAACGAAAACCTGAATTCCTCTCTCTTATTTCAATGAGATGTTTGTACATGGATATCTTTTTCCTTTTTAGGGAATTATCCAAGGAACAGTTTCTTACTCGGGCATATTTCTAACCGACCTTATGATGTTAAATGCTGCCTATCAAGATTTCACTGAGGCGAGAGGGACTGGGCATCATCATTTCTTCTTGTTACATAAGCCACTACCTTTTCCCGGATCTTATTCTGGCCTTAAACGGGCCAGAATCAGAAATTCGGTTTGGTTTTTCCTCTGCAGGAAAATGCACAATAGGCGCTTCGTGGTAGCTTTTAATTGGCGTAAAGCAATGTGGTGGACATAGCCTGGGAACAAGGTTGAGTTTTGGCATTGAGTATATTCAGACTTGAAGTGCTAGGCCGCGCTTAAACGTTAGCCAAGCTTGTTACAGTTTACTCTTATCCTTCGAGTAAACTTAAAAATATTTATTTAAAGGACAAACCTAATACTGTGAAAGTCTCTGCTGCATATCTTTAATTTCAATCAGTCGAAAAACTTGCGGTCCATAAAATGCCTTCTTTGGTATATCATTCCGAGGCAGAAACCTTCAAAGGTTTGTTCTTAGATGTAAGCGGGAGAAAAAAATGTAAACAAAGATCGTCACGTTCAAGTGCAAATATTTATTGAGCGACTGTGAGGCGAAACTTGATTTAGGAATGGAAAATAGGGGAATTTGGCTCGTGCAGGCAGAGAAAGATTTGAATAGCAGCGTTTAAAGTTGGTGAACTTTTTCAACCGGAAATTTGATAAACGCAGGATTTTATTTAGTACTGGTTTTATGGAACGCCCGAGGTATGCGTTTATTATTTTGCAGAGTTGGATGGTTACCACCATTCTGGATTTCTCCGTGACTCAAGCCAAGTCACAAAGTGACTTATTCCTTTTCTGTTGACTTTGCCGCGGTACTTACGTGAGTCCCCGCATTTCATGTAGCGATTTTAGTATTTCCAATTTGTCATGGCATCAACTTGTTCCAAAGTCTTAATCTCCACAACGCTTCGTTAGTGATTCTGTTTGTTGTTTTTTTTCTCTTGTTAACTTTTAACGCTCCACCATCAGTATGCATATTCTCTATACTGTTCTCCATACATACCCTAAAGCGATGGCGAGGAGAATTTGTCTAACGATCAGGAGCTTCTTGAGTTTGCGATTCTTTTCTTTATTTAAGGGTGATACTGTTGGGAGAAATAAATTTGTTTTAGGAACGGGGGGGGGGGAGGGGAGGAGGAGTAGGGGTCGGAGGAGGCTCCGTTATATAATTATTATGATCGATAGTCTCCCCTTTATACTCTGTTGGCGACGACTGATTCCCCGTCCGTTACCTCCGAAAACCATGTTATCCCCTCGAAAATCCTCCTTCTTATGGTCTACTGTGTCATTGCGTATTTGTGTTGAGGGGAAGAAATGATCTGATCAAAAAGAAAATTAAGGTTTGATTTTGAAAGCTACTATAGTGTACAATGTTCTCTTTTGTCTTTTGGGCAGATACACTAGAATATAATGGCTGTTATGCAGACTTACGGGGATGGGCAAAGGGGGTCGGGGGGCGGGGTGTCAATCAGCAGCGCTCATTGGTTCATATAAACAAATAAGGCCAATTTCTTGTTATGATCTCGGAGTTTTTCTTGACAGAGATGGAGTCGCTTGCAACCCAATGACTTTCGCTATTAAGCTAAGGCTCCTCGAATCAGAGGCGCTCGCCAATGATAATCTGGCTTTGCCTTTGATTTTCACCAATTTTCTTTAAAGAAATCTCATAGTTTTCACATTTTGTGAATTTTGTCCTGCCAATCATTTAAAAGCCGAAAAAATAGGGGTTATAAAGGCAATTTCCTCGCTATTTGCAATTTTGTTTTTTCTTCGTCCATCTCAAATATGGTCGTATAAAATTTTTTTTTATCAACAGGCCGACTAGGAACGATACAAATATGTTTAACGGTCCAGAAAATCTTAGGAAATTTCACCGAAGGAAAGGTCGCAAAACATTAGGTAATGGAAAAAAACTTCGCCAAGATCTATATCTGAGCATTTTGGCAATCTTTCCCGCGGTGTTTTCTTTTCAGTTGACCTCTTTTTCAGGCGCAGAAGGCCTATGAATATTACGAGTGCAGTTGCTGGAAACCCTCGATTCCATCACATAAAAACTGGGCTGTGTTAAACTGTTTTTAACATACCTTTTCAGATGAGAGTCGTGCGATCGTATCGAGCCGCCATGTCTGTTTTGCATGTTGACGCTTTTGAAGCTCGCGTTATGTTTGCACCCAGATCTTGCGCGGTCAAAAACACTATGGAGCCTCCTTAAAGACATCAAGACTCAGACTAGACTTCCCTGTCATTCTCTTGCCTTGATTTTCCGATTTTTTTCCATTTGCAGGCGAGCTAGTCATACCAGACAATGCGAATGTGTACTACGCCCTGAACTTAAGTATGGAATCTTTGCTGTTCAAACTCAAGAAAAAGGAAGATGAAAAGCCGAGCTGAGGTATGTTTTCGAGTTTGTTCCCATGTTTCTTGTAAAGTTGCGTTTTACAAGTATCGTTTCAACAAGCTGAATTGAAGAATGACAGGTTCTCATTAGTGAAAATCATTGGAATGGCCAGTGAATACTTGAGCCTTTGATCGCCTCTCGTAAATGAAATTTTCAGGAAACGTTTTATTGTGACAATGTAAAGTGGTTAATTAAACAATTTTTTTTCTCGAGTAGTTGTCAGAAAAAGGGTGAGGGTCACCTTTATAAGCGGTGACCCTCACGGTGACTTTCCAACTAATCAATGATGTGAACCTTGAAAAAAATGAATTTGACTAATGAAACTAAAAAATATTGAAGAAATTCACGGGAAAAACAACACTGGAAGTAGGGATGTTATTATGCAATGTTCCCGTTTCTATGTGCTCTTCCTCAGCAATAGTTTTAATAATGTTTTTCTTCGTCTACGATTTTTTGAGTACAAAAAAAATTTTTTAGTACAAAATTTTTTTATTGAAGAGTTAAGTGTTGGACTGATTGCTAAATTTAGCGTCAAAATGTATATCTCTTACGGCAACTGTACAAGTTCTATATTACTGAGTTTTTTTATTATTATTATTATTTTAATAGATTAATGAAAATTAAACCTTTTTATGCAAATGCCTGTGTTGCCTTGTTATATGTTAATCATTATTGTTATCATTATTATTTTCATCGTTATTATTATTATTATTATTATCATTATCATTATTATTATCATAATTGTTATCATCATTATTATTTTCATTTATGTTATGATACAATCTTTTTGAAAATCTATATCCTACCTACTTACTACTTTGCTAAAAGAAAAATATTTTTTAATTTTGATATGTAATGCAAAATAAGTTACATCATGTTTATCTCCATGTATCCTGGACTTAAAACAAGGAAGAAAATATAAAATGCTACATGAATAAAAAACTTGTAATTATCATGAACCTCATCATCGTTATTATTATTACTACTTTAATTTTACTCTTATCGTTTTTTTTTAATTTCTTGCAGTAAATACTTTTGTGAACTCGAATCCTTCTCCAGGAATTCTGGTCAGCAGGTGATCTGTGATTTTATTGGCTGAACTATTTCTACAAATACAAACTTTCACAGGCTAATTTCTTTTACCAGGGAGTTACGGAGAAGCTACGGCAATTGACACCCTATTAAATATTGTAATAACTTCACAGATCTCTTTGCAGTTGAAAGAAAAAAAATTACACCGTCAATGCAGTCTCCTGAGGATTTCCTATTTTGACTTCAAAGAATTTAAGACTCCTGTGAGACTATTTCTTAGTGTTACATGAGCACCTTTTCCAAACCCATAAATGGCAGTGTTTTGTATATCGCCGGAGCTCGCCAGAAAAATTATGTCTAGTTCGACGCTTGAATTAGATTATTATGTGAAACTGTCGCAAGTTGTTCATTCCAACTTTTCATTGAAGAATTTTGAATGTTTATTTCCCTTCCGCCTCGATTAGCTTCGCTATTTTATGGGTAGGGATTGTTACATGTGTATTTAAATTGTCAAATAAAATAAATTTATTTAACAGACCTTGTTACTTAGACGTCACTGGGCCAAGTTCGTGTTCTTCTTGTTCATTTTGTCGCTGTGTGCATGCGCACAAATTCATTGACCCACAAGATAAGATACGGCGAAACTCGCTCCTGAATGTAGAATTCATTCCTGCATATATGACGGGATTGATAGTGTTTGAAACGTAAAGAAAAAACATGCACAACAGTTCTATATTTCTTGGCATGTGTGATACTAATGAAAAACGTTTCATTATGACTATAACCCAGAAAGGAATCCAACATGCCAAAAAGGTAAAAACAACAATGAAGAGGGACCTGCTCAGTCGAATTTCTTGAATGGAAACGCGCGCGTCGTTCCCTCCGAGTCCTCTCCACAAGGGAGAAATCCCTGTCAGATGTTGACGAACATTTTTTAGAACTCTTGAGTAAGAAAAAGCTGTGGCAACCATAGGGATGACAAGAAAAAATGTTAAAACAATTATATAGTGGATAAGCTTGCTGCGTTCCTTAAGGTGTTTGATAGAACATTGCGCATAGCCAGGCACAAACTCATAGTCTTGCAATTTGGCTAGTTTCAGAATTGCGATGTAACAAGCCACAAACAACCAGAGGAAGAGTACCCATAAACGAGACTTTTTGGGTGAAAATATTTTCTGGTAGGCTGTGTTTGATCTGCACATACGAACATATCGGTTCACAGCTGTTAAACCCATGGTTGTCGGTGAGATGTAGATCACGAAGAGATTCATAAAGGCGTGAAATTGGCAAATGGTTTCTCCAAGCGACCATTTTCCTGTGAACAGAACTATTTCACCGAGAGGCATCACAAAGACAGCGGAGAGCAAGTCGCTCACAGCCAATGCTATGATGTAAAGATTAGTGGGGGTGCGTAATCTTGGATTTCTGTAAACAGATAAGCATACCATGATATTTCCTGCCAGTGAGAGGAGGTTTAAAATGACCAAAGAGGAGCCTTCGAAGATAACCAGTGCTAAACTTCTTGATGCAAGATCCTCGGCCATCTAAAGTAACTGCGCTTTCTTGTCTCAGTTGTAGCTAACAGTGAACACAACGAGAAAAAGCAGCACAGTGCTAAAAATCAAGTCAAAATGCTGAGATATGGCCCGAAGCACTATTGTTAACCATCAAAAACCGGAATACCAGCCAATATTTCCATATAAAGAAACCGACCTTACACCCGTGAGAAAGAAAAGGCAAACCTTAAAAAAAGCGAAAACAGAGTCTTTTCGATTCATAAAACCGATATTTGGTTTTGGACATTACGACAAAATCCCAAATATGGGCACGGTAAATAAGGGTATGGTAAAGAGTACTTGTCGAAGTAAGGTCTTATATAAGCAGGAAATATCTGCCTCTCGCTAAAATTAGTAAATCTCGGAATAACTTTGGCTGAGGCGCTCTTGAACTTCAGTACTGTTTTCTAGCTTCGTTCTGTTTCCCCTCATTTATATTTAGAAACGTTTTCTGCAGCAAATATCTTAATGTAAGTTATGCTTTTAGCTAAACGTGACTGAAATGAAACGTAGACCGAAAGATTTCTCAAGTGTTTCTGGTTCTGAGTTGAAGTGTTTTAAATCGATAACGACTAATTTCCATCAGTATTTTTGAGCTTACAGTGAATCGTTACTCAGACATTGTTTAATAACCAGTGTTATGGAATGAAAGATAATTACAATCAGAAACACAACTGTAGTGGTTATAAAAATGGGAAAGTCAGCTTTAGAGTTAACACGAACCCATAATAGTCGGGCGATACTTGCGCAACTGAGATAGTGAAACAACTGTGAGGAAGTGATCTGTATGTCAATTTCGCAATACGCCCGTGAAGGGCGAATACAGCAAAAGTAAATCAATCGAAATCATATATTTCAATTGCGGAATAAAGATGCTGTTAGACTGATACTATTTAGCTGAAGCTAGAAACAAAACCGAAGTAGTTGTGAAAATGAAGACGGAAAATACCACTCAGGCTTGAACAGAATTCGAACAAACGACCCTCCTGGGGTATCGACAGCGTGATTTAACCAAGAGCTAACAAGCCAACTGAGAGCTTGTCACGATAACAACTCTTTATTTCTTTTAACGAAAGATTTCGTGAATGTTTTAACTTTTTTTCCCTCTTGGAGTTTTTACACTCCGAAGCAACATCATTATTACTCGAGCAAAACTGTGAGACGTATTGATAATTACAATTTGAGGCGGTACATCTGCTAATGGTGATGCAATTTTCTGATAATAATCTTGATGACTGATCATGGTAAAGAGCAAGTATTCAACTTTCCATTTGACTGGAAAGAAAGCCTTTATTCTTTTTTATTCTTTATTCTATGTGCAAAACAAAGAAAAGTGAGATAGTTTGCCCCGCAATAGCTGCAAAGCTAATCGTGGCAGGGCAAGACAAGTACATGAATAACACAAATGACCTAATATCTAAAGACAAGGAGTCACTGACTCTTAAATGATAACACAGAAAAAGAAAAGCAGACATTTAAACCCTTAGCAAGTGTATCTACGACCTACTTTTCAATAATCATGGGAATTTGAATATAATTATCCTCTTTTTCCAAGATATCAAATAGCAATTTGTGGAGAACTCTTTTGGAAACTTTCTTTGGAAGATCCGAAATATAGCTTGGTATCTTATTCCACAGCTTTACTCCGAACCGAGAGAAAGAGTTGTTTTGTATCTCAAGTCTCAAATGTTTAACATAGAACTTTCCAGACGAAGACGATCGTGTATTGTATGAGTGAATATTAGACGTTTTCTGAAATAAATTTAACATGTTTGCTTGGGCTTTATCATTTTTGATATCGTGCATAAGGTTGATACGGACTCATAATAAAGAAGAGTTATTGGAAGCACGTTAGCTTGGAGAAATAAAGGCCAGTCTGCGAACTACAGCAGACGAAGAGCTCTTTTCTGGAGAATTATAATTTTCTTAAGATAAGTCTAGCATGCCTAACCCCAGGCAGCAAGACCATCGGTTAAATAAGGATGAATTAATGACTTATAGATATTCAGTAGTAATGGTCCAGCTATAGATTGTCGTAGCTTTGCAAGAAGCCCAACATTTTTACTAATTTTTATAACAATAGAATCAATGTGGTATTTCCAAGAGAGATGCTGATCAATAAGAACGGCCAGGTATTTTATATAAACTTTAGACTCGAGACGAACATATCTGTTCTTTTCATTATCAAACATACAAAGTTTGGTTGGTAAACAAGTCGCTTTTGGTAAAGATAAATTACTACAAAGTTAGATCTTTTAATGTTAAGAGTTAGTTTATTGGCTGTCAACAGTTATAAAAGTTTTGTAGCTCATTGTTGACTATTGTCTCAAGATCTTTCAGAGTTTTGTCTGCAAACATAATGTTTGTGTTAGCTGCAAAGAGGTAAAACCTAAATTTATTTGAGCATCTGTGGGTATCATTGACATATAGCAAGAAAAGCAATGGTCCAAGAATTGATCCTTGAGGAACACCACATCCAATGACAGCTTTATCTGATATATGATGGCCTACTTGCGTTGTTTGCGTGCGATTTTTGAGATACGAGGCGAACCAATCATTAATTAATCCACGAAAGCCATAGTGAATGAGCCTATCACGCAAAATGTCGTGATCGACGGTGTGGAAGGCTTTCTTAAGATCGATGAATACTCCACAAATTAGCAATCGCTGATTGATATGTTTGTCTGTATATCATGAACAATGTCCAACATTACGTGTTGGGTTGAATGCCCCTTACGAAAGCCGTATTGCGAGGTATACAAAAGTTCCTGTTTCTTTATATAGCTCGTCAATCTGTTGGAAATTATTTTCTCCAATACCCTATTAAAATTTGAAAGTAAAGAGATAGGTCTATAGTTGTTTGCCTTAGTATCATCGTCACTCTCAAGTATCTCCGAAAGAACAGGAGCTATGACGGCACTTGAACATTTGAATAGTTTGGTAGGTGAGGAGTATAAACCATAAGATTTTGCATTCGGTACGAGTAATATTTCTGACAGTAATTCTTCGGGTAAAACAGGTTGAAAAAGGAAGAATGAAATTGGAGATTTGCACTTATCAACATAGTCTAGATGATGTTTTTGGGGAATGGGCAGGTTATTAGCAAGTCTGTTTCCGACTGTTGCAAAGTGTTCATTAATAATGTTAGGTATCCGCGAACCTTCCTTAATAATTTTGTTGCGATTATTAAAATCCTTTAATGCAGATATGACTTTTAAGTTTTTTTCTTCCGTCGATGTAAAAGTTCATTGATTCCTTGCCAGGTTTCTTTTCATGTTGCCCATATTATTTTCGAAAAACGTATCATAATATCTCCTTTTGCTTAAGCGTATCAGTGTACAAATTTTATTTCTATAGTGTTTGTACCTAACTTTGTCTCCAGTTTCATATAATTTATTTTTAACCTTAATCGCCGCTTTAATTCTATTAGTTAACCAAGGTTTAGATAGCTGCTTTGCTTTGCGATTAAATAATTTTTTCGTGGGGGCATGCTTGTTAACAATTATATTGTACTTGTTGTAAAACGATGAAAACAGCTCTTTTTGATTCACGAAACCGATATTCGGTTTTGGATATCATGACAAAATCCTAACTATGAGCATGGTAAATATGGGTATGTTGAGGAGTGCTTGTCGAAGTAAGGTCTAATATAAACAGGAAATAAATGCCTCTCGCTAAAATTAGTAAATCTGGCAATAACTTTGGCTGAGGCGCTCTTGAACTACATCCCTGTTTTCTGGTTTAGTTCTGTTTCCTCTTATTTTTATTTAGAAATGTTTTTTGCTGTAAATATCTTAAATTAAAATAATGAAATTTAATTTAAAGAATGTGTTTATGACTGTTTGTATTCTTTGTATTAAAACTGCAAAGCGTGGCAAATTGCTCAATGATATCGTCCTCGAGGCTATAAGCGCTGGGCTTTACTCAAGTTGTGCAACAAGGTAAGTTGTGCTTTTAGCCAAACGTGACTGAAATGAAACGTAGACCGAAAGATTTCCAAAGTGTTTCAGGTTCTAAGCTGAAATATTTAAAATCGAAAGCGACTAACTTCCATCAGTATTTTTGAGCTTTTAGTAAATCGTAACTCAGACATTATTTAAGAACCAGTATTATGGAATGAAAGATAATTACAGTCAGAAAATGCAAACACAACTCAAATGCAATTTGCGATCAAGTAAAGATTGCAAAAGCCGTTCACTAAGGCAGGAAAACACCATAGATACCATGATAAGAGTAAACCAGATAGAAGAGAGAATTGTAAGGATGCAGTCGATTCAAACCACCATTAACGCTTCAAGCTTAACGTTTTTAAGATGGAAAACCTGGGAAGAGGCTGGCTTTATGGCATAAACCAAAAACGAACAATGATTTCTAAAATTGGAGTAGTTAAATTCTTCATATTCTTCTTTTATTAAAGGCCTGAGGGGATAGTTTACAGCAAAATTGGATGAACACCTGATTTTAGTTTCCCTCTTCTTTTTCGTGTATTTTAGTTCCACTCGTTCAACCTTACAAGACAAGTGGTAGCTGAGGAAAGTAACAAAAATATACAAAAATAAGGAATCGTCTGACCCTGGATCCAGAGTCCAGTCCAACATTTAATGTGTAAAACAAGAGGCTAAACGGAGCCTATATTCTGGCCGGATTTGCGGTTCAGAGCGTTATGGAGATTAAGACTTTGGAACAAGTTGATACCATGAAGAATTGGAAATACTAAAATCGCTACATGAAATGCGGAAACTAACGTAAAGTACCGCGGCAAAGTCAACAGAAAAGGAATAAGTCACTTTTTGACTTAGCTTGAGTCACGGAGAAATCCAGAATGATGGTAACCATCCAACCCTGCAAAATAATCAACGCATACTCGGGCGTTCCATAAAACCAGTACTAAATAGAATCCTACATTTATCAAATTTCCGGTTGAAAAAGTTCACCAACTTTAAACGCTGCTATTCAAATCTTTCTCTGCCTGCACGAGCCAAATTCCCCTATTTTCCATTCCTAAGTCAAGTTTCGCCTCACAGTTGCTCCATGAATATTTGCACTTGAACGTGATGATCTTTGTTAACAAAGTTTTCTCCCGCTTACATCTAATAACAAACCTCTGAAGGTTTCTGCCTCTAAACGATATACCACAGAAGGCATTTTATGGATCGCAAGTTTTTCGACTGACTGAAATAAAAAATAGGTAGCAGTGACTTTCACAGTATTAGGTTTGTGCTTTAAATAAATATTTCAAAGTTTACTCGAAGGATAAGTGTAAACTGTAAGAAGCTTGGCTATGGTTTATGCGCGGCCCAGCACTTCAAGTCTAAATACACTCGATGCCAAAACTCAACCTTGTTCCCACGCTATGTCCACCACATTGCTTTACGCCAATTAAAAACTGCCACGTAGCGCCTATTGTACATTTTCCTGCAGAGGAAAAACCGAACCGAATTTCTGATTCTGGCCCGTTTACGGCCAGAATAGGATCGGGGAAAAGGGTGGAGGCTTATGTAACAAGAAGAAATGATGATGCCCAGCCCCTCTCGCCTCAGTGAAATCTTAATAGGCGGCATCTAACATCATAAAGTCGGTTAGAAATATGCCCGAGTAAGAAACTATTCCTTGGATAATTCCCTAAAAAGGAAAAAGATACCCATGTACAAACATCTCACTGAAATAAGAGAGAAGAATTCAGGTGATGCAGGATTGGATTGGCTTTATATTTCTTTCCTCTGATTGGTCGAGAAAACTAGCGCCTCCTCCTCTACCAATCAAATGCAAAACTACTGTGTAACGGCTGCCACGCCTTTGCTACCGGACATTGATTTGTTATAAGTTTGTTTCGTGTTAAACGTGTTAAACCGCAATAGTGACGTTACCGTTTGTCCATTAGGGACGTGATCTTTAAGTTCCACCCAGAACCGCATTTTAGTTAGTTATCTCGTGTTGGGCTTACGATAAGACGTGTTTATCGAAAAGCGCCCTTTTGCCCATCTTATCTCGAAGTTCTGTTACTGTTATATAAGTGCTTATGTTCCTTCTCTTCGTACTTGTTTAAACATCTAGTCTTTCGGTAGTTTCACCCAGTTTTTTTTTTATACCAGTTTCTTTGCATCCTTGTAACAGGTGGCTTACGCTGTTCATGCTTTGTTAGTAAGCTGCTCGTTTGTCCCACTCGGTTATTAGTTTTGTTAGAATTCGTTTGCAAGCGGTTCTTCTTTATCCTTGAAGATAGTCTTTGTGAGTTTGTTTCAGAGTTTTAGCTAGTTTTTGGGATCTTGCTTTTATATCGGAATGATTGGAATGTTGGTTCGTATCTTAGAATTTAGCTTAGCTTCTTCCTTATAATTTCATATTTCAGTTTACGATAAGTACTTGGATACCTCGACTACGCTAATAAACGATTCAAGTCTTTTCCGTACAATATATCCTCGCTTCATAGTGCGTCTTCACTAGCGAAACTCATAGTTGACGTTAAATTTGCTTCGCTTGTGTCGGCCGCTACATACTGAAAACCAATGGCGTCTTAGTCTTAAGCGTTTTTCCGCATTTCAGTCAGGTTTCGAGTTTTTGATGTGAGTTTCCATTTTCTCTTTGTGACATTTTCCTTTGTCTTGATTAACCGCTGTAATTTCTTAGATCTTTGGTTTTACGACACTTGATGGAAACGCGCTCTGTTCTCGGCGACGCTTAAAATGGCTCAAAATCTCTTCACATAGTTCCTCTCACTAAATGTTTCTCGTCAACACCTTTCCAAAAGTTCGTTCAGAGCAATTTTCTATTAAGTGTCGCAAGTAAACTGCGATTACATTGGTTTTGCTTTGCTGCGCTCTGTGATTGGCCCAGAGCACTTTCGCCACTCTCTTTATGAAAAAACTGAAATCAATCACGACTTGGTTTCACTTTAAGTTCTCATTAGCTCTTAAAGGTATTTTCCTTCCTTCTGATTGGCCGTCATGATTGCTCTGGTTTGGTTTAATAACACTCAATCGAAGACTTTCTATGTAACGTCAGTTGTTGTTTTTACTTTGTGTGACAGACGGATGCTCAGTGAACCAGACATCAGCAAATGGAATTTACTGACGCAAATCTCATCACAAAGTCTCTCTCCTCCTCCTGCTGATAAACAGTGCAAATCCAATGAAAACTCTCCTGTCATGGCTCGCCGCAAAAGAAATGTAAGTACAACTTTGGTGAGTGAGTCTGTTTGTTGTTTTTTTTCTCTTGTTAACTCATAACGCCCCAACATCAGTATGCATATTCTCCATACTGTTCTCCATACATATTCTAAAGCAACGGCGAGGAGAATTTGTCTAACGATCAGGAACTTCTTGAGTTTGTGATTCTTTTCTTTATTTAAGGGTGATACTGTTGGGAGAAATAAATTTGACTTAGGAACGGGGGGGGGGGGGAGGAGGAGTAGGGGTCTGAGGAGGCTCCGCTATATAATCATTATGATCGCTAGTCTCCCCTTTATACTCTGTTGGCGACGACTGATTCCCCGTCCGTTCCCTCCGAAAACCATGTGATCCCCTAGAAAATCCTTCTATTTCCCCCTCCCCCTCTCCCCGCCCCCCTGATGAGAAATAATGACTGGTCCTCAACCGTAACCCTGAGTTTTTTGCTTCACAAGGTCTCACGGGAAATGTTTCTTCAAGCCTCGACCTCGTGTGCTAGAGCCAGTTCTCCTTGCCCGCGTCTAGTCATATTGAATAGGGTCAGCCGTCTGACTGACTGACGGACTTTAGCCTCACAGAACTCCGGCTCTTCCTCATCCTCCACGTCCTCCGGTGTGTCATCAGGATCAGATACGTCCTCAGTACCAAAAAACTTTTTATTCTCCCTTCCCCGGTCACAGTTTGCTGGCTTGCCAATTGGCTGTAGGTCACCTCGCCTACGCAAGTCTAGAGGTGGTGTTTCGCGGAGGTCTTTACTAGAACGACCGCGTTTTCCTCAGACCCTCCCCTCCCAAGAGTCCTTCCAATAGATCTGCACATGCTGGCTGTATTATTCGGGTCAGCATCGACGGACAGACTGTTAACCAGCTAAGTCCCAAGGTCCAATCAGCAATTCTCCCTACTTACTGCCATACTTTTTAATGTTAATTAAACAGGGGAGTTTGGCCGTATTTCAAAACTACACCTTCTAGCAAAGAAACTTGTCTGTTCTCATAACCTGTTCTTCCTCTTGTTGTTAACAGCTTTCGGATGACGAGTGAACACCTACTGTCATTCGGTCATGTTGGAAGAAACGAGAAATGAAGGGAGATCCGAGCGAGTATTAACTTGTTCAAATTCTTGATAATGAAGGTAAGTCTGAGTTTAAAAGGGTGAACAACTTGAGTTTTTTTTCTTATGGTCTACTGTGTCATTGCGTATTTGTGTTGAGGGGAAGAAATGATCTGATCCACAAGAAAATTTAAAGTTTGATTTTGAAAGTTACTATAGTGTAAAATGTTCTCTGTTGTCTTTTGGGCTGATACGCTAGAATATAATGACTATTATGCAGACTTACGGAGATGGGGAAAGGGGGTGGGGGGGTGTCAAATAGCAGTGCTTATTGGCTCATGTAAGCAAAGGAGGCCGATTTCTTGTTATGATCTCGGAGTTTTTCTTGACAGAGATGGAGTCGCTTGCAACCCATGCCCACCCCTCTGAAGCTAGTACGCCAAGATATATATCTGAGCATGCGTAAACTTTCTAATCTGTCGCGATCTGTCGCCTTTTGGCAATCTTTCCCGCGGCGTTTTCTTTTCAGTTGACCTCTTTTTCAGGCGTAGAAGGCCTATGAATATTACGAGTGCAGTTGCTGGAAACCCTCGATTTCGTCACATAAAAACTGTGTTGTGTTAAACTGTTTTTAACATACCTTTTCAGATAAAAATCGTGCGATCGTATCGAGCCGCCATGTTTGTTTTGCGTGTTGACGCTTTTGAAGCTCGCGTTATGTTCGCACCCAGATCTTGCGCGGTCAAAAACACTATGGAGCCTCCTTAAAGACATCAAGACTCAGACTAGACTTCCCTGTTATTCCCTTGCCTTGATTTTCTGATTTTTTTCCATTTGCAGGCGAGCTAGTCATACCAGACAATGCGAATGTGTACTACGCCCTGAACTCAAGTATAAGAATCTTTGCTGTTCAAACTCAAGAAAAAGGAAGATGAAAAGCCGAGCTAAGGTATGTTTTCGAGTTTGTTCCTATGTTTATTGTAAAGTTGCGTTTTACAAGTATCGTTTGGACAAGCGGAAATGAAGAAGGACAAGTTCTTATTAGTGAAATCATTGGAATGGCCACTGAATACTTGAGCCTTTGATCGCCGCTCGTAAATGAAATTTCCAGGAAACGTTTTGTTGTGACAATATAAAGTGGTTCATTAAACAATTTTTTTCTCGTGTAGTTGTCAGAAAAAGGGTGAGGCATTGAGGTATTTCATAAACCTAACTTATACCCCATTCATTCCACAGCTAAAACACGTTTTGAATTGTGTTAAAAGACAAAATTGGCACCTAGTAGGAATTTTCATTATAGGAGATTTCTGACTTATGTGAACGTTGAAAATGAATGGAAATAATATATTAGCATAAGCCATTTAGTAAGCATTGTAATAAGCCTGTTGATCATTTCTTATTCCTTTTGGCGGTCTTGCCTTACAGGTAGAGCTTGGTCACCTTTTTCCTTATTATGATCGTGCATTTGACACGGAGACAAATGTTTTTGCGTAAACTGCGGTTTGCGGCTAGATATCATTATATTTCCATTATGTTGCTGAAAGATGATTAATTACTGAGAAAATTACCCTACCTTATAAACATTGATCCCGTGCAGGAATTTCCTGGAAATAACCCTCCTTTATACTTTTACCCATTTATTACTCTCGTTTTTAGGCCAAATCCATGTCGAATTCCCGATACGGAAAATAGCTTTTAATTTCGCACGTTCAACACCTCTTTTTCTTAGAGGTGAATCAAAGTATAAACATTTAGCACTTTTCATCTTCCGCACTGAATTTGTAATCAGTTAACTTATACGACTAGCACGTAGCTCTTTTAGGAGGAGGTACCTTGGGTGCGCCCTCTCTTCTCCGAATTTTCTGTTTATTCTGCCGTTATGTGACAGTCTTCAAAGATTATTTTCTCTTAAGGTATCTTTTCAAGTATGATTTTGATTCTTTGTGTAAGTCTATGATAATTTTTATATTGTTAATCTTGTTTTTGTTTTGCTCAACCTTGACCGAAAGACTAAGAAACTTAAGGTAGAAAGTAATTTTGTAAACCGTAAACATCGCGAAGGTATCTATTTAGTATGCGAACTCCGCTCTGTGTAGCTAGCGTAATTCGCTAGTTAAGTGTAAAAGCATGACGAAGGTTAGAGATTGACAGCTCGGTAAGCGTCACTTTTATAAGCGGTGACTCACACTTTCCTAAAGAGATCAGAGCTAGTCCCCGTTGTATTAACTAACTAATTAACTAACATTAAGGAGAGAATAAAAGAAATAGTCAACCGAACGACGAGTGTTAGGAATTTACTACTAACAATTGTTTTCCTGATAGAAAGGGCTTAAACTGATGTTTGTCGACTTCACATTTAGCTCAATTGAAACAGAATTTAATGATCATTCGAACCAATCAGTCCAGTTTTCTGGTGATATTTTAATTTAGTCCCAATTGGTGGAACTAAACATGTTCTGCCGTTGTGAATGGGGCTTAGTTACGCCATTATGCCTGAGTTGTAGATCTCTGGTGTCGTGTTTATTATTCAACAAAATTTCAACATGTCATTTATAAAATTTGGATGATCTTTTTTTAACTTCAACTAGTAACTTTTACTTCACTAGAATTACAGTAAAATATTACCTTACAATCTTTTTACGCGTATCACAATGGTAATATTACAATCTTTTTCTTACAATCATATAATACAGCAATGTACAATTATTTGATACAGTTTTTCTTGTCCCCATCTGACCTCACCCACCACACCCACCTGGTGGAACTAGTGGAACTTAATATGTACTGCCGTTGTGAATGGGGCATTTGTAACTAAATTATGCCTGAGTTGTAGATCTCTGGTATCGTATTTGCTATTCGATAAAATTTCAACATGTCATTTATAAAATGTGTCTGATTTCTTTTAACTTCAAAGTTAACTGATGTAGAGGTGACATCTTATGACAGGATTAAGAGATGTTTTCATCTACTTCCTGGTCAGCCATCCCTACAGTTTGCCGATGCCGAATGAGGTTCTCGCCTCGGAAGGAATAGAAACTCTTTGACTAAGAAGTCGCTACGAGGTGCCCATCATTTAAGAATTTAAGTCAGGGGCAATGCATTTGTACACAAATTTCCGGCTAATCGTCCACCGAGCGACAACAACTTCAGAACAATATGATACAAGAGCGCAGTGTGATTGGCTAGTCAAATGTGCACTTGACTTTTACAAATACTCGCTGGGTTACCATTTTATGCGTCCCAATGCTCTGTTGATAATACACAATTTTTGTAAATAAATTTTAAAAATTAAATGATCTTACGTCAGCCCAGAAATGTATTTTGAGGATTTAGTTGAACCTTGTAAACATTACTAAGATAACTAAAGTAGATAATACATTTTTAATTGTATTTTATGGAAAAGAGACATAAATCTAAATTACTTGAATTAATTTTTACAAGTTTTTTTTTCAGTTGCGAATATGTTTATCTAGAAGCCATAGAGAAGGCGAAGTTTTAATGGTTTTCAAAAGGTTTTTGAAATGCAGTTTGCCTAATCAGGATAAAATTTCGCGCAAAAGTTTCATTTGCCTTTTGAGATTTTCCAACTAATCAATGATGTGAACCTTGGAAAAAATGAATTTGACTAATGAAACTAAAAATATTTAAGAAATTCACGAGAAAAACAACACTGGAAGTAGGGAAGTAATTATCCAATGTTCCCGTTTCTATGTGCTCTTCCTCAGCAATAGTTTTAACGATCTTTTTCTTCGTCTACGATTTTTTGAGTACAAAAAAAAATTTTAGTACAAAATTTTTATATTGAAGAGTTTAGTGTTAGACTGATTGCTAAATTTAGCGTCAAAATATATATCTCTTACGGCAACTGTACAAGTTCGATATTACTGAGTTTTTTTATTATTATTATTATTTTAATAGATTAATGAAAATTAAACCTTTTTATGCAAATGCAAGTATTGTCTTGTTATATATTAATTATTATTACTATCATTATTATTTTCGTCGTTATTATTATTACTATTATCATTATCATTATTATCATCATCATTATTATTTTCATTTATGTTATGATACAATCTTTTTGAAAATCCATATCCTACCAACTTACTACTTTGCTAAAAGGAAAATTTTTTTTAATTTTGATATAGTAATGCAAAATAAGTTACATCATGTTTATCTCCATGTATCCTGGACTTAAAACAAAGGAGAAAATATAAAATGCTGTATGAATAAAAAACTTGTAATTATTATGAACCTCATCATCGTTATTATTGTTATCACTTTAATTTTACTATTATCGTTATTTTTTTATTTCTTGTAGTAAATACTTTTGTGAACTCGAATCCTTCTCCAGGAATTTTGGTTAGCAGGTGATCTGTGATTTTATTGGCTGAACCATTTCTACTAATATAAACTTTGTTTTCATGAACTAATTTCTTTTACCAGGGAGTTACGGAGAAGCTACGGCAATTGACACCCTATGAAATATTGTAATAACTTCGCAGATCTCTTTGCAGTTGAAAGAAAAAAAAATTACAGCATCAGTGCAGTCTCCTGAGGATTTCCTATTTTTACTTCAAAGAATTTAAGACTCCTGTGAGACTATTTCTTAGTGTTACATGAGCACCTTTTTCAAACCCATAAATGGCAGTGTTTTGTATATCGCCGAAGCTCACCAGAAAAATTATGTCTTGTTCGACGTTTGAATTAGATTGTTATGTGAAACTGTCGCAAGTTGTTCATTCAAATTTGTCATTGAAGAATTTTTAATGTTTATTTCCCTTCCGCCTCGGTTAGCTTCGCTATTTTGAGGGTAGGGATTGTTACATGTGTATTTAAATTGTCAAATAAAATAAATTTGTTGTAACAGACCTTGTTACTTAGACATCACTGGGCCAAGTTCGTGTTCTTCTTGTTCAATTTGTCGCTGGGTGCATGCGCACAAAGTCATCCACCCACTAGATATGATACGGCGAAACTCGCTCCTGAATGTAGAATTCATTCCGGCATATATGACGGGATTGACAGTGTTTGAAACGTAAAGAAAAAACATGCACAACAGTTCTATATTTCTTGGCATGTGTGATACTAATGAAAAACGTCTCATTATGACTATAACCCATAGAGGAATCCAACATGCCAAAAAGGTAAAAACAACAATGAATAGCGACCTGCTCAGTCGAATTTCTTGAATGGAAACGCGTGCGTCGTTCCCTCCGAGTCGTCTCAACGAGGGAGAAATCTCTGTCAGATGTTGACGAACAACTTTTAGAACTCTCGAGTAAGAAAAAGCTGTAGCAACCATAGGGATGACAAGAAAAAGTGTTAAAACAATTATGTAGTGGATTAGCTTGCCGCGTTCCCCAAGGTGTTTGATAGAACATTGCGCATAGCCAGGCACAAACTCATAGTCTTGCAATTTGGCCAGTTTTGGAATTGCGGTGTAACAAGCCACAAACAACCAGACGAGGAGTACCCATAAACGAGACTTTCTGGGTGAAAATATTTTCTGGTAGGTTGCGTTTGATCTGCACATACGAACATATCGGTTCACAGCTGTTAAACCCATGGTTGCCGGTGAGACGTAGAGCACGAAGAGACTCATGAAGGCGTGAAATTCGCAAATGGCTTCTCCAAGCGGCCATTTTCCTGCGAACAGTACTATTTCACCGAGAGGCATCACAAAGACAGCGGAGAGCAAGTCGCTCACAGCCAATGCTATGATGTAAAGATTAGTGTGAGTGCGTAACCTTGGATTTCTGTAAACAGATAAGCATACCATGATATTTCCTGCCAGTGAGAAGAGGTTTAAAATGACCAAAGAGGAGCCTTCGAGGATAACCAGTGCTAAACTTCTCGATGCAAGATCGTCGGCCATCTTCGGTAACTCCGCTTCCTTGTCTTGTAGCTAGCAGTGAACACAACGAGAAAAAGT